TGTTATCGAAAAATTGAATACAAATACGCCTATATTTAACCCCATTCCACTACCAATTAGTACAGTCATTGAGCTATGAAGATGTCAATCATCATTACTAAAAAGCTTAGACTTATCTATTTCCTTTCTTGATGTAGTCTCACCATACAATCTTCCCTCATTCAGCAAGTTAGAACCTTCTTTCGATTGTTTGGATAACTTTGAATGTTTTAAGCATCATGTTGTCTTTTTTGTTCTTTTATCATTTTTAGTGTTCAATTCACTTATAAACTTGTGCTAACTACTTCAAGGGTATTTTTAGTGCTAACTGCTTTATGTGCGATGAAGTCTTGGTTGGACTTTATTAGGTTAGAAAAAATATACCAAGAAAAGGAATGAATTGGTTTACTAGTGTGTTGTAATTTTTACAAAAAAAGTAACCTATTTAGGTGAATTAAAGTTTTAGTAGGTCAACACATTGGTTAACATGATTAAGTTGATACATTAAGTTCCAAAGTATGTAGAACATCAAGATTTTTTTAAAGTGGCTTAGTCATTCATCATTAGAAGTACCCTTAAAAGTGACTTCATGTATGAAAAAGAGGTATCATGAACTTACCTTAGGCTTTAGATGCTTAAAGGTAGCTTCCTTGTTGATGTAGGAAATTTGAGCAAAGGAGGAAAATTGATCAAGTACAAGCTTACATAAAAAATTTCTCATAAAAATTTTGAAGGATGAAAGAAACGAGATTTTATGACATTTGAGTTATTATTTGAAAGCTTGTTTGAAAAACTTTTCATAGAGCCCTAGATCTGGATTGTTAGAGTTTAATGGGCGAGAATATGATTGGTCAAAGATTTTTGTAAGTTGACATGTAAGTTGACCTATTGGTAGATTGTAAAGTCAGATTAATTGTCATTAGTTTGACCAAGTCAAACTACATGTGCTAATATGCCATACTTTGACATGCCATTGATCTTCTCATGTTTGAAGATACATTGTCATCATTAAATTTATTTGCCATGTGTCAACTAGCATGTCAAAAGTGCTTCTGTCACATGTCAAGCATGTTGTCCATGTTAGATATTTACTACTATATGTCATATATGGTCCTTATTTGATTCTTTACTCATACGCATTAGTTTAAGTTTTCAAATCTTGGCAACACATCATATTCAGTGTCAAATATTTTGCAATGTGTCACTTGCATTGTCAAACATTATCACATGCTATGCTCTTATCAACTATTTTTCCATGTGTTGCATTGAACAATTCAATTCAACTACATATTCCTTGAGTATTCAATCTTACCACATGTCATGTGAATTATTGACCATCTTTTCCATGTGTTATTTTTCTATTTAACTTTTGTCATGTGTCATTGCACTAATCAAAATTCTACAACATGAAAATATTATTGGATTTCAACCTGCACTAAGATTAAGAAGGGGGGGCTGAATTAGTCTATTCATATATCTCTTTTCATAGAACCTTCTTCAGTGTATTGAAATTATTTTCTCTTTTGTGTTTTGTAGGTCTTCCCTAACTTCACTATTTAGGTCCACTCTTCAAAAGCAACCTTGTTCTTAGGTTCCACTAAAATTGATCATCCAATCACACACTAGTGATTAATGGGGTTAGCTCCCACAGAATTTCACTTAAATTTTTCTCTTCTAGATTCACGTCTCTAGGAAGGCAACATTTGTTTAATGAGACAATTCTCATAGAACTAAAAATGATTCAATCAAGAGTTTTCCATCAACAAATGTTTGAAGGATGATGTAGACTTCAAGTATTTCTGGATCTCTAATGAAGAGGATGATGTATATTGGCTTGTAGTCATTATGCTCTTCTTATTGAAATGCTGTCAATAGATTGAAGACTCTTTAAGCTTTTGAATAAATCAAGAAGGGTCATTCAATGCTTTTGTAGTCCTCATATGAATGACTTCACGCCATTTTAATTGCCATCGCAAACCTCACTATCTCTTGCTTGAAGTTCCTTCAGAAAAAACTTGATACAAAGCTAGAGGTAATTCAAATGAAAAAAATAATCATTGTATCTTAGTGAGGTCATCGGAAAATAATAATATTTATAGAAAAAACTCATATGAAAGTATTCTTTGATCTTTGTGATTTTTTCAATGATTATTTTCTCTAAAATAAGACTAATTCATACAACTAAGAAATGAAAATGACATGTCCTTAAATCAGTTTAGATATCCTCATGAGAATTCAACGTATTATTTTTTTTATTACTTAACATTCATATCTGAATTATGCCGGTTCACATTAATCTATTAAGCATCTAATATCATAAGAATAGAACCAAAAAAGATCCAATATCATTAAAATATATTTGATAGTAGATATCTTGATAAGATTATGCTTTAGTAGTCATGATTTGAGTGATTCAAGATATGTATAATCATGATTTGGGTGATTCAAGATATCAATAATCATGATTTAGGTCATTCAAGATATACAAAAACAATTTTATCAAGTATGTTATTTAATATCAAGAAAATCATGTTTGACTAAATATGTAATATGAATTCAATTGATTAAAATAATATCAAAAGTAATGATCTAATATCACAAGTAGGCAATAGATTGAGTAAGCTTTCATACACATATTTTACTTCTTATTGTCTCGTAGATTCTATAAATATTGATATCTTCCACAATAATATGTAATATGATAATTTAATATGATGATATCAATCACATATATGAATGTAATACTACTGATCAATAGTATATTCAATGATTTCTCATATGAGTTATTATCATGATTATTCAAAAACTATACTCAAGTACTTACATATTATGTATATTATGAACTAAGTTTAATTCAATATTCTAAAACTTATTTCCCATCATCAAAACATCATATATATAATACTCTAACAATTATGTTGTCAAACTATGCCTTGCATTATCTTGATTTGGACATTTTTCACATTGATCTTGAATCGAATAAATGTCATATGTCACTTGTACTTTGTTCTTACCATATGTCAACTTTATTATATTTTGTACCATATGTTATATGAGTTATCTTTGCCAGATCTTTATGTACACATGTAAGTTGCACAGTCATTTAATTTGGCACATGTTAATGAGTTTTCATTATTTTATTTTTATCATTTTCTCACTCCTAACTAAAGATGATTGACACTTTTGTGGGTCGACATGTTTGTCTCTCTTCATGTGGGTCACCACAATAGGTCAACTAATTTTCTCTCTCCTTTGTTTCCCATCAAAAGTAATTTATTTTGTTTGTACTATGACTTGGCATGATACTAATATATTGACATTTCTTTTATTCATTTGAGGCTTATTAAATATATTTAATAAAAAATATAAGTAAATATTTATATCTTAAAATAAGTATATTTCAACCTACTTTCTAGAAAATTTTCATAGTTAAAATTATTTAATTAATTTATCAACATCAAAATAACTAAACTTGACATAACCCTCATAATAGCTCAACTCAACTTAATATTAGCATTGATTTAGCTGTTGACTCCTTAGGGTCAACAATTCATGATCATATTTATGTCCACACATGTGAAACTGTCTACAATGTCAAACAAGTCTTCACATGCCTTAATGACCATATTGAATAATTACATTTTTCCATTATTTATAAAACTATATTTTATAAGTTTTCATGATAATACCACCCTTCAGTAATATTGTTTGCCTTTACGTTTGAATGGGATGGTTTGGAAACTTGAAAGATTACCATAGGTAGGCAAACCTCTTTAACATCAGAATACATGACTATGACTTCAATCATAGATCTCAAAACTCATCAAGTCAACTTTGGAGGTGTTATTAATAGCAGGGTAAAATGATATCATCACAAAAGTATGGATTTTATTGTCAATATCTTTTAAATATTTAATATGTAATTTATATATATTCTAAATATTATGACATTACATGGTGTTTGATTACAATCATCCATTCTTTTGCATAAAGAATATAAAACAGGGTGCTTGTTTAACTCAAATATTGATGCTAAATAAAGAAAGCAACTCATTACTCTAAAATCAAACAAGCCCAAAAGGGGAAATATAAGAAAACCAACACTTTTGGTTTTAGCCTCCTATCTTGACTTGTTTTGGGTTTTTTAAAACATGTAATAGTAAATATTTCTAGAAAAAAAATAGGTCAATGAAATTTCAAAAGAAAGGTATAAAATGTCATATTAAACTCGTTCGACCATGTAATTTATGGGCCGGTCAAATAAAGTTTAGGGCCATTTATGCATTCAAATAGGGGGGGGCGGTTATTCCAATGGACTGTAGTAACCCAACAGCGCGCTAGGGAGACAATTGATCGCACGTGAGAACAGCTAGGCGTTGGGTGTTGGGGGTTGGGAGAGCGATGAATGAGCCAGCCCGGTCGTTCGCACGTGGGAGTTGGGCCCCGCCCCAGCACGGGGATCTCGGGCTTCACCTCATCTCACCGTGCTTTCCAGATCGGACAGTCTACATTCTCAGGAGATTCGCCGGAATAGGAACGGAAAGTTCGGTACTGTGTCCGTTTAGGAGTTCGGCGCTCACGGTAAAATAAGGGTACGTGGGTTTTGAACGAGAAAAAAGGTAAATGGTTTTCGGTTCGGTCGTATCCCGTAGGAGTTAGGTCTAATAATTATCGGTCATCTTAGTCTCTGGAAGCGGCGCTGGAAGGTGCAGATGATCGTCCATCCACGAACGGACGGTCAGGATGAGAATGATTATGTGTTCATTGTGGAGCCCACAAACCTCTCTCTCTTCCCGTCTCTCTCACTATGTTCCTTCTATAGGCGCTTCCCTCGCGGGTCTGTAGAACGCCGTCTTCTCCCTCTTCTTCCTCGTTCGATCTCCCGGGGGGACGTCTCTGTTTCTAATTCGATCTGAAGAAGGGGGCATCCACCGGAGGGAGGCCGCTGCCGTAGATTTTGCAGTAATTTGGCTTGATAGGGATAGGAATCTAGCTCGTTTTGTTCCTGTTTTTCTGGTGCTATGGCGAAGCTATACGTGCAGACGTCGCCGCCGCCGGATCTGAACAAGAATACGGAGTGGTTCATGTACCCCGGCGTCTGGACGACCTACATCCTAATCCTCTTCCTTTCCTGGCTCATAGTGCTGTCCGTCTCCGGCTGCACGCCCGGGATGGCCTGGACGATCGTCAACCTCTCGCACTTCGTTGTAAGATGATGCGGCCTTCTCGCTGCAACATTTCCCTATCCGCAGATTTCCATCTCTTGGTTTTTTCATAATTGAACATCTGTGTCATTTGTTTCGTGGATCGGATCCAATACTTCTCTTTACGATTGAATGTACTGTTGTTTCTCTAGGTTGGAGGTAATCTGGTATCAGAAAACAACCACAAAAGGATACGATATATGATTGAGACATCAAAATTTTAAAAAGCGTAAGGCAGGATCCCTCGTAAGGGTTCTATGTATTAACAAGATGCTCAATAAGTAACTGGAGATTTAACCTGGAGAATTCTACATATCCTTGATCCTTATCATTAGGTAGGATGCTGAGGATCTCTATTCTCCATTCCCTAGGAAAATTGATCAGCATGCACGGTCGCTTTGTTGATGATGTTATGTAAGTCTTCAAATTCTTCTTGAACCATCTATTGGCAGCACAAACACCATCCACCAATCTATTTTTCTCGCCAATGTTCATTAAATTATAACATCCTCTCGTCAAATCGTAACTGTTTTATAATCATCAGCAACAGTTATACTATTTGAAACGTAGTTTCCTGCATACAATCAGTGTCCTCTACTGTCTCCCAAAAACACGCCAAAAAACTCACTTTTTATTGAATTTCTGAATTCCATCTTGGGAAGTGGGGCGCTGTTTTCTGGTTAATTTTATTTTTGTAATGTTTTCAAGGTTTATTCTTCCGCCGGACTCACCTGCCATGCTCTGCGGGCTCTATTTTTTCATATTTTCAAAAAAATATCTGACACTAGAACTCCATTTTGTAGTTCATTTCCATTTTTTTCCTTCTTGTTCTTATTTTTCCTTCATGTGCTGTTGCATAAGTTGAACCTGGCCATATCCTTCACTGTGACCTGTGATACTCTTCTAACTTGGGAAGTTCTGTTGTTATATTACATCATTTATATTTGATGTGTACATTAAAGTAGGTGTCATGCCTTGAAGTCATTTATCTTTCAAGTTTCAGTCTTCTACAAACACTGAAATTGACTGAAATTCTAATACACGAAAGATCCTTTTCAAATATCAAATAAGGAGAGAGCATTTAATGAGGAATTTTTCGTTCATTCCTAGAGAGGAGAATAGTTGAATGAGTGAAATTATTTGTTCCTAGATCAGACGTTTTAACTTTACACCATTTTAGTAGATGAAGAAAAAAAATCGTTCATTGTTGGCTTGTAGCTTTTGAGCATTCCAGTATCCAAACACAATTTTTCATCAGTCACTGTTGACTCGCACCTCATGACCATTTCAGTACACAATTTATTCGTGTTAAGGTCCTTTTCGGATGTATCATTCTCGGGTAAACCAACTCCACTTTCATCCTTGTCTGCAAATGCTATCCCGCTTCGTAAAGCTTGCTCCTCTCCGATTATAGTTGCATTGAAATATTCTTATGATGGCATTAATTATTATCTTACTTGTTAGGGATCTTAAGCATGGTCATAGTATATGGTTGAACTTGGCATTGCTGTTCATGAGAACATTCATCTAACCCCCCCCTTCTTAAAGAAGCTTCAATTTCCATTCCAACCTGGAGTCATCAATCCAATGTTTTTTTAAATATTCCACAGTAACAAATGAAGTGCCGAGTATTTGATAGATTGGCCACTTTACTGCTCAGTTTTGCAACAGAGACACCCATTCATCCTTCTGACTATCAATCCCATTAGTTTTATTTGATTAAAACTAATGTATCTACCTTTTTCATGTTAAATGAATAAATTTTACTAGTCCACTTTTCAAAGTAGTGCTTTGAACCTGTAACCGTTTCTAGATCGATAAATCCACTTCAACAGTTGGATTTCCTAGTTGACTTATTTCCAAAGAATATTGAAGATGAGTGAGATAGAATTTGTGCTTACCGACCTGAATTCCTTCAGTGATCCCTGTGATTTCTTTCTTTTCTCTTAATTGAATTGAAATATTGTCATGTCAATTAGAACAGAAATGGCTGTGAAGAGTCTCCTTGTCTCAGATGACTTGAACTCTTGAAGTATCCACGGTTTGCCATTGCTGAGAATGTAAAACCTTTCTTTTGAGGTGCAGCTTACAACACATTTAGTCCATTAGCATTCGAACATCATCAAACGTAATGTTCTGTTTATACAGTTCCAATTTATTATAACGTAGACTTCTCGAAATCAAGCTTAACTTCTACACATTTTGCCTCTTTTCCTGTTTGATAATGAATGGCCTCATAATCAATCATAAGCAATCAAATGTTTATTTTGTCATAGATGTGGATTAATTTTGATCACCTTGTTCCATCACCTTTTTCTATCCTTTGACTAGGACCTTCTTATTTTCTTCTAAAAACTAACAAAAGAATGGGTCTAAACTGATTGAGCACGCCAGCATTTTTGGGGACCTCAAAAGTTGATTTGAGGAGGCAATGTTCTAATTCTAATTTGAACTTTTTTTAGAACGTTCATTAATTCATGTTTTATTTCTGCTCAAAAATACTGAAAAAAGAAGACTATGTTCGTGGGGATTTTTTGGCTATTGTATTCGGAACTACCTCATTGACATTTAGAGCAATAATTCCTTCTCTTTGGGAAAAATTCTAGAAAAAGAACTAGAAATATCTCTTTGATGTTTTATATACTCCCGCCTTTTTGTATTCATTTCTAGCATTGTTGATCTTTAACCACTTCTTATGATCTTGCCACTGCCTAAAATTAAGCTTTGTTTGATCTACTTTTCTGATCCATAAATCCGTTACTTTTTTCCTCCATCTGAATTTCTCGTATGTAATGTATTTCTTATTTCAGTTTAAAATTTTCAGTCTCATGCCATTTCACTATTTTTTCCTCCTTTTTTTTATTTTTTTTTCCACTTTCTCCCAGATTTCTCTTTTCGCCTCACCTTTTCACAAGGTCTCATTGGGGCCATTTCTGCTAATCTTGTTCCTTTTACATCTCTGTTGTCATCATGTTTGACTTCTTTTTGTCTCCATAGTAGCATGCTATTGTGACATTTTTTCTCTCTAAACAATAGAGACCTCTCAAAGAGGGAAAATGAGGAAGAAACATTGTTACCACGAAATTCATCTGTTCTTACGAACTTTAGGGACTCCACAATGATAGTTGCTAATCGTGATGTTGCCACAGGTTACTTCTTTTCTGTCTAGTTATTAATTGTTCACTAAAAAATAGATGCTATTTATATTCTGACATAACTTATCTCACTTTAGTTGTTCATTACTTTCATTTATTTTCTTCCCTGAAGATAACTCATTTATATGTGATTCTTTTTAGTATTGGCAATCTAGTAACCTTGAGAAGACATTCAGCTCCCTTGTTCCTGTTAGCAACCCCATGGAAGGTAGAAGTTGAATTACTCTGCTCATCCTTAGTCAAAGAGATGGTATCGATGGGGATGATTTCGCATGGACGACCATGCAAAATTGTTTTTCTTTCTATGGACAATATTAAGTCCTGCAGTATATCTATCTGTGTGGAGCGAATGATGAGCCTTTGGATCTTTTTCATAGACAATATTAAGCCCTAGGGTTGTTGAGGAACTATGGACAGGTTCCAACCGATGGTGAATACCAATATGATAGTTTATCTGTGATTGAGTTGGGAGAGTGGAGCTTGGATCTTTTTCAATGAGGGGGGGACTGTTCGGTGACTCTGTTTAGGTCGGGTGACAGATTTCCCTCCCCGGATTGGCTTAACCCACATAGATGCTCTATAGGGAGTCTTCAGGAGCACAGGGAACATTATACACGTACATGACTATTCTTTTTTTTCTGGATCTTACGATTTTTCATATGTAGATTACAGCGGAATTGGCATCTTATTACTAATCGTTTCAAAAACTGGTTGATATAAAGGCCAAAAAGAAACCATCTCCTACTTGGATTCTTTACCGTTGTGAAATGAGACTGTAAGTTATTTTGGAGATTATTTTTTCCATAAATGGTGGGGTTGCTCTGACGTCATCAGAACAAAGAGGACACAGCATCAGATACATCTTCCGAAGAAAACGTGATTTATGAAAACAAGGATTATAGAAATTGACGAAGAGACACAATTAAATATGGTAACCAATTCAACCTCCGGTAGAAAAGGATAATATATCATAATCTCTAGAGAAAAGTTATTCTCTTGAAATCGAGAGTGATCAATATTAATTGCTTCTGTAGCTTCTATATTTATATCGGCCACTGCCAGACGAATGAGATCTTCCTCGGGTTTGCATCTATTTTATTCGTAGTCTATTTCTCTGTAATGATCATTCCATTGCAGCAGGTTGACTTTGTTTTATCTTCAGGTCACGTATCACTTTTTCCACTGGATGAAGGGAACTCCCTTTGCGGAGGACCAGGGTATCTATAATGCTTTGACCTGGTGGGAACAGATGGACAACGGCAAGCAGCTGACTCGTAATAGGAAGTTTTTGACTGTTGTTCCCGTTGTACTGTGAGTATGCTCCCCCTGTCCCCCTTTTCCTTTACGTGGGTGAAGATAAACTTGGCAAAGTCAGCGTTCCCTTCTGTAGAGCCTCATCTCCCTCATAGAAGGGAAAATTATCCCATATATAGCATTGGTGCATATCTTCCACTAAAAATTCTAGGTTTTATGTCCTTTCATGACCTCAGAAACAGCCCGTGCTCCATCATACTATCCCTCTATGTGTTTCTGTGTATTTTTCTCAAGTTTAGTTATTCTTCGTAAAACGTTAGGGCTTCCTCACCTTTACTGGCCGCAAGGGTCTGGATCAATGTTTTCTTCGGCCTCAATGGCGTTGAACCTTAAGTTGACCATGAACATGCTTTAACTCGTTGTTCTTGATACGTGAAACATACACAAGTAAAAGTCAGAGCCTTCTGCCCACCGTTAGGTTTTCTTACTCTCTTCTAGTATTATCCGTTATGAAGAATTACTTGATTTTTTTTATTTATTATTCCTTCAATTTTTAATAATCATTATGCTTAGCTCTTAGCTGTGTCTGAAACGTAATGCATTCCTAGACTGCACATTTTTCATCTTTACTCTGTATTCTTCGCGCTCTGATTCTACCAACTGAGTGAAGAAGCCATCACTATGCAGCTAGCTGTGGTCAAACAGCATACAAGACACACAAGCTTTTTCCTTTAATAGCATGAGGGCGCCGATTGGCTCAGAATCGGCATGGTGTTTGTGAGAAAAGGCCACCTCGGCATGGCTACTTGTATATCCTTACCATCTTTGTGGCAGAGCCTCTTCACCTTGTTTGCCTTCCTAACCCATGGGTAGACAGAGAGAGAGAGAGAGAGAGAGAGAGAGAGAGAGAGAGGGAGAATTCAACACCCAATCCTGGTACATCCTTTCAACATTTTCTAATATCATGAGGAACCCAATGGATCTTTTCAAGATTTTCCTGGAATCATCCCTCAGAAAAATAGCTCGATCGGGCTGAAAACACCACCTTCGAGCTCTTGATCGTTCTTATTATTCAATCCAGGTACCTGATCGCGTCGCACACAACCGACTACAAGCAGCCGATGCTCTTCCTCAACACTCTCGCCGTCGCCGTGCTTGTGATCGCCAAGTTCCCTAACATGCACAAGGTGCGCATCTTCGGAATCAACGCCGACAACTGACCCCTGCCCAGTGGTCCAAAGTCAACACCCTTGACCTGGTCGATTTGTCAGCTCCACCTGGGGAGGAGGAGGTGGGTTGATCCTAAGAGAGGTAAAAGGAAAGGGTTTTTCTCCGTGATCCATCTACCATCTGCTGGGCTTGTGTACAGAGGATTACTAAGTAAAGCGAACGTATGTCTTAAGCTTTCAGTAGTTGGAGTCTTATGTTTCTGTCGACTACTTCTTGCCAACTTTCCTCCCCATTTTTGTCAATAAGAAATCGGTGGAAATCTGCCTGTGCTGCCTGCGCAAAAGTCAACCCACCGTTAACGGACGAGATCTCTCGAGATCGTCCAATGTTTAGTATCTGGACGGCTTAGATATAAAGCTGATGTCTCTATAGTGATTGATAGGTTTCTTTCTTTTAGAAAATTGTATGAATCTCCGCATGACTGAGAGAGACCATGAAATGGGAACATCCAAAAGAGGGTTCCCACTGACTTCTGCATGCAAGGTCAAACGGTTCATTAGTCAATTTAGTGTAAATTATTGAGTTTGCTTTTTTTTTATAGAAATTTCCATAAATCTTACAATATTCGGCAGGTCCTGGGATGTGATCATCTTAAAAGGGGGGGGGGGTTCTTCTGACCGTTGGATGTGGATGTGGAAAATGCACGAAATTCCTTGAACCTCGTATAGAATTTATTTCGTTTAAAGCCTTTTTGTGTAGAAACCTTGGCCTGTTCGGCAATAGGAGAAGTTGAAGGATTTAATAAGGGAAGAGACGGCGGAGGGCGGGGGGTATGTTTGAAAATTCTATAATTTGGCGGTTTGTCCTCATTTTGGAGAAAATTTGGGGGTTTTCTATGGATATAACCGAGCTATTTTATAATAGGGAGGAACTATATTGGTAAATTTGGTGATAAATTCCGGTCCATGCTGGGTTTTTTTTTAAAAGATAAATATTATGATGGGTGAGGGTTTCTAAAGGCCTCTGTAGCCGTTAATCGAGGTGAGGGACTTTTCGATAAATATTCTTTGTACTTTCGGGTTTAAATGCGTTATCTGCATAATAATGGGTACATGTGTAAATCCCGGCTTCTTTCTCCCTAGAGAATGACAATTGGCGCGAAACCACGACGAGCCCCCTTCCTTCACCTCGCGTACTCCGCTCTATAGGGTAGAAGAACTCTCCTCTCTCTCTCTCTCTCTCTCTCTCTCTCTCTCCCTCTCTCTCTCCCCCTCTCTCTCTCCCCCTCTCCCTCTCTCTCTCTTCCCCTCTCCCCCCCTCTCTCTCTCCCCCTCTCTCTCTCTCCCTCTCTCTCTCTCGCTTAATCGGCTGGTTTGGGGAGTGTTTCAGAGTTTCCGCTCGTCCAGACGAAGATCGTAGACTTCTTCCGGATCCAGCGCTGTTCAATGGCCTCCGAGGGGGAGTCTCGCCTGAAGCAGCAGCGGAAGAAGCGGACGGGGCCCCGTATCGTCGCCAAGAGGAAGAGGAAGCTGCTGCCCTTCAACCCCAGCGAGGATCCGGCGAGGAGGATGGCGCAGATGGCGTCCCTTGGCACGGCACTCACAGCGACGGGGGCCGAGTTCAGTGACGAGCTCATCTACGCCCCAGGCATGGCCCCCAGATCGACCAATCGCGCCGCCCTCGAGCGGGAAGGGATGCAGGTCGCCGCCAATCCTTCCCCTCCGACGAGCTCATTCTCCCTCGATCGCCGGATCTGCCCGTTCCAATGGCTGTTCGCGCTCAATGTTTCTGGTCCTATCCAGAGAAGACGCAGAGACATTGAACCTCTGCAAGCGGATGATGGGGAGAGGGGAGTGCCCTCCTCTAATGGTGGTGTTCGATGCTCAGGAAGGGTGGGTCCTGGCTTCGTCTCTCGCCGGGCTTCCCTCTTCTCCCAGAACGACGACGACGATTCACGAAGTTTTCTGGATGGAATCAGGTTCACGTGGAGACCGATCGCTCCATCAGGGACCTGACAATAATCACAGAGTACGCCGGCGACGTCGATTTCTTGAAGAACCGGGAGGACGACGACTGGGACAGCATCATGACTCTGATGACGGCCATGGATCCTGCGGAAACCCTAGTCATCTGCCCGGACAAGCGCGGCAACATCGCCAGATTCATCAACGGCATCAACAACCACACCCCGTGAGTAAATCCTTCCTTCCCCCTCGAATCTGGCCTCGGACTGATCTCATGGAGAACAAATCTTGCGGCGTAGGGAGGGGAAGAAGAAGCAGAATCTCAAATGCATCCAGAGACATTCGCAGAGGCGAAGGATTGTATTATGACTACAACGGGTATGAACAGGAGTACCCAACTCAGCATTTTCTCTAGATCTTTTATTTATTATCATAAATACAAGTCAATGGGGCGATTCTGGATTCGATGATCTTGGCATCTCTCTCTCTCTCTCTCTCTCTCTCTGCCCAAAGCCAAGAAAAGGGAGCATTTTTGGTGGAAATTTAGAGTTGGGGAGGTGGTGATCTTTGAAACCCAACTAATCATTGATAAATCTAACGTATACCCGCGAAAAGTTGATGCTTAATATGTAAAAATATATGAAATATTAAGTTAAAAAAGTGATAGTTGTCATTATATAATTGATAATAAATATTATTTAACTGAGGTGGAGAAAGGAAGAAGGGGAGAGAGAAAGGCGGCGGCGAGTGAACTTGCCTCTGAGGAGAGCTTGCGTGTATTTATAGAAAAAACCCCCCAAAATGTACCAAATTGTAGATATGATCTTCTGACACTCTCCCTCTAAGTGAGTTATCCTAAATATTCCTAAATTTTATTAGAAAAATGTGCTGCGTCTAGCGGTTGGCAAGGTAAATTAATAAATTGATTTGTCTTGAGATGAACTAACACCATTTGTGTAGTATCTATCATTTAGTAAAGCATATGAAGTCTACAAGCGTGTTTGCTTCACTGAGAGTCAAAGAATGTCAGAAAATGAATTACTAAACACCAGGATTTTGTGCTTAAAACACGTTTTTTAAAAAAAAATCCACATCTTTGAATGATCCACTCTCAAAACGTAAGACTCGGTGGTTCTGCACATGTTCATGATACAACAAATATTTAATGAAAAACTAAATTAAATTCTTGTAACGTTTCATGAGGCTCTTCAATATCTCTCCTCTAAAATTATGTCCATTTTGTTCTTCCCAAACATGAGAGCATTAGATCTTAATTTCTTGATTTCTAATTTCAAAAAATTAAATATAGCTCTTTCACAACCTTTTGAACCTCACAAAAGCTAATGTTCTAGTAGAGTTGTCAATTTTTTATTTTTGAATGTCCTTTTAGGTTTTAAAATAATTGACAAGCTAGTGGACTCTCAATTTTGATATTAGCATAGCCTACTATTTTTTTGCTGACGTGTAATATTAGAAATCTATGTTGTTCCCTTTGATTCACAAATATAATGTGATTTCTTTAGTGGTATACTTTACTAATATCATTCAATTATTTATTATGTTCAGCAATATATTAAAAGATTTAAATCATAAAATATGTCATTCAATTAATATATTTTTATGTTAATTGAGATATACTGATATCTGTAATAATATATTATATAACCTACCCCCCTATGTTGTGTTTAATGTTATAATATGATGTCTACATACTTATAATAGTGTTTACTAATATATTTTGAAAAAGTTTAAACGACACAAGAGCTTGAATGAACAAGTTCAACAGCGTACAACAGCTCATAACAGCTGAAAGAAAATGCCGTAGAATGAGACCAGAAATTATGTTGAAATGTGACCAGAAATTATGCCGTAGAATAAGAAAAATACGGGTGGAACCTCACAAGAATGAAGTCAACACGAGGAACAAAAAATATGCTACTGAAACGTGTGTTCATTCTGCCAAGAAATTATGTACTCAGATGAACAGTATTGACTCTCGCTTCCCTTCCATATATTTTGATGATCTTCTCCTAAAACGAGACAGAAATGAAAGAAATCTGCAAGATTCATCAAAGCTCTCAAGCACACTTGGTCACATTTCTAGCTGTTCAAGCGAGAAAGAGAGATAGAACCATAGACAGAGTCATCTTATTCATTGATTCATTGATCCATATGTGAAGAAAATGCAGATGAAACCAAAAACACACAATTCTGCTCCCGGGCATATCTCTGATCACACTGATCAACGGTTGAAGCATTAACAAAATGCTTAAATCTCCTCAAATCTTTATAAATCACAGAGAAAAGCTCTTCTGTCCCCTTCTAGCGGATGAGGATATAATTTTCATTCAGTGTAAGGTAGAACCCTATGACAGCTGCATCTGAATAAGTGCAGAAAAATGTATTGCTACCAAATTTTGACACCGTCAATAATCGTAAAAAAAAAGAAGCGAAAAGTCAACTCATTAGTGCACACACACAGACTAGATCACCCCGAGAAATGAATGCCCGCCTGGTGGAATAAGGACAGGAGGTACAAGAAGTCCACTTGCGTGAGCTTCGAAGCTCTCTTGTCCATAAAATCTCCCTGCTGGAGTACATCAAGCAACTTTTCCTTGAAACTGGATCCATCGCAACAGCCCCCTGCATCGCCGTCCTCTAGGTCCATGTCCTCATCATCCTTCTCCCCATCCAACTCCATCCCTTGATCCTCAGTCGCACACGCCAAAACAGAGATGTCATCCTCACTCTCCTTGTTCCCATCCACAGAACCCTTCAAGGAGGCCTGCAGAGCTTGAAAAGTCTTGTAATTCTTCTCCAGATGTGTAATAATCGTTTTTTGTCTGAATAAGGAACCCAAGGTCTTGTTCTTCCTGTTGAAACATATCCGTACCAGACCATCCCATTCTTTGAAGCTCACAGAAGGGGGAGGCTTCCTTGGTTCTATTCTGACCACGGAGGAGTCAACCTTGGGCGGCGGCCTGAAGTTGTTGCGACCCACCTTGAGAAGATGATGGACCCTCGCCAGAAGCTGTGTGTTCACTGACAGGCGGCAGTATAGATTGTCACCAGGGTTTGCAACCAGCCTCATTGCAAATTCTCGTTGGAACATGATCACAGCACATCGAAAGGCTGGCCGGTGAGAAAGAAGCTTGAATGTGAGGGGTGAAGAGATCTGATAGGGGATGTTGGCCACACATATGTCGAAGTAGGGCAGATCACACCTAAGAACGTCTCCGTTGATGACCTGAATGATTAAGACGACTATTAAAATTTCAGAAATATTATAATTTATATGGCATGCATGATTATGAAAAAACTACACCTCGTCCTATTAATTTAATTCAAGTATAATTCGATTCTTAGCTAACCCATAATCTACATGGGAATTCATGGGCTAAAAACTCGACTCCATTACTTCTCAGACCCAAATTTCGATCATACATGTATGAAAATAAACCACACCATGTATTTTTTCGATTTAGTTTATCTTACCAACGCTCAAGAAAGTACATACAACGCAATCATTTCGTTAAGAGATCACTATATCTGTCATAAAAAATGCAGAACCTAGATGGGCATACACAGATATTTTGAAGAATTCAATGAAGAGACTCATCCGAATTCATCCAAGCTGTAATGACTGCGGCAAAAGGAGAGATTCCGATGAGGAAGGTTGAAAAATCACACACCTTGAGGCGAGTGGAGTGCGCAGTGCCCTGGAAGCGGCGCTGCAACTCTAGAACCATCCGCGGATCAATCTCGACGGCGACAACGGACTTCGCGGCCTCGAGTAACTTCTTGGTGAGGTTGCCCGTTCCCGGCCCGATCTCGAGGACGACGTCGGTCGGCTTGATACCCGACTTCTGCACGATGGTCTCAACCAGCATGGGGTTCTTCAGAATGTGCTGCCCCTTGGACTTCTCAAACGGCACCCCTCCTTGATAGTGCTGGTGCCCGCCGCCCCCTGTCCCGCCCCGCTTCTGTTTCCGGACTTTCCCTCCCGCCATGCTGACCGTAACTCAGCCCCGAAGAACCGGAGAGCAGCAGACCAGACGAGAGCTTTCAGAGTCGGCGGGGAAGATCCCCTGAGGTTTCCTCCCTTCCCTCTTCTCCAGCGGCGAAGAGACCGGCCGCGTGCAGACGCGAGATTAGGGCTTGCGCTGCGATGTGGACGGACTCCGCGCGGGGTTTTAGAGGACGGGTAACCGGTTCGGACCGTTTGAACCGGATCGGTAGCTCGGACCGGTAACTCAGCCTGGTTCGCCGACTCGATCCAGCATCGTCCAGCCATCTTCCCTCCAACCTCGCCCGCCGCGCAATCTCCGCCGTCCGCCGCTGCCAGCATCTCCCGCCATTTCCATCCATCATCCAGTCGCCATCTTTCAGCCACCGTCTGCCGCCATATCCGCCGCCGCCCGACCCGCCCTTTCCGGACGTACGATTCAACGTCTTACCGGTTAGTGTCAAATCCGTCCGGTTCGTCAACCCGGATTCGTCCGGCCCGAACGACCCACTACGCCGGAACCATTCTGGACCGCCGGGTTCGCACGAGGCCTCTTCGCCGGTCCGAAACATTCTGGGCCGCCAGGTCTGTGCTAGCCTGCCTCTCCTGGTCCGAGCCATTCCACCAGGTCAGCCAGGTCGACCCGGTCAAGGGTCAACATCAAGTCGAATATCCACAAAGTGGGGTCCAACTTCATTATGTCATCTTTAGATGGGTTCACTTATTCTCATAGATGGTGATTAGTGAAGAGTGATAGCTCACCTTTATTTGATTTGTTTCTAATCAATTAATTAATTATAGAACACTCTAATAATTGGTAATTTATTAATTAAATCATTGCATTTGTTCTAAATCTTGTAGTAGAGCACACAATGTTTTTTCTCTAATCAACACTCTTAGATCCTTTGATTTATTGTTAAAGTCAAATTTAGGTTACATATCTAGGATAATTTAGTCATTTCAGTAAATCATCATGTTCTTTTCCCTTTCTCTACTATGGCTTCAACTGTTGTAATCTAGGGTATAATATTATGTTTAGTTGGCGATGAACAAATAGGAATAAAATATTATGACCTAATTGGTTAAGTGAAAGATTGAGGAGCTTGTCTATATAATTCAAGTGATTTACAGTGAGGTGAAAACGAAATAACCCACCAAAAATCATATCATGTCTTCTCAATATGAAATTAATATTTATGACTTATTTAATTATTATATAGCTTTATGCATTTCTAAGATTGATTCCTCAATTCCGGAAATTCAATATATTTGGTTTAGGATGATCGTCTCTGTAAATCAAGAAGCTAGGTTGACATATTTAAGCAATGAAAAAAAGCTGTATAAAATCTTATATTATTTATTGATTATATAAGGTTATTGAAGAGAAATGTACGTTCTGATCATGTAAGTATGTTGCCTATCAAAATAGGTTCTTTAGTAATGGCCCAGATTGATTTATGGAAAAATGAGTTCCAATAGAAATCAATTTAAGGAGAGAAAAATAGGAATTGGATCTATACTCATTATGTGAAGCAGTTCAAAGAAAATTGTAGTGATTAATAATACTTTACGTACCTTAGTAACATTCTTTCAGAGCCCAAAAGAAAAACAAAACGTTTCAGTGTTATAATTTGAATTCAAAGCAGCTAAAGCAATCTAGAGAAGGTTTGGACATAGCTGGCCACCTAATTTTAATATAGGTGTGGATATAGGTTTCAAACTTTGGTTGGTTAGATGTTGGGACAACTATTTATATTAAGCATTCATTCATTCATTCATTCATTAAATGTTCGATTGGTCGTTTGAATCTATGGGATATCCAAAGTGGTTTTTTTTTTATGAGAAAATCTCAAACACTGAAAATCTAGGTAATAATTCCATAATGTCAGGAAAAATATTAATTTAAGCTGGGATAAAATATTATATTTATTTGACAAACCATGTTTTTGGTATGCTGCATTTATTCTTTTTTTCTTTTCAAGTTTTTTGTGATATCCCCCATGGTGAAAAGCACCAACAACATACATCAGATTAGATGAAATTGAACAAGGTTTTCTTGCATGAACTGCATGATATTTGTAAAACTATTCTTAAGCATGTTACCATGATCACTAATCCATTGAATCTTTCCGAAGAACAGCTCGAGCTCAATCCTGCTTGGAACCCCTTTTGTTTTCTCCAACCACACAGATTAATGCATTGAGAGAATTGAAGTACCTTTCTATCTTCCCTTCACTCTCATGAATTCTGAACAAGAGACCCACGGCGGCATATAGATATCACTGGTTAGGGCACTGGGGCGAGATCAGTGGTGCCCTCTCGCAGGCTGCTGCCAAAGAGTATAATATAATAGAACGGCCCTCAATCTCGAACCCACCCAAAAACATGTCTTTATGTGTAGATTTATGGGGATCAAAAATGCAACATTGGTAGAAAGATCATACGACGTGTGCAGATTTTCCAATTATCCCCGGAAATATTAATCGAAAGAATCACTGGACTGCTCTTCTCTCTGATTAGAAAGAGAGAGAGAGAGAGAGAGAGAGAGAGAGAGAGAGAGAGAGAGAGAGAGAGAGAGAAAGAGAGAGAGGACCCGTGGGGACTGCTCTTCTCTCTGATTCCCGGGGTCAAACAGTTCATCTTTGGGAATCAGAGGAAATTTTGGAAATTTTATTTCCCGGATAAAGAAACGGCATGAAAAGGGAGGGGTAAATCGTACAGAATTTTCTTACTGATTCAGATGTATATATGTATTTCAATATTAAAAATTGAGGTCGGGAAATTAAAAAACTGAAGACACCATTCCCCCTGTTCATCTGGATGGTCGAAACCTAACAAGGTCAGCAGTGGTTAGAGGTCTCTCTGCGAAAGTTATGGGCATGGAGGAAGACGCCGTCGAACGGTGGGAAGCCAGCCGCGGAGGGGAACCCTCCCCAGTCACCTGAGGAAGGCCGGCAGGCTGTTCCTTAGCTTTCCCGGCTCCACCTTCGCGGTCGCATCCTTCACCTGTCAGAAGTCGGAGATGGAATCAGCGAGAGCCTCTTCTCTCCCCATATCGGAGCTCGAAGATGGAGATGGACATGGAGATGGAGACCTGACAGTGGAGACTGAGCAGGCCCCTGCTGGTGTTCACGGCGATGAAGGAGGCGTTGACGATGGCGAGGCCCTCCGCTTCCAGGTACTCCAGTACACTACTGACCAGCCCCTTCTTACCTCTTGAGGACGCGCATATCTGGATCGCAATCTCTCCTCCGCCGAGTTCGGCGACGGAGACGAGAGGGGAAACGCAGGCGGCGGATCCGCCTCTGGTCCGCAGGGGATCGCCGTCCTTCTCGCTCGACATCCTCGCGAGGATCTCCTCCTTCTTCCTCGCGAGCCTCTCCACCTGCCTCTGCAGATCCGGCACGTACTCGAGGACCTTTGAGACTGTGTTCGGGATGCTCAGCTTCTTCTGCGGGAGACCAAATCGGAGATCGTTAGCCATCGATCAGCCGGCGGTGGTAAAGAATCTGAGACGATCGGCACCGCCGCGGGGGCGGGGGGAAGAACCTACGCTTTGATCGGACTCCGGCAGGAGGGTGCGGAGGGAGGAGTAGAGGCTGTTCATCTTCTTCCTCCGGTCGCGCTCGTAGGCGTTGTGGCTCTGCTTCCTCTTCATCGTGGAGGACTCCTCCGAGGTCGGCCATGATCGGATGGTCGTCCCCGCCACGCGCGGCGTCGCCGCCACCACCACCGCCGACGGGTAGAACCCGAAGCCCTCCCCCCCGACGAACGTCTCCCCCGGATTTACCTCGCACACGGCGGCGCTGCCCTCCGCTGGCCACCCCATCTCCGGTACGGCGGAGGAGCTCGAGTTGACTCCTTGGAGGCCTGGCGCGGCGTACGGCGGCGACAGAGCCACCGCCTCGCTTTCTACTCACAGTTGGGCAATTCCGCACGCCAAATACCTCCCTCTCCCCGGGGACGAAATAATAAAAAAAACCCTCTTCTTCTTAGAATAACCCAATCGCGTCGCCATGACGCCATATTATATATATTTACATGTATGCATACATACTAGTCTGGCCCACAAGCGAAGGCAGACACAGGCATCAGACGTCCTCGCCGGGCACGTGAAACGCCCGAGCCCCGCGACTCTCGCACGAGCCATCGCGCGCCGCACGAAGGGGCCACACGTGCCCGTGTCGGGTCAGGCTAGTTTTATATTTCCGTAAGAAAAATGAATAAATGTTCTAGAAGAGACGTGGCAGCTTATTCGCCGTTAGTTAGTCACTCTACGGTTAGATTTACTCCTCTCCTCCGTGAGGGGGCCACGCTAATCTTGCGATTAGATCCGCTAAGTACGCTTGTAGTCCACACTCAAAAAAAATCCGCAGAAAATATTTTTTATATATTTTTTCAATTATGGAAGAGAATATTTATCATAACAATTATTATCGAATAAAAAGTCAACGCCCTCCTGTATCAAACTCGTAGGAAAACCCCCCTAATTAGCTCATATGGGAAAAAATAATCTTTAAAAAAAAAGTTAAAAAATTCCCCATGTGGTAATGAAGTCAACCACCACAAAAAGGTCTCCATCATAGTTACTCATAGGTTTTATTTACAATTTCTAGACTAATTTGACCGCGAAAGAGTTGACCCTTGTTATAATCCTCAGGTCCTTCGTTTCATAAAATGTCAACGGTCACCGACAATGAATACATGCCGACCTTTTTTATTGTAAATTCGCCCTTTTTCTCGTCGGCAATGGGGGCCCGGGGGGGGGGGAGTTGATGTCACCGCCGGAGATCAGCGGCGTCCCTGTCGTTTCTTCCCATTTGTCACTGCGGTGACGATATCGTAGACAACCGATTTTTCATAAATTCGCTGATTTGTAGGGGTTTATTTAAATATCGGTTTCTCCGCCGGCCAAATTAAATTAATATCAGAAGGCTGTCATCTGCTTACAAACACCCATCGAGAGGCCGACACGTACCTTTTATATTAAACAAATACTATGATTAAGTAAATTATTTTAATTCAAAATTTTTGAACACATAATCTCTCTCTCTCTCTCTCTCTCTCTCTCGCGCGCGCGCGCAAAATGATTGGGAATTTGTAGAGGAGAAGCCAACTTTCAATCTCGCACAGGGCTAGGCTTCATGGAAGAGCAACCTGATTCATATTGGGCCTCTCTTAGGCAACGCCACGCTTCATGGGTATGGGCCTTAGGAAATACATATACTCAAACCACAATTATAATTTTAAATATGCCCCTACGTTTTTCATAAATCTGATGAACTTATACTTCTGAATTCACCATCGAACCCGAACTTAATCGAAATTAGATACAAGGGTTTTCCATATGTTGGGACTCTTCTACCTAGGTTTATTTTTACATTTTCAATGAAATGTAAGAAAATAAAACACATTTTTATTTTATAAAATACTCCACCTAAATAAATGGCCGATGATAATGTGTAAAAAAAAAGAGAAGAAAGCCTTTTTTCTATTATAATTGAGGAAAATATTCCATCATGTAAATCATATAAATCACAATATATACTAACATTGGAATTATCCCCCGCATTCCACAACACAAGAGATAATGAAGGTGAATGGAGAATGACTTTCATATTATAGATTTATAGAAGGACTATAATATAAAATCCCCCCCCCCTTCTCTCCTCCCCCTTCCTTCCTCTCATCCCCCGGCCAGGGCTCCATTTATTCTGGGTTTCTAAGCCCTCACACTCTCTCTCTCACTCTCTACATCCGCGGGGACGATGCCAGTGCTGCCGGCGTCGATCGCAGGGGGAGCTCACCTCGCCGGCGAGGCTGCCGTCATCGCTGCCGCCGCCGTTCTCTCCTCGTACCTCTCTCTTCCGTCGAGGCTCCTCGAGGGTGTCCACACGTACATCCACCCCGATAACATCGGCACCGGGGACGGGCTCCGCGCCGCCATACGCCAGCCCTCCGACGATGCCTCCTCGACGGAGCAGCCGCAGCTGAAGCGGAGGTCCAGATCGGAGAGGGACGGCGGCGCCGTCAAGGGAAAGTCCCCCTTCGACGAGTCTGGCGCTCAGCTCCTCCGCCTCCGGCTAGTCGATTCCCACCTTCGCACCCGCCTCTACTTCCCAGAGTACCGTCGGAGCTTCGTCTCCAGCATTTCTGCGGTCTCTTGCCTCCTCCTCGGCATCTTCCTCTCCCGGAGAAGCTCCTCCGATTCTGATCCTCCGTCGGTGGCTGAGGCGGCCGTCCCGGTCTTCTCGTCGCTCTTTGCAGCGGCGCACGTTTTCTCGTCCCTCGCCAAGGTCTCGTTCGAGCGATCTGCCACAAAGAGGTCCGAGAGGCAGCTCGCCGCTCTCTCCGGATTCATCGGATTTGTCTCCGCGCTGCTGATTCGGTACATTTTCTCTCCCTCGATCTTCGACTTCCGATTCCCCGGCGGCGCCGTCGGGTTTTGGGGGATCACGTCGTCTGCCCTAGCGGGGTGCCTGGCGGGGTTTCTGTTCGTGCCGGCGATCAGAGCGGCCCGATCTCTGTGGCTGGGGACGGATCAGCTCCGATGGAACCTCGACGGCGCCATGTCCTCCGGCAAGATCTCCCCCATCCTCTTGTCCGCCGCATTCGTCGCCGGCGTGGTCGCTCCTCTGATGTGGATCAAGCCGATTGTGGATTTCCCTGCGAGGAACTCTTCTCCTGCGAAATTCGACCAGTTCCGGATCTGGCTTCTCGCCGCATCTGCCACCCTGCAACTCCTGGCTGTCCGCCCTAACTTGCAGACCTACCTCAACGAGGCCGTGCTCTCCTGGTACCAGATGCTACACTCGAGCAAGATTCCCGACTCGGACTTCGCGCGAGCCAAGGTCTTTCTTCACAACCACAACCTCTGCCTGGTGGTCCTCCAGTTCTTCGCCATACCAGCGTTGGAGATGTTACTCCTAGGAATTTCTCAGACGACGGCTCGCTCATCCGGCGGGGCTCTTCTCCCCGATTTTGCTTCTACCGCGAAGGAGACGGCTCTGTTCTTCGCGTGGTGGATCTCGTTCGTCTGGGCGATGTACACCATTTCCACGCTCGCGCTCCTCCGCTGCGGGTTCTTGCTCATCTCGTGATCGATCTTCTGCGCTTCTCAGTCGAGGTCATTCCTTCCCGATTCTTCATTCTATTTCTTTCACAGGAAGATTGTTCTTCATCTCAGATGGGTGATCATGGCGCTCCAACCTTCTCAAATCTCTTCCCCCGCCGTGGTTCAGAGATCAAGCATCTCTTATGAAAAACCTCCTTCTGTCTTAGAATCATGCACAATTTCCCAAGATAGAAATTATTCGTTTTCTTTATCTCTTTCTCTTCTTCTGCTCTGTGTTCATGATTCTTCTCAACCATTTTTTTATTTTTTATTTTGGATAAATTCTATTACATACTTGCTTTTTGCTTTTTGTTAGCAATCTATCTATTTGAATGGGTTATTTTTTATTATATTTTTTCTATAAAATCCATTTTTTTTGGGTGGAACCTTCCAATTATCTGGAAATTTGGCTTTTAATTCCGCGGCCCAAACCCGGAGAAACTGGGCCGGGCCGAATGACGCTCACAAAGGCGGGGCCTGTCAGCTTTGGGAAGCCCATCCTCTCTCTCTCTCTCTCTCCCTCTCTTTCTGACGCCGTCATCTTTGAAAAGACCGATCTCGATGCCCGCGCTCATCCTCCCATCTGGTCTCTATCTCTCTCTAACGCCGCCTTTTTGCCGTCAGTCTATGCAATGATCCCCAGAACCTTCTTCCTTCCTTCCAGAAGGCCGACCCTTCTCCGGTCACGGCAATAAAGACGGCGGCCGGAAATATCTCGCCGCGGTAAACGGGGAGTTCTTTGAGGACTTGGAGGAAAAATAAAACCAGTAGGAGGACTGGAGTGAAATAGTATCGTTTACTCTTACTAAACCACGTTATCTAGGAGCTAGGCAGAGAGCTCTCTTTATAGGCAATAATTATTTCTTGGTCTTGTAGAGGGAAAATTGTATTTGTACCCAAAAGAGGAATTTATAATATATGTGGGTACAAGTGCAACGTATCATGTCGGGGGGGGTGGTAGATAAATTTTCTTCTTCGCTCAGACTGGCGCGGGATTCCCCCAACGGTTGGCACGTGTTCATAAGAGGTTTCCTGGAAACTTCTGGAAGAAGTTCTTCTTCCTCCCCGCCCGGCTGACTCAACTCATCGTTGATGCTTCCTTCGATTGTTGCCAAAAACTTCTAGAAACTTCATATATTCCCCCTCTCTCTCTCTCTCTCTCTCTCTCTCTCTCTCTCTAACAGCAGGAGAAATAATTTCCGGGGTTCTTCGATGTTGTCTCTCCCTGGCTGATCATTGTCCGGAGAGGAGGCCGGAAGGACGGGGCATGGCGGCGCCGGCGGAGCAGGCGGCGGAGTTGGCGGCGGCGCTGCCGACGCCATTCCTCACGAAGACCTACCAGCTCGTCGAAGATCCGGCCGTTGATGACGTGATATCTTGGAACGAAGACGGCTCCACCTTCATCGTCTGGCGGCCGCCGGAGTTCGCCCGCGACCTTCTCCCCAAATTCTTCAAGCACAACAACTTCTCCAGCTTTGTCCGTCAACTCAACACCTACGTGAGATAGTCCCCTCCTCTCTCTCCGCTTCTTCTTCTCCGGCGGCCATCTCCGCCTCTCCTTCGTCTGATAGCGAGTTTCTTGTCCGAAATTAGGGTTTCCGGAAGGTGGTAGCGGACCGGTGGGAATTCGCCAACGAGTGCTTCCGGCGGGGGGAGAAGAAGCTCCTCTGCGACATCCACCGCCGGAAGGTCCTACTGCCACCGACGGCCGGCAGAGCCGTGGCCACCGCCTCTTCTCCGGCGGATTCCGGCGAGGAACCGGCCGCCTCCTCCAACTCGTCCCCCGGCAGCGGCGGCGGGGGGACGGCGGCGACGGATCTGGCGGAGGAGAACCACCGCCTTAAAAGGGAGAATGAGAAGCTCAGCCGTGAGTTATCGTACCTCCAGGGCCTCTGCGACGACATCTTCTGCCTCATGTCGAGCTACGCTGCCCAGAAGCAGCAGCAGGAGAGGCGGCGGCCGGATAACGGGTCGACCCGCCTCGCCGGGGAGTCGGACGAGGCCGGCCCGAGCCGGGAGGGCCGAGTCAAATCGGAGGACCAGGAGGGGCACAACCCTCGGCTCTTCGGGGTCCCGATCGGCGCCAAGCGCGCGAGGGGCTGCCCGTCGGCGGAGGAGAATCCCGAGCAGGCGGACGCCGCCACCGGCGGCGGCGGCGGGTTTCCCCTTCCGACCCAGCGAGTCTAAATCGCTTGAAAGCGAGTCAGCACGGGTGCGTGCTGGCTCCCACACAGATTTTTTTTCCTTTTTTTTTTTTAATTGTAGTCATCGAACAAGGTCGTCCCTTTCAGTCAGAATCCGCCAGCTCGTAGCCGCCGCAAGGCGGTCCAACCCCCTTCTAGAGTCCTCTCGCCGTTGGTTCCGGGAAACGCTTCTCAGAATGCGTTCCACGGCAACACAATCTAGTCAGTTGCTCGTAAATCTATACAGACATCTACGGACCACGGCACAAGGTGGTGGCGCCGGCGCTTCCCCTGGCGAGCTCGTTCCGGCGGTGAGGGCAGGCGGCCTTCATCTGGAGCCACTCGTCTATGCAGGCGCCGTGGAAGCGGTGGCCGCAGGGGAGGCGACGGATCACGGCGCCGTACTCATAGGCGGACCGGCAGACGCAGCACACCTGCCAGCGGGGAGCCACCAGAATCCATTCCAAGAATGAATGCGCGAGATTTTAAACGATGGAGGAGAGAGCAATGATCGCAATTTCTTCCTTCTTACAGCATGATCCGGAGAGAGATGATGTTCTGCGGTGGGGGCTCCGCCGCCGCCAGATTCCGTCATCACTCCGCCGAGTGGGCCCTCCCTGGCGCCGCGTGGAGCTCTGAATTTGTACCTCGGGAGCAGCCGGATGGCTTCATCTGTCGCCCCGCCCTGTTCGAATGAGACAGAACAATCATGGTGACTATATATAGATAATGTAATCACAACGACTTTATTCCTGCGAATTATTTTTCTTTCTGGGTCCACAATGTTCTCTGTTGACTTCCCCCGTTGACCCCATAAACCTTTCCAAGGTTTCTGGAACCATTAATGGCTGCCTGGTTTCTCTCCCTAGCTGAAGACGGCCGCCAGATTCTCAGGATAATTCGCACCAATGAAGACATAATATATATATATATATATATATGTATATTTAATTTTTTCCGTTCTCTCTCTCTATTTTTTGTGTCTATTCATCTGAGAGTATTCTCGATCGTAGGACAGCGTAGTCTAGAAATAAATATGGAAAGTAATGGCAAGACAATAAAGAAAGCAAGTGGTATTACCTGATCTGGCATAGCGTATGAACTTGCGACGGTACTTGGCGAATAACAGCTGACAGCAATGCCGAAGAGGCAGGCCAGAGCGACAAAGAAAACTAAATAGAATATATCAAATGCCAAGAAGACTATGCAAAGCCTGCAAAACACGGCCAATTGGGGAACAAGAAACAGCTAAAATAAGATAAAAAGACTCGAGGAATCGCAGTGAAACCAAAAATGCAAAGGCATTTGGCAGACCAGTATAGCAGGGTGTGTCATGTGTCAAGTCTTGCCCACCAGCAGATAGGCAAAGTACAGAGATCCACCGTACAAATGGCCATATTTTGCGGATGGGCTCTAGGTGCTTTGTAATCCTGTCACAAAACGAAAACTGGTTCAGCGCTTTTAGTTGCACCATGCGAGAGAAGTAAAATCAATTGAGAATGTCTATTGAATATTAATCATAAGCACAGGCATTCACAGCACAAGTGCCTAGAACTTATTCTGGAGCAAACAATGCGTCAGATAACATTCATTGATGCTGATGCAAAATGACTTAATACTTCAGTTGAGAAAAAGCCACGCTGTTATGTTCGATGACTGACAAGATGAACTATAAGACACATTCATTTGAAAAAAAAAAACAACCGCCAAATCGTCATAATCGGCGGAAGGTTCATTCATTTTGACACCAGAGATTTTATTTTTTCATAATCTCTATTTTTTTATGAGTTCAAAATTCATACTTAATGACGAAACTGAAAAAGATAAGATGGCTTGAAAACTTGGAACAAATTAAAAGTTACTGGAGATAGGTTCACAATCAAACCAAACATGTCAGCGAGCTTAGAAAAGGGTTCTCAATCTTCATAATCGGTGGAAGGTTCATTCATTTTGACACCAGAGATTCTATTTTTTTATGAGTTCAAAATTCCTACTCAATGACGAACCTGAAAAATATAAGATAGCTTGAAAACTTGGAACAAATTAAAAGTTACTGGAGATAGGTTCACAATGAAACCAAACATGTCAGAGAGCTTAGAAAGGGTTCTCAATTAGTGATTATGTCTCCAGTACAATGACAATGAATGGAGATCAATTTGGTGGCATGGTAGAAAAAATAGACAAGCATGAGCGTTGAACTTTTCACTGTCATATGTACCATTATATAGTCGGCAGAAATGTTAAAAAGAAAAACGTAATAACAGGGTATAAATTGAAAGGCAAAGCAATGCATTTGCTTTATCTTCAATAGTATGAATCACACACCTAGCATTCGTCTGTAATGCAGTTAAGCCGTTTGCCCCACTACCCTTGATGAGTGATTCTCTCTTTGATAGCTAAAAAGCATAAAGCAATCGAATTAATTAGGAAGCAAGATAAATTAATTTTGAAGTGATTTTATTAGGAGTAAGTTCTGGGACTGATTTTATTTTATCGGCAAAAATTAGATCCCCTTGATATAGAAATGCTGCTTCAAGCTGGATCGATTTGTTTCCACGGATATCATCCAGGATGTTGGTTCATGACATATTGCCACCAGCTTTCTTCGCTATATAGTGCTGTCTGAAGTTCTCTAGTCACTTGGGTCGGTCAGTACTACAATTCCATGCTAAGTCAAAGCCAACCAAGCAAAGTTTAGATGGTTTTTGTGTGATTCCACACTACGATGATGCACCATTATCACAGCACGGTGGTGATCTTCAACACTTTTCCGTGAACACCAACTACATCTGCATGATGCAGTAATTTTCTTGTAATTCTCCAGGGACTTGTGTCAATAAGCACTGAGATCTCAAGGTAAGTTGATACTAACCACACGAGGTTAATACTTATTTTTATTTTTCTTGCGTATCTCAAGAATGTCCTCAACAAGATGATTGATAAAGAGGCATATGAAGTAAGATATCTTGGAAGTTCTATTCTCACGGAATTTACCTCTTATGCTGAAACGTATCTTGTTGGAGGACGAACACGAAACAATCGAAACACTACCCTCAGTGTTCCAAAAAACGTGCAGGAGAAGGTTTTTTGGAACACTGAGGGTAGTGTGCCGCTCCTCCATCTCCGTTTCCCTCATATTCTGAGAGGCTTCCGGCATCAGTCGGCGGCTGCTCACCGGCCCCGGCCGTCTCCTTCGCCTCATGCTACGCACCCGATCGTCTCCCCCCAGCAACAGAGCCGCGGTGCCGACGCCAACCTCCCCGGGGGGGGGGGGTCGACGACCTCGCCGCCATCAGCGTCGGATCCTCTCCGGTAACAGCAGCAGACAGAGAGAATCCGGGAGAACCGAGGCCCCTACGGGGACTCTACCCGAAGGACGGGAAGAAGGGAAGGCTACTTGCCGTTTTATGGGCCTCCCTGCCGTTTTCCCGGACGCTTCTGCGATAGTTGATTCCGCTCCAGACGGCCCGACTGCTCCAGGTCCGTCCCCAACGTGGCGGTATTCCTGCCTCTTTCCACGTGGCAAGGGGGTAGTGGTTAGGGCCTCAACAAAATACCGGAGGAAATCCGAACGTGCAGCTGACGGGACCCACCCAGAGACGGAGGTCTGAGAGAGAGAGAGAGATTGGGCGAGGGAAAACATTGTCAGAGGTCCCGGGTTCACAACCGCCGGAGACCTAGCCGTCGTCCCTATAAGCCTCTTCGTCGCCGGAGAGACGGAGAGAGAGTCGTTGCCCTCTAAGGTGAATGCAAGAGGACTGTTAATTGCAGAGACGGAGAAACGGATGCATTGTTATTATATACATGACCCACTGTCGGGTCGGATTCATCTTAACGGGTTCATCATACTAGACCCGAACCAACTAGTACGAGATAAAATAAATAATTACAATTAAACAAAAGAAAAGATTGTTACTAGAGGGAGTGAAGATGGGAAGGTAATGGAAAGGTAATTGAAGATCCCTCATAGGGATCTTCAATGCGTTGTTACTAGTGAATACCTCTAATGGAGGATATAAGGTATTCTGACTACCCCTCCATGATCTCACCCCTTTCTAACCTTAATGGGCCGTTCTTCTTCAGTCTTAATAAGATGTTACCAACTATTTAAACCGTGGTTTCCAACCCATCATCAAGATCTTTCTCATGGGTCGGTTGAGATTCTTTGTGATATGAAAGAGAGAACAAAACAGGTGTCTTAACAATATTCTCTCTTATAAGTTTCACATTGGCTTCAAAGTGATAATTAGGGAATTGCCAACATATGGTTTAGGCCGACGCTCACGTGGCCTTCAAGTTGGGCATCTCTTACTTTGATGAGAACTTCTGGCCTTTATGACTCATGTCATATGCTAGGACTTCAGACAATTACATGACCCAAGTTAAGTCTTTGTCCAACATTAGTGGGCTAATAGAGCTTGAGGAGGTTGAGTTGTCAACCTTCTTGAGTTGTGAGACAAGCAACTCAAGAAATGGATACCTAAAGTGGCCATAAAGTTCAATTAGTAAACCATCTACCTAATATGCTTGAGAATCATAAATGGGTCTAAGTAATAAGATGCAGGATTTTCATAGGGTCTCATCACTAAGGACTTCTATCAATACAAACGAAAATATAGGTATATGAGGTCTAGCTACTTGTGGTCAATGTAGGCCTTCATGTGAGCTTGAGCCCTTGTCGAGTGTTGCTTGAGTTAATCAAGGGTTGTGTCATGCCCTCAAAAGAGCTAGTCAAAATTGCTTGATTTTATCAAAAGAACCTCATATTGAAGGAGTACTGACAAGTCACACCCATAGACAACTTTCAATGTCAAAGTTCTTGTAGAATATTTGAAATTAGTATTGAACTAAAATTTGACTTATGTCAACTATATGTTTTTTGACATGGTCAGTCACTAGCAAAATAGGAAAAATAATGAAGGATCTGATGAGGATAAGTGAAACACCAAGAGAGAGGGGGTGGAGGGGGTCAATTGATTTCTTAATGTTTATGTTATATTTTATTTTATCTATAGGTGAATGTATTTACATAGGTTCTCACATAGTTTTTTAGTCCTAAATATGGCTTTACTTATGACTCTATTTCTCTCTACTCAAATTTCCAATCAATTAACTTGTCAACACTAAGGAAATAGAGATTTTTTATATTGATTCGTTCCTCACTTGACTACTTTATCTTAGATAAATCTTTTTATCATAGTTCACTATTTACTCCTTGAAATACACATAGATTTCACAAGATCAACAACCAAACTACACCAAATCTTAAATACAAGTGAATTAATTTCTTAATATTTATGTTATATTGTATTTTATCTGCAAGTGAATGTGTTGACATAGGTTCTCACATAGTTTTTTAGTCCTAAGTACGGGTTTACTTATGACTTTGTTTCTCTTTACTTAAGTTTCCACTCAATTAACTCGTCACCACCAAGGATATAGGGAATTTTTATATTGATTCGTTCCTCACTTGGCTACTTTGTCTTAAATAAATCTTTCTATCGTATCTCACTATTTACTTTGTGAAATACACATTGATTTCACAAGATCAACAACCCAACTACACCAGATCTCCATAAGGATCACATCATTTTTGAACACAATCAAGCTCTCAATATAAGATGTCTTAGTCCATACACACTAGTCTCCTAAGAAAATCACATTTTTCATGAGCACTATCAAGCTCTCACCACGTGTCTTAGCCCAAACCTTTCTCTACTCACCACCCAAGTATCTTAGGGCCCAAAAGAGAGTCAATCTTTAAAGTGAATGTTGAAACTTTCAAATCTTTGTTAAAACTCACAATGGATGAATCATTGATAGATGGAGAAGAATATTTCTCATAACATGAATGATAGTTGTGGAGGTGTCTTCATTTAATATTAATTCTTCTTCTTTACAAACTTCTTCCTTTATTCTCAACATTCTCTTGTCTTTTCATGTCTTGGAAAGTGCTCACATGTGAATTTAAATATCTTCATGTAACTTCATCGATGTCCTAGTAACTTTTGTTCATTCTTTTCTTTGAAACTTGTTATTCTCATATCTATTATATTTGAGACTTTGTTTGAAGATTTGCAACCCATCAACATAAATTTTTACTTTCAAGATCTAGCTCAAATAAGGTCATTAAGCTTGCCATTATCTTTACGTATTATGTCAACATGTTACCATTTAGAATGTATTGCAATAATTTTTGCTTTTTCTTTACTTTAAAGTTGTTATTCTCACATCTACGATGTGTGAAACTTAACCTAGAGATTTGTGACTTATCAACAATTATTTTTTCTTTTGGGGTTGAGCTTAAATAAGTCCATTTGGTTTATCATTATCTCCACATGTTATGTGTCATCATCTAGAATGCACAGCAAAGATTTTTTTTTATTCATGAATTTTTAGTAACTTTTCACATATGCTTCAAATTTTTCATTGTACAAGTCTAAAACTTGCTTGAGACATTGATGCTTTGTCTTTTTTCTTTCGTATTTATTTACTTTCCTTTACAACGTGTTATCATTTAGGTTTCAATTTCAAGTATTGTCAATGACTTTGTTTCTTTGTGATTTTTAGGCATTTTACTTATTGAGACTTCCATCTTTTCTCCACTCAAGTCTTGAGTTCAAATCATACCCCTAACTTAATATTTCTTAATGTTCTGTGTTTTTCTCATTAGGGCTTTCAACTTTTCATTGCTCAAGTTCTGAGTTTGAATCTTGTAAGTAACTTCATATTTCTTGATTTTTCAAAAAACTTATCACAATGTGTTACACCTGATTTTATATACTTATATAAAAAAATTATGAAGATGTATTAAATTTAAGATATGAGCTCATTTTATTCATTTGTTAGTCATATGATTATTCAAACATCTTCAATATATGTTTTGAATATTTCTTAGATATATTAAACTTCTAACTTGTGTCTTCATGAAATCTATTTAATTAATACATATTTAGTAAATATTTTGTAAATAAACTTTCACTTGAAGTATCAAAGCCAAAGGCATCAATAGATGTCTCCACTTACTTAGCACCCTCAAGTAGATGGTCAATTGATTAACCACTTTGGACTAATTATCTACTTAAGGATGGTAGAAAAAATACTCATGAAGATCTTGCTACAAAGTGATGATTAGATTCAAACATCCATGTAGCTGAACAATGTCTCAATTAAAAATTTGGACTATATCCTTTGTTGTGAATGAGTGTTGGAGAAGAGAAAAGTTAAAATATTTACTTAAATGATTCACCATGACTAGGATCGCACTGAAATCATCTAAAGTGAGTAACTCTTCAATAAAATTTATAGTTAAATCATTTTAGTTTCTCTCTAAAGTTGACATAGAGGATGTAAAAGATTAGTAAAAGAGAGTGACCTAAATTTTTTCTAATGACAAATTGATCAATCACCTACATACCTCTTGATGTAGTTCTTTATGTCATTCCATCTCAAATTTTACTCAAGGTGAAGATAAATCCATAGAAATCTAAAGTGTCTATTAATTCCCCAGTTGTGAAACTCTTTTCGAAGGTTTAGAATTAGTAAAGAGTTCTTGGAGATCATCAATCACTCACAATCATATAGGTGGCCTTGTTGGAGTGAATAATTTGATAAGTTCTCTAGATTGAGTGAAAATTAATTAATAATGATTGCAAGTTAAACATCATTCTAATTTTTCTATAAAACTCAAGCCAAATCAATCAATTTTCATTGAGATAATTATATAGCTTGTAGTCAAGTTTGATATGAAACTCTTGATGAGGTATTTGTGGTTTTGTATTTAATCTCAAAATCAAAGTTAATGAATTTAAGCATCATTTTTAATAATCAAGTGATGTGACTAAATCATTGTATAATAAATCATATAAATCTAAAATTTATAAAACTAGAAAATATCAATTTTTAGATTTTAAGAAGTATTTCAATACAAATATATCAATTATAATCTAATTAAATACTCTAAAAATAGTGAGATTTTTTAAATCAATCGTAAGGATGTAATATAATACTAGATAATATTTTATATATTTTTTAAAGAACATGATTTTTTATAATTTCTAAACTAAACAATGAAGATAAAATCTATTTAAAATTTTATTAAAAACTGAAATTCACTTTTTAAGAATCAATTAAATTCTTCACCATTAATTACTGCTTTAAACTTTCTCAACTTGTGAAAGGTCTTAAAGTAAGCTCTGTTCCAATTGGGAAAAGTTGACTATATGTCTCTGTGTGTGTAGAGTGTAGAGAGAGAGAGAGAGAGAGAGAGAGAGAGAGAGAGAGAGAGAGAGAGAGATTTAGAAAGTGTTAAATTGAATTAAAGGGGCTGTTTCTCTAAAGACGACGTCTGAATGCCGGAGGTCGGCAGGGCGGAAAGTTAAAAACCCTGACCCTGCCTTCTCGTTTCCCGCCGGTGAACACAAAACCCGCGAAAAGTTTATACGAGGGAGGAAGCCCCATGGCGTCCTCCTCAGGTCCTCCCTCCTCGAACAGCAGTGGCGGCGGAATTGGCGGCGGCGGAGGCTACGAAATTCCGTGGGTCGAGAAGTACAGACCCACCAAAGTCTCCGAAGTCGTCGGCAACGTCGATGCCGTCTCCAGGCTCCAAGTCATCGCTCGAGATGGGAACATGCCCAATCTCATCCTCTCCGTAAGCTTCACTACTCTCTCTATCGTTCCTACGACTGGAGATTTGGGTTCTAAGAAGCTGTTCCCGTGGTTCCTCAGGGCCCTCCGGGAACCGGGAAGACAACCAGTATTCTCGCCCTCGCCCACGAGCTTCTCGGCGCCAACTGCAAGGAAGCCGTCCTCGAACTGAACGCCTCCGACGACAGGTAAGAAGAATTAAAGAGCGATCGAATTAATTCGTCCGCACGATTCGACGACTCTTCCTGCTTCGTTGTATCGCCAGGGGGATCGATGTGGTGAGGAACAAGATCAAGATGTTCGCCCAGAAGAAGGTGACACTACCTCAGGGTCGGCAAAAGCTGATTATCCTGGACGAAGCGGATAGGTATTGTTTCTGATTTCGGCTTCTGTTTCTGGCCTGGGCCTGTATATTGATCCTGAGAAAAATGCCTCTGTGGTGATTGCGGGGGGGCGTGAAGCATGACATCAGGAGCACAGCAGGCTCTTCGGAGGACCATGGAAATATACTCGAGCACCACTCGGTTTGCCCTGGCATGCAACACTTCCTCGAAGATCATCGAGCCCATCCAGAGCAGATGCGCGCTAGTCCGCTTCTCGAGGTTATCAGATCAAGAAATCTTGGGCCGCTTGATGGTGGTGGTTGACGCTGAGAAGGTAGGAGGCATTGCGCTCATTTTCTCTGGCCTCTTTTAGACGTTATTTCTCAGGCTGATTTGAGGGCTGTGGAGATGTGAAGTAACTATGTTAATTGTAATTGGTTATCCATGTAGATGCCTTCCTTTCATCCAAATAAATGAATCTCTCCGTTGCCATTATCTATGTATGTTGGAGCTTTTTGATATCCCTAACATGAATACTAAACCTGAGGTATATCTTCAGTTCAAACTTTTTAGGCCTGCAACTAGTCGTACAAATTCAAAAAATCTGATCCTTGTTTGTTTTTTTTTTCATTTTAGTGTTTCAGCCATATTCTTCTTTGCTAGGTTGTGAATTTTTCTTTGTCGAATAAAACCCACAAAAAGAGAGCTGAATAATCAAGTCCAGGTACTAAGATTGGTCAATAATTCACTCATCGTACTCTAGTTGACCGATTTTTGGTCGAATTCACTCAAATGAAGGTGGAATTAATGGCTTTTTGGACGTCTCCTCTGGACGCACAGTGGAAAGAGAAGAAAATGGAGAGGAAAGAGGGCTGCCCACTCCTGCTATTGCCTACCCCTGCTGTCAATAGCCCCTGCCAGAGTTGAATCTCCCACTGGAAAATGAACAGCATCAGGGTACAAAAGCTGTAATTGGTCTCTTCTATTTTTATTCTTTCAGGATATGTGTAGTCTCCTTTAAAAGATGACTTGAGCCTAATGAGGCCGTCCCAAATCCAGTGAACTTTACTAGGTTGTATTCCCGCGGCTCATGTGATGCATCACTTATAAAAAAATGCAAGTCCAGTAGATTTTACCAGGTTTGACCAAGTTATAGGTGATTAAGAATCCCATTCATATGACTGTTTGTTTAAATAATTATGTTAGCAGTTTTAATGCCTAGGATTTGCAAAGTTACCTGGTGAATCACTGGCTTTTAATTCCATTCTAGTGGTGTGAATCTATCTTGGTTCTTAATCTCTATGATTTGTAGTAACCATTAATCTCATTTGGTCGGCTCAAGCCGACCATTAATTCCTACAACTTTACTTTTCGATTTCTTAAGAAATCGGTATAATTGCACAATGTACTCCAAACTTTCTAATGGTTCAATCAATCTTTGTGAGATGAACCGAAGGCGGTCTTTGCTCTCAATGCTGGGAATTTTCCGAGCACGATTAAACCTGTTGAGAAGCAATCTGTCTCCCTCCTGTTCATAGAACTAAAATTTTCCAGATCCAGACGTTTAATAGGAGTTCTCGCATTATCTATTGTTGGCTTTGCTGAATAGTTTATGGTTACTTGATCCCAGGCCAGAGCTTTGCATTTTATTTAACCAGTGTTTTTAGAAGTTGACTTTAATGCAACGAGTGGGTTGAACTGGTGATGGGATTCACAATCATCATGAACTCATCTCCTGTGGGGACCCCTTACATCTTTAATGTGTCTTTCCCTCTTCTAAGCTCAATACCATTACGATGTTTGATAGTTGCATGTCCCTCTTCTGGGTGACTCTGGGGATTCCCAAACAGCAGACTTTTGGGATGCCACATGAGACTAATTAAGCACCATGTGGTTCAAACCCTAGTTTCTGAATGAAATGAAAATCATTTGTTTTCTCTTCTCCCAAGATAGATCGATACCATTTGGGGGATAAGTATTGCATGATCCCCTCCAATCCTAAACTGCTTCATGGAACCTTTTCTCAGCCAACTATTGGGGAAAAAAAAGGCAGGCTGCCATGAACTGAGCTACCTCAGAACAACTTACTGGGGGCTTGGGTGCTTCTGTCCCATAATTCCTGGCTTCCCACTTAGCTTTCTAGGGATGGACTCTTGTGCCTGAGAAATGAAAGAGCGTGGCACACTCTTTAAAGTGCCACTTCAGCGCCGGTATCCCATTCTTATGACGCTAATGATTATCTGATGCATCTTGACTACCTTGGCTAGAATAATGAATTTAGGGATATAAATGATCCTAAATTCTGGTTTCAGAGCAACATAGCAGTCATTTTTCGCTCTCGGAAGTTCTTCATTCGATTCCCTTCGTTCTGCGCAAAGTCTTCTCCATGCTGTTCTTCATAGCTGAAGCATCAAGGGATCCCCCGGTTCTTTGGTTTTATTATTATGAACAGCTACAATATCTCTCGGTTTTATCTATTTAAAGGAAGAAGAAAGAATGATAATTTCTTGAGATCCATTTCATTTCTTTCCTTTTTCGGCAGACCTTTTAAACCAACGCTTGGACCTGGATCACCCCCTGAAAATTCTTCAAGAACAGTCGTCTTATTTTATCTTTATTCACTTTTTAGTATATAAATACATTGGGACTTGTCATCCGTTCCCTCAGCTTCCATGAGACAATTGCCAGGTTCCCTACGTACCAGAAGGTCTAGAAGCCATTATATTCACCGCTGACGGCGACATGAGGCAGGCTTTAAACAACTTGCAAGCTACATATAGTGGCTTCCGGTTCGTCAATCAGGAGAATGTGTTCAAGGTAAAAAGTAAATAAAAATAAAATAAAATAACCAGAAATATTCACCAGCCCACTTTCCTTCAATTACTTCGTTCTTTTTTTTTTTGTATCATTTTCCCAACTTATTTTTTTCAGGTCTGCGATCAACCTCACCCACTGCACATTAAGAATATGATCCGAAACGTGATAGAGGGGAGGTTTGACGATGCCTGCGTGGGTCTGAAGCAGCTCTACGACCTCGGTTACTCGCCAACAGATATCATCACCACCCTATTCCGGGTCATCAAGAACTACGACATGGAGGAGTATCTGAAATTGGAATTCATGAAGGTAGCGTTCTCATACGGATCGATCTCGTTCCTGGTTCCTTTCATTTTAAATAGGTTTTTCTTTTCTTTTCTTTTCTTTTTGTGACATTGGAGTTCTTGAATGTCGCATTCTCATATGGATCAATGCTTTTCTTGGGCATGTTTTATTTGCCCTTGACCTTGAAACTGGAGTTATTAGCTGGAACTTAATTCTATCCTTTGACTTTGAATTTGGAGTTCATGAAGGTATCATACAGATCAATATCGTTCTTTGGCATCTTTTACTTGAGCCTAGTATACCTTTGACTTTGAAATTGGAGTTATTAGCTGGAACTTAATTATATCCTTTGACTTTGACATTGGAGTTCATGCTGGTAGCATGCTCATACTGATCAATACCGTTCTTGGGCATGTTTTATTTGAGCCTAATTTATGTTTGACCTTGAAATTGGAGTTATTAGCTTGAACTTAATTCTATCCTTTGACTTTGAAATTGGAGTTCATGAAGGTAGTATGCTCATATGGGTCAGTCTTGCTGTTGGGTTCCTTTTTATTTCAACAAAGTGTTTATCTTTGACTTTAAATGAGAGCACACAGGAGACCGGGTTCGCCCACATGAGGATCTGCGACGGCGTGGGCTCGCTGCTGCAGCTGTCTGGACTCTTGGCGAAGCTGGCTCTAGTTCGTGAGACGGCGAAGCCAGCTGGATCATTTTGATGTGCTGCTGTATGCCCCTCCTGCTGCTCCCCAATTAGACGACCTCTTGAAACTCCTGCTAAAACGCCTAGTTTAGGGGGAGACTTCTCCTTTCTAGATTCCCCTCATTTATCTCGAGTTCAGACAAACAGGGGAACATCCACCCCCCTTGGATGCATTACCTTCTCTCTCTCTCTCTCTCTCTCTCTCCCTCTCCCCCTCCCCCTTCAAATAGACGGATGATCTTCAGTTAATCTAGTATATATATATATGGGCACAAGTTTACATGGATCAAACCCTGATCTCTGAATCACACTGCTGCTCTCTATGGCAGCTTCTCCTGCTCCAGAATATACCGGAGCAGCTGGCCCTCTCGAGCCGCCCGCCACCGTCGATCTTACCACCCTCGGCGGCGTCGCTCTCTGAGCCCCGAGGCAGCCTTCTCTCTTCCTCTTCCCCTTCCTCTTCCACGGACCCGCAGGGACCGTTGCGACGGCCGCAGGCGGCGACGGACACTGACGGGAACGGCCCGCAGGAGACGGGGCAGCTCACCTCTAGAGCCACCGGCGGGGCTGCCGCCGCCTGCGCCGCCGTGCCGGCGTCGCTGGCTTGGAGGCAGGGGCTGCAGAAGCTCAGCGCCAGGCTCGGCTTGGGCTCCTTCACCGTGTTCGTCGGCAGCTTTAGGAACGAGACTACGCCGTGCCGGCACAGCGGGCAGGGGATTGAGCCGGGCATCCCCGCTGCTTCGGTGGTAATGCTGCCGGTGGAGCACAGATTCAGCGCACAGCTTACGCAGAGCTCGTGCCCACAACCTACATATCAGAGATTATTATAGAGAGAGAAAGAAAGAGCGAGCGAGAGAGAGAGAGAAGAGGGGGGGAGGGGGAACCTTCGGCAGCCACAGCGCAAGTTCTTTCAAGGCAGACGGCGCATGGTTCCTTATCATCACAGGCGGATGTTGAGGGCTGGAGGCCACAATCTCTGCAAGATAAACGTCAATGAAAAAGTTCTTGTATTGGGTTGATTTCATCTGGCTCACTGAAGCTACTTGCATTATGGCGGACTCCTTTTCTCGACTCCAGAGAGATGACCCAATTGTATATAGTCGATGTTCGTCAGCATTTTACTCAATTAGGAAAACATCAAATTACCCTATGTCCAAAGTTCCTCCACCCTACAACATTTCATTCACATTTCACACCAATAGAGGGAATATCAGAGTCTTCAGGTAAAGAGAAACGAAATTGTTCAAACAATAAAAGAAGATGGGCATGGCTAGTGAAAAAGTGAGGTACTTGATCTATATCCAGAAGGGCACATACTTAAGATCTAATTTCCTCAAGCAGATAGAAAAGCTGCGGTCGAAGGACATTTACCTGGCGATGTTGAGTATGCTGAAGAGAGGGAGGGAGATGTAATTCGATGGAGGGAATGTGGGCAGGATTTCCTTGGAATTGGGGTTCAATATGGGCTCCAGCAGGTGACGCCTCCATATCCTCGCCACGTCCAGTGGAAGCCACCTGAGGAAAAAGACAGAAGGGAAGGTGGCAACCTTCCATTTTAGGGTTCTATGAGGAGGGTCTACAGGAAGAGGAGCGATCTCTTCACGGGGAGGGAGGAGGTACCCGTTGCAGTTCAATGTCAGCCGGCTGGCCCCTCGGGCGAGGAGGATCTAGAAGAAGCCAAGAAAATTTCCCAAATAAGAAATGATGCATAAAAAATAGTTAAAGAACAATTGAAAAGCCTTGGGAGTGTGTCTGTGAATGCCTGGCAGCACTTGAGATTTCCGCCGCATGCAGCATAATGCAAAGGAGTGCTCCCAGACCCTGTTATAAACAGGTTTATTTCTATCCTTAGGCACAAGTAAATCCAAGATGGGTGACAAAGAGAAACCCACGTGGCAATGTAGAAGCATACCAATCAGGCTGACAGCCGTGCCGTAGTGGAATGTGACGGCGGAGATGCTTGCATGGAGATCGAGGAGCAGCTGCACACAGTCAAAGTGGCCGTTCACAGCCGCCATGTGAAGAGCGGTTATGCCGCCATCGGCAGCTTTGTTGATCAGCCTGGACAATGCACTGCGGCCAGAAACAGAGGAGCCTTCCTTGAGTGTGGATGAAGGCAAGGTCCAACTCCGGCCAAGGCCAGCTAGAATTGTTAGAAAAAAGGGCAGAAACCGGATCTGGATTCCTTATCTGGGCTGCTACCTGCGTTTTCTCTTCCTTTTTAAGATATCTGTTTCCTGTTGTTGGTCGAAAATAGCCCACAGGGGTGATTAGAGATGCTCTCTTCTCCCTCCCTACCCCCCTCCCTACCTCCCTCCTGGAACTATTAAAGAAAATGTCATCCATGCTAACAAGCCACAGTACCATCATCATCAACCTGGAAGGGCTGAATCCCCCACCCTCTGCCTCTACCTCTGTGTGTGTGTGTGTGTGTGTGTGTGTGTGTGTGTGTGTGTGTTTGTGTGTTTGTGTGTGTCTCTCTCTCACTCACTCACTCACTCACTCTCTCTCTCTCCTTCCCTCCCAACTAACCCAATAAAGAAATTTCTAGTCACTGCCTGGAAGAGCAGACTTTCCCAACCTCCCTCACTCTCTGAGCTTACAACAAACTAGATTAAGTCGATTAAAGCCCAATTCAAGCCGATATAAAATAGAAAATTCCACCTAAAAAGATACTCGAATCGTATCCGGTGATCCAAATAAAAACTGGGATGCATCCAACTAAACAAGAATGGTACATGAATCGAATCACGTTTGTTGGTCAAATTCCATCATCCACAGAATACTAGCATTTAATCAAAAAAAATAGCCACGCAATTATTATGCAATCACTCAGATTCTTCAAAACCCAAGATCGATTTCGTCATCTGTCCATCTTAACCCTACTGGGGCAACGAAAAACAATGGAAGCAGCTCACCTTGGATTAAATTTTTGCCTCGAGGGAGACGAACTCGCGTCACCCAGCTCACAGTAACCGGAGGAGATGCGCGATTCCTGGGGAACACTGGGAAGATAGTCGGCTACGACAAGTCTCAAACACCTGGCGTGCCCGTCCATGGCGGCAAAGTGCAGCGCCGTCCTGCCGCCCAGGTAGTCGGCGCGAGTGACCTTCAAACCAGATCAGATGACAAGGAACAGTTCTTCAAAGGGATTGCCGATCTCTCAGGAACTTCAGGGTATGAGGAAGAACAAGGAGACGCACATTGCATCTGAATAGCAGGAGAGTCTGCACCACCTCCCAGTGGCCGTATCGACACGCCTGCATCAACGCTGTCTGCCGCAATGGGGAAAGCGAAATCAAGCACGGTGCTACACCGGACTGGAAGCTACGGGAAGGATGAAGCGGTAGATCCACGAAACAATTGGGGGAAAAAATGGAGCCCTAATCGGCGATTACCTGCCCACAGTAGTTCCTCGAATCCACGCACGCACCGTTCTTCAGCAGAAGCAGGACGATCTGAGGACCATGAGGCAAACAATCAAGGAATACCGATAAAATCGACGGGGTAATTCAGGGAGAAAGCAGGGAGAGGGAGAGAATTCAGGGAGATCAGGGACCTCGTTGTGGCCCTTGGCGGCGGCGAAGTGTAGAGGGGAGTTGAGACCGCCGAAGGTGGAGTAGCGAGCGAGGGAGGGATTCAACTCGAGAAGCATACGGGCCTCCACGAGGTCGCCATCCCTCGCCGCCGAAACCAGCCGCTCCCCCGACGCGGAGCATCCCAGCGAGTTCCCCAGCGAGTTCCCCATCGGCAGCAGATCTGCCGGCGGAAGAAGGAAGAAGAAGAAGAAGAAGATCCCCCACCGGCAAGAGAAGATCAGCTTCGGCCGGCAGGCGGCGCGGTTTTGGCGGCGGAAGGAGGCGAAAGGGGCTGACGTGGCGGAGGTGGAGTGCCGTCCTCTGGCCACTCAGCACCTCTCTCTCTCTCTCTGCTCCGTTTGTCGTCTTCTGCCCGGATAACGGCCATTTGGAAGGAGAAACAAGGGAATATGAGAGGAGAAAATCTTCTTGCAGGTCAACGGGATAGTGACTCGTGTGAATCCCAGGGGCTGAGCACGTGTCGAACTAAAAGGCGACCACGTAACCGGTCCTATCGGACAAGTCACACGCTAGCTTAGATGAAAACGTTTTTTTTTTTAATATTATGTCATTCCCATTTCTTATGATATATACGAGGTTCCTTTTTTCATGACATAAAATAGTAGCATCAATCCCAAAAATTAGATCTTTTTTGGGATTGTTGATGTCTACTTTACGCTATGAAAAGAATCATATCATAATTATCATAATAAATGAAGATGATAAAAAATAGGAAAATAAATGTTTTTTATTTACTGTTTTTAATCTCACTATACATTGTGATCCATTTCCTCTTTAATTGATAAAAAAATCATACCATAATATTATTCAATAAATGGTCAGCATTTGATATTTAAATAAGTATTTTAGATTTATTATTATTATTATTAACAAAAAAAATGGAAAAATGCAATTTCAAGTTTGGTCTCATCTCAACAATGTTGATCTAGCATTTAAACTGATTATAATTATTATTTAATAATTTTAATAAAGTCGAATGAGCTGTGACAATAGTATTTATATCATTTACATCATAAAAAATATGTGATTTTGAACTTTATCAGTTTAGCCATATAGTGCAAAGTTGAGCTTCAAATAACCATCCCATCGACCATTACTCAAGTCAACTCATGGGTTGACTTTAGTCTAACTCAAGAAAAAGTGGGCAACGCATATATTTACTTTCTTTAGCACTTTCAAAGTAAAAAACCATTTTAATACATTTAAGGCTTGAAAAAAATCTATTTTCCCCTTTTTTTTACCTTGCCTTGAAAGCCAACCAATCCCGAACTCAGCCAGAATATTTTTTGGGCCAAATAGGCCCAAAAAGCCCAGTAATCTACGACAGTAATGAAGGACTGAGGCCTGTCACCTCGATACATGGCAAACACTGATTAGACCAAGACGTTGGTTAGGAATCCAACCCTACCTTGAGTTTGGGCCTTACATCTTTAATGGGCTTTTTTCTCATAACAGATGGGCCCAATAAGATAGGACACTGATCTGCCGGGATAAATGACATTCAAATTAAACTCACATTCAGCCAGGCTGGGCCGACCTCGCAGGGACGACGTCATCATAGTACCCGTTGACCAAGAATATAAAAAGTGTTGTTGACATTCATAGTGGGCCCCACATCGACAAACAACTACCTATCGTCAGTCCTCCCGCGGGAAGACGTCTGCTCAGTCCACGTGGCGAGGGGAGCTGATCGGAAACACAAACGCGACGTTGACTATAAAGGCTATTCAATCGTGAGCTGCTCCGCCAACTGGAAGACGCGTTCTCATTCTACGTGGCGAGCGGAGAGAAGCCGATGACAAGGATGACGACGACGACCCAACGAGGCACGCTACGAATGCGTGACGGCGGAAGCGGAATGGGGTTGCGCTGGTAGATCAGGCCATCTGCTCCTCCTTCTCCACCCTCGAGGAGGCTGGAGGTGGTCGTCCTCGAGATCTAGGGTTTTACAGAGTTGAAAGCTGGGTTGGGCGGTGGTGGGTGAAGTTGTTCTCTGCTCAGCTCTTCTCTGCTGAACTTTTTGTGAGATTAGGTTTGTCCACCGCGGAGAATTGGTCTTCCAGCAGCCATGGGGGGAAGATCTCGTGACGACGGTTGGGTCAAATAGAGGGGGAAGTTAGGGTTAGGGTTCCTTAATCGATCGGCCTCTCTCCCTGCTCGTCGGAGGAGCGGAGGAGAGGTTGAGGGAATGGCCAGCAGGGACATGGAGAACGGCGGGAGAGGCAGCGCCGCCGCCGGTGGGGGTCCTAAGCTCAACGGGAGGGGGGGGTACGAGCCGGTCGGCGGCAGCGGGAGGGCGGTGGGCTACCGAGGAGCGGTGACGGCGCAGAGGTTGTGGACGTCGTGGATGGTGCCGGCGTTCGTGGTGGCGAATATCGTGATGTTCCTGGTCACCATGTACGTCAACAACTGCCCCAGGCACGGCAATTTCTACGGCAAGTGCGTCGCCCGATTCCTCGGCCGCTTCTCCTTCCAGCCCCTCCGGGAGAACCCCCTCTTCGGCCCCTCCGCCAGAACGTGAGCCCCCCACCTCTCGCTCTCTCTCTCTCTCTCTCTCTCTCTCTCTCCCCCTCCCCCTCTCCTGTTCCGACTTCTCTGTTGCAGGAGGTCACCTCTCTCTCCTTCGTCACTCCAGTTCTCCTGGGAGAAGGAAGTTGACCTCCCTTTCTGTTGTAGCCCTCCATCTCACTGAGGGAGGTAGAGGGAGGGAATTACAGGGAAAAGAATCGAAGAAACCATTCAGAATATGGGATCATCGAAGAAACCGTTCTGCGTAAAGTTGAGCAAGAACTGGGGGAGCTGCTTCATTTATTTGATTTGATTGCCCTTATTGTCTGGACCGATGTTCTTCAAGATGGAGCAAATAATTATCGAAAAATTAGAATGAAGATTAACCCATCAGAGATTTTTTTTTTTTAGGATGCTTGGTGCGTGCTGTACTTCTGGTAGGGAAATTAGTTCTAGCCCTCTTACCATCCATGAAAAAAAAGGGTCCTTTTTTGGGTGCGGATGATGGGATAGAAGGAACTTTAGAAAAATTTACTCACCCCACCACTTATTATTTGTATTTTAAAAAAATGATTTTTGTGTTGATCATGCGTTTATGTCTCTGAAATCATAAGGTCAGATCTTTCTTACCCATGGATCAACATTTCTTGGTGTTTTTTTTCTTTTTTTGGGTGATTCAGACTTAAGAAGCTGGGTGGTCTTCGCTGGAGTGAAGTTGTTCTTGATCACCAAGGATGGAGGCTTGTTTCATGTATCTGGCTGCATGCTGGGCTGATCCATATCGTGGTGAACATGCTGTGCCTCATTATTATTGGAGTCCGGCTTGAACAGCAGTTTGGATTCGGTAAGATCTTCTGGCTTGCCAAGAATGGTTTTTTTCTTCATGGGCACCGTGAATTTACCCCCAAAACAGTAACATACAGTTGACATTCTAAATATAAGTGCACTCTCTTCCCGATCATGGGTGTCTATAGCTAAGCTCCTGTTTCAACCGTTGACCGAAGGAATGCAGCCTTTTTACTTCAACCAATGTGGGATGATTATGGGGTGGACTCCCATATTGACTTGCATGAACTAAGCCAACTCGTTTTCAATGCGTTTTCGAGTTGGATTGCCCCCACTGTTTCTATTTTTAGATCTATAATAATGCATGTTTCATGAAGATCTTCTCTCTTTTACTAATTTATGAACAGCTCGAACAAAGGTTTGACCTTTTTTGACCTCCTGTGCAGTTCGCATCGGACCGATATACCTGCTATCAGGGTTCGCCGGCAGTGTGCTCTCATCTCTCTTCAGTAGGTATTCTGTCTCTGTCGGCGCATCAGGTGCTCTCTTCGGGCTTCTCGGAGCCATGCTTTCTGAGCTCATCACCAACTGGACAATCTATTCCAACAAGGTAACTTCTTCATTTCTGTTGCTTATATCTTCGTTAGATCGATCTGGGCATCTTACTCGAACCCAATTGGATCATCCTGATAAACAGCCACATATTTCTGCGATGATTAATTTGGGTTACTATTCTTGGTATGATTGATCTGATCGGTTTTGTCAGGCTGCCGCGTTGATTTCCCTCTTGATCATCATTGTGATCAACCTGGCGGTGGGGATTCTTCCTCAAGTGGACAACTTCGCCCATATTGGGGGCTTCCTGGCCGGGTTCCTCCTAGGGTTTGTGCTGCTGATGCGCCCCCAGTTCGGCTGGCTGGAGCGGCACGATTTTCCCCCAGAATCTCGGGTCAAATCCAAGTACAAGGTTTATCAGTACATCCTCGGCATCATTTCTTTCGGCCTACTGGTAGCCGGGTAAGTTATCTTCCCTTTCATCGACTTGTTTCTTTCTCTCTCTAAACCAGTTGATTCACATACTAATTTCATACTAGTCAGACCCCTAAACCCTGAATTCCTTGATCCATTATTGAAAGTCAAACGGGTGGGTTTGGAGCTGTAATCTGAGGATCCTTGGCGTGTTTGACTTGCAGGTTCACCGTTGGGCTGGTGATGCTCTACCGGAAAGTCAATCCGAACGATCATTGTAGCTGGTGCCACTACCTCAGCTGCGTACCCACGTCGAAATGGGAGTGCCCGAGTTACCCTTGAGAAGATGATTGCTGGAGTGAGTGAGTGAGTGAGAGAGAGAGAGATAGAGTGCTGCTGCTGCTGCTACTTGCGTCACCACATATTTGTGTATAAATTTGAGAAGCCCTTCTCTCTCTACCTCCCCCCCCTCTCTCTCTCTCTCTCTCTCTCTCTCTCTATAAACTCCATTTCCGAAAAAAAATCCTCACATGGAAACTTGTGGAACTGCATGAAATATAACGAGTTTTCGGATAAATCTCACAGCTGACTTTTTACTAACATAAAACATCAGAGATCAGCAGTAACCCACCCTCCCTCCCCCAACAAACGAGGGAGAGAGAGAGAGAGAGAGAGCAAGAAGGCAGAGCTGTGGAACAGATTATCAGCCCTCAGAGCTTCTTCTCACATCTTCCAGCCCCCCTAAGAGAGAGAGAGAGAGAGAGAGAGAGAGAGAGAGAGAGAGAGAGAGAGAGAGAGAGGACCAAGAAAATGGGCCAGTGGAGAGAGGATCGCCTACCTGGATGAAGCGGCCCCCTGCGGCAGCTTCCAGAGCTCCTTGGTCGCCACAAGCACCCTCTCCCTGCTGCTCGACTCGGCCTCAGCCACGTGTACAGACACAGTCCACCGCACAGCCCGAGCCATCCGGGCCACCTTCTCAATGGTTTTCGGGCTGTCCCGAACCACTGCCGTCCCCCCCGGCCGCAGCAGCCGGTCCATCTCCATCATCAGATCCACAATGCTGCACCTGCAATCACAGGAGGGACCCAATCAAACCTGCTCGATCAATCATTATTAGTCCCATATTACTTACTATCTAACAAATCAATCTACGATTATTGATATTTTTAATTAATTTTTCTTGATTTAAATTGGTGCCCACGACCTCAGATACTCTCTGGCCGGCTAATCCTTCTGATCACGGAGACAATAGTCAGAGAATTTGCCATAAACAGAACATGATATGGGATAGCCGATGATATCTCGCAGAAATGAATTGAGTACCTGTTCTTGCCGGTGCTTGGTCCTTTGACCAAGGAGAGTATTCCGTCCACATGGATGAGGTCGTATGTCCGGGGATATGAGGAAAACGGCTCGCACCTGCCAGCAGAAAGGGGAAACACAGTGATATTTATATTTATATTTAGAAATCTATAAATATAGGATGTAAAAAACAGGAGCATCATGGTTCTGGGTGTATCAAAACCAACATAATTGGATATAATTAAGGGAGGAGTTTCCTCAGATAGTAAAATTAAGGAGACCCATGTCATCATCATTCAAGGCATGAACAGCCGAATCAGTCCTTGGGATCCTGTTAAGTCAAGCTAAATGAGGAACACCTCCCCGTTATCGGATTTACTCCTTTCTATTTATAGTTCTTAATAAGTTAGTAGTTTAATATTCTTAATAACGTAAGAAATAATTGGCAGATGATATGGTGCACAACTTACCAGTCATGGTAGACTCCAATGAGCCCTCTGTCATAGATGACATCCAAAGTAAACGGCTTTCGAGCAGGAATGACATTCATTACCCAGAGGGGATCTGACGACAAAGCCGCTGCAAAGCCCCCGAAAAAGGCGTTCATATCCATAACATTGCGCACTGCAGGAGTGCCGAGCTTTAAACCAAGAACTTCCCTATAATGAGCAACCCGTCTGGCCCAACGCCGCCTATCGGCCTCGAAGACGTCAAATCCATTTTTGATGAGCGAGGCTCTCGCAGGGGTTTTGACCAGCCTCTCTGGCCAACTTGGGATGGACCCAACAGAAGTTGCTCTGGTCACTGACAACTTACTGACACACCCCTTCAGATCAAAGTACCTGAAAATTCGATTGGTTATGAGCATATATCTCAGCAGTAGTACCAAATATAACATTTGGGGAAAAATATCTGTAAGCTGGTGAAACCCTCACCATGCTTCACTGGGGTCATCAGAATCACTACAAGTATCGAGTCCAAATTCGTTCTGGTTAGGAAGACATGAATCCCCTGATGGCTTCTTCCAGATGACGGTGTTACCATCAACCACAATAAGTTCATAGCACAAGGCCCGGGCCAAGGACTGGAGGTCGGCCCATTCCTTATCCTGCTTGGGCCACTGCACGGGTGGGCCGGAGATGACGAGGTATCCATCGGGACGGAGCAGACGATCCACTTCAATGAAGTATGTCCCGTCTGCAATCCCCACAGTCGACAAAATTTGAGGCAATATACATTGACTATGAGGTGGACAGGCCTTCTGATGTTCACAGTAAACATAAACATGAGCAGACAAGAGGATGTCTTACTTGAAGCGGAAAAGGGGATCAAGCATCGGGAGCAGTGGATGAGGTCAAAGGAGTGGGCAGGAAATGGAAGCCGGTGGGTGCCTAGCATGGCCACAAATGCTGGAATTCCCCTTTCCAGTGCGAATTGTATCTGTGATTTATGTGAGTCTCTTGGAGCAAAGGAAAGGGTCAAGATATCTTCTTTCAGTAAGAACCCCCCAAAGCTGGCAACCTGCACGGAGGAGGCGAGATCTCAAAGTGACATATAGGGCAATAATCTCTCTACGAAGTTTAAGAAATACAGATACAATTCGTACCCCGCATCCCATGTCCAAGGCCGTCCGTAGGGTTCCTCCGCTTATGGGGATATACTGTCGAAGCTTGTCAATATATTGCACAGCCCCATCAGGAAACATAGTGCCACCGCCAGGGAATATGAAATATGGGCCTTCTTCTTTCATCCAGCCCTGGTGTCCTTTCCTTTCTGCAAGTTTATTGTGCGGCATGTTGCTATGCCAAATCTACAAAGATTGAAATTGTATTAAGCTAAGATGAACATGGGTAACCCCAAGGCAACGGCTTTCCAAATCACCGAAGATACTACCTAAAATAGAATGATCTTTCATGCCAAAAATTAACAAGGGGAGGAAATGCGTAGTTGACAAGGGGATCCAAGATACAAATATCATAGAGTGTGACGCTTCCTCGTGTTTAATCAGTAAATCATGACATGAAATTCAACGAAAGAACTTTTGCTAATTAGCAAGAAGCACAGCTCTTCCACTAAGGGATCGATAGAAAATATCCTGCTCGTCACCTTCCTCCATTCTAAGGGAAATACTACCACATGATCCCAAAAGTCAATATGCTAATAGTTTCATATCGAATCCATGCATCAAAGTCCCAAGTTCTGAGGTTTTCCAAACAAGAAATTGTTCTCCATAAATTATGCATCATACACACACACACACACAAACACACACATCGAAATAAGCACACATCCAACTGACAACTCCCTCTTGAGCAGCTCTATTAAAGATCATGCGAGTACAATAAAAACATTACTGTTATTCAAAACTCCCATATAATGTGACGCAGGAAAGTGCTAAAATCAGTTTCCATTATGTGCACACAAGGCAGTGCGCAGAAAATTAATCCATCAATAATCCAATATCAGCAGTTCTAAAATTCGCTTCAATTAAAAAATGGAGAAGAAATTAGGAGCATCTTCCTTACTAGCACTGTATTCTCTCCCCATTATCACCGTCAGCAACCCACCAACTCCAAGGGTTTGAAGATTGTGAGGAATGCCTAATCAATAAGAGCAAAAGATTGCCTGGATTATTTTGAAACGAACCAACCCAGACCTAACTGACACATCAAATACACGCTAAAATTTGGGTAACATTTTTTGTTCAAAAATATGGTCCATGGAACCAAATGGGAATAAGGATAAGCCAGGGCAGATCCAATAACGTAAGGTTTGGAACCAGCCAGAAACTTGTCGATTCGAGGTCACTGTGAGAATAGACATGTGGTAAGAACCTTGATCCAGAAAAGAATACAATTGCTTTGGGAAACAGGAATCGGGGAAAAGGGGGGTTTGAGTCATGGAGACCACCAAATCGGTTCTACAACACAGGTGGACGATCTCTGAAGACTTTGGGACCAAATGTTTCTTCCCCCCTCCTATACAACTGAGATCCCTTATTTCTAACCTTCAACCTTCCCCTTTGCACGTGGAGCTTACTAACATCCACATGTATCAGTTGGACTGGAAGAAGCAGGGAGCTTCTTCCATCTTGAGTCTGTCTTGATGGGAGGCCTATCAACATGCATTTGTGTATGTAAATCATTTATATTATACACACTAAGAGGGAAACTAAGAGATCCAATCTTGTATATCAAAATCAGGAAAGACGAATGCCCATTGAGGGAAAACTTGCAAAAGGTTTGTCTTATGCAAGAACTACAATTTCAGACAAAGAGCAGTATTGTACCGAAGATAGCCTTTGACAAGAGATTCGAGAAGACGAAGGCATAGAAAAGAAAAAAGAATTATTGTATCTAAAAAATGCTGTCCGGAATTCTTTCCATTGTCCTCTTTATGACAGAAATGAAATCCATATAAAAACCCAAAAAGCAACAATTACTCATCTTTATTCCCACATCAGACGTTTCCAAAAGGCGAGTCATGACTTAAACTGTGGTTGGGGCACATTTTTTATTAGAAGGTTAATGAAAAACACAAATCCAGCTCCCCACCTCGAGAGAGAAAATAAATCCAGATCGTCATTATCCCTTTTAAATCCAAAAACACTTCTGTTCCTCGAGTAGCCTCACTGAGATCCCTCGTATCAATAACAATCTGCAACTTAAACACACTAAAGTTTGGACTTCACTATTGGATCATCCTATAAATTCTTTTTTGATCAGAAGAGAAGTGAGCACTTGAGATCAATACCCAAAGCACAGATAAAGCTTTTCTTTTGTTCAAGATCTTTTCAATTCAACTAAATACATGCAAAAAAAATCATATCTGGGAATGGAAGATCAAGCCAATCAGTAAAATTAACTGCCTTGACCATTCGTTTCTGCCTTGAAATTTAAGTGACATTTTAAACAAGACAGATTATTCCTGTAATGGTTGCCAATTTCTAACAGAGAGCTCATATTTCATACAAATGCACCGCATTGATGAGTACTAACCAATCCATCACATTCTAAAAAAGGAAAAAAGATTAACTGTGAATAGCAGCTTCAATACTGGTAAGGAATATGCCAACTCAGTATCGTTACCTTTTGAAAAAGGTAATGAAAGCAAATGAACCTTCGCAGACTCGTTGATAAATATATCAAAAAAAGAGGAACAAAGGGGATGCATGACGTCAACAATTATTAATCCGATTTAAAAAAGATGATGTAAATCTATATTAATTTAACTCCATCTCAAAAATATATAATATAATATGTGAACTTGAATTATAACGCAGGATTCAGGTACATGTCTCAACATTTATAAAAGCAAAACCTCATTCAGTAACCTATGATTTGAAGATTTCATAAACTTCCAACACAAAATTGGCTTTATTGCCTATGTATGAAACCTGTTGAAATGCACATTCATAGTCGGATCATCAGTTCCATCTTGTATTGTCAGTATGAGGCTCTAAAATCTCTAAATTTCTTTCACATTTGACGAGAAAGTGTGACATCATATATCAATCCACAGATAACTGATCTAATGTTCTCGGCCTCAAATTAAGATCCATAATGACGCAATCCACAACGCTCGTGATGCATAGAAAAAGGGGAGAGGGGAGAGTGAAACATGTACGATTCACTTGAACAAAGTCATTGTCTTGCGTTTGAAAAATATTTAAAAAATTTGAAATGCATCATCTGACGACAGATTGATCGTTGGTCTACAACTGGTGTCCTGGACATCAAACCCAAATGATGAAGAAGGTATAAACTTGACAAAGGTAAAATTGGCCATTCGATATCTAATGGACGGGTAGAAAATGTATTTCGTCCATCGCACCCATTAAGCTCAACTACTTTGTGCAACTTCGTAAGTTCCCTTAAGACTTACATGTGAGCTCAGATGAAGAAAAAAGTGAGACGTGAATATAATTTTAGGGCATAAGATTCGTATAAAAAAGGTGATAAATTAACGGCAATGCTTATGTGCATTCTCCCATATTGAGAAGCAAGCTTTGTGCTGAAACATTATCAAAGTTAGTAATATGGCCTTCAAGGAAGAAGAGAGGATCAAACCAAGAAAATAGGCCCAAAAGGGAGAACAATAAAATATTAAAATGAAACATGACCAATGACTTTACGAAACTGCGATAACGCAAGGGTTGTACACGATAAAGGGAGAAACCAGACTGAAGACCCAAGGGATGGTACCTTGTGGAGGCTCTCAGGCCACGGCACAGGAATGCGGTATCCATCAGGCGGAGGTATCAGACAGAGCGGTGTCTCGTCCGGAAGCGGGCAATGCCGCTCCCGGTAGAAGTTCATGTGCCTACTGAGCTGGCTGTTCCGGCGGGGGTCCTCGCATGGCATATGATCCACCTCCTCGGCCGAGCACGCCGCGATCACCAGCAACTCCGCACTCTTGTCCCTCCCCCGCCGCCCGCCGCGACTCTGCTTTAAGGGATCCTCGTCCTCGTCGAAGAAGGCGACGAATCGCTCCCTCTGGCGAGGATCCGACAACGAGGAAAGGCTGAGCGCACGACGACCAGACGCAGCCACGGAGTCCCCGAGAGAGGTGAACACGAGCAGGAAGAACACCATGACGAACGCGAATAGGATGGCGGAGACGACGTCGAGCAATCGCCAGTGTCGCGGCAGCCGCTTTGCCACCGGAAGGTTCACGAACCCCATCCCCGTCCCCTCGCTCCAAACCCCCACAGCTCTTCGGATGCCGCCGGAATGGAACAGAAGAACCTCACAACCCGTCGAACTGTCACCCTGAGAGAGACGAAGCGAGAGCGAGAGCGAGAGAGGGAGGGAGAGAGCGAAGTGGGAGTGTTACAAGAGAGGGTGTCGGTGGTGGGGCTAACAGAATTGGGGCTCACTTTTGATACCCACCAGTACCTTTGGGCCAACACGTCTGGTACTGTTCGTGGGCCGGGCCGCTTTTGGTGGCCCATACCTTACGTGATAAAAGGCCGCCACTTTTGTCTATCACAGATTTAGTTACTTCAGGTCTTTATAATCCTTATTATTTATTTATTTATATTTCCTTTAGTTTATAGGCTTACGAGGCTACGAGTCAATGAAAATATCTAGATATTTTTTAAAATATAATGATTATACAGTGACATAAATAAAATTACTGATTCCCCAATTTCAATCCAAATTTGGTTGAGCGCATAGCTTGGTCAGGGATAAACATGGATATCAACTTAATCATATTTAATTAATATTATTTACTTTTTTATCATTATAATTTTTTTTATACTAAAATATATTACAAAATTCGAGTATAGACATTTATTTTCAAATATGGAGACACAACATGAATAGACATGTTAATATTTAGGTTGTAGGAACTATAGGGCTATATAAAACACCAAGAAAAAGGGGGGGGGGCAGGTGAATATGAGTTTTTAAGATTTCTAATGATTTTTCAATTTAACCGATACTTATGTATAAGTATCACTAGATTTGTCAACACACGTGCTCTCAACTCTCTCACACTAAAACACGAGATTTTTTCTATTAATTCATCACTTGACTACTTCTAGTCATAGATGAAATGTCACTCTAGTGTTTATTAGTTCCCTCAAGAATTACATGTTGATATTCATGACCTCAGTCACCCAAAACATCTCAAAGTTCATCTCTTCAGATAATCATTCTTGGACCAAATATGGCAACTAGCACCTTGTGTCTGTCTTTGCCCAAATCACTCTTGCCTCACCATTCTCTCATTACCATCCATTTACCTTAGAGCTTGATGGAGAGCTATAACTATGAATGTGAAGTTGATTGTGTTGTTGAAATCAGTTTGAGAAGATGATGCAACAATCTCACACATTGTAGATGTGTAGAACTATAAGAGCTTATGCTCTCACTTGAATCTTTGCATTTTTAATCATTTTTTGATATAGAGAGATTCTCTCATAAGTAAAACTTTGTCTTTCAACAATTTTTTGATTCTATTAGATCTTAAATGTTCGAGGACCTCATTCAAAACTTGTCATTTTTTAGAATGTGCAGTAATGACGTTTCTTTGTTCTTTTTCATTAAAATTTAACATTAGTTTTTTTAACTTGATCGACAATAGTTAGATATCCAAATTGGATCCAAATCATCAAAAAAATTGACTTCTGGTCCATATAATCAATTGATATGCCACCATCAAGATGCTCTATTTGAAACTTAAATATCTCTTTTATTTATCATATTCTTCATGATTTAATCTATATGTGAAATCTTATGAAACTTATCCACTATCATTTCTAAATGTTAGATATTATATAACATGGTTAGAGAAATATATAATCAAAGATAAAATATTTTGTATGATTTAATTATAGCTATATAATTATATACTTATCTTTCCAACTAATATTATTTGTTGATCAAATATTTAACATGAAGAATCACTTAACCTCAAGGATTAGTGCCATATATTCAATCATTAATGATGAGATCATATAATCAATAAATATATTTTATATAATGGATACGTTGAATATATTGAATGTTTTTATACATTCATGACATAAATATATTAATACTATTATTCACCAATTTTATACTAATATATTTTCACTTGTAATTATCAAAACTAAGGGAATAAACGATTTCCCCCTTTTGATAGTCACAAAGTTATCAATAAAATTTATTTAAGTCGATGATAAAGACAAATATTATCATGAGGATTAAGTATTCATTCAACTTAATCAGTGTGAAAAGATGTATGACATCAAAAAAATTAAAACTCCATTCACATATAAAAGCTTTATCATTCAATATTCTTCATTTAAAAAAATCACAAGCCCTCTCTTAATTTCTCACCCATTTTGTAGTATCAAAAAGACAAACAAAGCTAGATGAGTAAAAAAATCTATATTTATTTTGTAAATCACAAGAAATAATGCTTGATATAAGGTGATGATTTCGATTTATAAGTTAAATATGGCGTCATGATACAATTAAGTTCATACAAATAATACTTATAAAATCTCACTTTTTGATTTAAGATGAGTAAAGGTCTATCCTTAAAAAGTATGATGAGAATAAGAATTTTACTTATTTTATTTCATATATATATATATATATATATACTTGAGATTGTGAATGAAATTAAATTTAAAAAGAGTGAAGACAAGATAAATAAAAAGTGTGGCAAAGGAGAAAGAATGAATCTAACACAATAAAATGATAAAATAAATGATAAAATTAATTCAAATTAAGAGTTAATCTATCTATGGAGAAGATTATAAGAATATCTCAGATCTAGATCTAGCATAAACATCATTGTGCATCAGTCCTAGGCTAAATGGTGCTTGATCTGCAACAATTTTGATGTGATCTAAGTAGTCTATTCTTCACGACGATCTTAAGCACGAGAATACTATTAACTGAGTCTTAATTTTCTTCTTTTTTCTTTTGACTAGCCACTACTAAAGAGAAAGCGAAAAAGCTCCCTCCAAGAAGGAGGCTAGAGGCCTTAAACCTCTAGAGAATTAAGCCCCTCTAATAGACAATTATGATTAATAATTGACTCTCTTAGTAGACGGACTAGATTTTTTTATGAGGGAGGTGCTCTAATCCTCCTCTTGGTCTCATCTTAAGGTACCATAAGATGGACAACTTAGATATCATTTTTTGATAGTCTTTTTACATCCAATAGGCTAGGCCAAAGTCATGTGTCACTTAAGATTCAAATGGGCCTGACCAAGATGATGTCCTCTCTCAGATCCATAAACGTATTAGGTTGACCCTTTTCATAAGACTTGGTTTTTCCTTAGACTGAAAACTTGTGCTTCTTTCATTACTTCTAACTCATAATAAAAATTCACCTAAGTTCTTACAATTAAATAATTATCATGAAAATGTGAGAGAATCACTACTTGACTTTATAAAAGTCAGGTGGGGTTAGTCTCATAATATCAATAAAATAAATAAAATATTATATATTAATATTTTAATAATAAAATATTATAAAAGTCATAATGAGTCGGTAATGCATGAATAATTACATTCTCTATCCACATTAATATCTATTTATAAGATATTAATGTATAAATGTAACTACTAATTTATAATTATCATATGGCACATTATCTTCAAGTTGTTAGAACCTTCTTTCCAATAACTTGAGTTGTTAATTTGCATGATCAATATTTTTGTTGAGTTTTCAATAAAAAGAAGCAACTTAAGAAAGGTAAGAACATTAGAGGTGGTAGAGAAGGAACTAAAGGTGGTGGATGAGTAATAAAGTTATTATGTTGAATATAATGCATACAAAGAAGAGTAGATTTGTTGATAATATCATTGGGGATAACTAGATCATTCTTTATGACTATTTTTATTTGATCTAAGAATAAGGCATCAAAAATTTGATAAATGATGTATAATTTTCATAAATCTTATAATGAGCACCAATATTGTACAATAGTAATTAACTAATGAAATGCACAAGTATAATTTGATAAAATAATTTGATATTATGTACACTACATTTAGAACCTTGGTTAATGAGGTAAGGAATTTGTTGACTTCTATTATGTCAAGTTTAATAAGGGACCATAAGGTATTTTAATAGTATAATTTAATTTATGCTAGTATGATCAGTTCCTATCCCTTTGAAAAATGTGGAAATTCCAAAAAAGTCTCGTAAGCATTATTGTAAAACATTATCACCAAGTTAGGATAGATATTGATAATGTCCAAAATAAGATGCATAATTTTAAGGGCATCAAAATATATTTTTAGTTAAATTTCATGTGTATGAAAGAAGGTGAAGTCAATGAGTTTATATTTAAGTGCCTTATGATCCTTGAATGATGTTTGAAATTTGGTTTCAAAGGCTATAGAAGGAAAATAAGCTTTTGATTATTTAGGAGATAATGGTTTGATTGATGGAAGAATTTTATTAGTTTCGATTGGTTTATGCTGAATGGTTTCATGCAAGGAAGTTTTAGTTATCTATTGTGTAAGTCTTTGGTGACAAAGAAGGTAGTTATCTAAACCCATTTCAAAAGAAAAGATTGTGTGGTTAGTGAGAGATGTTTATTGATGTGTGAGGACCCCACCAACAATGTTATCAATACTTGTCATAAGAGGGCTTGTAATATAAGGTTTATTTGGGTTTTTAGATTGGGGTGTGAAATGAGAAACTAGGTCTTATTCGAAGTTGATGGAATGATGGTCTTCTTTTGAAGAGGATTTGATGGTATTTTCTTATTTTTTATCCTTCCCAAAAAAAATTGAGATATTTACAAGCTTTGAAGGGGTAACATGAAGGGTAGATTGATGAGTATCAACCATCATCGGTTCTAGAAGTCACAAAGAGAAGGATGGATCAAAATGTGATGCAAATATGAAAAAAATATGAAATGGCTATTTGAAATAAGTATACATGATTTCTAATGCAAGAGATGAACTAACAAGACTCTATCTCAGCTTCTCTAAAAGGGTCATTGAGATGATCTTGATTGAAGAAAGGAAAGGGGTTCTTTTAAAGTGAGAGAGATGAGAGAGAACGAGGTGTTTCAAATATATTTTAAGTGTGGAGCTTTATACTCCTTTACATAGTAGGGAGGGTAAGACAAGATGTTTGATACTATAAGATATAAAATAACATTTACTACATTGTTCAATCCCTTAGTTTTCAAAAAACTCTTTCACATATTTCTTGGCCACATAGTTTTTCTTCTTTTTTACCAGTCTATTTAGTCTTCTAGATAAAAAAATTGATCTCATCTTCATCATAAGATGATTCTATAATATAAAGTAATGTTTTAATTTTTTCAGGAGGTTTTCTATTTTAAGTCATATTAACCTCATGAGTTAACAAAAAGTCAATAATATAATCAATGGAAATAGTTCTTAAATATTTTAATTCCTCAATAGCCATTAATTTAACATTTCAATTATCAGTTAATGATTTAAGAACTTTATGGTTTAACTCAATCTTTGTATATATATATTTCTTCAATTTTTCATGCTGTTTATAATTTTATTAAATCTAAAAATTAAATCTTGAATAGATTAATGACTTCTATTCTAAATAAATCCTATCTATTCACCAAATATTGATTTTGGTATCCTTCACTCGATAAGTTATTTTAGAAGTTACATGCAGTTTATCCCTAATTTTTTTTTATTTCATAACTCATAAGCATTTTTGTCAATAAATAAATCATTCATTATAATAACATTAAAACTCATAGCTATGTCATCCATATATTATTTTGATGTACCTTATAGATAATCTTGAATCATTTTTTGTAGATTCATCCACTCACCCATTACATCAAGTCTGAATATAGTTTTCCAAACTATATAATTAGTTATATCAAACATAGGTGGACTAAGATTAGATATTTGAAGTCATTAGTCATAGGATTTAATCCTTGAGATGTTTTAATATCCTAATTTCAAGATAAGCTTTAATAAAAATTGTTGAAACTATAGGGTAAAGTAAAACATCAAGAGATTGGGAGAGGTGAATTACAATTTCTAGGATTTTTGATGATTTTTTATTTTACTTATACATATGTATAAATATCACTAGATGTGTCAATACTTGATCTTAGGAGTCTACACTTAATTGCCACATTCTTGGGAACTTGAAAGCTTTGTCAACTTATTGTGCTCAACACCAAAAAAACTTCATCAAATTTGTTTAACAAGAATCAAGAAGAACAAGCCATTGAGAATCATCATGGTGAATTCCTAATAATATTGATTTGTTCTAGACTGTGCTTAAAACGCACATGAACTCAACCTTGACATAGACCTTAATCTAGATAAGTTTAACACTAACATTAGCCATGAATATAGTCCAAAAGAATGAGTCTCTCTTAGCATGTCACAAAGAGCTATGAACTTACATGAGAATTACTTGGTATTTCCTATTTAACACATTAGATCATGAATTTAGATGATAGTTCTTGAGTGGAATCATTAGATTGACTAGAGCTGTTAAGTCCAATGTGCAAAGTTACTAAAGTCAAAAAAATTGAGCATATATTATACTAAAATACTTGTAGAACCCAAGGAAGCAATATATAACATAAGTGCTTGAAAAGTGGAGTAGGTACTCTCATTAAACCACCAGGATAGCTTTTTGTACGAAATATTCTTACAGGAACTTAGACTTACTAGTTCACCCTACCTTCATTATATAAAGCCTAACATAACAGATCCCACCATGTGGTCAATATTCCCAAAGCTGGGCCTTAGTTGCCGAAGGGGGTCTCGTCTCGTCTGTCGGTTATCCCCAGCCGCCGCTGACGCCGATATCCCCATCGAACGTTGGTTGGGACCTCGCCCGTAGGCTGGCCAAACTCCGCCTTAGTAACGCGACAGCCATTGCCCATGCCCACCTACCCCCAGCTCTCTCTCTCTCTCTCTCTCTCCGTGTCTTAAAGAATGCTAGGAGAACCCAACAGGACGCTCCTCTCCCTTCCTCTCTCTCTCTCTCTCTCTCTCTCCCCTCGAATTAAAGGAACTCTGAACAGTGACAAGGGGACCCTCTATCTCACTTACATTCTCTCTCCGTGTTAAATAGAGGAGGTATGAACGGGAAGAGGAATGGGGCGGAGAAAGTGACTTGGTGGAGGACCTTGGGCTTGTCGGCCGGAGGCGCTCGCCGCCGCCAGGCTGGGCCCCCCCACGTGCCGTCGGCGGTGGTCGTGTCCTCTGCTGCCGAAGTCTCTCCCTTCTCGGTTGCGGTCACGTGCGCTACCTTACAAAACCCGTTACTCGTCACGTCCCTGTTCCCACCCCCCCCTTCTCCCCCCTAATTTTTTAAAACTAAAATAATTATATAATTAAGGAAAAATAAACGCGGCCAGAAAAATGACGACATAAATTAAAAACCCTAAATAATAGAAATACGTCGGCTGTTGACTGCCACAGACCCTTGCTGACCCATGGGGGAACACCTGGTCCGCGTTGTTCACTCCAGCGACAGCGTGTGGAAAGGAGTCAACGGCGTGAGACACAGAAGTCAACGTCCCCGACAGCAGACAGATAGAGATCCCTGAGACAGGAGAAAGTCGATGCGGAGGGAACAACGGCTGTTCGACTACTTTCGTGCTGCGAAATGATGAGTGAGAAAGAGGAAGAGATCGGAACAACTTCAGAGAGAGAGAGAGAGAGAAGAGAGAGAAACAGACTGAGGACAGAGAAAGGTGGCGGCGGCGGTGGCGTTTGCATCACTACCTAAGGGGCATGCCCAACCGGTCAAGGCGGCCGGAGCCAGGATAAGCCTTGCTGGAGAACTTGAGCTGCAGGGAAGAGGGCGTGGGCCTGACGGGGGCGGCGGAGGCGACGGCGCCGCCAACTTCTCCCGCGTGGAGGCGGTGGCCGGCGGCGAGCTTCTCGTACTCCGGCCGCTGCTTGGGGGCGCTCTGAGACCTCACCTTCGCGCGGGAAGACTCCGTGTTGGCCATGTAGCTTCTTGGGTGGTCGGCGTAGGTGCTGAAGAAGCTCCTCGAGCAGTCGCTCTTAGCGGCGCCACCGCTTCCCCGCCGTGATGAGGCGGCAGAGTAGAACTGGGGGCTCTCGCTCATCCCCCCGTCGGAGACCGCCGCCGCCGCCGCCGCCGTCGCCACCGTTCTCAGGGGGCTCAGAGACTGGTGGGGCATGTCCACGGAGGAGGGGCTGTGGAAGGAGAACTGAGTGGTGGTGGCGAAGCTCCGGCTGTTCTGGTCGGAGGCGAGGGTGGTGGCGGGAGAGTGCTGCTGGGTGGCGGGCGGGCGGCGCTTAGGGTTCCGGCGAGGCTTCCCGGTGTCCACTTCCAGAATCCGGTCGTCCTTCTCGTCGTCGGTGATCACTCCGGCGGCGGCCCTCGCCGGTGCCTCCTCCGTCCACCGCTCCGCCCAGTTCCACCGCTGCCTCCTTCCCTCGAGCTCGGACCCCTGAAACCAGACCAGAAGAAGGTCACCCACCTTTTCTTCTTCCTATCCGGCGGAGGAGAAGAGGAAGACTTACAGGTTGGTGACGCGGGCGGCGGCGGGAATTCTCCGGCAGAGAGCGGCGAGCTCGGGCCCGAGCTTGGACTCTCACCAGGGCCTGCATGCAGCGAAGGGTCTCCGCTGCCTGCTTCCTCACGATGTGGCCTCTGACGAGGGCCTGGAGCTTCACCAGCGCTCTCAGAGCCCGCAGAGCTCTCCTCGCCTGCAACAACCACCCACCGGGTAAGGAGGAAGAAGATTAGGGATCCGACCACGAAAACCAGGAAGGGAAGGTTTCCGAAACCCTAGCGGAGAATGGTTGATGAGGAAGGGGACTGTCAGAGCCCGCCATTGCCATTATTGCCGTCTCATCACTGTCACGGAGTTGGCACGGCCAAATCCAGCTACATGGCTAAGCCACCGGCCAGGAACAAAAGAGGTATAAACCAGAGCAGGGAAGGAAGAAGAAGAAGAGGAAGAAGAAGTAGCGGCCACAGAGAAGGAAGGCGGCGGTGGGGTCGCCGGTTTCTCCGACTGTGGAATTCGCCGGAAGCAAACGAAACCCGGATGATTACAAAGCTCCCCCCTCCAGCCCACGTGAAGAGAGAGAGAGAGAGAGAGAGAGCGAGAGAGAGAGAGAGAGGGGACGGGGAGTACTAACCAGGTAAGCTCTGAAAGCGGTCTGGATCTTAATGGCCGCCGCCTCCTCGGCCTTGCCGGCGAAGAAGCCGGAGCAGCGGCCGCTGCTGGTGAGGCGAACGACGGCAGCGGCGGCCTGCGCGGCGGCGACGGCAGCCTCAGCAACGGCGGCGGTGGCGGCCGCGACGACGATGGCCCGCTTGTTCTGCTCCGCCTCGTCGAGCGCCGCCGCAGGGACTTGGCGGTGCCGGGCAGCGGTGCAGTTGGAATGCGACGAGGCGACGGAGGAGGCGTACGATCCGACGGCGGCGCCACACCTCCCCTCCTCCGGCCTCATTCTCGACGGCGGCGGCGCCGTGACGTCCCTCCTCTGCGGGTCCCTGTCCCGGAACGAGCGAGCGAAGCCCCACCGCCGCTTCTCCTTGGAGGAGCTCGATTCGTCGCCGACGGGGACCTGCTGCTGCTGCTGCTGCTTCTTCCCTCCCAGAAGGAGGCCCCGCAGCCACCTTGCTGCCTTCCCCATCTTGCTCTTCCTCCTTCCCCTTCGGAACTAGCGAGCGGCTTACCGGAGAAGAAGCTCCGCCGGCCGGCGAGGCTCCATTACAGATGGCGACCCAGAGAAAGAACGGGCGGGAAAATCAAAGCTGAAAGGCGGAGAAGCGAGCAGAAAGGATGGGAAGCCGTACGTCAATGGAAGCACCAGACAGAGCAGAGAAAGAGAGAGAGAAGAGAGAGAGAGTGGCGGTGGCGGAGGGGGAAGAGCGAGAGGCTGAGAGAACCAGGAGAGGAGCCTGTCGCCATTCTTCTTTTCTTTCTTTATCAGGGGAGTCTTTTAAATGCGCGTGGTCGGACTTTCCGGGTCGATTATAATTACACTATTTTTTAATTAATCAACCCCCTTTCCCGGGAAATCAGAAAAAAAATCGCCACACCGTTGACCATTGACCCGGTCGGCGCCTATCCCATTCACGAATTCCCATGACTTCTGCGAAGTTGACACCCCCATTGGGCCGTACGATGGCGTAAGAGATTTCGTCCGGGGCCACCCGGCGCGTGGCGCTACCTCGTCGGGACACGCCTTTCTATCCCGTAGCCTCCTGCCGACAGAGGAGTGCCGCGTCTAATAGGGGTGGGGAAGGTACTATTGAGAGTGGGCCCCGAGGGGGCCACGTCAGATACAGATGGATAGACAAGTCTCGGATTTGTTATTTACCGAGGCCCAATAAGGACATGTGACGAGTGAATCAAACAGGCCCATTAATATTAACAAATTATCTAATAAGTCAGGAATATATAAAAATTATCTTATGAAAATAAACTGTAATTATCTTAAAAATTATGCACATAGGAAATGTGGGCTTATGTGGATGATAAATCCGAGCACTGCACCCACCGAGGGGGCGTCAGAAGTCAACGCACCCAAGAAGCGGACCGCCTCCAGGAGAGGTCAAACACGGTGGATCTTCTGACTTCCATTCTCGTAGTAAGTAATTCAGGAATATATGGAAAAAAACTATAGATGGAGAAACTATGAACAGAGAAAATGTGGGTTCAGGCGAATTATAAATCCGAGAGATTGCATAGAGAGATTTGGGAGTCGACCGTCAGAAAGTCAACGCACATGAAAGAATCTTGAGTATATACACATAGCCCCCAGGAGAGGTCAAACCCATGGAGAAGAATTTGGGTTGTGGGTGGGGCTAAAAACTTATCGGAAGTCAAAGCTTCCTGGTGGCCCGGAGGTTGTGTTCGTGCTTGAGGAGGCTTGTCCTCAGGAGCATTGACCTCACGTCCCGGTCAAACTCGATGCCGGTCTGCAACACCCTCTGGAACGTCGCGTTCCTCTGATCGGCATGCCGGGCGTATAGTATCTTGTTGTGGGAGTCAATCCTCGCCTGCAACAACAAGCCCCATTCAACCACCGCTCTAGAGAGAGAAAGAGAAAGAGAGCGAGAGAGAGAGAGAGAGAGAGAGAGAGAGAGACAGACAGACAGACAGAAAGAGAGAAAGAGATAAACAAAAGAGAGAGAGAGAACAGGCAGACAGACAGACAGACAGACAGAGAGAAAGAGAGAGAAAGAGAGAGAGAGAGAGAGAACAGGGGGGTGGGGGTTTCAGAACCTGAATCTGGTTCTCAGTGATCAATGCCTCGAGCTCCTTCTCCAACCCGGAGACCGAGGTCTTGAAGGCACCGGCCATGATGTTGAGATCTACAGAGATGAAAGGGTGGGTGTACTGGATGATGGCCCTGTGGCGAATATCAGAGTAGAGCGTTTCGACGTGATCATGCAGGTGGATGTCTAGCAGCAGGTTCCCTCTCAAGTTCTCAAGGTACTCAAGGCACGACGCATATCGGCTGCAGCAGAGCAACTCCATTCAATAAAAGATTCACGAATATATATATATATATATATATATATATATATATATATATATACATGCCTATAGAACGTATGGTTTCAAGAACATTAATGCATAGTTCAAGAACATGTCGTGGATGAAGGATGAGGGATGGACCGCTCAGAAAAAGGGTTACCTCGCATAAAAGTCGTGAATAAGTTCACGTACTTCTGGAACAAGCTCTAAAAAATTCCTGAAGTTGATATTGTCGATGACTTTGTTCTGGTTGGAAGCAGAATCACCTTCATCAGCAACACATTTATATACATTTATTTATATCTGAGAGAGAGAGAGAGAGAGAGAGAGAGAGAGAGAGGGGGGGGGAGTGTGAAGCATATCCAGATAAATATCAGGAGAAAAAATTTCATTCAGTGCAAAGGGTAAGTAGATAAATATATTTACAGAGCTATACATATATATCTAGAGAGAGAGAGAGAGAGAGAGAGAGAGAGAGAGAGATGCCTTGAGCTCTGCCCTGTCAAAAGAAGCGAGCGCACAAAGACCACCATAGATTGCAATGTCCTGTGGTGCTATGACCTCGGTGTAGTTGTTACTCAACTCCGGACCCGTCTCCAAGAACTGAAAGTACCATAAAAAATTGAAAGAAGCGAGAGGATTTCATCAATATCAGAACCCAAAAACTGACAAATATAATCGAATAGATACCCTTATTTCTAAAGATAGGGATCCTATTTTTCCCATAAGTAAAGTATGGAATTTAATAATTAAAATAAAAAAGAACTTCGGAAGGTTTCCTCAAACCAGAGTTCCCTTCACGTTATAAAGTTTTGAATATAACTGAATCAGATGAGGGCAGAAGTGAAGAGAGAGAGAGAGAGAGAGAGAGAGAGAGAGAGAAAGAGATATGAAGAGAGGGTCTCCTTGTTCAATCAACCTCTACTAAGTCCGAACTAATTGGATGGCCTGCATGATTTGATGCTAGATTTTTAACGCATTCGTTGAGATCATCTGCAGTCATCTTCCTTTGGACAAATTAGCCAATCCAAAAGAGAAGGCTCTGTTAAAGATTCTAAACGGAATAAAAAAAAAAGATCTGATAATCTAGAAGGCGTATAAAGGTCTGAATTCAAAAGGGAAAAAAAAGAAGCAAAGGTTCCCCAACCCCCATTCTCTCTCTCACTCTCTTCCCCTCTCTCTCTTCAAGCTTTTAGCTACTTTGACATGAAACCCAGGGTAGAAGGTGGCAGGCGACATGGGGAAGGCAGTTGACCGAATAGTTCAGCTGAAGCAGAGCACTAGATGAATCAGTAGCAACAGCATTCATATCTTTTATCATCAAGTTAAAAGTGCCCATACCGTGCACTTGCTGACCAATCATTTAATGGAGGAAGAAAGGTCATGCTGAAGTGTGATTACCAGGGATCGAGTTGACCAAACAGTGCTGGACTAAATCCTCCCTCACGAAGAGAATAAACATTGCAGATGGAATTATCGTCGGCTAAGATACCAACAAGAGATTAGAATTTTGGACCAAAAGAGTCCCTAAACCCTGAAATAGGATATGACTGAGGTGAAAGGGCAGCAGGAGATAGAGAGAGAAAGAGAGAGAGGGAGAGGGAGAGGGAGATAGATAGATAGAAATATAGATAGATATAGAGAGCGAGAGAGAGAGAGAGAGAGAGAGAGAGAGAGAGAGAGAGAGAGACGTGAGCCCAGCATTTGGGGCCACCTCTCTCTCTCTATCTATCTCTACCAACAAGAGATTAGAATTTCCGGCCAAAAGAGGCCCTAAACCTGAAATAGGATATGACTGAGGTGAAAGGGCAGCAGGAGATAGAGAGAGAAAGAGAAAGAGAGAGAGAGAGAGAGAGAGAGAGAGAGAGAGAGAGAGAGAGAGAGAGCCCAGCATTTGGGGTCACCTCTCTCTCTCTCTATCTATTTCCACCTATCTCTACCGAGAAGAGATTAGAATTTGGGGCCAAAAGAGGCCTTAAACCCTGAAATAGGATATGACTGAGGTGAAAGGGCAGCAGGAGAGAGAGAGGAGGGCCCAGCATTGTGTATCCTATCGTGCCCCAAAAGAATATAGACCCTTCACATGATAAGGGCTACCTGACAAAGATCACAGACCGATTACTAGCATATTCGTAATAATAAATGGGTCATCGTACCCTTTTTTAGGCATTTATGAAGAATTATCCTTCTTTCACATATCTGCATAACACAAATTTGGCCTTCAATCACTCTCTTTGCAGACTGTTTAATATAAACTGTTCACTCTCTTGCAGGAAACATTTACCACTAGACAACTCCACCCTCTCTCAGTCCATCTTGAAAAATATGTAATATTTCTCTCATGTATTAATTAAGCAATCGTAAACTCAACAAGCAAGGTCCAGTTTATGGTGCAAATATTAGAAGCTCCAACTCTTTGATGATAATGTTATGTTCTTCAGGTTTCATTCAAATCCTGGTCCAATACCCTCGTAAATGAAATCATTAATAAAGTGGAATAGAGTAAATCATAGAGATAATTACTTGGGAGTAAGAGAGGGGGGTCCAAATTTTCCAGCATCTCAGTTAATTCAGATTTACCATAAATGAAACTTGAAACAAACAGCTGAGGTGTTGGAAAAACAAGATCTAAAGAAGAAATGACAATCGCCAAGGAGAAAAAAACAAACAGCTGACTATAGCGGGAAAAAATACTCATAAGACCATCTTATATCATATAGAGTCTGCTTTAACAATCTTTTTATTCTTGAAAAATGGATTATTTCTTCAGAACTAAATTTTTAATTTGATTTAATCCAAAGATTCCTACAAACTGTTTGATGCTTATTAGTCAGTCACCAAGATCCAAAATTTCCACCTTACGAAAAGAAGAAAAAAAGAAACCTTGCAAACAGGGAAATCATGACACAAAAGGGGGGGAGGGGTAGTCCCCACCGGAATTCATAGTGGATGGGACACCATAAGCAGACGGGAATGAGTGCAATGAAGTAGTTTGGGAGGGATAAATTAATCATTTACACATTTCAGCCTGGAATAAACTAATTTTTTGGGAATAAATGAAATGGAGGAAATAAATGATAAAGGTAAGACAGTAAAGATTTATGAATAATTGAAGTATTGACGGCATTATTGACAAAAAAGACTACATTAAAAGGAAAAAAAACACACAAAAAAACCAACACAGTGTTCCAGATAGATGGAACATTAATCCTAAGGAAACCTGGAATCTAGTCACTCTGATTACACTCGCACAAGATACATCAGAACTGACGCACCAAGGTTGCCTCAGAGACATGGAACAAAGAAGGAATCATCGGTTTAAAGAACAGAAGTTCATAACATGAAAAGTTAGCAGGGAAATAGAAAAGAATCTTTGGTCAATGTAGTGACTATCATTTCTCACTAATTGGAAATTCTAGAAAAATTAATCTTTGCGGAGACTCAAACGCTACCTAATCTACCACCTTCATTAGAAGATGCAAGATTGCCCCAGGGATTTTCTCTTTCTTTTCATTTTCCTCGTTAGTTTATTTTACACTGAGTCCATCGATTCTTTACAATCGGGAGTTCCCTTCCAACTTTTATGTAGACACTTGAAATTTAGAATAAATGATCCTAGCACTATGCATTTACCTTTAGAATAAACTATGAGAGTACCAGGATAACGAATTTCATAGCGCATGGAATTAAAAGTTCATTAACTTGAGCAAAATGACAAGCGGTTCCATCCTCAGAAATTTAAATGGAATAAATTATTTTCTTCCTTCCAAAATGATTGTGGGACTTGAAACCAAGGTATTGTTAAAACAAGAAAGAAAATAATAGAATAAAAAGGGTTTAGGGCCTAGATCTGAAGGCTGAGAATGATACCAACTGAGACCGTCTTGGTTACAGCTCTCAAAGGCCACAGTTTAGTCAACCTATGCTTAAAATGCTATCCAAACCGTAGATTCTTTCAAAGACTACTTGGATCATCCATGTATGCGTCAGAGATCATCGCCATAAGTAAAAAAATGTGAAAACTACGAACCAAATTAAGACACCACAGTCTCATACAGTACATTGAAGAGAATACATTGATGGAAAATAAATTAGACAAATGTCATACCAAGTGCATTAACGAGATTCATAAGTTGTTCAGGAAAGAAAACCACAAGGTTTTCAGGAATTGACTTCACAACTGGAGGTCATGTCTTACCACCATTCACATAACTTTTCATTGCATGCATATAAATTTTTCGGTAAGCAATCGACCTGACATCTATGAGGCCATAGAAGCCACGTAATATTGCATCCATAAAGTTCGACAGGGACAACGCCAAAACGGGTAGTTCACAGCAAAGTGAAAGCAGTAGATGTCAAACGAACCTTGCGGGCTGCAAGCTTGTATTTTTTGGTTTCCAGAAAAGCCAATCCAGCAGCACATCGCAGCTTTGCAACGGTTACAGAATCAAGTACATCTGGAGGTTGCTCTGCTTTACTTACATAGTTTGACACATGCATGAACTGGCCCAGTTCAATGCTAACGAGTATGACATTCAAGCACATTTGAATTATATGTTTTGAGGTCGTGCAATAATCACGAGTTCTGACATAGTTCTTGAATGCCTCTCCAAGATTACCATGAGCATAGTAAAAGTCCCCAAAATCATTGTAACCCATTCTAATGCTTTCTTTTATCAAATTTGTCTGCAAATGTAAATATAACAAAATAAGAGCTTCAAAATTTATTGAATATAAATAGAAATTGAATAACATGATGCAATATGTCCTCAAATTAGAGAGATGAATACATTGGCAGCACCGTCCTGAGAGGATCGTCACAGGGCGTGCCAGGCTGATTTGCAAAAATGGGTACGCCTCATGGTTCAAAAAATTGAATCTTTTCTCAAGTTTATCCATCACATACAGCTCAAAGATAAAAAATGTAGAGAAAACCGTGAATTCAATTTTCACTACCAAGGCTTCACCCCGAAGCAGAAGTAAGTCTTAACTAAATTACAGTCACTAGGTAGCTGCATGCAATTGCATTCAACTACAGATGAGGCATAAAAATTGATCAACAGATAATCTTCAACAAAGTCTAATTCTGTGCCCCAAATGGATTCAAACTTGCCATATTTCTTAATCCCTGTTTGAGTGAAATCAGCTAGTACTATAAATTACAAAAACTGAATAAACTTTGTACTAAATCAATTGATAACCGTTGAAGGAAAAATTGCCCCAAAAAATAAGTAAAATTTTGGGCATTCTCAACGTCCCCACTCTTTTATCAGCTTTACAGGTGATCAACCTCATGTTTTTAAGAAAAAATAGACATTGCAACACTCTAGTTGTGAGTTATATGTGACCGTGAAACTTAATGGTAGTTTTCCATTCATCCAGGGTGGACGGGAAAAAAAAATTCAGCCCTCAGCAAGGATGAGCTACTCTGACTTTCGGTCGTTCAGCATTGATATCACATATGGTCTACACTTACGGCTTATACGTCTGTCTTACCAACAACCCATAGTATGACATACTAGTAACAAATTATTCTGTGCTGATCATCTAGCTTAGTCTCCTAAGTCGCGGCTTCTAGCGATAAACAAAATGGAAGCAAGATCAGAATGACGAAAAAAGGAAAGGCTTAATAGTCAATTTCACGTAAAATACCCTGTAGCCATTTAGTTCGTTCTCAAGCTTCTCCTTGCGCAGCTCAGCACGGCGGTCAACAGTGTCGACCCAGGCCTGATCCATCTCGTACTGCGGGCCCAGGCGTCCGCCGATCTTCTGGACGACCTCGCGGTACATCTGCGTATTCTCCCCCTTCTTGATCTCGTCATAGGCCATGCGAAGGGCTTCGATCTCCATCCCCTGATTCCCACACCGCTCGGCAACGAACAACAACCTGCTAATCTTCGTCCTCCCGCTGTACAGTCCCGCGTACGCCTCCACATCCATCTGCTCGCTGCTCACAGAAGGCCTGCTGGACCCGCCGTTGGCCGCCGCCGGCTCTGCGTCGACCATCGCTCCGAGACCGTCCTCCTCCGCGTCCATTCCGGTCGCCGCCCTCCCGACGAACTTCACCTTTCGTTCCACGCCGGCCTGGGAAATCTCCGCTGCTTCTTCCTCCAAGAGAAACCCTAGCACAGCCGCAGCCGCATTGCCTGCGGCGCCGCCTACTCCCCCTCTAATCCCCTCTCCTCCGACGGTTCCGCTCCACTGCTCTCTGTCTCTCTCTCCTCTCTCTATTTTCTCTCTACCCCCTTCTGAAGGGAAATTAATGGGCCGCCCGGCCCCCTTTCCCTTCGGGTTCATATCACACCTGAAAGCCCATTATAGGCCCAATAATCATTGTGATGGGCTGGGCCATCTCTCATACAAATGTATAGAGAGAGTAGAGAGATGAATACGTGTTGGCCGAATCCGAGTCAACGGTGATCATTCTATTTTTGCGCGTCAATCTTACAGGGGTATATATAAAAATTTTGGTTCTCTCGTATTTTCCTACGTCATCCTCCTTTCTGCCGTTCTCTGTCGCCGTCTGTCTCTCTCTCTCTTGCGCTCTGCGTATCTCGAGGTTCACCCGTCATTCCTTGGTCTCAAAATATTAAATGGATGGTCACTCCTAATCCACCCTAAAATAATCCACATTTGAGATTATATCCAATTCATTATTATATTTAGTTAGCATCCCTCTGAGACAACCATAACGAGAATGAGGATAGAATGTCAACAATATTTTATACAGGGATGTAAGTCTAAACTTGTCAACCAGAATTGAAGAACTTTATGTAATTTGCCGAGGCAACGAAGAAAATTTCATACTGATGAAGAGATAGAGATAGAGAGAGAGAGAGAGAGAGAGGAGGTACGAGATCTTCCGGCACGAACAAAAAGGCTACCCAGGTCAACACGCTGGCTTTGGAAGAACTATTATACAGTAAAACAGGAAATCAGCCCATTCCGAACCAAACCAGAGGATCCATGGGCCAGAATGATAAACCAAAGTCAACCCATAACCGCTTTCTGCAGCGGGCTAAGCGCCCCCTGGTCGTTGACTTGGAGGTGGGGCCGTCCAGTAGAGCTTGCTCAGGAGGAGGGTCTTCTCCCTCTGGAAGGGACGTTCCTCATGGTCAACGATCTGGCTCTCCCATCTCATACCGTCCTTATAGCTCTTGATCTTCTCCAGCCCCGTCGTCAAGAAGAAGAAGAAGAAGACGGTGAAGAAGACGAAGAAGGTGACGAGGTCTTCTCCATGGTCAACACCTATTCTCGCACAGAGTGACTATCGTGTCGGCGTGGAGGAAGTCGTAGGTCTTTGGATATGTTGCCATAGCCTCGCACCTGCGTGAGGAGAAAGGAGGTTGAATCAGGTAGGAGGACGACGAGTTCTTTAATGGCGAATGGAGGGAGAGCTTACCGGTTCTGGTGGTTCCCGACCATCCCGCTCTGGAAGAAAACGCCGACTTTTATGACCAAGGCGGCGGAATCGTGGCCGATGCTTGGCGCGGCGGCCGTCAACCTCTCTGGCCACTTCCCGAGCTCCCCGCAGGCGAACCCTCCTCCATCCTCCAATTCTGGCGAGCCCCCCGGCGGCGCCGCCATCGTGACGATCCTCCTCGGCATCTGGTCGCCTCCCCAGCTCCGCCGCGGTGTGGTGGGCAGCGAAGTCCAGCGCCGGCAGGTCGATGACGGCGGGGAGCTTGCAGGTGCCGGAGACCAGGAACATGTCTGGAAAGATGGTCACGTAGCCGCGCGTGTTTTGGTAAACGCCGAGGTAGTACGAGGCGGCGAAGAGGACGGTGACGAAGAAGACGGCGGAGAGGTCTCCGCCGATCAAAACCCGCCGGCGCAGCTCCCGTACGCTGCGGCCGGCCATGGCGTCGGTCTCTGCCGGCCATCTGAAAGTGGGGCTTTCTGAATATATATACTGGTTTCATAACGATACAGTTGAAGGCACATAGACAAATAAAACATATTTGGGGATATTTATGTATCTTTTATAACCTATTAGTGAGTAATTTGAGATAATCCTCTTCTGTGGTCGTCGCGGTCGGTATTACATTTATCTCGGTCTATTGTCATTATTACCTTGTGGTTTTCGCCTTATTTGTGCGACTGTGATTTGGGCCGTCAACGAGACGAATGGGCCGGGGCTTTCAGCCCAGCTCGACATGGCCCGGTTTGGGAGAGAGAGAGAGAGAGAGAGAGAGTCCACAAAGTGGGCTTGACCTGGTTTTTCGTAGGCCCGCTCCCGGCCCGGGTGGGCCCGTTGACAAAGCTTCTTCGAGGGGTTTCCAGATGTGAGGGCAACGATTGCACGATCAAGTAGTTATTCGATAGAGAAAGAGTTAGAGAGAGAGAGAGAGCGAGATAGAGAAAGAGTGAGAGAGAGAGAGAGAGAGAGAGGGGGGGTCCGCCGGCGTCATCAGGGAATCCGTTTTCTTGGAGCTGCGGGTGTCGGACAACGAACGCCGTTGAAATCCGGCGCCAGGTCGCCGGAGGTTATCCTGGGCATGATGGGTACCTAGGTCGGCTGAAAAAGCCGTTATTCTCTCTCTCTCTTTCAGTCCCTCTATCTCTGTTTCTCTCCCTCCCCCCCTCTCTCTCTCTCTCCATCCCTCTCTAGTCTTTCTCTCTCTCTCCCCCCCTCCCTCTCCAGTCACTCTCTCTCCCCTTCCCTCTCTACCTCTCCCTCAGCGCTAAAGCATGGTGGAAGACGGACGGACCATGGTCCATAACGTACATGTGGACGTGGCTTAGCTTAGGCATCTGACCTAGTCTATTTTTGTTGGTAATCAGAGCTCGTCACAATTTAAGATTTTTTGAAGTTTTTGTATATTCTTAAAACTCAATTAATTAAAAATACATATTTTTTTATTCTTATATAGAGAGTACATAAATATAATTAATTTTAATCTACTGATAATTAATGTGACAAAATTAAACATTTGATGACTCTTTGTTTTAAGAGTATACTATTTATTGTCATTTTTATTTAAATTAAGTGGGCTAAACTTATCAAATAATTGACTTGTTGACCTTTCCCTTATCATTAATATTGATGTCATTGATTGACTTAGTCGTTGTATAATAAATCACATAAATTTAAATTTTATAAAACTACAAAATATTAAGTTTTAAATGACAAATTAAAAATGACAAGATAAATATATAGTAATGCGAGATTTACTAATCGATGAGTCTCTTTTTCATGTGTGTACAACCACTCTTTGCCCCATGCCTAGATGACCACTAGTGATGTAAAAGTAGAGTGACTCACACATGTCTTTTATCATCTATCCTTAGCCACTAGAGCCTTTGCTCATGCCTTACTCGACTGTGCTTCTGACCCACTTACGGGCCTAGCTGGTTGACGGGTTCATCTCTTTTTTATATATTTTTATTTTAATTTATTTTCCTTTATTTTTTAAAATATTATTAGAAAAATCATGTAAATTTATATAAAATCACATAATTAGCCAAAAAATTATATTAATTAAATAAAAAACTATATCTCATAATTTAACATAAATATAAATCTATTTATCATGATTTAAGCCAAAAAATATATTATTTATCATGAGTTAATAATTAGTAAATAATATATTTTTTGGCTTAAATCATGATAAATAGATTTATATTTATGTTAAATTATGAGATATAGTTTTTTATTTAATTAATATAATTTTTTGGCTAATTATGTGATTTTATATAAATTTACATGATTTTTCTAATCATATTTTTTAAAAAATGAAAGAAATTATATTAAGATAAAAATATAGTAAAATGGGGGGGACCCGCTAGCCAGCCGAGCCTAAAAGCGGGATGGAAGTGCAATAAGGGAAGAGCTGCAAACAAGGGCTCAAGTAGTTAGGACCAATAGGGGCACATGTGCACCACTCCTTTTCTATGTCACTAGTGGCCAATTAGGTGTGGGGTAAGGAGTGGTCGTACTTGTGTGAGAAAGTGACTTGATTGTAAATGTAATATTACTATATATTTGTCAGAAACTTTGACGCATAAACGATGTGGGACTAAACTCATGTCACACCTTTGCCAAAAAAAGGACAAGTAATCGATGTAGGTTCGAATCCTCTTAGAGCCAAAACTCATATTTTTTATCTGATTATTGTGACTTTCTTACAGATCGCTGATAAGGATTAAGTCACTAGAATCATTAGATCATCAGCAAAAATCTCGTCAATGTGATTTGCGGAACATTGTTACTAAAATTGTTAAATGATTCGTGATAAAAGGATTGTGAATCCATTAAGTAAAGTATCTTTGATTAATCAACAAACAAACCGTCGTTAGGAACAAGATGATTTGCTGTAAGACGAGTCGCCACCTTTTGAGAATGTACTAGATGCGATGAAGAACCTCCTCTTGTTGCACGAACTTGAGGATGAAGCTCTTTAACAGATGCCTCACTTTTATTCACCTCCTGTCTATTAGGTGATAGCCGCCGAAGAACCTAAAAGTCGTCATTTTTATGGTCCCTCAGGTGATAGTCATCAGAGACAATTTGATGACTCATTTCATTAATATCTAGACTTCACAAAGAAATCTAGAGATTGCTCACGTCATCCTTGTCTAAGAAAAGTCTTTGAGGCTATAGATACTACATGATGATCCTTCATAACACTCAAGATTATGGTGCATCATCGACTTATCGCTGTCGTGACGTTGAAATTTTATTTTCTTACTTCCAACTTAATATCTACTTTATTTAATGATAATTTGTGTGATTTAAATTTATTAAAATATATATTATTTAATTACTTATATATGATCAATTAAATTATCTGTAATCACTTATATATGAATTGTCAAATGGAACTCTATTTTTGCTCAATCTGCATTCATTGGACGCTAACATCATCCTGAAATTCGCACCCTTATTTCCCTTTTTTGTGCATTTTAAATATATTTAATTTTCATTTCCTAGTGTAAAATTTATCAAAAATAATATTCTTTGAAAAAAATTATGAATAATTATCTGATATTATATTACATCCTTGTGATCGACTTAAAAAATTATCACTATTTTTGGAAGTTTTATTGAATTATAATTGATATATTTGTTTAAAAATACTTCTAAATATTTGAAAATTCATATTTTCTAGTTTTATATATTTTTAAATTTACGTAGTTTACTATACAATGACTAAGTCATGTCAGTTATCATTCATCAACTACATCGTGAGCTTATTAGAAATATACATGTCGTTTTAAGTATTATACTAAGTATTAATGTCTTTCTTATCATTGATTAATAATTAATTGATCATATAGTTTTAATATTAACTCATGATAAATAGACTTATATTTATGTTAAATTATAAAAAATATTTTTTAGTTGATTAACATAAATTTTTGGCTAATTATGTAATTTTGTGTGAAATTATATGATTTTAATAAAAAAATTATAAGATAAATAAAGGAAAATAAAATAAGAAGATAGAAAAATAGGAAAACCTACTAGTCAATTGAGCCCACAAGCAAGTTGGAAGCATAGTCATGTAGAGCCATGAATATGGGCTTAAGTGGCCAAAGATAGAATGGTATAAGATATGTGTCATTCCCTTTCCATGTCATCGATGGCTAACTAAGTGAGAGGTAAGAAATAGTTGTACACATGCCAGAAATAGACAACAAATCTTGAATTACTATATATTTATTTTGAAACTCGATATATAATTGATGTAGGACTAAATTGACAGTCACATTATCCTCAGAAGGTTTTTAATAATTTAATATTTAAAATATCTCTTATTTATCAAGAAGATATATCCTTATGATATTAATTTATTAAGAATATTCACATACTTATTTCACTCTCTCTCATATACATAGGTGACTGACAAGAATTCAAATCGTACAAAGCTAAAACTCATATATTTTTATCTAATTAAATCTTAATTTTCTTACAAATTTCTAGTGGATAATTAAGCTATTATAATAGTTCAATTATCAGTGAAAAACTCATCAATTAGATTTATGAAGCATCGTTATTAAAATCAATGAACGAATTTAAATAAAAGTATCATGCATTTATCAAGTAAATTATCTTCGATTGATCAATGAATAAGATGTCATTAGGAAGAGCATGATCTACTAAGAGACGAGTCGTCATCTCTTGAGAACGTATTAGATGTAATAAATAGTCTATTTTTGCTATACAAACATGAGAATAAAGCTTCTTAAGATGTGCTCTACCTCTATCTAACTTATCTTCATCAGGTAATAGTTGTAAGAGTTGCGAAGTTACTATTTTTTCACTCCGCTGAATGACAACCACTAAAGACGATTCAACAACTCATTTTATTATTAAAGAAGATTTTAAATTTTAAAGAAGTTGTTATTGACCTTTTATTATTTTTGATTTTTAAATTTCATAAGAAGATTTAGAAATTACTCATATTATCCATGTCTAAAGAAAGTCTTTGAGACCATAGATATTCTATAATAATCCTCATGGACACATATAATTTTCATAATTATTATCATGAATTAGAACTCTCTCTTTCTTATTTTAAACTTATTTTTTATTTAATTTATGGTACTTTGTATAATTTTAAGTTTTAAAACTTTTCTTGATTAAATTATGATTCTTTATTATGTAATCACTTACATAAGAATCGTTGGACGAAACTTTATTTCTACTCGATTGAGTCAACAATAATAATGTCATCTTGATGCCCACACCTTCATTATTTAATATAAAAATGATAAAAATATTATTCTTTTGAGAAAATTTTGAAATATTACATTATATTGTTTTACATATTTGTGATCTTGAAAAATTATTTATTATTTTTTAAACCTTTAATCAAATTATAATTAATTTATTTGTTATAAAATATTTCTAAAAAAATTAAAATTGATTTTATTAGTTTGATAAAATTTAAATTTACATAATTTATTATACAACAACTAAGTCAAGTCAATTATCTATTTTAAAAATAGGTCCCCATAATATTAAATAGTTTTACTGATAAAAACTTCATCTCCTAGTCATACAATCTGGATATTGACGATTGACTCCACGCTTGACGGATGAGGCCATTTTGATGAATAAAATATGTTAATATTTTGGGGTCACATCAAGTTCTGTATTACAAAATTTTATTATTGGTTACTTTATAGTACATTGTTGAAAAATCAGACGGTCGTTATATAAAAATATCAGTGTGGTTGACAGATAACTAGATGAGAATTGACCAGTTTTTTTAACAAACTGGAGGAGGTCCATGAGAAGTTGAAAGGAGGGAGGGAAGGGAGGAGAAAATACTCCGCAGCTTCCCGACACCACCAAGCCCCCTTCCTTCGTCCTCCTCCTCTCATTCTCAGACGCGGCTTCACTGAGTTGCCTCTTTGAGACCTCCTCCGGGAGGCCGTGATCAGATTTTGATGGTGAGTGCCGAGTTCATTTCGTTTCGCTGTTGTTCATTTATTTTGCGGAATGAGACGTGGGCGACGCAGCCTGGCAGCCTCTCTTGTTTGCAGAATTCGATCTGTAATGTAGGATTCAAGTAGAATTTCAGGTGGTTTTCGTAGTCATCTGTGTGCCTTCTCTATTTTCTCGGGTTGCCGATCGGTAGAATTGTATAGATTGGGATTCTTGTAGCCCACTGGTGACTGTTTGTGAATCCTAAAGTGATGGTCTCCTTTTATAAATATGCTTCGATCGTTTTATTACAGGATTCCAGTTTCTTCATCCTCCCCGAACTTATGGTTTCTTTTTGACGACTAGAGCTCTAGCCATCTCGGTTTCTGTTGCCCGGCTTCTGACTCTGGCAGGTTATGAATGAATGTATTTCCATTGTTAGTTTATGCGTTTTCTATATTTTATGCGATGAATACGAACTTCAATATACAAAGTCAGGAGCGTGAAATTACTTTCTGTATTGGGCTCGTGGCATTCCTACTTCTCCCAGGTTCCCCTACGGCTACCTTCTTTACGCCGTCACGCTTACTTTTTTGCGTCACTTGTTCTCTTAATTCGAATTCAGAACTGTGTTGCTCATATTCTTGAGATTTCTGACGACAATGAGGTTGGATTGGAGTGATCAGTGTTTTCTTTTGCTTTCCATTTTTCCTCTCGTACTCGAGTGAAGCAATAATTTGAGTAAACATGATATATGTTTTGGAAACATAATAATTTCAGGTTCCTATCTTCATCTAGGATTTTTTTTATCACTGTTTTTCGTGGTTAAATCTATGTTCGCATCATACAATGGTTTATCAGAGGGATTTTGTATTCATGAAGTGGTTTTTTATTTTTCTTTTCCAGGATGTTATCTTGATGGCAGAATTTGTAAGAAAGGGGAAGCAGAAAGTGGATGTGCGCTACGAAAACCCAAGTATTCCTTGTAAAATCGAGAAAAGTTTTCAAGGTTACTACAGTGAAAATGACTTACATTCGCTTGAAGATGTCCTCCAAGATCAGGTACAGTTGGAATGCATTTTTGTTGTAAAAGTTTTGGTGACGCCTCATGGTTAGATTCAAAATCTTCTTGCTTATGCGTACTTACACACAATTCTCTTGTTTTTTATCAATTTTTTTATAATGATGATATAAATCGATAAGATCTTTCTAAGTAATTTTATTCCTTTTTACGATTTGCCTTTCTATCCTTCTCCCATGAACCATGTCTAAAAATTTTCATCAACGCATTGAATAGAAAGTGTGCTGCAGGAAATTGTATATCAGTCACTTCAGGAGGTACGAGACAATGATATGGCTAAAGCTTCCGCATCTAATTATCCAAAACATAATCGTGAACGTGGCAAAGGCAGTAGAAGTTCTCCGTCTACTTCCATGAATTTTAACTCGCAGCTGTTATTGGATGAAGCCTTAGCTAGAGAACTGCAATGTGTGGAAGACAACCTTGCTGCTACTTCCTTATGTGGTACTGAGAGGACAGCAGGTAGGGTGAACCCTTGTTCGAAATTTCATCCCGTGGAAGGTCTCTGTCGCTATTTTTTTGTGTATAGAGGCTGCATTAATCGGTGTACTTTACTCCTTTCGTCTGGTTTCCTATTTGACTCTTTTGTTTGCAGCATTGCCTGTCAATACCCATGGTTCTATCCATCAGTCAAAATTTTCCTTTTGGTTTTCTCAAGATAATGCTTGCATTTAGGTCGGACAAGGAGTGGCTACACTCTCGACCAAATTATTCGTTTATGTAATAATCAAGAGTTCTTTCGAGAACGTGCTAGAGATACATCCTTTCCGGAATTATTTAGTTTCTTACATAGTTTTTTTCCAGGAAAGACATGTTTAATTAACATCAATGTTTTTCTTGCATAAGTATGTATATATGCTTATAACTTCATGGCTTCATGGAAGCCCATATCTTCTTGAAATTATGACCACCAAAAATGTATCTATTGAAAAAAATTCAGTTATTTTCTTATCATTTTCCTTTTCATGGTCGTCAGCTTTCATAACCAAGCCATATTGATTTTTCTGCTATTTGTTTTCGTGCTGTCTGGTTCTGAAAGGGACATCAGTCGAACTTGGAAATGATGTGACAATTGCAACGGGCATAACTGCTTTGGTAAAATGCTTTTTATGAATTGATTTGTCTTTATTTTTAACGGATTTATAGCCCAATGTTTTTGATTACTCATATTTATCGACATCCCCACTTTGATGTGCAGGCTACTGAGCAAGCCGGTATCGTTTCAGACAATGCGACTTATGAGGTTGTCTGAACCATCAGATGCAGCCTGTCCTGCCATTTTGACGTTTGGTTTTTGCTTTCCATTGCTGTATGACGTCATTTATTAATGCTCTTTGATGATTTCCTCTTGAGAAGACTATCTCATGGCATTTATTTTGTCCATAACATTTCACTGAAAGTTCTCATACTCTTTCCTCGAAAATATGTGATTTCGGTAGAATATTCGCGGTTTATCTGTCAATCTACTTGTCGAAATTTGTACTTTCTAGAACAGAGCTTGCAATTTGCTGGCTTTCTTTTGAGGATCGACAATTGTTTATCTGCTGCTATAAAGCAGCTAAATGTACACACCATACGGCAAAAGAAGAAAAAAGAGAATTATATATAAAAATGAAGGAAAACCGAGGTTTCTTTTATTATATGACAAGGCGCTTAATAGTACGGGTTGAGCTAAAAGAGAATGAATGAGTCTCTTTTTTATTTTAGTTGTTGGTCATGATTTTTTTCCTACAACTCCCCCCCAACCTCCCCAAGGAAAAAGAGAAAAAAGGAGCTTACTGTTTTCGTGAATATTCCCCATAGCAATTTTGTTTTTACAAATATAGGATTTAACTTGTTTCATTCTTAGAATTTTGTTGTGAACTCGAGGAAAGATCATTGTTTCAACTATGGTGGCTTGAATAAGTATCTTTGGCCCACCTCGCAAGAAGGTGTATTCCATTTGTGAATGTCCTGTCCTTTTTCGGTCAACTTTCCAAAAAAATTCAACAATTCTTTCCTACGGCTGGACTCGAGGAAAGATCATTGTTTCTTGCAATAAAATCAGATACAGTTGGAATTGCAAACTGCATATGGAGGGTCCTTGAAGGTTCTTCTTCAGTGCATGTTTTATATTAAAATCTGCTGTCATCGCATAGATATTTTTGGATTGCAACCTTTCTTCTTGTCACTGTTATGTGCCAAAGCATGGTTTCTTTCTGAATATTAAGTTATTCTCGCTAGCTCGGATGAACTCTTGTTTCTGTTACCATAAAGAGAGGACGTCTGGCTCTCTAAGAGTGAGGATTCTTGCATTTCACTGAGTGATAGATTAGGTTTGTGGATAAACGCACTTATCAAAAGGAAGTCAGCCTAGCCTGTATAGAAAAGTCATAAAGCAAGTATATGAAATCCCAAGCTCTATCAATTTTAGATTCGAAGTATGGTCCAGTGAAATGGCAGTTGTAACTAGTGGATAACAGTACTCTTTAAAAACAATAACTCATGTTCTTTTGTTCTCAGTGTGACAAAAATCTTGAAAAGATCGTAAACGGATCATACTTTGTGGTATCCTGCATGATCTTAGTGCCAAGAACAGAGTCCTTTCTGTTCGAGAAGTTACTGGCCTATTTCAATGAACCACATATTTGCATCCACTTCTTGGAATGAATCCAATTCATATTGAACAAATTAATTTGCAAACATTTATGGGAACTTCAGTATTATAGCTTTTATTTTCTTTAGTCGGTGCAATTCAAAATTCTCAGTTTTTGGACCCCTTGATCATCAGGAATTGCAATCTCTTGGTGAAGCTATTGGTACTGAATCCAGAGGGCTGTCAGATGAGCTCATTTCCTTCTTGCCGCCTTTTACATACAAAACTGGATTCTTCTCAAGGAAAGACAAATATGATAAGTAAGCACTATTTGGTTATGATTTTGTAATTTTTTATTGGTTTATCGGTTGAATTCTTTGTGGTATACTACATGACTGAAAGCTTTTGTGATTTCTCTTAAATTGCTCAGAAAATTAACTATTCTTGTTTGCCTCCTCCAGCAACAAATATTCGCCTTGGGTGAACACATTGTATGTAACCAGCTTCCTTATTCCAGTCAGTTTGCACATGATAAGTAGAAATCTAATGGTCACTAGGCACTTTCCTTTAGCCAGTTGCCTGCATAATGCAAATTCTGATGATTTCCCTTTGGAAGAAACAAGTTATAGAGTAGGATAAAAGGACACTTGGATTACGTTTGCCCCGTTTGCCCTTTCTCTGACCTGCTCTTAAATAGTTGAAATTTATATTTCATAGATTTCAGAAATATTCTATGCGCCAATAGTTTTGTATTTCAACGATCAGGAGAATTAGAGGGTTAGTTAGGGAAGTTACAGAGACGAGGGTAAAATGTTGGAGGGAAACGGTGGTTGCTATATCTAACGTTGTGATTCAACTATCTGAGAACCCAATCATAAGAATGCCCTCTGCTCACAGCATCATCTCGACCATCAGAAACGATTGTTTCTCAGGCAAATTGAGCTCAGACTTGGGTTTTGTGAGTGATCTTGTGATCCCAAGAACGTTCATGTCAGTCAGTCTTTAATCCCATCCCCCCCCCCCTCCCTCTCCTCCTCCATTGCATTTATTCTTGCTGCTTTATGATCAAAATTCGTACATTTGTACTTAATACAGATGTGCAATCTGCTGTGATGATTACAAAAATCGAGAAACCTTGATCACCTTACCCTGTCAACATCACTATCACTCTGTCTGCATCAGAAAATGGCTGAAGATTAATAAGGTGGGTTTCTTTTACGTGTCTTTTAATTTTTCATAATTGCTCTAAATCATCAATGTCCCGTTATATTGTCTGAAAAATTAAAAAATTAATGTGTCTTGTAGAATACTTCGATCATATTATTTTCCACATATTATTTATAATATGGGGGGTTGAATAAATTTAAGATTATTGCACTTGTACTAGTATCCTCTACCCTTTATATGCACTCATTTTTTATGGTGATTGCCAATTTTTTAAACTCGAGAGTCGTTCTCGTCATTCTTTCCCTTTCCACATATTTCTTTGTAATAATGTAAAGAGATGGACCAAATGGTGTCTCAACAGGTGTGCCCGGTGTGTAACAATGAGGTCTTTGGTCCCTAGTCGGCGACGACCCGGAGACCATATGCAGAGGTTCTTTCAGTAAGTAGAATTTCATATGGTTTTCCTTTTTTGGGACAGAAAAATCTTCCATATTTGGCAAGATTTCACGGACATTTGAAGTTTTGGGTGGGTTGTAAGTAAGATCCTTGGCTTGTGCTTGTGTGTGTGAACCTTGTGCTTTGACAGTCTTGATGGTCTCAGTGCTTTTCATATGGTTTGCCTTTTTGGGACGAAAAAATATTCCATATTTGGGAATATTTGACACTTGAAGCTACAGGTGGATTGTAAGTAAGCTCCTTGGCTTGTGTTTGTGTATGTGAACCCTGTGCGTTGACATCCTTAATGGTCTCAGTACTTTAGGTCAACTCTCTGGAGAGCGCGAGAGAGAGAGAGAGAGCATAATAGTAGGTCAATGCTGTTAATATCATTTATTAGTGCCTAGATCGGAATGAATATTATTAAACTTGGGATAAAATCATTGGCAATATTTGTATGGACATTTGAAGTTATGTGAACCTTGTGCGTTGACATCCTTGTTGGTCTCAATGCTTTAGGTCAACTCTATAGAGAGATAGAGAAGAGAGAGATAGAGTGCATAATAATAGTTCAATGCTGTTTAATATTATTTATTAGTGCGTAGATCAAAATGAATATGATTAAACTTGGGATAACTTCATCATTTCTTGGAGAAATGAAACAAATGAGGAAGTGATCTCACTCGTGTTCGTATTTTCGTATTATTATTTTATTTTTAAAATGGGAAAATATGGGGGTAACCTCCTAATGTCCCGAACCGGGTCTTACGGGCTCATCGAGCAATTTTATAAAATAGAAAGGGGATACAAGAAATGACGTCACGTCTCCTTTCATTTCTGAATAAGTGACTGTAAATTTTCATTAATTACGCTTTTGCGCTGATACTCTCAGAAATTTTATTATACCCTTAGGTTCCTCTCTATTGGCGGCGTGAGAGAGGAGTTACAGCGCGCCGCGCTGGCACGTCAGATAATAAGAGGGAAAAGTATGAGGGTTTTTAATGAAAACTTGTAAATCAGATAAAGACCAACCGACGGACAGCGGTGTACCCTCGCTTCCCTTTTGTTTTATTTTATTCTCTCTCTCTCTCTCTCTCTCTCTCTGTGCAGTTCTCCTCGGTTTCTTCCTTCCATCTGATCGCGCTTCATGCCGCGGGTCATGGCGAAGTAGGCGGCGCCTCCAGCCCCAGCTCTCTCGGAAGCCGAGTTAAGAAGTGTTGGCCCCGTCCTGGTTCGCTCGAAAGACGAGCTAACCTCCGGATTCGCGGTCCGTTTCCTGTGTTTATTTCTATCAGGTCGGGGTTTTTCTCTCCGAAGAGAGAATTCCTTATTTTTTGGGCGCAGTGGTGGCGATGGTGATTCGTGAACAGGTGGGCGACATGGGGAATCGGTGCGATTTCTTGGAGTGGCTCGGCTCGGATACGTCCACCGCCGTTCTCGCCTGCTTGGACGACCCCGCCGACATCGTCCGCGCCAGCTCCGTCTCCCGCGCCTGGCGGCGCTTCGGTGAGGCCTCTCGCCTCCGCTCCTCCCCTTCTCATCATGCCTGCCCCTCTTGGCTCTGTGTCATTCCACCGGTGCCTCTTCGGTTCCTCGTCTTTTGAAGGAAAAAAAACACGAGACCTCCTTTATCATTCGTTTGATGCCCAGGAACCAACCGATCTGGTCGCGGTTACGAAATGACTGTTGATGATTTCCTGGCAACTAAGATGTTGACCCGGCAGTGTGATTTCGAACGGAGTTTTGCCGATGAGTCAGAATAACGAGGTTGAAGAAAATTTTTACCTTTGATTTGGGAAAATGTGGAAGGAGAAGTCGGTTCCAGAAATCGTTTCTCACGGCGTCACAACTCCGGGTTGTCTCTTTGATGTCTCAGTCTCCAGGCTTTGTTCTGGTTTTCATAGATCAGTGGGATGGAAATGGATGAATTTTAATTCACTCTTGTAGGGAGAAAAAAATGCATTTACACCTTGCATTTTCCCAGAAATACTAATATTCTCAAGGATATTGTGACCTAAGAAATTTTTCGGTTTGATGTTCTTGTTTTTGGAGAGGATTTTTGGAAATTATTGGCTCCATATTAAACAGCTTCGGAGACTAAAATACATGGGACCAACGGTAAAAGACTGCTATTAATAAACAGATCAGCTGGTGAAAGAAAATAGGATTGGCAATGGTCTGTTAGCATTCCCCATTCTTGGCTGAGAAAAGTTTGTTTGGTCCTGGGAAAAGAAGGTAATTGAATTCTATCTTTCTTGTGTGGTGGATTTTCCTTTTCTAAAACTATCCTCTTTACCTCTGGAATAAATTTTCAAACGGCACTTTGGCCATGAGTGAATAATCTAGGAGAGCCTTTGATTCAATGGTTGATTTTGTATTATAAATCAATTATGCTTCAAACGTTTTGTTGTGTGTCCGTCTTGTTGACATCTCAAAGTTTAGAGCATATAGTATATGTTATATGTTTTAGACCATAAACTTCTTGATAACATTAGAACTTTGGAAAGAAAATATTTGAAATAATTTTTCAGACCCCAATAACCAACACAGCCAACCTTGGAACTTCAGTTGATTTTAGTCGCGTGGGTAGGTTTACATATATATCTTTGCATTTATGTTTATGTGCCCTTATTTAACTTTTAAAGATGTCGTGTTTCCCTTTATCAATGATAATACCAAAGACCTTGATCGTAGTCATCAGTGACACCTGTCCTGAGTGGCTATCTTTTGGAGGGCAGCCTTATGACTTGATTGGAAAATAATTTATTCATTAGATGTGTATTCTCACAAGGAACTCGGTAAAGTGAAACAATAATCTTCGATATCTTCTGCCCAGGTAATCTAAGAGATGCCGATGTCCTGAGATTGATGATAATTTGTTGAAGTTGAGGACTAAAGAGGCTGGTGGCTTATCCTGTATGCGATTCGTTGGGTAATGTAGGATGAGGGGAGCAATCGGACGTTCAGGAAACAAAGTCAGCAAGTAGAGAATGTCATCACTACCTTTTATGATACAGTGAGGGAGTGTCCTGACTTGTTGTTTGGGGAGTGATGCACCCTTTCAGTTTGGGAGCGTTGAGTGTTTAATACTGTCTTCACTATCTTTGTGTGCCCTCTTGAGCTTAGGTACAGGGCTCTATGAGGGCGAATGTATAAACCTTTTTCTCTTTGAACTTCTATGAATATTCACTCTAAAAAATGAAACAGATCCAAGGTTGTGTACTGGCCTCGTCTATTTTCTTATCAGGTGTATTTCCTGTCTTGTTTTGTTTCAACATTTTTCTGTGATTTTTTTCTAGGTGGAATGCATACACTTGAATTCATATTTCGTCATCTTGCTTTGCTCATGAAATCACGTTGCCATTATGTCCGGACATAATTTATCATCTATTGTCCGGGTGATGTACTCACTTCTCTTGCCAAAAAAACCTGCAACTTTGTCCTCTTCATCTACCGGAAATAGTTTATTGAGACATGCTGCTGTAATCTTGAGTGTTTTCTTTTCTATGTGAGGCTGTGTGACTGATATAGTAGGGGATTGACTTGAATTTCTAATTTCTGGATTTTTTTCTGAACACTGAAAATCATGAATGCCTTACTGGTGTGGTTCAAAACTACCAAAGTTTTCCATATTCTTGTGTTTTTTTCTAAGGGATGGCCTGAAAATGGATTTCATGCGATCGCTTCTTGTACATCAGCTTGTTTTGGTTTGATATCAAGATATATCTCTTAATATCCTCTTCTGCTTATCTTGTCTTAACGTACTCGGGATGATGGTTATGGGAGTTTTTGTGGATGGTATGCTAAAAGTAGAACTTTTTTCTTTCTGGATCTCAGTTATTTCAAATGGGTTCTGTAAGAAGTTGTGCCAGAGAATGTACCCAGAGGTGTCAAATCTGACCCGCATTGTTGAAGTGAGCAACTCTAGCGATCCTGTAGAATTAGCATCTGGCAGCTCCGACGAATGGGGAGGTCTTCTCAGAGAACACAGAACATATACCTCCTTGATTCGCCATCTTATTTCTACTGAATCAAGAAGGGATATCATGCTAGAGCCTGTTGGTGCATCGAGCACTGATAATTATCCTGACGAGAGTATCGATAACACATTGGAGCCTAGCGATCGGATGGACGCAATTCCTTCCTACTGGTCAAGCGGTGGGTCTAGAGATCCTGATGCCCCTGAGACTCTCACCTACAAGCTGAGCTCAAGGCTTTGTGTGGTTCATGAGATAAAACTGCGGCCGTTCCAAGGTTAGCTCGCCAATGATCAGAGAAACTCGATCCTACCAGCTTTCGACTGATTTTCTTTTCACGTTTTCATTCTTTTAAAAATGATTCTGTATATTTCGTCTCAGCATATTTCCAGCCGGGGGATCCCATATACTCTGCAAAAGCTGTGCGATTTAGGATGGGACATTCCAAACCAGAGCCAAATTACTCACAAAATTCCGGGGAAGCATCATTAAAAGATTCTAATGACTTTGTTTGGACGCATGTTTCCCCAGTGTTTCCAATGGCACAGGTGATTTCACTGCTGTAGTTCTCCCTTTCATGATCGTCCGGATAGTTTGATTCATCATGGGCTAGAGCAGATTAGTTATCTTCTGTCAATAATCCCTTACTGATTATTTATGGATTTTTTTTTGATATAATTTCTGTGAATTAGAAAGCTCAGCATGCTCAATTTACATTGTCCCTCGTATTGGCTATTTGTGGAAGTCAACATGTGATTTGATGAATTTCTCGTCAAGGTGTATTTTTTTTTTCCTTGTACATTTTTCTCTTCTACCAAAACAACATCACACTTCCCTGATACCACCTTGGAATATTACAAAAACTGGAGCAGGAGGACCACATTTCATACCACAATAAGCACCTCTGTCCCTGCTTGTGGTTGCTATTTGTGTTAGTTTCTCTGCCCATTGGGGTCCCTTTTCTCCCATGGCTGTGGCTTCTTCACCCACCATCTGCTTGGGCCACCGCCAGACCTCTCAGGTTCGTTGACTTAACCTGGTGGTTGACTCATCTAGGAATGAGGATGGATCAGCAGCCCAACCCATACCAGCCGATTCCTGGGAGACTGATCCAGCGTTGACTGGCTGCCTCAAATGAGTTGCTGTAAGACGAGGATATGAGAAAACCTTGGATCAACAAAATTGGCTGATTTGAGCAGGAATTTTGCAATGTCTGGAGACACAAGAATAAAATCATCTGCTGGTTGTGTTCTTCTCTTCCTCTTCTATTCTAGGATTTACCCCCAAAGTTTTTCATAGTTTTCTCCTGTCGTCAAGTCAAACAGGACTTGTTGGTAGGTGATCTTAGCTTTCAGAAGATTTTTTTTCCAGTTTGGGTGTGTAAATCACGGATTCAGGGGATGGGTTCCTTAAGAAAGTAGATGAACTCCATCGATTTTTCTATAATCGGAATCTGATAATATTCCTGCTTCATCAGGCCAATGTACTGCAGTCCTTCAAGCTTCCAAGGCCAGTTCTGTGCATCGGCGGGGCGCTGCAGATTGAGCTGCTGGGGAGGGTCCAGAAGCAAGAAATGGACAATATGTACTACATATGGTACGTCTCATCTGCCATGGATTACTGTTCTTATGAGGAGAGCACGTCCCCCCCCTGCAACTGGGTTTCTCAATGTTTTATTCGCTGTTCTTCTCATTAGGGTTCTTCGGGACCTGCAAAAAAGCTCACTCCTCTTGAGATGTCTTCGGTGAATTGCTTCAGCGTGTGCCACGTGAAGGTGATCGGCAACCCGCTCTTCCCCAGGTTCGACGCCGACGTCCTCAACGACGTCGGCGAGGCGGTGCTCAAGTACTACCCGGACGCCACCGGCGGGGACGCGGAGGCGGCGGCGGAGAACGGGGCGGAGGGCCCCTCCGGCTGGCACGCCTTCGCAGAGAGATTCCGGCAGATGGGGGCCGGCGGAGCTTGGAACCACGCTCTGCTCAATGCATTCCTCGGCAACGTGCACGTCGAAGAAGACGCCGACAGCGACGAAGACTACGGCGGGGAGGAGCTCTTCGAGGACTGAGCGATGAAAGTCGTCGCCCCTCGTTGACTTCTCAGAGAAAAATAAATATCCTCGTTTTCCGCCCGTCCTGATTCCCCCCCCCCCCCTCTGCTGTGAATGCTTCTTCTACTGGTTAGAGTGTGCTGACGCTAATGGATGGGATGGGACGAGAGGAGATGCCGGATGTACAAAAGCCCCTCCCTTCCTCTCTTCTCCTGCCTCTCCCTCTTCTCATGATCTGTGAGAAACGAGAGACCTTCCTCCTGTAATGGCAATGGCAGCGAGAATTGATCTTCTTCCTGAAAGAGAAGATGGCCTTGAGGAAATTAGGGTTTCTCTGGCATCTTTCGTTGAAGAAATGTCCCTTTCCACTCTCCTCTCCGACCCATGCACTGCCAGAAAGGAGACAAGACAAAGCCTTCCTCCTGTAATGGCAATGGCGGTGAGAACTGATCTTCTTCCTGAAAGAGAAGATCGCCTTGTGTGGTCCCTGAGAAAACAGAGCCCGAGAGAGAGACCTGAAGAAATTAGGGTTTCTCTGGCATCTTCTCCTATCTCCGTCTTCTCATGCTCTGTGATAACGGGACAAACCTTCCCCCTATAATGGCAATGGCGGCGAGAATTCATCTTCTTCTTGAAAGAGAAGATCGCCTTGGAAAACAGAGCCTGAGAGACCTGAAGAAATTAGGGTTTTTCTGGCATCCTCGGTGGCGTTCAGATATTAAAAGGGTAGAGCTATTCAGAAAAAACCTCAGCAAAATAAAAAAGCTTTGCTCTCTGTATCTGGAAGTCTTTCAGAGTACAACCATAGTGGGCAGAGAGGAATGAAAAAAAGAAAGAAAGAAAAAAAAAGAAATCAAACACCTACTTGGTGCCCATGAACAGTTGGGAATGGCGTCAACGGTCAGACCCATCCAAGGCAGTCAACGTTTAATCGCACTCAAACATCCAAAAGTCAAACATGGGGGAGGGCAGACAAATTCCAATGGCGAAGGGAGGCGGGGGAGGGGGGGCAGCAGCAGCCGGCGCCACAAAGCAGTTGCCGAGCTTGGTGGATTTCTTGCGAGGGTCCGGGCGATCTGCCAGCGATTATTTACACCATCTTTGCCGCATAACACAGATGCCAAGGTTACTGTACATTGACAATGGCGTTCTGCCTTTACTTCTCCTTCCAGAATCTGACGGCGCCTGCTTCCTGCAGGTCGCCTGGTCATGACTTCCCTCCGTAGCCAATGTCGCCGCCACCGCCGCTGCCTTCGCCGTTCAACAGCCCACTGTCGGCAAACTCCCTGGAGATCTCATGCACCAGGTCCGGAAGGTTGATGGCCGGGGAGACGTCGGCCCTCATGCTGAAGCTGCCGCTACCGCCGCCGCCGCCCATGGGCGGCGCCGGGTTGCTGGAGATGGACTTGAAACTGCTGTTCCTGCTCAGAAGAATCCCCATGGCGTTGTTGTTCGATGCGGCGCCGCCATTGTTGAAGCTCACATTCTGCATAGAGCCCGCTGCCCTGCCCTGGAAGACCCCTGGGCCGCCAATTCCACCGCCATACGCCTCCTCCGGCATGCCCCCCCCCATCATGGGACCGTTCATGGTCTGCTGCGGCATGCCCCCACCCCTGTTGCTGCTCATCATCTCCTGCAGCAGCTGCTGGATCACCAGATGCTGCTGCTGCTGCTGCTGCTGCTGCAACTGGTGATTTTGATTTCCCTGAGAGGACTGTGGATTGTTGTTCTGCTGGGTGGGCAGAGAATTGGGCATCTGCTGTAATTGCCGCTGATGGGAGCCAAGCAGGTAGCTGACAGAGGGGTTCTTCAGCGGCCCCGCCATGAGAGGCCCAGTTGGGCTCTGAAAGGAGACGGACGACTGCAACTGGCTCAGGCCGCTGCTGTAGTTGCAGGTCATGTCGGGCTGGAGGGCATTAGGGTTTGAATTCACAGAGTTCTGCCTCAGCAAGGACTGGTAGTTGCTCAATGACATCGCTTCCTGGCCAGAGCCATTGGGGCCTCGAATGCCAGAGAGATTGCCGTCATTGTTGCTGCTGTTGTTGTTGTTGTTGCTGTTGCTGTTGTTGTTGTTGTTGTTGTTGTTGTTGCTGCTGCTGTTGTTCATCATGTGGTCGCTCAGAGAGGGATGGGCTGCCATGATCTTGCTCAGGGCATTCGGGTCCGAGGTTGACTGAGAGTTCAGCAGCTGTTCGGCCGCTTGGTTCCTCTGATTCTGGGGTTTGATCGACACGTGGCGAGGATAGTTCTTCAAACTCTCTGCAGGTAGATGAACAGTAATCAGCTGATCGACCCTTTTGATGATTCCCCAAAAGTCGAAGCATTTTAGTCGAACCCTATCTGGATGGGGCAGTCAAAGCTATGATGGATTGGCTACTCAACAAGATTATGAACATTTTTTCTGCTTTCTATTTAATTTAATATAAAAGATTAAAAAAACTCTGGTCAGACCAGTGGCACTGAATTTGACCATACTGAACTGGGACCGTTGACTTTTTTCCAGCATCGAAATCATGCAGTGATGAGCATCCAGATGGGATATGACCTACACCCGTATCACATCTCCCAGCATCGCTGCCTTCTAAAACTACCCATGAGCTTGATCATGAGAAAAATATTATAAAATTATTTTCCATTGATGGCAATGATGCCAACAAAGAGCTTAGAATGAGAGCATAGAGGATGATACCGATGGGACCCATCTTGTGGTCTCGGCTGAAGTCGATCAAATCTTTCATGGAATTCAGCACCTCAGATATCTGTGAAACACAGCCATTCAATGACAAGGATCATTATATAACTCTGGAAAAAAAGTTAAAATGCCGTGATTACTTTCCATTGATGGCCCAATTAGTGAGATGAATCATGGATTACCTGCAAGCATCGTACATATCTTTTCGAGAATCCCAGCTCGTTTAATGACTGGAGCTCCAGATTTCTTGTTAGCTGGCGTGTGACAGCCATGAACCTAAGAACAACCGTAGAGAATTATTTCAATAATCATAGCTGAGCATGATCCATCTGCAGATAAATCAAATCCCACGGCAAAGCATAATTAGGAATGATTTAGATAGCTTTGAGGTCTCCTGGAACTTTTTTCTGCTAATTTAGTAATCTAATAAATGAACCGAATCACGAGTTCATGGGAATACCCAACACCCAGAAAAGCTGAAAAAAACTTCTTGCTGTGGCGATAGCCAGATCATGTCCGGGCAACGAGCTGGTAAATTATTCGAAATAAAAAAATAAATTTACCAAGGAAATATATATCATCGGAGTAACTCACGAGTTGCAGTTCGTGTGCAAGTCTTGAGGAGAGACACCAGAAGATCCGCATTCAGTCACAATAGCATGATACTTCTGGGCTACTTGCATCAACTGATTCACCTGAGTTAAAAAGAAAAGAAGAGGCGTGTTTTTCTTGATTATAATCAGGAGAAAAATATACTTACATAATTAAGGAATAAAATGGAAAGTAACCCTCCACCCCAACGTTTTCGATGCAACTTGATTGAAGGGAATAAAATAAAATCAAGGAGGAAGATACATTTTTGACATATGCGTGAGTGTTCACACTGCCAGGATCTTCACTGAGGAACCATAATCCTTTCTCTCTGAAGTCAACTAAATGAACGGTCTACATATGGATCGAATGAATCTCTGAGAAACTAAGAACTGGGGAGGATAGTTAGAAGGGAGAGAGTCGCACTGAAATCTCAAAACTTCTTCTAAAAAGATTCTCAATGAATCTGTAGAACTTATTCCAATTCTCCAGGAGATAATAGAAGGAGATACTTTGAGGAAGCTTGCTGTGTGGTCCATCGTTACAAAGAGGGATCAGATCACATGGAAGGATATGGAACACAACGTGTTTCCGATTTTTATCTCCCCTAGAATGAAAACAAAACAATAGAGATCTTCCTGGAGAATACTTGCACAGAAATCCAAAAGGACTCTACCTACAATCCTTGCCTAATTCGAGTGCTTTTACTTGAAGCTACAAACACCAGAGCAAGTATGAAGAACTATTTTAGGAGTGAATCACTTCAACAGATAGTCTCTAGAGACTACAAAAAAATCATATAATAAATAGAGCGTAATTTATTGAAGAGTAACTTGGATGATTTCTGAGCCCCCCCAAAATAAACTCCCGCAAGGACACTACGCTCCCTGAATCTTATCATAGGGAGGGATTTTTTTATCACAGATGGTAAAGATACAAGATACCTGAGGAGCTACCAATCTCCGAGGCAGGAGCTCTTCATGGCGTCTGGCGCAAAACTCCCAAGACAGTATCTGAAGAATAAGAAGATAATGTATGCTTCATATATTAACCCAGAGAAACTAGAATCCAGAATGAATCGGCATTTCTTGGTTGAAAAAAAATGGAGATTCGAGGTTGAGGGAGGGGGAGAAAGCAATGCAAACCTTCAAGTCTGTGGTAAATTTGATGCGTAACTGACCCTCACGAACAACACGTAGATGGTCGTAGACGGTCTGCTGAGTTGCCTTCGCATACTCCAACAACAAGATTCCAGAAGCCAATCTATATTCATGAGGCATGTCGAGGAACAGAAGTTCATCGACAACACCACTGTCGAACTTGAACCTATTAAGTCTGGGAAGCACTTCAAAAGAAGCCTCTGTCTCAAAGAAAAATCCAAAAAACGTGAATCAGTAGCAAAACAAAGGACTAGCTGAGCAGAATATCTAAGCAAGATGAAATTAACCGTACAAGAGGCAAGAATGTGAAAAATCCCTTGATAAGATCGCAAATTACCTTAAAGAACGTTAAAGACTGACATTTTAGAAAACTAGAAAGTACAGTGTAAAGGTCCTTCAATTCATTTGGTTATACGAATTTATAAATGAGAAAATGCATTCAATTCAGATTTCTGAAAGCTATATTCCTGTACCCTACACGTGCCAGAAAAAAAGAAATATAAGAGAAAATGAAATATTATCTAATAGTTATTGGAACTATATGCACATTATCCGCGTAATAGGAAGGCATAAAAAGGACTTCAAGAGGATCACGTCACTTCAGGAAGCATTTTATTTCAAGGTAGAAAAATTCTCTGACCGAAAATTTCAACGTATATGCATATCTCTCAGCATCTAATTATGCCCACATTATCCATATAATCAGAAGGCATAATAATAGCAATGTGGAATACATGATTATTGAGTCAACTGAAGAAGATACTCAAGTGAGTGACTTTCTTCCACTGAATCAGGAAAAGGAAATTCAAGAAAAAAAAAAATACATGGGCACGCTCTCAATAAAATAAAATGTCCAAAAACATTAAAAAAAACATCAAACACTAACGATTTAGATTTACGAGCTATGGGGGATAAAACCTAGGATTACAGCAATACCTCCTTCAACCACCCTGGAACACCCCCAACCCCCGAAAAAAAAACACAATTTTTATGCATATATTGAACCAGTAACCTGCAGTCAACCTGTCAGCTAGAATAATAAATCATCAGTGGAGAATAGTTAAGAGAATAAGCTACAATGATGACAAAATCGGAGGAAAACGTCTTGCAAATGATACATAAATAGAAAGGAAGAAAAACTACAAACTGTTATCCACCGACGTACCAACAGCTACACACTAAACCAACGCAATATGGGATATTTCTTATAAAGTGGTTTAACAGAGTTACAAGGACATTGTGCCCGTTCCTAAGCTTTACCTTTAAAAAAATCCTGCTCAATAGTTCATCACAATTAGAAGGAATCTAGGCAAGTTTTCGTACACCATAGAAAGAGTTCGAAAAATATTATTTGGGTGAAGGAATTTACTAACCAAATCCCTTGCCAGATTTTGAACCACATATGTCACAGTGCCATATATCCTGCGACGATCAAGTAACAACGTCACTGAATATTCTGAGATAATTCGAAACCCAAAGTAGAAATGACTTGCGAGGGCATAATACGCACACATTTATACATGCATTCACATATGATGAACACTCAAATGTTTGACAGTAAAACAGCAAAGCAGAGAAAAATATGGTTGTACCTATTTGGGGAGAACTATGTCTAAAGCTTAATACAAGTAAAAATATGCATGGTTACAGACAGAAATGAACTAACCATGGCTGCCTGAGGGAAAATCCCAAGGGCGTGGTTCCCAACATTCTCATAAAGTGATAAACACCACCTTTTCTTCGCACGAGGAGCAAAGTACTCGTTCACAAATTTTCTCCAGTAGAGAATATTGTTGTCCTGAGGAAAAAAGTAAGTGCCCTTGCAAAAATTAGAGGTCAAAGAATATCGAGAATATAAAGGAATTTTTATGGAAGAAAAGCCATTGGCTCACCGGTGGTCGATGACGCTGGTGGTAGAGATACTGCATTAGGCGGCGGGCACATACACCACTATCAAAAGGGCGTCTCAAATGAGGTGCTTGCATCATCTGCTGCTGTAGGTGCTGCCGCAGCTGCTGTTGCTGTTGCTGTTGCTGAAGTTGTGCTCGCTGCATTGGTGGAAGAGACTGCAACATCTGTTGCTGCTGGTGTTGCTGCTGCTGCTGTTGCTGCTGCTGCTGCTGCTGCCGCTGCTGTAGTAGCCTCTGCTGGATCAGGTTTTGCATCTGTGGGTTCATCTGGCCATGCACCTGCAAGGAATCCTGTCTCTGCAACAGTTGTTGCATGACCTGCTGCTGGAGTATATCATCCTGTCTCACATCCAACCTTGCTTTCTTCTGCAGCTGAAACACATTGCCCCCCTCCTGTGATGTAGACTGAGACGTAGCCGTTGATGCTCCCTGTTTCTGCATTTGGTCTTGGAGGGAGCTCTGCTGCACCATTGAAGAGCCATCCATTGAGATATTGTTGGAGGAGAAGGACATGGGTGACGCAGGAAGGCGCAAGTAGGATTCCGTATTGATGCTGGCACTCCTCTGTAGGTGAGGGCCCGCTGAGAGAGATGAGTTAGCATCAGTGACGAGCGAGCTGGCTCCAACACTCGGGGCAGAAGAGTTTGCTGCACTGTTTAGAACACCTCGATTCATATCCCCAGATGGATCCTGTGTTCCAGTGTTCACTGGTGCCGGACCCTGACCATCTTGTTGCGGGAAGAGCGCTTCTGAAACTGGGGAAGATTGTGACAGACGACCTCCCCCTCCAGCCGCCCTTGACAGGGCCACCGAAGGAACCGTCTACTGGGGACCCGAATCCAGATGAGCTTGCTTCTCTAACTGCATGTGCATTCACCTCATCTCCACGACGGAGCCAGACAAAACCCTAATTTTAGAGGCCTTGGACAAAGAAAGACGCGTTTTCTCCCCGGTCAGCTGCAAAGACAGCCTCCTGACGTCTAGAATATGGGATCCCGGGGTACGCAACTCTACTGAATCAAGAGACCCCGGAGAAAACATAGTTAGAACATGCCCAGATAAAAGAAAAATATAAGATTAGCAGGGGAGACCGCATAATGCCAACAGAATGAAGCAACAAACGGGGCAGCAAACACGCGTTCGAGAACGAAGATCAAACCTGTACCTCTCAGGATTAATCAAAGCGGAGACACCGCCAGAAAGCGCATGATCGAGAATTCAATACGAAAAAGCCCTAATTGCTATCGAGAAATCCAAAATCTACTAATCCCGTGACAGAGAGCGCAGAATCAGTAAATAGAGCCAGGCTGAGCAACCAATCCAACTCAACTCCGTCGTATAAAATATTAGAAATATAAACCCACGCAGAAGACACAACGAGAAACTCAAAACAAAATGAAAAACGAGGGACGACGAAATCCCATTCAATCGTTCGAAATCCGCAACACAAAAGCTTCCGATACTAACCCTAAGATTACATCTACAAATCAATCGGGCGGCAAACCAGCGACCAAATCTCGACAGATTATTTACCAACACCTCCAAGATTGCCGCTCTTACCGAGATGAGCGTTGCTCTAGGAACGAGACCTACACGACGGGTGAATCACCACGAGGTAGCAGCAACCGCAAAACAAGCCTCTCTCCCTCTCTTCCCCTTCCGCCGGGGTAAGATCGCCGTCGGGAATTTATCACGCGCGGGAGGCAGAGACAGAGGCAGAGGCAGAGGCAGAGGCAGAAGAAGAGGAAGGGGGAAGGGCGGTGCCGAGCTGGATGACCGATCGCACGGGTTTTGTAAAGAGGAAGTGACCGGTTTAGCCGGTGGACGCCGACACGCGTGGCATTCCCTCAAGACCGACCCTTTGACTGGAGACGGGAAATCGAAACAGCGGTCAAAGAAATATCTAGAAGATCACATCCAAGTAATTCCATCATTTTTTTGTTTTTAGGACGTCACCACATTATCGCACTAAATGGGCCAGCCTTAATGAGGCCCAATATTTAAGAGTGCCCCCACAACGGTCGCCGTCAGCCGCACGTTTTAATCACGCTATTAATTCCTCCCGAGGCAAATACACCCGCAATAAAATAAATAAATAAATATATATATATATAAATAACCCCTCAACTCTTGCCATGATTTGACGAAACCCCCATTAACTTTTTTTATTTTTAAAATTGGGCAGGATTACATATTTTTGTGGACATAAATGAAAATATAGCCGCACGTTTTAATCACGCTATTAATTCCTCCGATGACAAATAGACCCGTAATAAAAGAAAAATAATACCATAATATATATATAAATGAACCTTCGACTGTTGCCATGATTTGGTGAAAACCCATTGAACCTTTTTTTTTAAAAAAATGGCAGGATTACAACCTTTTGTGGGGATAATTAAAAATCTAGCCGCACATTTTAATCACGCCATTAATTCCTCCGGAGGCGAATAAACCCGTAAACAGAAAAATTTATAAATGAGCCCTCGACTGTTGCCAGGATTTGATGAAATCCCATCAACCTCTTTTTATAAAAAAGCTGAGCAAGATTACATATTTTTGTGGACATAAATAAAAATATGCAAATAGAAGGTCCAGCCAACCCCTCTCTCGCTTCACTCCTTAGACACCTCTCAGATTGGTCCTGAACTTCTTCAACACTGTGGATGGAACTCTTGGTGGAGATGAAAGAAGACTCCGAAAGGCAAAATCTGTCCTGAAAAGACACAGATTCGGTACAGCATCAGCGAAAGAGACAATGCACAACTACAGTATAAGCCCATGTGGTCAACGTGATGCCACTTGGCGGCTGTGGCCAACCCACCGGCCAGCAGCGGTGCTACTTGGCGGCTCCTCTCCGGTAAGGCAAGAAGCGGGCATCCTTGGAGGCATTCTTCTTCCTCTTCTTCTCCACAAAAGCCTCCAGCTTCCCTGAAGCCTGTTAAATAAATTTAAGAAGCAGGTTAGGAGGTTGAGACTATCATTTGCTTAGTATAGGAAGTAACTGGCTTTCTTCTTCATGAACAATGAGAATATTGTGCTATATATATATATATATATACCTTCAATTCATTGTATTTCTGAAGCAGCTTGCGTTCCCGGATTTCAGCTGCAGAGAGAAAAATATAGAAAATGTTAGCAGTTGTGACCTGGGATATTCAGCCGTTGTCATCCCACCCCTTCTTGAGATCTCTCTATAATCCTACCAGGGAGTCTTCTGGCTAGAATTATTTTTAATGAAGAGATCCAAGTTGGGTAGAAATCCTAAATACTCTACGCAGCTAAAAAAGAAATCCCTCAGTAATGGATCAAATAATGCCCAGGTAATAATTCAAGAATGCACATCATACTGAAGACACTTGTTAATGGAGAATGTGTGAGGAGGAGAGAGAAGGAGAGAGAGAGGAGCAGACATTTCTTCAGATAGAATGGCCGTTTCCCTTGCTTTGCGGCTTCTCTTTCTTTCTTCTTGTGTTCTGAGAGGATCTCAGCGTCAAGATTCTTAGGAGGCCCTGATTTAAGTTGTTTGTCCTGCGTGTGCAAGGAAGAGGAAGTTCAGACAGCGAGTACACCAGCCAGATCACCTAAACTCTCTAACTTAGCAACTAAGTTCAGACTGTAAACCTAGAACGATAATAAATTTATAATGAAAGGAGTGGAAGGTACATATAATCACGCAGACTTTCATTAATTAATATGAGAAAAAATGAATTTCTTGTTACAAGAAAAAAAAAAAAAAACCTAGCACGGTGAATGAATTTAAAAATAATAATAAAAGAGTAAGTGATCATCAAAAAAGAGCGAAAGAAGATCAAGTACAGATATATGTGGACACATAATACTACTAAGACAAAAATAGAGGTTCATAGCATATGAACGACATTTATCCTCACTGATTTATTGTAAAAATGTTTATAGGTTTCATAAGGTTTTACACAAGCCGACTCTGTAGAAGAACTAGATTTTTCAGCCAGATTATAGAGTTAGCGAAACATACAATACATAGATATTCAAGATATAAGCACTTACGATCCAATCAATGTGTTGTTGAAGCTCATTTCTAGCATTGGGGTCTTTGGATTTCCTCACCATCGTTTGAAGTTTCTTTAAAAAAAAAAACAATTATATATATATATATATATATATATATATATAAAGCATAAGTTAGGCTTAGAAATATGTAAACGGGAAATAAGTCATTAAGAAAGAGCAGGCACCTTCTTTTCATTTGGAAGCTCAACATCAAATATGAAACTGTATCGTTTCCTGAATCTGCAGAACCAAAATGATCCAGGCAGTGGAACGAGAAATGCAGCATAAGAACACATTGAAAGCACCAGGCAAATCGCGAAGAGCATGAATTTTTGAAGCATATTATTGCAAATTTTACAAGCAGATGCAACTTTATATGCGCACACAACATCACCACTATCACTACACCACAACCACAATCGTCATCAATCGAGTTCCCTGAGGAACTTGAATATTCCACGGTCAGAAAACTCTAAAAGGTATCATATATTTCAATCACAGCCTTCGTCCAAGTTCTTTAAGATTTTTGCCTTTCCCTTTTGGAACCCTAAGATAAATTGTGACCATATTCGTATCCACAAATTGAGTCACTAAAAAACTGGTGACGATCCACATCTTGAGGCCACGTAAGAGCATAGATCATAATGCTAACATGGTTCACATGATATAGAAAAAATATAAAACAGTGAAGAAAACAACAATGAAATTAATAGGGGCATAATTTTCTAACAAGACGTGGTCAATTCAATACAGGAAAATTTACATGAATGACGATTTGAACAGTGAAAGCTGGCAGTAAAAACCATCCTATTGAATATAAAGCACAATCAGCTGTTAATAGAAACTAAGGTTACAAGTAACTGACCCATCTGCGTCAAGGGAACCACATAGAGATTCGAATCTCGGGTCTCGGAAAACCTGAAACAAGTCCTTAAATGAATAATATAAACGCTCATAATAGGCTGGAGAAATAACTAGGTCAGAGGGAAACAAAAAATATAGAGATATGATTGTTTAAAAAATAGTTCATAAAACGGGTTCTCAACCAAGGTAGGCTTGTTTCACTTTGTCCTTTATATGATTCCACAAAAAACTAAATTTCAATAGAGGACAGAATAAAAAGATGGGAAATACAGTAGTATTCCACAGCACATAACTTTCGGCGACTAAAAAAATCTCAGTATAAACCAATTAGAATTTTTTTGACGATAATTACGAAAGATTTGGCAGACAACCATAAAAAGGTAAAAATAATCATAAAAATGAAAACCTCAAGAAAATATTGAAAACTACTACTGAATATCTTTAATCTTTTAGTATATATAATGATCTGTAGAACTATTACAGAGCATAGTTTTTGTAAGTTTAATAAAAAAATTAGGATTAAACTGAAGAAATTATAACTTGTGCATTTGAGTCCATACACAGGTATGCCATGGACCTGGGACCACTAGGACATCCTTTAAAAGATACGGCCTACTGGACCCATTAGCACAAAGAAAATAACTATTCTAGAAAATAACTCGAACAAAAATGTGCCAAGTCATTAGACTAGGCAAGGTGCGAGTTATTTATAATTCCATCGAATATACATCCCACATGATCAGGCTGAAAAGGGCATTCAGTGTAGAATGTCAACACAGGCAATTTAGAATTTAAAAGACGAAAAATATACGAAATGAACAAAATGCAACGTTTCTTTAGGAAAAATGGAACAAATCCAGTCGAAGACATTTTTACCAATGATAGAAGATGAAATATGAACGAATGAGACGATCTGTAGGTTTTCTTTTGGGAACTTTGGTCATTAATCTTGCAGTTTCTCAGTATCAAAAGACATAGAAACATGACCCTTTTTACTCAATGTTCCTTCAAGCATCTGTCGTTGATGTAATGATCACAAAGTTTGTGTTTTAAAAGATAACTCAGGAGATGATAACACTTTCAATCTCCCTAAGACGGCATATGATTAGCGGCACCCTCACCAAGACAGCCACTCTGGGGGAAGCCAAGATGAATGCCAGTGAGTTTTCATATGGTCGAATATTGTTCATCTGCGTCTTCCTTACCCTCCTTTTCATCCATCCCAATATAAATGCGTTCGTAGGGTGAATACATCTCACAGTCCATGAAGACACCAAGTGAAGGCAAGATTCTGACTAAAAGTGCACTAATGATTAATGTTCCAAAGAAACAGCCAGGAGAGAACTACAGCCAAAGTTTCTGAGAATGGAATCTTGGAATTTCAAAGTTCCGATAAAATATAAATCAAAACCCTTCTCTAGAAAGGCAAACAAAGTCTTAAATAATAATTCTGCAGAAAAAGACAAGTTGACCAAAATGGCACTAGCAGAAGGCCATAGAAGACAATCTTGGCCAGGGCAATCTAAATTCATTTTTCAATGGTTGTGAATTCGACTAATTTATTTTCTTTAGGTTGTGAAGTTTTCTATTTCCCACCATTTGAATTCGTGCTTGTGCTGAGCAATGTGGTTCAACGGTTGTTCTTTAGACCCTTTGAATACATACAATCTGCTACTTGTTTATGTTTTGAAAGCCTTATGAATGATCTTGAAGCATTTATTACACACATGAAGTGATATTTCCTTGAGATTGCCAGGTTGCAGATAAATTTCAATGCAAAACACGTGACAGTTATTTTTAAAGTTTATAATCCCAGTTGCTGACCTTCTTTGGCGCCTGGATGACTTCCCTGAACCTCCCCGCGGGTACCTTGCTGCTCATCTCCATTGGCCTGCTCTCCACCAAAGTCAAAGATAAGAACCAAATACCCACTTCATGTCAATATATTCAAATTTGCTGGCAACAATTTATTCCTAAACTAGAAAAAAAGCCTATGCATATGCGGGAACAGTGACACAAACGACTGAAACCTGTTCTTATTTGTCCGTCCGAGCTTCTTCTCCTGACGGCGACGTTTCTGGACGAGAGACTGGGATCCATCCGCACGCACCTTCTGGAGTTCCCCCAATGGAACATCCGCCAGATTCCGCTCCAATTCGTCCTCCTACCACACCAAAAACCAAGAAAGAAGTAAGCGGCCATAGGACACAGTAAAGGGGGAGAGCAGAAGGATCCCCAACAGTCTACAGGAGAGAAAAGTTAGACAACCTCTTCGGAGGAATAACCTCTCTCTGCTGATTCTCCCCCACTCCCACTGGGCTCTCTTCTACTCGTCGACGCCATGTCAAACTCCGCAAACCCGACTCCTACCTGTGTTTGTATAAACCAAGTGGATCAGATACCAGCACACGCAGACGACAATGATTCATCACGAGGCCTTCTTGCAGCGTAGGAACAATGGCGTGACGGGTTAACAGCGCGCGTCCAAGAAGTTTACTCATATACTCCGGCGTATCAAGCAGCAGAACCCATATTTGGTGAAACAGGTTGATATCTGTGCATATATGGTTTACTCTCAGATCTGCGCTGTTAACCCGTTCCGCCATTACATCCCCCCACCCTCCCTTTAGGGGGAGAAGGTCTCGTGAAGAATCCGCACATATGGCTGGGCTGGCCATCAATCCGGCGCAACCTCGTCAATAAAAGCTTAGAAACACAGAATCACGCAGACTGACACAACAAGAAAATTTAACAAGTAGAGAAAAACGAAGGATGAAGAAATCACATTCGATCGTCCGGACTTCGTACCAGAATAAACCCCCATATTAACCCTAAAATTACAACCACAGAATTAACTGGGAGACGAACTATCGACCAAATCTCGACAAATTATTTAACGCCAACGCCGAGATTGAAGCTTACCGAGCTGAGGACTGCTCCAGGAACGAGCCCCAACAGCCTCTCAGCCCCACACGACGAGTGGACCCCCGCAAGGTGGCAGGAGCAGCTGCAAGACGAGCCTCTCACGTTCCCGGAGTACGGCCGCCGTCGGGAATTTATAGCGGCCGGAAGGGGTACGGTGAAGCGCTGGATAACCGGCCGGATAGGTTTTGAAGAAGAGGGGATGACCGGCGTAACTGGTAACACCAATACATCGGTTCTAATAAATTTGTTACCCTTGTGTACAAAATGACATATAAATTTCTATTCCATAAAAAAATAATAAATTCATAATTTTTAGCCCATTTTTTAAAAAAATTAGCTAAAAAAAAAGTTCATGATAAAACTTAGCAAATCTCTCTCTCTCTCTCTCTCTAATGCTCTAATAAATATAGGTGAATGATAAATATGATTTATGGTTGGGTATGAGTTTTATAACCATTGATTTCAATGCTCTCTCTTTCTCTCTCTGAAAATGCTATGTTGAATATATGAAGACTATCATTTTCTTTAAAAAATTCAAAATCTCAATGCACAAGATGCTTATAAAGCTCAGATGAGAGAGAGAGAGAGAGAGAGAGAGAGAGAGAGAGGTATATGTGGTCTAGGCTGGCCATAAACCACTAAAAAAAAAACATTTTTAACGAGAACAAGCACAGACACTAGCAACTCCGAATAAAAATATTCAATGATTAGAGATGAGTAATCACAATGGAAAACTACTGAAAAGCCCCTGAGAATGTGGAGATCTGCCAAGTTCAGCAGGATCACCATCAATCGTACCCCGTACCCCTACCGATCCTAGTCAGCTCTCATTCTTCCTTCCGAGACCTGGCCCTCGCTGGCTTCCCCGGTTTTATGATGTTGCCCAGAAAGAGAAGGGTGATCGGAACGAGGGTGCCGACAAAGTAGACGCTTTGATATGCGGCCAGAGTCTCCTTCATGCTCAGCACCTGTGAAATCATCCCAAAACACTGGCTTAGAGATAGCGTACTAATCACATAAAAGCATTAATCGCCATCACTTTAGGATAATTACACTTAATCACAATGAAGGTTCCTGAATAGGAAAGTTCTTGGCATCTTGACAGGCAGCAGATACCAATCCCAGGCAAATTCGGAAATAAAAGCATGTTCTGATCATGCCTGCCAATTTTTCATATTGCCGTTAAAAGGGGGTTTTTATCTGATGATATATATATATATATATATATATATATATCTGAATCCCAGGGGATATTAAAAAATAGGAGCAAAGTTCTGACTTTGGATGTCAACTATTTTATACGGTTTATAAAAGCGTTTCTATAAATGGATAATAATCAAATATGTCACACAGCGAAGATTCTTGAACGGAAAAACTTATCTGTGTCGATAGGATGTTGACAGTCACTACATACAGTAATGAATCCTGGACCATACTTAGAAAAATAAAAAGAAGGAGCAAGGTTTGGACTATACATAGAAAAGAAGCACAGGTGGATTAAATTGCATATGTTAGAATCATATTGACAGATACGGCATCAATGAATATCAGAAAATGCTCAAACATAATTTTTCTGAGATTGCTTAGAGGGTGGGTCCCTTTGGATCAGGCATATTAGCATGCAGGAAAATAGATGAATAATTCATAACCTAATTGTGCATCTTGACTTCGTGTTGACAAAATAAACCAGTGAGAAAAAAAAAAAAATCAATCGTTCTGACTTTGACCACCGTATATCTTTCTAAGATTGATACAAGGGTTTCTTGAATTAGATACATTACCATGAATCCGATGCACGAGTAGTTCAGGGTCAATATCGTATATGCCAAGTTGACCAATGTCAGAATCTTTTTGAGCACAATATTTTGTGAGACGGCTTGTTGCCATCTATACAAAACTGTTCATGCAAGATTAAAAGATCTGTCAGAAGTCTTTCCAAACATGCTCGTAGGCCAACTCAAAGAAAAGGAGAAAACATTGAAACTTGCACCAAGTGGAGACAAGAGTACCTTTGGAACCAGCAATCATCAATGCTGACTGAACAAAGAATATGATGTAGCCGGGGTATAAACCCTGCAGTCATCACAAGGAACAAAGATGAAGGATGAATAAAATCAGTTCATACTGACTAAATGCTACATTTTCAGAAGGAAATAAAGGAAATGGGTGAAGGAGGTTTCTCATGCTCCCACGGTTGGATGAACTCAAGAACTATTCATGGTTGAGGAAAAAAAACATTAGTCAACGATCTTAAAAGAGAAATTTTCATCAAGGAAATTTCCTTATGTACCATAGGAGAGTAACTTAGGAAGAATTAATAATCATGGACAAAACAACCGAAATTTCCGTGAAAATGGCAAATTAATTTTTCAAAATATAAAAAAAGCGTAAACTCACATGCCAAACAGCGCTGACGGTTTGAGTAGCAAGCAGTTGAAGAAAGCCAGGCTTTTTTCCCTTTTGAATAAGTCTTTCATAAACATCTAATTTGAACTCAAATTCAGAAGAGTCAAAAATTAAAAATTAAAATATAAGGACAAAATAACCTGAGGAAAAGACGTTGATGAGGAGAAAAAATATGATTTCTTACAGTGACGAAGCCAAGTGCTGACTTGGATGTTCCAAACAAGAGGCAATGAAACAGAACTTGTTGCCAGCTCAACACCAATAATGTCAACATTCTTGGCACGGTCCCAACGTGGCTTAGGTGGAGAGGAATTTGACCAACCACTAAAACCAAAACCAGATACGATAACTGAAGCTTCCGAAATTGACCAGATGAAGTAATATTTCCATCGGGCGGTGAAACCAGACATGTACTGGTATCTAAGCCTCTGCCAGAATCCCCAGTCTTGGTATATTGGTTCATTAAACCGAGAAAGAGGATGAGATGGGGATAAATTCAAGTATATGCCCATACATATGGCAGCCTGAAGCACGGCGCGGAGTGTAGCACCAAAACATGGTGGTTGTGGCCCTTCCTTACCACTCCATACCTATCAAGTGAAACTTGATGAAGGCAACCGGAAGCACAAAGCCTATAATGATTGAAAAAAGAAAACGAAGCATATAAAGACAAGGAAAACGAGGTTCTGATACCTACCCCTTTCCCTTCTGTCCATTCAAGGTAATCCTTCATTTCATATACCGGGCCAGCAAAATGGCTGCCACAGAAGAGACAATAGCCAAAATATTCAATTAGAGATGGGCGAGAGAGCAGTCTGTTCTTCCTCTGTGCCTCACGAAGTCCTTCTTCTTTCAATATACCGTCGTTGTAATTGATGGAACATGAAATCACTTTGAGCACCAATACCATCAAAGCACCTAAGGGGAAATTCACACCATTAGTTCATACAATCATGGATAATAGGGGGTATGAAACCCAAAACTGATACATCATATATTAGGTCACTGAGAAACTTCCACCCCTGTTAGTGGCACAACACCATGCAACTAAAAATTAAGATCAAGAATAACTACTGAAGACCATCATTACATCACTAGAGTAAACAGTACGCACAGCCACACCACTTCCTTTGATTCGAACTTCTACCTTATAGCAACTATTTTTATGCTGCAGAGTGGTGACCAGATGTGTTACTTCGCTCAGATAGAATTCTGGTAAAACAGCATTCAAAAGTAAAAGAAAAAAGTTACAATAAGCTACTGGTGTTACAAAAAATTCCTAACATCTATTCCATCTCCTAATATCACGGAGCTATCCAACAAATACCACTTCTAGCATATTCAGATGAATAGATGGAACACATCTTTTATCGTAAGGTACAAGAAATAATTTCGGTAAATCATTACAGAATTCAAAAGATGCTCCAGAATTACTTCTGGACAACTAATATTTTTAGTGTACGCCCAGTCATTGGTGATAACCAACTAATATTTTTGGTCATATCATTTGATTTCTGGACTCAACCGTTGAAGATCTGCAGATTAATGACACATAGTTGCGATCTAATGTCAGTGGGCTTCTTCAAGACGTTTTGAGTTAAACTAAAAATATCATTTAATAAACACAATCTGGCTAGTCTAGCCAGTTAACGGTTTCTGTAGGCATGTATAGTAGAATGCATGCAAGTGCATAAGATAGCAAGAACATGTCACCTGTTGTATCAATTCCACCATCCTTCCACGCATCTCCACTCATATAGTACACATGGCTTCAGGAAATAGGAAAAAGGACATCAGGAGATCACAGAGTTTAACAGATCTCTTACAAACATGCACAGATATATTTTTCAATATTTATTCAATATATAAATTAACTGTATACCACTGTTCAACAAGCGTGCACACAAGTGCATATCTGGAAAACACTTTATACCATAGCAAAGAAATATTGGTTGCGATTCAAAACCATAAGTATCATTAACAAAAAGGACTCAAATATTGGTTACAAGAGAAATAGATGGACCAGGGTATGGTGTAGTACGTGGACTGAAAAAAAAATGCTTTCTTTTTTTTCTTTGAACTGTTATTGGAAATGATCACCTTTTAATTTTTTTAATTTATCTCATCTGATACTTTAACGAAGAACGAGTTTTTAAAATAAAGTATGAAACTTATGAATCCACAGTTAGATCTATTGTGGTTATTCTGTAGTCCTATAGTCGGATCCATGAAAGAAATGCTACTATACCTTCACCCGAACAAAGTTATCATTTCAAAGAAAAAGTCGTCGAATCGTCGTTGACTTTTGATTCTAGAAAACGCGTTTCATTGAGGTTCAAGGAGAATTATGCCCTGCCTGACCTATTTTTATTTTTCATGCTATGCTTCCTGCAAAAGGCGATCTGCATTTTGATATGTGACAGGAGGCGCGTGGCCAGAAAACAAAAAAGGAAACAACATTTATTGAAACAAATCGAGTTGTGCAGCCAAACAAATTTATGGTTTCATATGATCAGCCACCAGATCGGGAACTACTTTCTCCAATTTTGTATTTTTATCGTCATTTTTTTCTGGATAACCAAAAACCCTATATCACATCATCAGGATCTACCGCAAATCTGCGCTTTCCTGTGAGAGTCTCATCTATCGCTACAAAAGTTCAAGAAACATCGGGGAAAAAGGAGAAACACAATCCTCCACGTGTAATATAGGACTGTGCTTGATCGCTGAATTCTTCCGCGAGCGGGTAACTCCATATCCACATCGACTTACAGTAAAAATCCAGAGAGGAGATTCGGATAATTACCATCCGATGAGGTAACCGAAGCCGGCGAAGAAGGTGAAGATACCACAGTGCCGGCGGAGGAAGAGCATGGAGCCGTAGCCCAGCGCCATAGGGATGAGGAAGTGGATGTTGGAGGAGAATCCAAAGGACAGGTAGGACAAGACCGCCCCCGAGATCCCAGCATAGAGGTGCCTCGCCGACGGTCCCCCGGGGACGAACCGCCACAGGAAGCTCACCGGAATGGTGGCCACAAAACAGAGCAGAAAACGCAGCACCGGCACCGACACTCCGATGGCCGCTGCAGCTCCCTCCATCTCCAGTCCCATTGCGGCGATCGGCGTAGAGTGGAGCAGGAGGAGATGGAGGTGGAGGGTCCAACCGACGAAGGGAGGCTCTGTAATCACATCCCGAAAAGATGAGAAATTTCGCTCCGCCGAGAGCGAAATCCCGATAATACCCTTACCTCAGTGAGACCCATTCAGCCTGTTGCCATATATCATGTGGGCGGCGCTGCAGGTCTTGAGATAAGAAAAAAGGGTCGTCTGCTGATTCTATTACAGTCAACGCCAACGGTCATCTTAGCACGTGCGTACTCGTCGCAATTTCCTCCATGAAGCTTCTCCCTGACGAATGACGCCGTTGTGCTCCCACGTGCGAATCTCAAGGGTGGATGATTCTTCTTCAAATGTATTACCTAAATTAATGGATTCCAAATGGCAATTTTTAATAAAAGGGTAATGAGGTAGATGCCGAGAAAGTCAACGACGTGAAGTCAAATCCAGTGAGTTTGGTCAATAGCTCAAGTATTCTTCATAAATGCATTCACACTGAGATAGAATCGGACGGCTATGATTAGATCAGTTGCTCGCGTTTCACCAGCCCGTTGGATCCTATTAGAGTGCGTCTTTTTTTACGGTTCGGACGGCTCAGATTAATCCACGACGTCAGCCACAGAACCTGTTGCAACCCCGCGCTGTGTGTACTCGGAGGACGTGAAGTCTGCGTGTCGCAAGATCCCGACCCTCTGAACGTGCCAGGCAAGGAGAGGGTCCCCACCTCATTGCACTTTTCATATAAAACCCTTTATAACATAACAAATACAAAAACCTATCCCAACTTACTGTCACATATGTCCCTCGCATCTATGAGAACTATCCCCATCTCAAGCTATACTCAAACAGCTGGCTCGGTCCAGACCCAACTGTAAAGAGCAGAGCCCGGCCCAAAATCATTCGAGCCGGGCCCGAGGAGCCCAATAATGTTATCGGCCCATTAAGTCATATGACCGATGAGAAAGCAGAAGAAAGAAAACACGGATTCTCTTGATGGTCGCCTCCATACAGAGACCCGTGGAAGTGATCACAGGCCTGATGATTCCCTCCCCAAAAGGGAAATAAAATATTCTCAGAACTCATCATTCATATACACAACAGTGATGAGCCCATCTAAACAAGTTAGACAGAGAAAGAGAGAGAGATAGAGAGATAAAGATAGAGAGAGGGAGAGAGATAGAGATAGAGATAGAGAGAGAGAGAGAGATAGAGAGAGAGATAGAGAGAGAGAGAGTGAGAGAGAGATAGAGATAGAGAGAGAGTGTGAGAAAGAGAGAGAGAGTGAGAGAGAGTGAGAGAGAGATAGAGACAGAGAGAGAGATAGAGAGAGAAAGATAGAGAGAGAGAGAGAGAGAGAGAGAGAGAGAGAGAGAGAGAGAGAGAGAGAGAGAGAGAGAGAGAGAGAGAGAGAGAGAGAGAGAGAGAGAGAGAGAGAGATTAATCAAAGAGGAGTCGCCGTCGGACTGACTTGGAGAGGGTCTGATCAGAGCTCAAAGGCCTCTTTTGCCTCTTAACCGAAGGGCCCTGGTGAGAGCTTTCTACTGGATCTTCATCTGGTTTCAGTTGAGCAGCGGCGGTGGTGGCCGTGGCAGTGGCAGTGGCAGTGGCAGCAGCTTTGGTGGAGCGGTAGAACTCGGTGATGCTGAGCTGTATAGGACCAGATCTCGGCGAATCTGATGCCAATGTCTCCTTCCTCTTTGACTTTGATTCCCGCGGCTCCTGTGGGCATAGGAAGCAGATCATCAATCAGTGATGAACAGATGGGGAATCCTTTTAGGCATTGCATTGGATTCTTCTCCAAATAGTAGCTAAGCAAGCACTGAGCATTTGTAAAAAATTTCAGAATTATGATTAAGTGGGAGAGTTTCCTGCTCTTGGTCAACTACCCGTTTGATCCTAGTCTAAGCCAGCTGACTCTTTGAAGGTGGACAGTCAACCATATAATCGAAATAAATACATCTTCTTTGAGAGACATGTAGATTATGTAGAGTCGGGCAAAAGTCAAACAGAAAAATCCCAACTCCGGTAAGTTCGGGCCTAAAGTTAGCCATATGATTGAAATGTCCCAACATGTTCTTTAACAAAACATGTTGACTCTGGTGAGTAGGAGAAAAGTCAACCATAGGATTGAGAACAAAAAACTCTTCTTTGAAAAACCTACTTACTCCCACATATCCGGCAGAAGTCAATCATGAAGCAAAAAATAAGCACCTTCTCTTTTAGGAATCTGTTGACTTCCCTGGGAAATGCCGCCCGCACGAGCTCCATATTCTCATCAGTGGCCATGAACCAGCATCCATCATCAATGAAGATTGAGGGGACCTCAGGCTCCTCCATTAGATCGGCGGGGTCAGTCCCTTCTGAGGAGGGGAAGTCAGAAGGTGGAGAACCAGACAGCCCCACATTTGGACAAGTCAAACCAGAAGAGACCCTCTTCCACTTCACCACATAGAAAGGGTGGAAGAATCTCGTCCTTATCCTCTGTATCGAATGGAACCCAAACTGTCCGCACAGGAGAGATCCTTCCCTTGGATTGGCAGCCATTTCCCTCAAGAAGATAGTCGTAAGCATCGGAAGAACCCTCTCCCGGGTATAAGATGGCTTCCAGTTCTGGTAGTAAGACAAGAAGTCAACCAAAGCCTCCACACTTGGGTTCTGCCACTGAAGAGGTGGGGCTTTGTCTCCTGCACAGTCCAGGTCGAAACTTCTGAGCAGCCAAAAAATTAAGTCAACCGAGATGAAGAAAGAGCTTGGAAAATCAATGTTTAACATTTTTTTTTCTCTATTTTAAAGTCATTTGAACCGCCAGTTTATCAAATTCTATTCATCACGTCTTCCCAATAATAATTTCAAGATTTTATTTTTAAAAAAAATAAAAAAATTCAAGATATTTCAAGGAATTTCTTTCCTTTTCCTGGGAGAATCTTGCAGGAAGAGCTATGGAGAGAAGAGGGATGAATCAGTCAGACAGAGGACCCACTGCAATGGTCGCCGCCACTGTTTAAGTAGATCCCGATGATCCTCTCGTTTGGGAAATTATCCTCAGCGGAAATTCTTTGGCAAACTCTGATTCTCCAGCTCTCATGCTTCTTCTGTTCTTTGTCTAGGCGAGCCTGCCCATGGAGCACACCAAAATCGTCATTTTTGCTTGATCTTGGAAGAATATTCCCATTCAAGGGGAAAATAAATAAATAAATAAATAAATCTGCCACGAGAAATGCATAAATATTCATATGGCAGCTGGTAAAAGGCAGGAACAAAAAATTAATCAAATGGGGAAGATCATAAAATATATATGCACCTTTTCACAGGCTGGGCACTCACATCTGAACCCTGATGGCTTTGCAGCACAATTTCCATTTCCGGAGGCATTGCAGGGCCCACAAGGAGAGGAGACATGGGCCCGCTTAGAACCTGGGTGACCACAGCGATAACAGTGAGGAGGGGCCCTGGCCCTCCTGGATTCCCCCTCTAGAGGGCTCAGGGACGCCATTGATGAATTGCCGATTTTGCCGATTTTGCCCAATTCACCCAACCTGCAGAAAGATCAGAACTCTGGCAAGTTTAGGGCTTAGTGTTCCATTCTGGCCTGGATCTCATGGGTTCGCTGTAGATACCTCTGCAGAATCTCATCTTCTTCAAACAGCTGGATGAGACGAACGGCCGTGTCAACTCCAATGCCAGGCACCCCATGAAGATCATAATCGTTGCCAACTAAGAGCGAGATGGCTATGAGATGCTGCCTCTTCAGGCCAAGACCGGCTTCGATGTCTGATATATTGTAGCATTCGAATGGTTCCTGCATGCAGCGAGACGCAGAGGATGAAATCTGCCCGAATGATAACTCGTTGACTTGTGTAAAAACATACAAGAGTTGAGTAAAATGGATTATTATCCCCACTGGTGCATGATTACAAGGCTAAAAAGTGAAGTGCTTCATCATCGTATCACTACGAAGGTCAGATGACAGGGAAAAAAATTATGACTTAGCTGGAAAGTTTTGACTTTACACAGGCTACATCTTATAACCATGGAAGTCAAAATCAGCAAGAAGAGAACCCTACTTGACTGTTGATTTCATAAATGGCAAAAAAAATCCCAGAATCGTCTACTTTCCCAAGTCGATTAGAAGCAAATTTGGGATTTCAGACCATCTAAAGTGATCTAATTATATATCTTATAATTTTGTTCCATGAACTTACCCAAGAACACAAATCAAAACGTACCCAATAGCCATTATGCGATCAGGGCATATGGGAAGTTTCCAAAAATATAATCTGGCATGCTGAACAATGATATACTGTGATATTACACTAACTTTGGAGTTGGAGTTCAGGCTTTTGATCACACACGTGGCCCCAAAGAGGAAGGCATCACTGTCCGCTGTGATACAAGCATCAACATCACCATCAGCATTTAATTGGGCACAGAGAGCTTCGGCCTCGTCCCTGGCTCTCACGACAGGCATCCCCAGCAGCTCAAGCAGCTCCTATCATTGGATATGGTAGAACAAGGAACAAGTGATTCCATTAGTAGCTCCGAGATTTTTAAAAAAAAGTCAAGAAATTTTAAGCCCTTATGTTCAAGCGAATGATTTTCAACAGCTTTCTTGCATTGAAGATGATCTGAATATGTGGTGTTCAAGATGATAATTCCGATCGAAGTAGATGAGTCTTAAATGTAGATGTTTTCTTCAGAAAAAAACTGTGGAATTCCGAAAAGCAAGAAGCTCCTATCCTCGGAAATGGTAGAACAAGGATCAATTAGTTTCGGTCGTAGATCAGAGATTTTTAAAAAAATTCAAGAACATTTCAAGAACTGATGCGTTGAAGATAGCACTCTGCAGATGATCCGAGTGAGCGGTGTTCTAGATTTTTATTCCGATCGAAGTGGATAAACCGGAGATGCAATGCAGATGGTTTCTTCAGAAAAATCATGGAGTTCTGAGAATCAACGTCGCAGGAACAGAATCTAGAGAAAAATTTAGGGAGAAACAACGACTGTGAGGGATCTTCCAGCGACTCACCACGCACTCCTGGACGCATTTAGTGAAGAACCTGTTCCTCTGAATCTCAGGAGTTTCCCCGCCCTCCATTTGAGGAAGGGCAATCGCACATTCAGAGGGATCTAATCCCGCCGCCCTGCAGAACCGCTCGATCCTCGCCTGTGCCTTCAGCGGCGGCGGCTCCCCGTCGACCACGAACACCGGGAACGCCCCCATCTGCGCCGCCGTGAGACCGCTGGCTCAGGAGACGACATGGACGGAAAGGCGGCTGAGAGTGGGGGAGGGGTTGACCTTGGCGAAGAGGTTGACGGTGCGGAAGAAGGTGACGCGGAGATGGGGATTCCGTGGGGCCCTCCGCGAGGCGCTCCTCACAGCGGCGTCGTGCTGGATGATCCAGAAGGAGAGGTCAACAGCCACCCGCTTGTCCCGGAGAAAGTCCACGCCCTCGTAGCGGGCATAGGGTTTGAGAAGCTCCCAGAAGTTCCCCCCGATCCCCATCCGCAATGCCCTGCGGCTGCCCCCCTCCTAACTCTCTCGTACATCGAAGATAGTCCCCACCCCTCTGCTCAGATCACCGCCATCGGAAGATTTCGGAAAACCTCGTACTCTTCCGACCCTGAAAATCGAAGAAGAAGATGCCAGCCCTTGAAGTCGCAGATTCCTAATCGAGGCTGCTCTCTCCTCTCTTCTCTTCCGCAGAAGAATCGCAGGCTCCTCCTGTCTGAGCTCTTCCGGTCCTGCTAAAACCCCGAGGCCATTTCCATCACCAAGGCAGGAGATGGTTCCCTCGCATCTATAAAATGTATTCTAAAACCCATCAAATGCATCAGGATCACCGATATTTTCAGTACTTCTCGTCCGAAAAGATTCAACTTTTAAGAATTTAAATCCCAGTTGATGATTAAAATTTGTGAAAGTTTATGCGGGCATAGAACCAAAAGGGTCCAAACAGGGCAACTCCTCGAAGATCTGTCAAACTAGGTAGGGTCGTCTTTATACATCGCAATGGTGACCATTCTCCTTGTTGGGTAGCCGTTGGGCATCACCTCAAGTGCCCCATTACTAGTCGTTTCATCTGTTGGATCCCTAACAGACCCCAAGTATGACCAATATATAAATATTCTTGATAATCAAAGGTGAACCATAAATGGGTTAGGGGTTCTACATGAGCTCACGTGACTTAGTAGTTATATAATAAATCACATAAATTTAAATTTTAAATTAAAAATACTAATTTTTAGATTTTTATAAATATTTTAAAATAATAAATCAATTATAATTTGATAAAAAGTTCTAAAAATAGTGAGAAATTCTTAAGTCGATCACAAAGGATAATATTTAATTTTTTTTAATATATATATAATTTTAAAATAAATAATAAATAAAATATATATTTAAAAATTCACAAAAAATGAAAATAAGAGTACATATATCAAGATGATGTCAATGTCATGAGGAATGTGATTCAAGCAAAAATGAAGTTATGTTTGATGATTATTATGTAAGTGATTACAAATGATTTAATAGGTTCAATTAAGATTTATAAAAGCCAGAATAATTATAATTAAATGAAGAAAATTTTTGAAACTTAAAATTACACAGAGTATCATTAAATTAAGTGAAAATTAAATTGAAAGTAGAAAAAGTAGTATTTCAGCCTCACAACAATGATTACTGAAATTCTATGTATTCGAAAGGATCATTGAATAATGTCTAAGGCTTCAAAAGCTCTTTGTAAACATAGATAGCATAAATATTCATTAGATCTTCTTTTAAAGTAAAAAATAATAGTAGAAGTTAAACTAATTAAAAAATAGTAAAATAGAGTTTCAATGTCATGGCAGCGATGCATCAAAATTTTGAGTATTTAAAGAATTGTCGTGCAATGTCTACAACCTCAATGTCATGCAATTTAGACAAAAATGATGTTGATTATGTAATCAAATTTTTGATAAATGATTCATATATTCATAAATATATGTATGCATATTATCACCAACCCACTATTTGTTCTCGTAGGCTATTATAATCAACTTGTAATTGGCGTGTGAAAGCCTTAACGGCTCTAGCCATGATTTCTTATCAAATAATTCTTTATCTTTGGGTACCACTCGTACCCACTTTACCCTTCACCTCCATGTCATTATACCAAATATTGAAGAAAGAGAAGTGATAGAAGTGTCTAACTTTTTTTCAACCTAGGTTTGATACCACTATAACAAGGATGTCAGTTGCTCTGCACAAATCGAACACTTGGGTGATTAGACTAGGGGCCACATATGATTAGTATGAATATTCTTGATATCTAAAAGTGAATCATACTTGAAGCCAAGGGTCCCTTTTTATAAATGGGCCCCTCGCCAGCATTCTTTATATTTCTAATATGAGATTAAGAGTTCCCACTCTAGCTGATGTCAAGGTAATGATGTCCTCTGCACCCCTTTCGAATGATGTCATGCTCGTGACATCATCATATGCTCTAATGGCTTTAAGTTGTCACATTAGAATTGCACGCAATGTCATCATGCCTTTTGATGCATCTAGCATGCTTGTATGCATTGTCGTCATGCTAGCACGCACGCGTTACATGTTGCCAAGTGCTGGTGTCATGCCAATCGCACTCGTGTTGTGCCACTGCGCACAAGTCCCACTCCAATGCGTGCCATGTGCCATGTCACCATGTGTAGGTGCCACACCAACAAGTGTGGGTGTCGTGCTGCTGCATGTGGGTGTCGACAAGCCACACCACCATACACTAGTGCCGCATTGATGTGCATGGTTGCCATGTTGCTGTGTGTGGTTATTGCACCAACATGTGCAGGCGCCATGCCAACACATGTGGGTGTTGTGCCATTGTGTCGTGCCAACATGCGCAAGCATCATGCTAATGCATGTGCGTGCTATGTTGCTATGCACAAGTGCTATGCCAACACATGTGGGTGCCACACCATCATGCATGGGTACCATGCCACTATGTACGAGTGTCGTGATGTTGCGTGTGGGCAACATGCCACTATGCACTAGCACTACACTAACATGCATGGTTCCCATGTCACCATGTGCAGATATCACACCAACACGTACAGGCGTTGTGCCAACACGCATAGCCGTATTATTACTAAAGATTGTTCTTGTTGAGGGACTCTGGTAACATATGAGGTTGGCTCTATGCTTGCTCATGTTATTACATCATTGATTATGTGTTTAATCACATGTTTGGGTCTCCACCTTACTATGGGTCTCTTTGCACCTCTTTTACATACTATGTTACTTGTGTGCCTCTTGTTGTATACACGTGCTACATCTATATAGGATCTTATGTTGTCTACATGACAATCTCTTTTACTTAGAGAGTATAATGTCTTTGTCAGAAATAAGAAAATGTATTACTTCAATTGAATATCAAATTGCACATAATCAAGTCTTTCTTTTGGGTGCTAAGTCATCTAATCTTGAGATTTTCCCTCTCACTGAATTAAGAAGTTTGTCCAACAATAGAGGTTATGATGGACAGCACCATTGATTACTCGATGATCAAGTATCTTGATAATTTCTTTGAAAAATATGATAGTGACTACATATGGTTGTTGTTTGACTTGATTTCATTATTGATCACTGTGTTTGTCTTTTATCTCTTGAGAAGTGATACGTGAAAGACGGAGATAATAGATAGACATGATAATAGTTTTAGCTTATAGGTCATTATTCATATTGACTTTGATATGATGATGGGGTTTTCAAATCTTGACAAAATGATCTTTTTCTTTGAGGTATCTTAAATCAATTGATAGATTTATAAGTGTATCTATAGGAATACTTGATTAGTCACTTAAAATTTCACTTCTCAATAGTGATGATCAACTTATTTCTTCATTCGATTGATTATCCTTTATACATTATCATTTATTTTCTCCAACATCTCCATGTGCTGACATGTTAATCTTGACACTATATGACAATGGTTAAAAAACATATAATTAGTGGTTGGTGCCTCATTGTTAAATCTAATAGGAAATAGTTGATTATATTATTGTGCTGTCAATTATGTACTAATTATATTGTGTCAAGTAGCTTTACCTAGTTGTCATGTGATGTTATGTTATAATGTTTGAAATATTCTTCAAGTAGTATGTTAAAACACTAAATCTATTTATGTTTTTGAGAGTGGTAGGGTGTAGAGAAGTATAATCATATGTTGAGTTTGACAAACAACACCTTTTAGACATGCTATGTGAAGGAATATCACAATCATCAATAATGACTCATAGTTATATTTTGTGTTGACAATGTGTTTAAAGATTAACTTAGCAACATCCTCAGTTGTGTCGTGACAATTTGTTGGCATAAAATCTTATATTTTTAGAACTTGTTGATAATTAATAAAATGATATCGTTTAATTTGATCTTGAAGAGACATGTAATGAAATTCAAAATAATGGTGTGTCATGATATCCTCTAAAATAAGTAACGATTGTAAAATATCTACTTATCACTAATACTCTATCTTACTCTATTAGCAAATGAGATAAGACTACATATAAATGTTGACATCATTGTTGTCTCAAGTGTCCCAACCAAGGTACATCCTTTGCTCTACAATTAATATTTGTCAAACATTTCTAACAATTGTAACATATATTTGACATCTTCTTATATCTATAATGTCGTCATCCATTCAACAACACCGTGTTATGTTCTCTTAAATCTAATTCAAGAGTTTGCACACATAGATATCCTCTGCACATGTTGACTAGACCTATTAGATAAAATATATCAGTGTTAGTTTTCTTTAACACATTCAAACTCATGGTCGTCATGTATATTTAATATGTCTACAATTGTGTTTTGCACTCCAAGCTTCTATTGAATGATGAAGTCATATTCTAGCAAGAGTTATTGTCATCTCACTTATTTTGTTAATAGTTTAAGATATGTGTTGAAGTATTTTGCTGTCACATTATATGTGTACATTGTAAAGTGATTCCATAGTAGATGATGTCTCGATGTTTAGAGACAATGGACAATGATGGTCATTTTTCTTTCATGGACATTAATTGCATTCTATGTTTTAGAATTTCTTTTCTTTTCTTTATTTTTGTTGATCTTGGTCTTCTTAAATTTCTAATTTCATGAGTTTTCTAACCACTTTTGTCTTGGTTGTTGTTGTCCCCCTCCTTGTCTAATAGAAATAATACTTCTCTAACTCTCTATCATCTTGTGCTGATTGTGGGGTATCCCTCTTTAGAGGTGGGCTTTTCAATATTCAAAATGTAAGTGTTAGTTTCACACTCTTTGTTCCTTTAACTAGTGCTGATTAAGGTCATTTATTCATCATTGGGTTTCTAAGAACCATCTCCGTTCCTTTGTATTTTCTTATCCCTTTGTTGGTGGTCTAATTAAAGAATATATGTGTGATAGAGAGCTTATATGTGTATCATGCTTCAAAAGTAACATTTTATGTTTAATTATTACCGAATTACTAGATAGTGTTCACTAAGCATAACCACCTCATGGAAGTATACTCCAACTCATGTAATAGTGAGGAAATCTATTCCTAGTATTATTTATAAGTTGACTAAGGACAACATCATAAAATCTAGGTGGCCCTTCCATCTTCTTACTTTCATAGGTACTGTCCTTGCTATTCTTATAAGTGGCCTAACTGTTCAATCCACTACCTTAAACTTAATAGTGGTTTTTGTCAAAGTGACTTCGAGTTGATGTATTTTTTTGAGTGCCATAAAGTTGCATGTGGCTTTAATATCAACCATGGCCACCATCAACTCTCCATCAATATATGCCTTGATGAATACTAGCTTTTTTTCCTTTTCTTTCCTTGCTTTGTTACAATTCTTATAGAGGGAGCAGTTGAAAGTTGTTCATCTCTACATCTTTTTCTTCCCCACTCTCTTCCTCTATAACCAATGGTTTTTGATCCACCACTACATTGAAGAGAGGTTATTTATTACTCTATCTATTGAGACAATCTCCCTATCGATATCATCCTTCACAATTAAACTATTTTATTTTGTGGAATTAGAAGTGTGGCCTCTGTAAGTTGAGGTGGAGTAAGGAGGGTTAAGGTGTGGTTCTTATTATGTTCCTCACCTCATCCCTCAAATTCATGCTCACATGTGGCCACCACCTTGATTTCTCATGTTCATATTTGATTTAAGTGTTGGCTCCTCTAAATACTAATGACTCGACTACAACACAAGCAATTTCAAGATCTTGGGCACTACTCCTTTGCACTTCTGCACATACATATGGTTGGAGTTTGTGGATGAAGAAATAGAGATAATTTTTCTCTCATATCTCTAATATCTAGCATGAGAGCTCTAAAGTTCATGACATAATCACTTATGAACCCTATGTACTTGAGGGCTAGCATCTCATCAATTGCAACATCTATTATGTTTGTTTGCCTGAAGTAACATTTCAAATCCATCTTCAAGTCTTCTCAATTTTGGTTAGGTCTCCTCCCTTGGAGTGCCACCAGATTTTTACATTTCACATAAGGAACCTTTCATATCATGGTCTTCTAAATATTCTTCGAGATCTTAGGTGAAGTTGTCGACCTCTATATGTGTCATGAATCCCTACAAATGGTCTTAGGCTAATAAGTGCATGTGGGGCTTTCTTTTCTTGGGCTTGATGCTGCCTCCTCCCTAGTCGATAAAGCACAGCTTCATGTCCTCAAACATCCTCTTTTAACTCTTCTAGAGATGCATATCCTGCCCAACTATAGTTGCTGCTGGTATCCCTCTACATCTATTCTAACTTGGTAAACATCAGCTAGGAATGCTCCTCCAATAAGTTTCAAAGTTCCAACACCTTCACTTGTCATTGCTAGGATTCCTCCTATAATCAAGTATTCATCTCTTCTAGACAACTCTCTAGCTCTTCTACCCAAGATATGGCTTCTTGCTGGGTACAGAATTGGGGTGCAGACATTGAGGTGTCTCTCACTCTCTCCATCTAGTCATTCACTAACCTCACACAGGTACAGAACTCTAATGAAAGACTTTCTCTTATTAATTAGGCTTCTCTTTCTATATCACAAGGATTTTTCCTAGCCATTATTACACCTCATGAGTGACCATAGTTCTTGCTAGGTAGCCATTAGGCGCCATCTCAAGTGCCTCACCCTCTGATGGAGTCACTTTACTAGTTGCACAGACTGTTAGGGCCGCCGACATGCCCAATCTGCATTCCCACCATTAAGCAGGAGCAGCTTGGCACCTACTTTCGTTTATGCACCACCCAAACATGTCTAGCTAGCACATATGGTGTCACCCATGCCGCGTTACATGTGTGACTCTTGCCAGGTATTGATAGTAACCTTTGAAGGAATTCACTACTGATAATAGAAAGCAAACGTTTTAACAAAATCATCCTGATCAAAAATTGAAGAAATTTGATATATACTTGATAATCTTGTGCCAAGTAGCCTCTTCCTCGTGCAAACTCCAAAGGGTTTATTTCTTTGGCTAATATAAAAACGACTTCTAAGCAACACAAATGGCCGCTTCTTTGTTGCCCATTGACAGGGGGAGAGAGAGTAGACGCGTAGCCCAAGATAGGGCCGATGGAATACGAAGCGCAGGATAGAGAGAGAGAGAGAGAGAGGAGAGAGAGAGAGAGAAAGAGGGCCTGCAGAGATGGAAGAGGAAGAATGGAGCATCAAACCCATTACAATGGGTTGATCCAGACCCCAAAAGCCCACCACGGGAGTGCCCAGAAGCATCGCTAAATCTCCCTCAACAAAGCAAATGGTTCACAAGAGTTAGAGAGAGAGAGATGAGGAGGGCGATGGAGCATCTACTGCTCTGGGGCGTACTCTTTAATGGCCGCTGCCAGCTTGGCGGTCTCCTCCCCGGTCTTCGTCCTCAGCAGATAAGTCCTGGCGACGGCTGCCTCTCCCCCTCCCTGAGGCCAACGGTGAGGAAAATCAAAATGGGCGGGCATTTCCAACAAACTAACCACTCTATGCCATCAAATAAATGCCAAGGATTATCAAGGGCGAAGAGGGTAGCAGGCCCAGAGAGAAAGGGGTGCTGAGAGAGCTTACTACAGTGTGGAACACGGCGGTGATGGTGTTCTTCTGCACGCTGGTCTTGATTCCTGGATATATCAGCGCGTTGAGCAAAATCTTCCCCACCTGCAGCCATGAAATCATCAGAACCGAGCTTAAAAATGGGCATATCCATCCACCTGCTCTAGAGAGAGAGAGAGAGAGAGGTCTGACATCATTGCGGATTAATATGGTGGGCTTTGATTCTCTCGTGGCTTTTCCAGCTCCCTCCTTGCATCTGATGGAGAGCTGGCCCACTCCAAAGTCTTTCCATCCCTTCTCCGCAGGGTTCTCTGGCTGGATGAATCAAGAGAAGAACATGATTAATGATAATAATGATGATATTATCAAAAAGGTCAGCAGTTGGTGGGCCGACCCGTCAAACGAAAAAAACAAGTAAATTGACAGCACAATTGAGATCTGAAGTGGGTCGCCATGCGTAGAAGGAGAGGAAGGGTGGGACTCTTCAGGCCCTGATTTCATGGTTTGGTGGCACCGATCGATGGTTCTGAGGTTTGTGAAGAACAGAGAGCACTGCGATGAGATGATACCTGAACGTAAAGCTTGCATTTGACTTCGTGAACGACCACGATCCCCTTCTCCTCAGTTCTCTTCAAAGAAGGGCTGCTCTGTTTCTCCGCTTCATTGTCTGCCCAACCATCATTAAATAATATAAAACTAGACATAAAATTAGATTGATCAAAGCTTTTAACGATTATTTCATGAATTAAGTACGCAAAAATGGGGTAAAAAAAAAGAAATTGTGAACTCACGATTCGGAAATGAGAATGCAAATAAAATGCATAACTAAGCAAACAGCAACAATAATCGAGGTTGGATCAAAGGATGGGTTGAGCCCATCGCAACAAAATTGGTCATTTTTTGATAAACATCTGTCGAACATCAGCTGGTCCAGATCAAGTTTGGAAAGTTTTTTTAAGCTTATAAATTCATTAAAAAATCAATTATGTAGATGATCGAAGTAGAAGGTCAAAGACAATTTTTCCATAAGTAATCAAAATTAAACTTTAAAGGGTACCAAAAATTATTTGGGACTTCAGTTCAGGGTCTTCTACATCCCCCACCCACGTAAGTTGGCCAGTATTTGAGATAAGGAGCGAAAAACACATGAACGGGGATGATAATGGTATCCGCCTTCCACATGCCAAAGTCCTTTCGAAAGGGGAACAACATAGGTTACTCTTGAGCATCGACAGTGAAGCTTGTCCTCATCCCTCAAACAAAAGGGAAAGAGACACACAAATAGGAGCACAAGCTGTTGAGATTACCACTTGGCAGGTCATGACTCGTAAAAAGAAGCACAGACAAGAATTTCCAACAACCTATCACGAATCAGAGCACATTTTTTCGAGATTCTCTTAAAAATTCCACGTTCATTTCGAGATTCTAAGATTGTAGATTATTTTGGAAAAAATCATGAATTAGACATACTGAATATGTAACAATATTTCAACAGTAACTCAATCGATCCCAAAAAGGTGATATTCAGTCACTTTGATTGCGGAATCAATCTACATATAACCAAAATATGTGGGTCTGTATTCATAAAAATGGGATCGTGAATTAAAGAAGCATTTGTATGATGGTTTTGTTTTCTCTACTTGATTCGTGAAGTGATACAGACCAAAACCCAATTACTATTAAGCCATCCGTCCCGGACCCCTCCCTACAGCTACTCTCCTATTTGTTTTCCGCATTGTACGACAGTCAACCAAGTGAAGTCCGCGATTCATCAAGTTTGGACTCAAAAGGAAGGGATCCGAGTCAATCATTACCCACCTCTTCTGTAGGGTGAGAACAAATTATTTCTTGGGATCTGATATTACATTAATTCACTACAAGAGACGTAGAATGCAAAGTACTTTCTATAGATCTAGACTTACATCATTTTTTTACTGCGAGAGACCACTAGAATTAAGTTGCTCAGTTTGACTGGAGATCCGTGGGTTTTTGTTCTATCATTCTTCAGTCTTTAAATCCAACTGGAACACCAAAGCACCGACAAGTCTTTGGCAGTCTTGAGATTATTTTGCCGACTTGTATTATCGGAGACCGGTAAAACATGCCAGGTATGACTCTTTCGTTGAAAACAAGATTCAATGATCAAGGATTTGGGGGTTAAGACTTATTCGTTAAGTAGGGTCTAAGTTAACACAGTGAGTTCCTAGTGGAGCAGACCATATAGAAGGTGCAATAATTAAGGTGATAAAGCATGCTGTGATCAATTTTCCACAACCTTTCATTGGCAACCATCCACACTGTAGGCGTGACCATGGTATAACTACCTTCATGATACTCGTGATATCTTTCTAGTGATTCACCAGCTACGTTGAACAGCCGAAGCATTCAAGAGAGTAAAAGCATGCCACAATGGAGGTGGCAGAATAATTCAAGGGCCACAGTGAACATGGCATTCATCAGGAATGCTTATGAACTCAATAATATACAACAAAACATACTATAAATCACCAATTATGTAAAGAATCGGAACAATAATTCACTCACCCTCATCTAGATCTTCAGCAGCTTCAGGCTTTGCAAAAGCTCCTTGAGGACCTGGCCAAGAAACAGACATCTATGAAATACAAACTATTTGGTTCAAAGGTAACTATAGAACGTTCCCATCTATGGAAAAATTACAATCCCAACCAAATTGCAAATTAAGTGTGAATGGACAAATTCATAGATTTGTTTCCACTGATTTGAGAACATTTGAGATTCGAATGCCTGTCTTATCTTTTTCTTCAGGGTAATAACCATTAATTCCTGAACGCATGTAAGAGTTTGCTCGATTGGTTTACAAATCAACCTTTGTTGACTATCATCATCTTTTTACTCATACTTTGACGCTATGCGTCATTTACTTTCATTTTTGTTTTTTATATCCATTACAGCAAGCATTTCCCATGAAGATATACAAATTCAGTTAGAGCAGCTTTCAAAACAAAACTCTTACATGCGTATGTAACCCAAGGCACGAACATCTAAACTTTGCACATTTAGCATGAACACAGGAGCCTAAAACGCACCAACCCGGGTTGTCTACGCCAAAAATTCATGGTTTACTCTTTAAAGCCAGTTACTCCCATGTTTTATGGGCATGGTTACATCAAAACAGAAAAAAAAACCATGACTGATCACACACCTTGGGTGGCAATCAGTTCAGAGCTTAACTGAATCAGAACCGAAACGGATCAATATGTTCATCAAGTCTAAAATTAAAAAATAGTTGAAGAATATAACGAAATGTTTGTTGAGTTAAATTCCACTAACTGCTCTACAAGAAAAATAGTGTGGAAGTTATTTACCCATAGGAGTCGAGTTAATATGTTTTTAAGCCACACAGCCATAGATATGGAAGGGTGGATGCCAGGGGTAGCTGGTGCACACCAATTCTCCTCTTTCCCTGCTCTGGGGACTGTAACCACTACAAACAATGAGAAAAGGTAACTTTTGAAAGTCATCAAGTGATGTTGTTCTGCTATTGGATGCTGATTACCAATTTATTCTTTTTCAGATTCTCCTCACTATACTTTCGCCCGAAATTTGATAGAACTGGCAGCACATGTTTAACATAGTGGGTTCCCACTCCAAAATGAAATTGTAAATAGCATTTAGTCAGGAAGCATCTGATGCCGGAATCTAATTTTTAAATCTTCGTCAACTGAATGATGGCTTAAGCATGCATATCATCAGCAGTAGCAACTTAGTTTTTTAGTGAATGTTAAAGGAAATTTCTAATTATCTTATGCACAAAAGGAAGATGAGCACCATGACTCATTCATTACCAAATTGCACGAGGTTTTCCTCAACTTGTGCTGAAAGGAACCATAGAGAGTCAGGAGAATGATGATAATAAGGCTAAGAAGGAAACTGGTGCCCAATGGCATGCTGTTGCTATTTCCGCAGCAAGATGCCAGTTATACTTCATTTGTACATTGTTAGAGCCACTGGTCCCCGCTCTTACCTTGAATTTATTCTAGTCATTAAAGATTCTGCTATCTACATAAAAACCTGGAAACTTGTGTATCATCAGCCGAACACTGCTTGAGAAACTTTCTCTGATTCTCATAAGCAAGCCTAAAAAAGATGACAACATTTTGGCTTTCATTTCAAAAAAAATAAAATCTAACCCAGCTTTATCCAGGAATCGAATGCAGATTTCAGAAAGGTTATTTGTCTGCTGACGAATTGAATACAAAATACGAAGAAATTTAAGGAAACCAATTCGGGCACTGTAATGGGACAGCATTGGTGCATCACATGATGCATGTGAATTTTTAACCAGTACGTCAGCGTTCATGGTTCAGCATCACAGTTTCCACCATCTAACTTAATGAAGTTAAGGAATAAATTCCTTCACTTCACTGAGAAATATGATAGAAAAAAATATGAGGTAAAGTAACCAATCGGAAAATAATGAATCCAAGAGAAAACCAAGGTGACCAAGGTGAACGACTCCCTTTATGGTTCAGTGTCAAGGCAAGGTGCTAGGTGATGCAAATTCAAATATGTTGCAAACAAATATAGATAAAACATCATATAAAAAAATATTTGAATAAGAAAAATAATATAAAATAGTCGAATCACATAGGCTAAGATATGTATTTTTAAAAGGTGTATAATTAAATTACAAAGGATGAAAGAAAGTATGCATATTTTTTATAAAATACCAACATCACAAAAATTAATAACTACTCGTTATGCTACAAAAGGCCATTAATGAATGTGACATCAGAATTTTGCAGTGAGTTGCAATAGTATTTAGATCATGAAAGCTAGGATGTATTTGTGCTGTTCACCAAGGCAGCCCAGATGCCTGGAACATCTAGTCTGCCTTGCCACCTGGGCAATAACCTTAAAAATAAAGTTCCAATCAATCATAAACAGTCTTAACATCACGCCAACAAGGCATCCCAAAGACAAGTAGAAAATATGCCCTCTGTTGGGAGTTAAAGTAAAGTTATTTAATTTAGAAATAAATATTTGATGCAGCCAAGGAGAAATTTGTAACCCCAAAGAATATATGTTTACTTGCTCTTCTATATTAATCTTTGTATCACTTCGTCATAAAACATTGATAAATCCCTGTTAGTCTTTTGAAAAAATGAGCATACAGTGCATTTTGCAACTAAAATACCCGCAAGTTTCAACCTTACGTACTCTAAAAGAAAATTCTAGTCAGCCATGCCACTCAATAACGGTGTCAAAGAAAGACTGCTACCTGGAAATAATTGTTTTTGATTGTCTGATGTTTGAATCAAACTAAACAAACTTGGAGTGGAGGACACTGAAGCAACTGGAGTAGACACAATATTAATCTCAGGACGAGATTTAGATATGCTACTCTCGACTCCATCCACCAACTTCTTTTGATTGTGAGATAGAGAAGTAATTGAAACCCCTTCTGCTTTTGAAGCATTAGCTCTAAGCCACGCCACTACATCACTAAATTTTTCCTGAAAAGTTAAGAACTTGAAGAAATTAAAAACTGCAGTAATCCACAAACCAGCCAACCAAGAATTAAAAATGATTGTTTGAATTAGCTGGAGATTCAGAATAAACAAAAAGTAACTGAAAGTGACAGTAGGATTCCTCACAATAAAGATTACCAGCAGTCGAAGCATGTCTAAGAGATACTTTCTCATAGAACCAAGAATTAAAAAAGCACCAGGCTAAAAAGGACAACGACCAAGGATGGAAGTATGCTTGGTTAGAACCGTGACCCTCCCTTTGAAGGGAAAGATTTATTTCTAGGTGTATTATGTTTTGTATGCATCACTCTTTTTGAGTCCATTAGCATACCTTTCTTGACAACAAAAAACCAGTATTATACCATAAACACTGCCTAACCACCAAGGACATGCATACAAACTGTCAAGCAAGCTAAGATCCTTTGTTATTGTTTTTCTCTTATGTAGTGTCTCTCTTCTATTTGGGCCCTTAAGTAAGTCAGTTATGGACTACTTAATGGGTTCTTCAAAATAAGAGGGTTTGGCCCACTAAAGATGTAACCGGTATTTAAACTGGTGTAGAGGTTAATTGAAATAAGACTTTTTTGGGAATCTACTCAAAAGGGATTCCTGGGCGGCACCAGTGGGAGGGGAGGGTGAAAACCTGATCAAGAAGATCAAGAAAGAGATTGAGATCTTGGTTTAACATGGTATCAGAGCCGGTCAAGGCTTGAAGCATCGCAAGGACAAAGATCGGAGTTGACTTTGTGATCAAGACCAAGGACATGCCTTCCATTCTAAAGGAAGCAACCTTTGGGGAGGTCAGTTGAGAGCCAGTCTTGATTTCAAGAATCAAGAAATAGGAGATGTCAATGGGGCAAGAAGCTTCTGCATCCAACTCGGTCATGACAACAATTGTTGGTGGCCGAGACAAGACAATGTATGCACTGCCAAGTATGCATGAGTGCTTGAGATTTAATGGTACTAATATGTACCAATGGGAGAAATTTGTGGAGTTAACCCTCATAGGGAGAGGTTTGTCAAAGCATCTACAGATGATCATGTTGAGATGAATGATTCGAATTACAAAATATGGAAAATCCGAAGAAGCCTTTATTCATTTATGGCTATTTGGAACCACGTCAGCAAAAATGTGCAACAACTTTCTTTATATGACTACCATTAAAGAATTGTGGAATCAAGTCCACAAGAATTGATCAAAGCAGCAGAATGATTAGAAGATTTATGGGCTGAATGCTAAAGTAGTGAAGGTAGTACAAGGAGAGAAGACAGTCGTAGAGTTATCATGTAAACTAAAGGCTATATGGCGTGAGATCGATCATTATTGACCTATAAAGAATCCTCACTCCAAAGAAAGAAAATACATAGAGTATGAGAGTTTTCGGAGTCATATCCTACATAGGGAGAGGGCACCTGATTTAGATGAAGCCATCGGCATTGTTATGGAGGAAGAGAGTCGATTGTACCTATTCTCATATCCATCAAGCCATATCAGAAGAATTCAATTGATCAAGGACAAAGGATCTCAAATGACTTTAAAGATAATCTCTGGTGTTCTTTCTGTAAGCACAAAAGGCATACCAAAGAAACCTGCTGAAAGTTGTATGGTAAGCCCCAAAAAAATTGAAAGGTATATGTTGCTGCTTCTCAGAGTCATGAAGGTGGAGAACAAAAGCAATTGAAGGAACAAATAGGAGAGGCTGCTCATGAACATGGGGAAGACCTTATAAAGATAAGAGAAGAACTAGAACAACTCAAAAGTATGTTGAGCTCTACCTAATTGGTATGTTCAGGTGAAAACAAAGTATTTTTTAGTAATACTATTATCTTAGAACCTAGTATAATACATTGATTATTGATACTAGTGCCACATCACATGACACCAAATATGTCAAGATTTGTCACTTATTCAAAGATAAATAGGCCATATAAGGTCTTTACAGCTAGAGGAGGGATCTTATCAGTTACTAGTAGCATCAAAATTAATGGGATAGGTATACTTAAAGATGTCCTTCATGTGCCTGGACTTGAGGCACATCTTAAATCCTTACAAAAGTTTGTGTAAGATGATGTGTGTTTTCTGTTTGATAAGGCGTTGAGGCGGAGGACTGGACATGTTAGGTGTCGAGATGGCCTCCTCTACCTAGAAGATCAAGGACATGTTAGTCTTCTTGGAGATGTCAGGAGTCAAATCATGCTTCAACATAGTCGTGTTGGACATCCTTCTTTTAAATTGATGAAACATTGGTTACCTACCATTTGTAATAAGGTTGATGTCAAAACATTGATGTGTGAGGCTTATCAACTGATCAAACACAAACAATCTACATTTTATTTTAAGAATGAAAAACGTTTAGTACCACTATATCAGATTCACAATGATATATGGGGCCATGTCAGATATCAAGTATATCTAGTGGCAAATGGTCTATGTTGTTTGTTGATGGATGTACGCGATTTATATGTCTTTATCTTTTTAAGTCCAAAGCTGAAGTTGTTCAAATTATTCCACATTTTTTCAACATGATAGATAATCAGTTTGGGACAACAATAAAGCGATTCAAACTAGACAATGCCAAAGAGTATTTCAATACTATAGTCTCTCCTTATTTTGCTCAAAGAGGCATAATTCATGAATCATCATGCATTGTTACTCCACAACATAATGGTCTAACTGAAAGAAAGATTAGCCAAATTGTGGAGACAGCCAAAACATTACTGTTCCAAAGAAATGTACCTAGACAATATTGGGGAGAGGTTGCATTGACAGCTACACTCCTTGTAAATCACATACCAACAAGATCAATTGGACATCAGAGTCCAATTGACTTATTGTCTAAAGCTTATCCAAATGTGAAGTTACAAACAAACCTAGCTCCCAAGGTATTTGGTTGTGTGGCATGTGTTCATATTGCTAATACTAAGTTGAGTAAGTTGCACCCCAAAGCACGTAAGTGCATATTTGTGAGATACTCTTCCACTCAAAAGGACTATAATTGTTATTGCCCATCCTCCAAAAGATATTATATCCCTGCATATGTTACATTCAATGAATATGAGATGTTTTATAAGAAGACCAAAGAGCCTAATATTCAAGGATCATATAATCCTTTAGTTACAAGCTCTAAAGACCCTTGTCCTCAAGTGACACAAAAACTTAGGAGACAAGTCCAGACAAAGTCACCTAACACAGCAATCACAATTGAGGAAGAGAGGGTGGAGAATGTAACTGAACTAATTCAATTGGAAGAAGATGATCTAGGGCAAAATGAAGAGGAACAGCCAGATGTAGGCCTAGCTGAAGATGATCAAATAAGATGGCCTATTGCCATGTGTAAAAGAGTAAGGAATTGCAGAAACAGACCGAGATGTCCAATGGTCAATTATCTAGCATATGATAGATTGAGTCAAGTGTATGAAGTACTATGGAGCTCTTTTGATATGACAAGTGTACCCAAAATAGTTGATGAAAGATTGGCCAGAAAAGAGTGGAGCCAAGCAATGGACATCTGAGTGGTGCCCTTCCAATTAAGGGGGAAAAAAGGCATAAGGGACTTCAAATGAAACCTTGGATCAGAAAGTCACTGATGGAGCCATGCAATATCTCCGCTGGAGTGCGCAATGGACATTTGCTTGGTCACTTGAATGAGCAACTGTTTCTTGCTTTATTCCCTCCAAGATTGTTGTACAACTCCCAAAAAAATACAGAAGCCTTGAATTGATCAAATATCTGAAGGATCTCCTGCCAAATCACCAATGCAGATGCAAGCCTACAGCAAATCTCCTACTCTGGCAGAGAGAGTACTCTTTTCCAGCATGGGGAATGGAATGGAATGGAATGGAATAAGAAGAGGGCAAATAAGTGATTTTACGTGTCTATCATTCACCTTGTCCGTACTGCTACACACCATCACCTAAATTAAATAGCATTTCCATAACCATACATTTATCTCTAACAAAAATACATTGCAATAAGAATGGGAACTACCAACCCGTTTTTTTTTTATCACAACACAAATGATACTCCAATCCGTATATCCCACCAAGGTGAATAGAAACTAATCTATGCACATCCTGAATCTATAACCTTGTGAAAAATTTTGTTTAAACCTCAATGATTTATAAGTAAACTTCAATGATTTTTAGAAATTCAATGAACCTGTTAATCATAGTTATTATGCACATGATAATCCAAGGCTGGCATAATTACAAATAAAACTCATTAAAATGGTGAGTTTTTTTTTGTCGCTTATCAATTGAATAGATAGTATAAACAACAAGTTACCATGATGTGAGAAGCATGATTAATATAATCCTGAGCACCATCTTGCCAAAGCTCATCAGGATGATTTTTCAACTGCGACTGCACCCAACTGCCGAATATACAACATAATTTAATAATGAAGCTAGACTATTTCAAAAGGAGAAAATTTGCATTAAATAAAAAAATCATATATTTCAAGCCACTTTATTGCCCCAAAAAGAATTGCACAAAGCAAGCGTGCAATCACAGTACTGCATTTTTAAATATTCAAAACAATAGAGCACATCGTTTCCAAAATTTGTAAGAACACAAGCAAAGGATGCCAAACTGGAAATGTGAAACCAATCAAGGGATGGAGACTTCCAAATTGCGAATAAGAAATTTTATTTCTCTGATAAGCATCCAGTGAAGCAAATTGCAGATGCAAGATGACGTCCATTAATGATTAACAATAGAGATTACCATAAAACTTATTGAAAATGTACATCCCTAATGTTTTTTAAGCATCTTAGAAGCAATTATGAAATCATTCTTATTGTGGAGTATCACAGAAAATTCAAAAGCAGTTAAAAATTAACAGAAAAACAGTTAAAAAAAAGTTATATATAAATCATAGAAAATGAACTGTGAAAAAAAATAGGCGAATACTGGCAGATAAAAAACATACAGCAACTTGCTAGTACACGGGCATGGACGATGAGGACCAATAAACATGAGTAAGCATGAGAAATGACATGTAAAAAATATATATCGAAGAAATGATAACGACCAGGGCAAGGGAATAATACCTTGCATATTGAGTGTTGAGAGCTCTCACATGAAGATGGCATGACTGAGCACGCTGGGCATCTAATTGTGGTGCTTCCACCGTGTGATTATTAGGCGACTCAGCCCTGTGAACATCAAAATTGGGTGCTGCCATTACTCTTTTACTTTGCAACTGCATCATTATAGAAATAGAGTGGGAGAAAGGTCTTATATTCACTTGAAATGTCAGCCACTAAATAATAAAAAGAACAAGAAAATTTGTCAACAGCCTGATAAAACAGAAATGACTCTAGACCGTAGCCAAAGTCAAATAACAGATAATGAATCCAATAAATCGTTTAAGGGGCTCCCATCCCAGATTCCCGGTTCATTATATCCAATGAATAAGATGAAAATGAGCAACTAAAAAATAAGTCGAAAGAAAGTTTGAATATTTGAGCAGAGGAGCTTGGGGATGTGGTTAAATCGTGATTCAGATGCAAGTAAAGTTGACATAGTGGGTAGAAATCACAAAGCCCGGATGATCGCTAATTTGACAGTGGATTCGACAACTTAATAGACGTAATATTGAGCACATCTCCCTTCACCAGTGACCGTTGCTTATCCCTATTAGCACAAAGCCGACCACATAAGCGGTATTCTTGGGTTGAACCATTTATCGCTCATTCTTCGAACCCTTACGCAATAATTCCACACGACAGTCATCCCGGAATAACCCTCCAAGTACTTAGGATTCTCTACTAAAAAAAAAAAGATGAAAGGTAGGTTCGCCACTGCTACTCATTAGGAACCATCCATCTACGCGAGGTTGGGAAACTACTGCACTACATAGAGAAAGAGAGGGGGAGAGGAGCGTACTGAATCAATGAAAGAAAACAAAACAAAAAAAGAGCAGACAAAAGCGCGAGGGGTACGTACGGCGGAGTCATTGGAATCGGGAGCTGACGAGGCGGACTCCGCAAGCCGCTTCGTCCCTCTGGTCATCATCTTGCCGTTTCCCCCTACCTCCTCTGCTTTCCCGACCCTTTGAGCACTCTCTCTTCCTCTATCCTTCCTCTGCAACCCGCTTTAGGGTTCCGCTAATAACCCGCCGAGCGGACCACCAGCAGTCGCAGAAACGCACACACCCCCCGCTGCGAAATGCCGAGGTGGGGTGGAGGAGGGGAGAGGCAGAGAAAGAGACGGGTATTTATACCAGTGGTCTTTTAATAATATTTAATCTAGAAAACTTTACCGCCTCCTCGAATCTAGTTTAAACTTCCGCCACCCTCCATCTCGACAGAGACAAGTTAGAGAGAGAAAGAGAAGAAGATAGAGAGAGAGAAGAGAGAGTGCCTCGCAGCCTTGCTGTCTCGTCTGAAGAAAACAAAACGAGGGGGAGAGAGAGCGAGCGAGGGAGAGAGAGAGAGAGAGAGAGAGAGAGAGCCTCGCAGCTTTGCTGTCTCTTCTGAAGAAAACAAAACGAGGGGAAGAGAAAGAGAGCGAGGGAGAGAGAGAGAGAGAGAGAGAAAGGGGGGAGAGAGAGTGAGGGGGAGAGGGGGAGAGAGAGAGAGAGAGAAAGGGGGGAGAGAGAGAGGGAGAGACAGCGAGGGATAATATGAATTAGTAGTTTGAAGGGGCAGAGAAAGAGAGCGAGGGGGAGAGAGAGAGAGAGAGCGAGCGAGAGAGTGAGGGGGATAAAGTAGTTTGACGTCGACGTGGCAAATAAAAGCCAGCACGGGCCATTCACAAAGCATATGAAAATATATATATTCAAAATATGCTAAAATCTCATGTACTCGAATTTATATTAAAATACAATTTTCAATAAATGAAAATTTTCTTTCATTATGTGGGACGTCATATATAACTTCTACAATAATATTATTATATTTAAATTCAGGAATTTGGGAGAAATAGTATTTTAAAAAATATAAAAAAAGATATGCAAGAAAGATTTGGGGTTTTTTTTCAGAGGAACTGGTATTTAAAAATATGGATAATCTATTTTTGGAAGGATTATCGAGTATGAAAATAGGGCCATTTAAAACAAAAACCCTATAAAATTATGGGAATTACGTGTTTTTCCTCGCTCTTCTCTCTCCACCGGCTGGGCATTCTTCAGTATAAAAACACGGCACGAACCGACAACCTCTCCACGCCCTCTCTGGATCTGAGTCGAAGCAATTGGAGGCGTTTCCCTGTCAATAGCTCCGGATCGTCGTCCAGTCTCTCCTTTCTGGATCTCCAAGATGGTGACGTCCCTACTCAATGTCTTCTCCCCCTTCGTAGTCACGTAGATCTGCTTGTTTTGAGAGCGTTCTTATTGTGAGAGCACATGCTTAATGGTGATGTTTTACCTTTATTTTGCCCAAATGTTTTACGGCGAACAGGTTGTCCTCGCGGCTTCCATCATAGGCAAGTCTGGGAAAGGTGAGCCTGCTAATAACCGAAAAAAAGAATCCCTCAATTGAGAGTTTTAAAAAAAAAAATCGTTGCATCTCCAATGTTTGGCGTGCATTTAGGTGGTTGCGATCCTTTAGGTCTCAGGTTTCGTTTTTTACGTCTCATTATCTACCGCCTCATAGTCTTCATTGAAAAATTGGACGTTACATCTCCAGATATAAATTGCAAGCCATGATGTAGTGGCCAACTACCATTAGAAAACAGCCATGCGACATTACAATTCATTAGTGATGGAAGCTTGAGCTTCGACGCATGTATCAGTTAGGTCCTTGTCTTTGGTTTCCGTCATTGTCCTCCCATTGTTATATACTAATAGCTTCAGGACATTAATCTTGTATGCTTGTAATTATCCCGGTTGTCGTTCTCAGGACATCTGCTTGCTGCTTGGTTTTCAGACTCCTGCTTCTGTTTACTTTCCATAAAGTTCGATTTGTAGCTCATGACGATATTATAACTTGGTTTACAAGCTTTAATCGGGCTAGATATCAAAAGAAATCCATTTTTTTGTGTGTATATTGCCATTACATATGTATTAGTTATAGTTGTCGTTTTCATATTCATGTTCCTCTGCAGCACTTGTCTCAAGGCAGTTTGTGGATATGTCTCGAATAAGGATAGAGGGCCTACTCGCAGCATTTCCAAAGCTTGTTGGTACTGGAAAGCAGCATACCTTTGTCGAGACGGAAAATGTACGCTATGTCTACCAGCCGATTGAAGCTCTCTATTTGTTACTCGTAACAAACAAGCAGAGCAACATTCTTGAAGATCTGGAGACACTGAGACTTTTATCAAAACTTGTATCCTCATCTGATTTGGTGATGAAATTTTCACCCATTTTATAGTTCGACTAGTAACATCCTCATGATCTTAACCATGTAAACTGCATTTCTTTTTGGGCAATGATAAATTCAGATATAGTGAAGTTGGTCGTTGAATGTGCCAGAAATAAAGTGATGAAAGATTGTTATAGCCGCATAACAAATTGTCACAACATCATAAACAAGTATAAGGAATGGATACTTATAATTTAGTTTTTACACGCCAAAATCACTTTAATTTTACCTTTTTTCTGTTGTTGAGAAAACAAAGTTATTTTCCTCCTCTCTGCATAAGTAAAAGAAATGGGCATAACCTTTTACACATCTATTCGTTTTATGAAATGGTTTGGTTCTTCTGGTTGTTAGCGATCTATTTTTACAGTCGACTCTTGTTGCATTACTTTAGAAGATCCTTCCAACAGATTTCTGTTGATTCCTTAAGTACTTTTAGGTGCCTGAGTATGCTTCCTCTCTTGATGAAGAAGGTATCTGCACAAGTGCGTTTGATCTGATTTTTGCCTTTGATGAAGCTATCTCTCTTGGAAACAAGGAGAATGTAACTGTTACTCAGGTCAGGCAATACTGTGAAATGGAGAGTCATGAAGAAAGATTACACAAGCTCGTAATGCAAAGTAAGATTAATGAAACCAAAGACGTTATGAAGAGAAAAGCCAGTGAGATTGACAAAAGCAAGGTGATTTCTAGTGCTTTACACTTCTACTTGGTAACTTGGGCCTGCTTTTGTACACAGTTTTTTCGTTTCGTGGTCAAGCTTATAGTAATCTGCTGCAAAAAATACGTAGGAATAAAACTGGTTAACGTTGCATATGTAAGTAAATCGCAGAATAACCTGTAAATGATAGAAAGATATAATTTTGTTGGGATTGTAAGTTAGAGCATCTGAGAAACTTAGGAGATGATAAAATGCTATATTAAAACCGTGTCATTTGCCAATTTCATGCAGTCTCATTTAGTCTTAGATCAGTCAGGGAAATTGAAAATAAAGTATAAGGCGTCTACTTGGAGGGATATGATTGCTCTTTTGGACATTGATCTGTGCAAAATACTTTTCCAGACATGCCTGAGAACTGGGATTGGTAGAGCCTTACCAATTGTTGGCCACTGGCTTATTTAATTGTTGAAGCCTCGCAAATTGGGCCAGGTGGAGCTGATTTTATGGGCTAGCCCTGTCCATTGGGGAGTTTATCCTTGTCTGTTTGGTAATTAATATTTTGCATTTACGTTTTCATCAAGTCTCCGTATATGATATACGTGTTAAACATCACTTTCTTTCCCTTTTGAAAATTGGGCATGTGAACTTTGTCAGTGAAAAGAGCGAGATTGGAGACAACAGTTTCCCCTCATATCACATATACTTTTGTTCTTACGAAAGCACAGCGGTTGAATACCAAAGTCCTACTTATTCTTTTGTTTTTCTTGGACAAAAGGCTTTTGATTAAATTTATGTATTTTTTAATCATGGCCTGTGTTATTTTAGATTGACAAAAACAGAGGTGAAAAAGGAGGTTTTATGTCTATGTCAAGCTTAGACAGGATTGAAAGTAGCTTCAATGACATGAGCATATCTAGCAATGGAAGTGGATTTGGAAGTGCTTCTGGGTTTGGCTTGAGCACTGATACTGAATCTTTATCAAGCAAAACAAAAGGTGTGTATTGAAATGTGTACGGGTATTTTCAAATTTTTTGGCCGCTTAGAAACCGTTTGATTTTTATTTCTTGCATAATTATTTCAAAAAAGCAGCAATTCCATCTGACAACCGAGAACAGTTCAAGAAGTCGTATCAGCATTTTCATTTCTACCACAGACGGTTATATTCAAATTTTTTTACATAAAACCTTTCAGATAGCTTGAGTATGTTTTAAATAATAAACTACGTGCATTATAAAGAAAAAATAATCCCTAAGTTTAAAGCCATACTCTGCCATGAAACTGGATGACTGCTGTACAGAAGCCATTTTTCAGTTACATTAGCGACCTTAGTCAACTATCAAACTGCGTAGCTGCTGTACTGGTCCTATCATCAGCTGCATTTCCTTTCTGGTAATTTACCCAGAGTCTTTGAAACGCACATCTGGCTTTTATTTCCTTTTTCCTTTTAAAAGACGATGACGCGACCTAAATCTGGTATAATATCTCTTGACCACTGCATCTTTTTTTCTTGTCTCCCACTACCATAGGGCTTCCTGCATATACTCTGGTGTCTATATTTTCTATGCGATAATCGTCTGATAGAATTTGTATTTCTAAACAAATCCTATATGATCAGTGTCCATTATATCACCCATATCCTGATAATTGTAAAATTTTATTTACTAGAAGCCTTGTCAAGGGGATTTTGGACATGATGTAACTTTTACATCTTTATTAACCAGAAGGTGAAGTAAATTTTCACATCTGAGGCAGTAAGATTTTCATGAGACTAACCTTTTGGATTGCCAGGTCGTCCACCTACGTCTGCCAATGCTCCTCCTAAAGGCCTTGGTATGAAACTCGGTAAAACGCAGCGGACAAACCAGTTTTTGGAATCTCTCAAAGCTGAAGGTGAAGTGATTATTGAAGAATTGAAGCCAAGCGCTATTCAGTCAAAGGGTTCCCTTCCACCTACTGATCCCGTCACACTGACCATTGAAGAGAAGCTTAATGTTACGATTAAAAGGGATGGTGGGGTTGGTGCCTTTGATATACATGGTACACTTGCTGTCCAGATTCTCAAACAAGATGACGGGTTCATCCAACTTCAGGTTCTCTCTCTCTCTCTCTCTCTCTCCCTCAATTTATGTATATATATAGATATATATAGATATATATCATATGCACCAAAGGTCAATCTGACATGCACAGAGGTACACCCCTCAGAAAAATGCTTTTTGACAATTCACATAATTCATCATATGTGCAATGCAATTGGTCTTCACAATGTGCTTGCTTGTCTTAAACAACTTCGAATAACAAATTTACTTTTCATTCTGCACAGCTTCCTGCATATTATTGGCTTCAGTAGATGGATCTTTTCTTCTATGGGATTTCTACCTTTAGCTCTTTTAATACTCTACTACAGACAGACGATGAAAAACACCCACTAATTTTATTTTATTGTAATCTCCTGACTGAAAAACATGCCTTGTTTTTTTTATTGAATATAAATAACAATTTATTTAACTACAGGTTGAAAACAGAGACATTCATGGCCTCAGCTTTAGAACTCATCCCAACATCAACAAAGAATTATTTAACAATGAGCACATCATAGGCCTGAAGGACCCCAAGAGGCCTTTCCCATGTGGTCAGAATGATGTCGGTCTTTTAAAGTGGAGAATCCAGGGCATGGACGAGGCAGCTGTACCATTGACTGGTTTGTGACTGAATCCACATTTCATTGTGGCTTCAAGTATTTATGTGATTGCATTTACATCACCTTTTCCTCATCTACAGTAAACTGCTGGCCATCTGTTTCTGGAAATGAGACTTTTGTCAACATCGAATATGAAGCATGTGAACTGTTTGACCTACACAACGTTGTGATCTCAGTACCACTTCCTGCACTCAGGGAATCGCCCGGTGTGAGGCAGATTGATGGAGAGTGGAGGTGAGCTCGTTCAGCTCAAAAACATTTGCACATCTTTTTTTCCCCGCTCATAATGTAAAAGAATAGAATTAATTTATTTCTTTAACATACAGGTATGATCCAAGGAGCTCCACTCTGGAATGGTCTGTTCTTCTCATCGATAGCTCCAACCGCAGGTAATTTGCCCTTGCAAAGCTTGTCTGATATTTTCCAATACTCTCAATCTGAAAAAAAAAAAAAAAAAAAAAAAACTATTGAACTACTTATTCTCTGGCAGTGGCTCGATGGAGTTTGTTGTTCCTCCGGCAGATACATCTGTCTTCTTCCCAATCAGCGTCAGATTCACTGCTGCAAGCACATTCAGTGACGTGAAGGTTTGACTTCTTTCTTCTTTTTCAGTATATTCGTTACCAGAGATCAGTAGTCTGTATAGCTTCTATTTCATCTCGGTTACTGCTCCGTCCAGTTATCTCTCATTTCGATACAACATAGCTTTGTAAATGCGACAAACTGTCCATGTTCTTTGAACACCATGATCGTGTGCTCTGAACTTCCATTCTTGGGTTAGGACTTTCTACTGCCACCCTGGTCCTGGAATTGCCTGGCGGCATGAAATCTCCCCAAAAAGACTTCTGATCCTTTCCTCCGAAGATATTTCACTTCAGTATGGTTTGATCAGCTGCTACACCTGTGATTTGAGAAATTTTTGTATGAAACGGGGCGGTACGGCCCGATGTGGTCGTTTTCTCTCTCTTCCTCTGCCTCTCTCTCCCAATCATGCATAGGATAGGGAGAATGCCGTCGTAATGAATAACTCCGTTGACCTTTTCTCCTTGGTATTGTTTTGGAAAAGGTTTAGCATGGAGTCCGAGTTGGGAGTTGCTCTTTGACTTCCGTTTGAGGGAACATGTTGGAATAGTCCTACTCTGGAAGAATTTATTTTTGATTTAGATGGCCCCAAAAGATTAGTCAAATTATTCGACATACTTTCAAATCATGCAAATCCATGTGACCCATTTCACCCGATTACTTGACATGCCCATTGCTTGTGCTATACACACCAACTACTAACTCTGGTGACTCTCTCTCTCTCTCTCTCTCTCTCTCTCTCTCTCTCTCTCTCTGTGAGTAGATCACATATTTATGATTGTGCCACAGGTCACTGGCGTTCTGCCACTTCAGGAAGGGCCGCCTCCAAAGTTCACCCAGAGGACTCAACTGATCACGGACAATTACCAAGTCATTTGACTTGCATCAATCCCACATGCCAGCCATTTGTCATGTCTCTCATCTCATTCCATTCATGGTCACTGCTCTCCGGTTTCTCCGGCCTCTCGGGCAACTCCACTCACGGAAAAAATGGCCCCCACTGGCCCCTCCTTCTGTGGGCAGAAGCGGCACCCGACAGGAGACCAGAGCTAAACATCCGTCTGTTTATCGGCGCCGGGCTCCTTCACCGGAAGCTTTTCCCTTTTCTGCAATGCCAGTCGGAGATGATGGGAGCCCTTGATCTTCCTCTCCATGACGTTGACTGTGAGTTCTTGAAGTTCTCCCCCGATCTTCATCATCTTCCTCCATTTCTTTTTAAATAGGGTTTCGTTAATCAGCTTTTTCTCTGGCCCGAAAGCTCGGGCTTTGATGGGATTTGGCCCGGAGAACCCCAGTTGATCCAATTCATTGGGTGGTCAGCCAGCCCAGCCTGGTTTTGCTGTTGGAAAGTCAAAAGGGTTGACGTTCATGCAATGGGAGAGAGGATGCCGTGGTCTTTTTGATCGTGTGCTTGTTGACGAATTAGACCTGCTGGGTCAGATGGATCCGTGTCTGGACAATCGGCCTAGTCAAGATCAGGCTATAGACTGAGCAGTAGTATATGGCTACAGATCAGACATGATGAGCCGGATAAGGCAAAAATCTGATGGAAAGAAGTGGATCGGCCGAGTCAAACGGGCAGTCCATCTCTACAGGCGTCGATTCCAATCCTGGCCACCAGCAAATAACGACCAAAAAAACGATGACCCACATCCATCAGGTGATGAAACTATGCAGGGCAAATCAATGTTCCATCTATAAGCAAATATATATATATATATATATATATCACATTAATTTGCGCCTGAGCACCTCCTGCCTGGCGAGGAGAGAACAAGAAGAACATCTGCTGATCCCAGCAAGACGGTTTGTGAGGCACAATGGGAGGGGTTGACTTTCTACAGAAGAGTGGACTTATTCTCCAGAGGTGGGCATGCCACAATGAGAAGAAATCAATGAAATGATCGAAGTACAATTATATATATAGATATATCATATTAATTTGCGTCTGAGCGCCTACTGCCTGGTGAGGAGAGCTCGAGAAGAACACCATCTCCCAGCTGATCTCTGCAAGACGGCCTGTGAGGCACAATGGGAGGGGTTGACTTTTTTTGCAGAACAGTGGACTTATTCTCCAGAGGAGGGCACGCCGCAATGAGAAGAAATCAATGAAATCATCAAAGTATAAATATATATGTATCACATTAATTTGCGTCTGAGCGCCTCCTGCCTGGTGAGGAGGGCACAAGAAGAACACCATCTCCCTGCTGATCCCAGGAAGACAGTCTGTGAGGCACAATGGGAGGGGTTGACTTTTTTTGAAGAACAGTGGACTTATTCTCCAGAGGACGACACGCCGCAATGAGAAGAAATCAATGAAATCATCAAAATTTGGGCAGCATCAACATCGCCAGCATCCGCGCACAGACCCTTCTGATAAAATCTGAAGGAACAGAAACTACGAGAATCAGAAGGAATTAATACTACGGCATGCGCCGCCGGCCGTGCTCTTCGCGGGCGGGGCGATGGGGGTTGTTCAACTGCTGTGGGCATCTCCTGCCATCCACTTCCACACTCTGAGCTCCCCCGTCCGGTCCCCCGTGAAGAACAGCCCACCAGGCCCCACCTGAATAGCTCTCACCTCCTCTTTGGAGAATATCCGGCCTCGCTCGGCAAATCTGCACACGAAGAAGCAATGGAAAGATGTCATCTTTGGGAATTGTAGAGAGAGAAGAGGTTCTCGCAGCCTCCATCGAGGCGGGCGGCACTCACGAGGGCAGGTCGTAGAGGCGGACTATATTGTCATTGCATGAGCACAGCAAAACCGGCTTGCCATGGCCGTTGGGCATTCCGGCAAGAACAAGGGCGCCCTGCCACCACCAAACAAGCAGGCAAACGTTAGAACCCAGCAACAAAGTATTGGCCACTTATGGGCATTCTTCTCGGTGGGATTCCCAAGGAACTGGACATCATCATGTAAAGTAGGAGAAAAAAGATAATCTCCAGTTTGATATAATAATCTATCTATGTAACCACAAGATGATGAAACCGGTTGAGGCCAGCATGCTGCCTTTGATTTAAAAAATATATGTCCCCTCGATAATTTTCTAGGAAATTGTAGGTCTTGACAAAATCCCCAGATGATCCACTTAACAGATTTCAGGTCCTGTTTCCAGTGCTGCTACTCTATATTTTTTTGGGCTTTGAGGGAGATTCTTTGTTGAGGAATTGCATTTTTCAAAACCAGAGTAAAACTCGTTCAAGATCAAAAGGGTAGCTATATATAATAAAGAGAAAATGGCGGCGCATGGCCTGTTTTTTTTCAAAGGGAGATATCATGTTTCCCCAATTTATTCCTGAATAGAGAAAGGTCGTTATGGAATTATATATGACAATCTACCTAATAAGGGCACATGAAGTAATTGAACAGAGGGAGCTGGTGGGCAATGAACTGATGCAATTTGAGAAATGCTGCCCAGAAATCACTAATCCAGACAGATTTAGTGGCAGGGCAACAGATACAAGACAGATGGAAGAGGATGAATTACATAGAGAGAAGACCATACTGAATCATAGAGACGGACAGTGATGTGGCTCAGACAAAACATGAAGGCAACATCCTTCAATATTCTTCTGCCTACACTATGTGAAAACATGTCCCCCTTCGTTTCTTTCACAAACCTACGTCAAACTGATCTTAGCCTAACATTGTCAACATCAAGGTCTAAACCCTCTCACTCTAGTCTCTTCATCAGCAACACGAACTTGCTTCTTACATGGACATTCAGAAGTTTGGGGTAGAGTTTTATTCATACATATGAGACAGTAGCTTTCAATCTTATTGGCCATTCGCCTCCAGTAAATTTGCAGGAGGGTAAGTCCTACATACGTGACTGTATTTCTTGTGAAGTTCAAAAAGAAAAGAAAGGATGAGCTCCCTGAGAATGGACTTAGAGAGCATGTATTAGCCTCCATCCATAATGAACACTTGTAATCAGCTAATTACGAGCCTCTTCTTGGTAAAACATGACGAGCATTTTTAGCAAATGGAAATGCAAATATCAGGCCCGAGGTAGATTCCACACCATAGATCTACATCCTATTCATCATCAATCAAAATAGGATATTCCATCTCATGAACCTTAGTTCCTATGTCATCAGAATTCAGCGGAGTTTGTTGCTTTATTGTACATGTAAGATGTGCCAGTACATCACCTTAACTACCACTATCTACGGTTTCGCATCCTCCCCAGCTGCCTAATTCCTTTAAAAGGATTTGGTCTGCCCGCTGCACCAGATACAACTTCACTGATTGACATAGAATGCCTGCTAATGCACTCATTGGATTTGGCAAGTGGAACAAGCCTAACAATGCGTCAAGCACCGCCATGGTGGACAGGAAATTATAATGGATGGATTGTATGAGATATAGCTGATGGATCGAGTTAAGAAGGGTATGAATCAAGAACTAGTATTCGACTGACAAAAGGGGCTTTGTTTGTGGTCGAATATCTGGGTATTGGTCAGCTAAAAACAAGAGAGGTCGGACATGTTCACTGCAGATTTGAGTATTGGATGAGGAAGGAATTGGCTGGCCAGTTCAAGGATAGCAAGGCCACTACTCTTTCTACGATAGAAACAGAAGAATTTCAGTAGTGAATAGTATGGTTGCTGCACTATTATTACGCAATAACTCAAAATGAGAACAAGTAAGCAGAAAACTGTATGAAGGATCACCAATTAGGGTACCTGTCCCCGAGGGCTTTTACCACTGGGTACAATTGGATTTGACACTGCCTCCCACTACCGCATTTCTAATGGTCAGCGGTAGCCAGTGATGTTGTGGAAGGAGGAATACCATCTCTAATCAATGACAATATGCTTATATACAAGTCCCCAAAGAATGAAAAAAGAAACCATCTATACAAACAAAAAATTAATCATACAGAGTTCTTCAAATGCCAAGCATAAAAGTAATAGCTTTAAACATTGAATAATTGAATGAATCAACGTACATATTCTTCGTTGTGCGTGTATGTTACTTCCAAGCTTCCACTTTCTGTTGCAGCCCAGACCTTCACCAATGTAAATGACAAGGAAGATTGTGAGAAAATTCGTCTTTAGGCACAAAACCCAAGCATCAAGGAAAGTACTTGTCAACAAGAACTCCCACCTTTATTGTTCGGTCCAAAGAACAGGATAGCAGAAATTGATCCCAACATAATAGTGACATAACAACCTCCGTGTGGTCACTAAGAGTTTGAATGCACTGTAAAGATGCAAGGTCCCAAATCTGAAATGTACTTCAGACGTTATAGCACACATAATAGGCGGTAACCATGATGATATGTGGTAAATAAAATATAAAAGATAACCAAACATCACTCACGACTATATGAAGTGATATTAAGCAAATATTATCAAGTTTTTAAGGCAGATTAAGGTAATGGCCAAAAGTCTTACTACATAGGCAATAAGACGAGGTAAACATTTGAAATAAAACTAAAATATAAATATTTTTTCGGATAAGATAAAAATGTCTTTCTACAGTCAATAAATGAAAAATCAAAACTTTAAAATATTCATTTTCTGCCCGCATTTTCAAATGCCTGGCTAAATCCGAACAACTGTTATCAAATCGCCACTCACACAGAAGGCCAGTCATCGTGGGCATCTAGCCCCTCTCATTGCCTAGTGATGCTTGGAAAACTATGAATGCTTTCAAAGAGTTCGGAAATTGGCATAAGTGACTCTACCATCTTCATTATAGACCTAAGGCAATCCAAAGGAAGTTGAACATAGAATTATATTAAAGCATGCCAAAGCAAGAGTAAGCTGAGAAAAAGAGAAAAAAAACAGAATGTTCGAAAAGGAACGCTTTTCAAGATGACAGAATTCAAAGTCATACAACAAGTACTAATCTTAGAGAATTAATAACACTAATTTTCCCAAAGATAATTGCTAGGTAGTGAGGTTCTACTGCAAATACAATTATAAGTAACTACTTCTAAGGACCGTCTTCACACTTTAACTGGAAAAGCATCCTGAGCATATTGGATTAGCTGAGCGCTCCCCTATGCTCATGTACTTGCTCAATTCCCATCTAACACTACCCACACCTCTTCTTCCAAAAGCAGACTATGGAATGATAGAAAGCAACATATCTAATGCCACCTGACCAAACAAAAAATCCAAATAGTAGTTGTTCTCGCCAAACACCTTGAAGACATCTGTATCTGAGGAGTTTTAGATTGACTGAACGCAGAAAGCCTTCCACTTGAGCGTTCATGTTTTCACAAGATTTTTCATTACTCATGTGAGAATCCTCACTTCTGATATCTCCGTCTTGTCACCAAAAACTTCCCGGACTGACAGAACGTCCTGCTACTGTCGCTTGAAAAAGACGCTTTCAAGGTCTCATCGATTTGGTTAATCACTAAACCAGCATAAAAAAGCAACGTCTGGACATGATCCTATAGTAAGAAAAACAATTCTTCCTGTTGTTAGGGTTTTTTTTCTCGGTCTTTATTTATGTTCCCTTATTCATCAAAACCTGGTGATTCAATGAGTCCATTTTTACTCCAAACAAGCAGCACTTGGTAACTGCTTAGCAAAATAGCTAGAGTCAGCTACAGGCAAGATAAGTGCTGTTTTCACAAAGAGATAGAGATTAACTGTGTTAACCTTCGGTAGCCAGAAAACATTTCACTACATTAATTTAACACCCAATCCGACATCATATAACTGGCTGAACCAAACATGTGCCCTGACATCTTTCTACAATTTTCAGCACTAAAACCTAAGTTTTGAAAAGCGAGAGCGATTTTAGACCAGGTGAGTTGTCTCAAGCTTATCCAGCTAGGTTGTGATATAAATCCGCAATCAAAGGCTAAAATCAAGCTTAGACAACACTGGCCCATCGTTAGCCCAAATATAAACTTAATTTCAACGATAGAAGTTCGTTGTTATATTTGAGGAGGATTTAGGCACATTTCATTCATCAAAGTGTACATATATATATAGAGAGAGAGAGAGATATTACATAGGATCAGGGAAAATTCGAAAACATCAACTCACATCAAATGGTCCAGAAAAGTGTTGCATGATGTATAACACAAAATCACTAGCTACAAAACCAGATGTTCTGATACCTAGACTAATGTATCTAAACAGAACTATTTTGCCAGCACAGCACTAACTGACCACTCATCCGTCATTTGAGTTGAACTTACATAGTTACAGCACTAGTGCTGAAAATGTTTTGGAACCTCCTATGGCCTTGCTAGCAAAATAAGTACCATGGAACACCCAAAGAAGGCACATGGTTCTCCATTTCCTGGACTGAAAATTGGCCGGCCCTTATGAATCTCCAAAACCACCACCATACTGATGTAAATCTCTCGACAGAAAGAGCAACTCAGCAAAAACACAAACAGTTGACCAATTCTGGGCTTTTTGATTAACTTTGACCAATGAACGCTCTCACACTCCACATTTAATTAGGTAGTGAAGGCACTTTGGCCCTGCCGTGAAGTTATCCAAAATAAATGTCTTTGCACAAGCATTGTCCGATTCTATCAATCATCTTATCAATGTCCCTCTTGAGACTGAAAAGTCATAGTCCTGATAAAACCTACCGCAACTTCAAACCAGTCAAAGGACAGGTCATTGCATAGTAAAAGTTTCTGTTTTCAACGATTAAATATTCTTCCTTTGCTAGTAGGTACAAATCTAGTTAATCCCCAATAAGACGTTCATGATACTCATTTTTTGCACTAAAGATGTTTTTACTTAGTCTAGGTAGCATACCTTCTTCTTTCCTAATGTGAAGTTCTTCACTTTTTTGTAATAGCTCCTGCCTGACACGAGTTGAACCAAAATCCTCCCTGTTTCATGTTTGCAGACACTTCTTGACGCATCTCAGGTCAGACAGGCTTATCAACTGCCTGACACCAAAGTCGTTAGCATTCCTCAGGCAGATCAAATAAACCTCCAAGCTTATCAACTGCCCACGGTCCCAAGCAATACGGCCATTAAAAGATAATTGAGCCAAAGAGAGCATTTGATTTAATCTCTCATTCTTTTCGAGTAGCACCCTTGCAGTGGGACAGAAACAAGCAATCCAACAGTTATTCGTTTATTTCTCCTCTTCCTCTATGAATGGATATGCTTCTATCAGGACAGGAGCCTAGGAACATCAAGATACGTTAGCTAAATCTTGGTTAGCACCCATTGAACAGATATCTTTTCTTTAGAAAGTCGTAGGCGTCTTTGATAGATGGGAAAAAAGAAAAACAAACCACAGGGCCTATCGTCCCATTCACAAACTAGTTATTAAATTGTTAAGCTAATTATATCATTGAGAAGTCACAATCAGCATAGGAAGCTGAGATAGCACCATGTTCTGTTCAACAAAAACTACGAGGGAAAAAAACCCTCCAACGACAGTAGAAAGACTGAAACTGCATGCATCATAATACGCCTGTCAAAAATGAGTTAAAGATCAGTCCATGACAAAGAGAATTGCACTCATTAGTAATGCAGCCAACTTACTCGTATGGTACCGTCCATGGAACCAGAGTACAGCCTCATACCGCCAACAACTAATGCAACAACAGCTCCTTGATGGCCACTTAGAGAAGCCGCAGGTTGAAAGCAATTGCCCTCCGGACTAAATTTCCATGCCAATATGTTACTGTCCTGTAAAAAAGAAGAACAGTGCGGAGTGTTCCATCATACAACCAATGGAGGGTTAACTAGGAATGTGGCATTGCTCATAGAAAGAGAGCCATGAGATCTTCAACTCAACAAATAGATTGCCGGAAAAATAAATTAAATACTAAACTAAACTACCAAAAAAACACACAAAGGTTACCTGTACACCAGCAAAGAGCATATCATTGCCAACGGCCAAAGAGTACACTTGCCCAAGAGGTCCATCGAGGTTCATTTCAGTTCCCATTTGAATATTTACTGCCTGTGAAGACAATAATTTTATTGATGGCTTTTCTCAACGAAGAAAGAGCAATTAAATCTTCCTTTCTCTCTCATGATTTCAAAAAAAAGTAAATTGCACAAATTTAGTCTCCATACTCGTACCTTGACAGCATTAGGGATCCCAATAAACACCCATGGTCCCTCACTGATAATGCATCCGACTTCTCCTCCCGGTTTGGCAACCATAATACACTGCATGATTCCCAGAACAAGGCTTCACAGTACTGTCGATGAATCAACGGAAATCATGGTATTGCGTGGATTGCCATCGCCATTACCTGCCCACTCTCGCAGTCCCAAATCCGCACGGTCTCATCGGTGCTGCTTGAGTACAGCTTATTAGACCCAGATGGAAGAGCAATCCCTGTAACAACCTGCTAGACCAGCTTCTCAGATCATCGCCCCCACTAAAGAAACACAACCAGAGAAGTATGCTGAAATCAAGAAGGACCGGGCCTCGGCTCGGTCGAACATCAAGGACATTAAAGCCCTCGCACCTTCTGGTGGCCCTCGAGCTTGGTCAAGAGCGAGAAGTCATCTCCGACGGACCAAGAGTGAAGAAACTTGCAACTTTCTCCGTACGAACATCGCCCCTTGACGAAGAACTTACAGATGATTTCAGAACCCCTACGGGCGGCTGGGGCCCCGGCGGTCGCAGCACTCCCTCCTCCTGCCCCTGGCGGCGCTCCCCGGCCCCTACCCCACTTCGATGGCCCTCCTCCGGCACTCGGGTTTCTCCACACCAGGCCGCCGCCGCCGCCGCCCCGGGAATACCCCTGCGTCCTCTTCGGCGCACCATCTTCGTACTCTTGGGATTGTTTCGGTTGCCGATGGGAGGAGGGATCGCCATGGAGATAGGGGCAAGGGCGCCGATTGCACCTCCCCTGCAACCAGTAATTACACACCTTTCCGGTGCCGCCAGCCACCGATCCGCCGGCTTGCCGCTGAAAAACCCTCTTGCTCCCGTTCATCTCCATAGACTCGACATCCATGGCCAGAGGAGAACGCAGACCCGAGAGAAAACTCCCCAACGGGTACCAAGAAAACCCTAATTCGAACGGAGAAGGGGGATGAGAGCCCACGCAGGGATGGATTTCGGCGAGGGGGGTAGCTGCCGGGGGGACGGCCGTAGACGGGAGGGGAGCCCCAACGGCGGCAACGACGGCGAGTGCCGACACGCAGAGGAGGATCGAGGGTCGGCCGAGCCGGGTTTAGGCGAACTCGGTCTTCCCTCCCGACATCATTCCTCGTATCGCTCGGATCCTATATACCCCCCCCCCCCCAACTGATTCTCTCTCTCTCTCTCTGTGTTCTCTCCCTCTCCCTCTCTCTATCCATCATCTGGACAAATGGGACGAACAGTCAACGGGTGGGCCCCGCAAAGTGGAACCCCCCAAAAGACCAGCCTTTTTTAAATACATAAACATACGAGAATTTTGAAATTATTCTATAATTCGTTATATTTGCGAAAAATGATGCGTAAATATAGCCTTTTGGGATGCAGTAAAACCATTTTAATTAAATTAATTAAGAAAATATATGCCTTGAAAATGTGCGGTTCAATGTACCGGTCCAAGTTTTTTTCTTAATTCGTAATATTTTCGAGTTTCGTGATTTTATTTACTGGTCAAGAATTTTTAAAAGGGCATTTCCTCGGTCGTGGTGCCAGTTGCTTTTGACCCAATAAACTACCGCCGCTTTTAACGTCGATCAGCTACGCTCCAGTCAACGCACCATTAAGCTTAGAGCTCCTGTTTCTTGGCCGCGACACGTGTCCTGGCTCCAGGCCGTCGCTTGTCGTGATAAGATAGGAGGCATTTTGATTGGTTGGCGGATCGAGAGAGAGAGAGCCAGATAGAGAGAGCGAGAGAGAGCCAGATAGAGAGCGAGAGAGAGCCAGATAGAGAGCGAGAGAGAGCCAGATAGAGAGATAGAGAGGGCGAGAGAGAGAGAGAGAGCCAGAGAGCCAGAGAGAGAGATAGAGAGAGCGAGCGAGAGAGAGAGATAGGGAAAGCGAGAGAGAGAGAGAGAGAGAGCCAGATAGAGAGATAGAGAGAGAGAGCGAGATAGAAAGATTGAGAGCAAGCGAGATAGCGAGATACATAGAGCGAGAGAGAGAAAGATAGAGAGATAGAGAGATAGAGAGAGCGAGAGAGAGCGAGAGCGAGAGAGAGTGAGAGAGCGAGATAGAGAGAGTGAGAGAGCGAGAGAATGAGAGAGAGAGAGTGAGAGGGAGCGAGATAGAGAGTGAGAGAGCGAGATAGAGAGATAGAGAGAGTGAGAGGGAGAGAGAGAAATAGAGGGAGCGAGATAGAGAGTGAGAGAGCGAGATAGAGAGATAGAGAGAGCGAGAGAATGAGAGTAGACTCCGTGGGAGTTCTTTCCCTCCGTCCTCCCAATGCAGAACCTAAGTACACGTTCATGACGGTGCCCGCAGCTGTCTCATACTGGTACTTCCAACGTACTCCCGTCGGAGAGAGAAGCCTCCTCCTCCGGATCCCATACATCGCGGACCTCGTCCACTTCGTCTACGCGCTCGACGGCCGCGCGGCTGGTCTGCATCGCCGTCTCTGGAAGCTCCCTTACGTCGTCTCCGGAGCCGGAAGACGGAGCTCTCCGGCGCCGCCTGACCGCCGCCAGGCTTCTTCTTCGGGAAGGAAGGTCGCCGGTGCTCACCGACGCCTCACCTTCAACTACTTCTCCGGCGGGCGGCGGTGGCGTTATCGACCGGATGACAATAACGTCATTTCCCGGTGATCTTCTTCTTCGGGAAGGAAGGTCGTCAGTGCTTACCGGCGCGTCACCTTCAACCGCTTCTCCCGTCGCCTGAGGTGGCGTTGTCGACCGGATGATGATGACGTCACTTTCCACGGGTTACGGGAGGATGCGGGGACCGTGTTGCTGACGTGGGCATATCAACAGACACGTAAGATGCCACGTACAATATCATCGACGAGATGAAGAGGATGAGACTAAAATACCCTCGCTAAGCAACGAAGATGATTCAAGACAGCCTTTGCTAGTTGCCCTTCTACCGTTCTTCATGCAGCTCCCGCATCCTCGCTCGATCGGAGGAGAGAGATAGTGATAGTCGGAGGGGGAAGGAGGAGAGAGAAAGAGAGTTGGGGGGACGTATGGAGAGCTACAAGGAATGGGTCAGGAAGAACAGGGAGTTCGTGCAGTCCTTGGAATCACTGGCCAATGTAATCAGCTGAGAACCTGAATCTCTCCTTCCACTGGTTCCTTCTCCATCTGTCTCTCTTCTTCTCTCCCTATGCGTTTGATTTATTCTTTTTCTTCGAATTCCCGAGAGAATTCTCTTCCGTGGTCCGGTCTAGGGCAGGCCTGCTTCGTTCTAGGTTTCTTGCCGGCGTCGTGCTGACCTCCAGGGCTGTGGAATTTTTGTACACAGGGCATCACATGGCTTCTACCGGAGAGATTTTCCAATTCGGAGATTGGCCCAGAAGCAGGTTCTGTGAAATCTCAGTAACCCTCGACATATTTTCCTGGAAAATCGAATCCAATTACTTCCCCTATTTGATGAACTTGTCTGACGCAATGATCCTCGTGTCCCTTCATTCATCTGCTGAAATTAGGGTTTAATTGGACCAATTTGAGGTTCAGGTAGCTAAATCAGGTGGCGATGCTATGAACTGAAAAAGCTGTTCCTCTTTTCCACAGTCTATGCTTTTTTGGGCGTAATCAGCACCGTAAACCAGCATATAATTGACACTATTCCGAGCCATGGCGGAGCGAGGGGCTCTGGCCCGTCGTCATCTTCATGGCCACTGTGTGTATCGGTGCTCAAAGACTTGGAGACTGTGGTCGAAGTAGCATCCCAACACTTCCTTGGAGATGATGGAAAGTGGAATTTCATAGCTCTCACAGAAGCTACCAAGTAAATCAGACTCGAGACTATTTGGTCAATATTTTTGCTCGAATATTTTTTTCTCTTGCAGGGGTTTGCACATTGACCTTTCCATAGCTTTATTCATGGAAATCTTTTGGATCTTTTGGATCTTTTGGATCTTTTGGATCTTTCAGGGTATTGGTCAGATTAGCCCAATTCAAGGACTGTGGTTACAGAATCCTCCTGCAAGGTGGAGAAACATCCAATTCAGACGAGGCCTCGAGTGTTTCAGACATTGATCCCTCTGGACTGGGGAATCCTGGGAGAATCGGTGGCTATGATCCAAGAAATTTAGAAGGGAGAGCCCTGTCGGCACTGAACATGTTTGCACAGAATGCTAAGATGAACTCAGAACAAATGTGGGTCCCAAGGGCCACCAGTTCTGCCCCCGGTATTCTTCTTCTGTTGTCTATGCTTCGAGTTGCTGTGATCTTTTTTCCTGGAGATAATCGATAACCACTGCTTCTGCTGCAGCGTCACCCCCCAAGACTACTCTTTCCACCCTTTGGTCTGAGAAGGGGCTCTCTGGTGGGTTCTTTGTGATGGGGGAGGTCCTATGTATCATTAGACCGCTTGTTTATGTTCTATTCATAAGAAAATATGGGATTCGATCATGGACCCCTTGGTTAGTCTCCTTGGCTGTGGACCTCACTGGAGTTGGTATTCTTTCATATGTCACCAGACGTGCTGCTGGTGATCATGAACGGTTCGCACTCTCTGTCTCAGAAAAAAATGAGGTCGGTTCTTCTCCTGGGTTCTTCATTGACCCCACCCTTCCCCTCAAAAAAAAGAAAAAAAAAAACCCAATCATGAATTTAATGCCGTTATTTGGTCATATGTTTTTCATTGCCCTATGATTTTATCTCCTGTTTTCCCGGAGGCTGTCTCGTTTGATGATTAATAAGCTTTAAATATTTGCGGTGAACCCAGATGAAGAGAAGAAAGGTTCTGTGGGCACTCTACGTCATGAGGGATCCATTCTTCAGCAACTACGCCAGGTAGCTGCATATGCTGCTTCATTTTCTGATGATCACATTTAATTAATTTTTTTCCCCTCTTTCAGACATCGCTTAGAAACCAGCGAGAAATATATGCATCAGGTTCCGTTGATTGGATTTCTCACAGGTCTGTTCCATGCCTTTTTCCCTCACCGTTGACTTTTTTCTTCCTATCCTAAATTGGGAAGAAAATCTCGAATGAGCCATGTTTTTCTTTGGTGCGCAGCTAAAATTGTCGAACTTCTGATCGGAGCCCAAACAAGATACACCTACACATCAGGTTCATAGCAGAGTCCGTGGGGATCCAAGACAATTTTTAGCGTGAGCAGTTCCGGGTCATTCATCATTGCAAGACTCCATAATGCGAATGCATGCTGTTTGAAGGCAAGAACAGGGTTTCGTCTCACGCTAGAACCCAGCTCAGGATTCAGTACCAGCCAGTATATGATACCCGGCTGGTTTGATCAGCTGTGCCTGAGATCTTTAGTTTTGTAGTTTTTTTTCGTTGTTCATAGCAATCTGTGGCATCAAATTATGTATCATCCATTTAAAAATGTTCTGATAATGATGAAACCGATTTGAATTTATAACAATTATTATATAAAAATCGATCTGATGTGCCTGAGATCTTCAGTTTTGTAGTTTTTGAGTTGTTCATGGCAATCTGTGGCATCAAATTATGTATCATCCAATTCAAAAGTGTTCTGATAATGATGAAACCCATTTGAATTTATAACAGTTATTATATAAAAATCGATCAGATGTGCCTGATATCTTCAGTTTTGTAGTTTTTGTGTCGTTCATGGCAATCTGTGCTGTCAAATTATGTATCATCCATTTTCAAATATTCTGATAATTAAGAAACCCTTTTGAATTTGGCGATGTGAACCTTCATAAAAATTTATTCCAATAATTATATAATTATGGGATTATTCAATTTTTATCTCATGTTTTATTTTCTGGATGTCGTCATCCATTACTTTTTTCTGGAAATTAAAAAATAAAATGATCGCCCCAATACTGCTTTACCAAATAACCCACAGAGAGATGACAACAATCAATGAATGGGGGGCAATATTACAAAGGGTATATGTATAATTTTAATTTTATAATAGTCTAAATTTAAGTCATACTAAAAAGTGGAACTTTCACGCAATTATCGGTGTGAACTACACAATTAAAAGGGTATATTTATAAATATAATTTTTACACTGTTATATTTAATTTAATACGAAAAGCGAAAATTTCACACAATTATTTGTGGGAAGTGTAATCGCCTGTTCTTGGGGTTCCAACCTCTTCGCAGGGTTTTAAACGGTGACTTCGGAGGGGTCCTGTAGGGTTCTTCAGCGGTGTCGCCGCCGAGCGTCTGTTCGAAGGAGAAGGAACCACCTTGGTGAGCCCTTGGGGGCAGGAAGATTTCTTCCCGGGTTGCGTCGGGATGTCCTTCTGGGGTGGGTGAACGTTTGAATTTGACCATCGTGGGGCGTTCCTCTGCTCACCATTTTTTCTTCAATTTTGCGTGGCTGGGCCGACACTCTCCAGTCCCATCGGAGCCTGTGTTCTTGCCTGATTTCGCCGCGTTTCGGATTCCTGCAGCTGGTTTTTCTCCTTGCGTGAACATTTAATCCGTCTTCTTCACAGGCGTTGAGGTGAAGCCTGGCAAGCCCTATACTCACATCCATGATAATAGCCGTGGGCCTCTTCGTCTTTCACAGGTCGGTCTCTGAACTGATCGAACTCTATGATATTATTGGCGTTCCTGTACCAGATTCCGACGTGGTCGTATGATAGCCTTAATTTTCCCATTTCTCCATTACTTTCCAATGAAGCAAAAATCAGCGGTCATCAATAGTGGGTTATTGCACAGGTGACCTTGGGAGATGGGGCAGCGACAAAGAGGAGCGTGCTGCAATGTAATGTTGGGGATAAGAGCCCTGTGCTGCTATGTTCTCTGCTCCCAGATAAAGCTGAGTGCTGCGGCATGGACCTGCAGTTTGAAGAGTGCTATGAGGTTATTTTCTCGGTTGTTGGACCTAGAAGTGTTCACCTTGCTGGGTACTATGTGGATGTGGGCTCTAGGCGCGGCACTGGTGTTGGCAATGACAGGTATACTTCATCCTTCACTTCGTCGACATTTTTCCTTGAACCTTTTCTTTCCGGTTCTGCTCAGATCACTCTCAAGGTGAAGGTGCCAAAGCATTTCCCTATCACACAAAGGAAATGTAAAAAAAACATATCTTACGCCTCACTCCTCAACTATTTTCTAGTGACTCTTTTGGGGAAGATGTTGGTGAGACTGGAAGTGAGGAGTCTGGGAGTCATGGCAGTGAAGACAGATATGAGTCAGACTTCATTGATGATGGTGATGTAGAAATGTCGCCCTCACATCAACGTGCCAATGGATGTATGCCTCCAACTTTCCTCATTGTTTGACTTCGATGCAGCAGTGATGGTTTGAGTTCATCTTTTAGTCATTGTTTTCTCTCCCTCGTCGTTTTCTTGCTGACTTGCCTCTGTGAAAATATGTGAACTTGGTATAGGACATCCCTAAATGGTATTACACTGCTATTTTCACAAGCACCTTTAAAGTTCTCCTCAAAGATTTCACCCGTACCTACAGGATTGCTTTTATTGGTATTCTGCTCTTGTTACGAGCACACATATCGAGGAAAGTGTTTTCTACTGCAGAAAAAGGACAGTTGGGTTTCATTATATCACCTGTTCAAAATTCTAAAAATCATCTTCCGTAGATTGACTGAAATGTGATTTTTTCAATAAGTAATATTTTAATTCTAAAACTAATATAATGGATAAAAACAAGATCCTGAATCATCTAGCGAACGAAGCATGGTAATTTTTTTCAACTTATATCTTTGTGGATATTTAAAGGCGGCGGACTAATACTTTTTCCATATGCTAAGTCTTTTATGCTGTTATATTACGTTTTTGTATTCATTTCAGTATTCCTGACGGGGACAAAATCAACTACTGTTGTGGGGAGGGAATATGTGAACGTGAACCTACCAGTTCCATTGATTCTTGACTTTTTTCCAGTAACATTTGAAGAGAGATGCAAGGGTAGCCTGGTGGTTTGAAGGCTATCTAAATTGTACACTTGCTAGAACTTCCATTTATCCACTAAATTTTGTTTTATGATCTTCTTTTCTCTTCGTTTCCTTTTTCCTCTCTAGTGATCTGCTCTTGTAGAGAAAATACTTATCTTTTAACGTATCCCTTATTCTTATGCAAATACATTTCTTTCTGATGCAGTCATCAATGATGAGACCATCAAGTGTGAGAAGACAACGAATGGGAGTGCTACTCGTCAACGTCTCAGGAGGAAGCATCGCATTAGTGATTCTGATGAAGGAGAGGATGACTCTCAGCATCAGATAATTAGCAATCCCGGAAAATCACCTGTTTTGGAAGGTGAAGATGATGACTTCTTTCCAATTTCTTTCTCGGTAGGCCAAAAGAATGAAGAGCGAAATGTTGGTGGGGATAGAAAGTTAGATAGTATCAAGTTTGATGTCAATGTGGATCGAAAGAATGATGCAACTCTCCAGGATAAAGTCCCCGAAGGGTAATGAGAATGCAGGCTTATTATCCATAATGATCACTTTTTATTCGTGTATACTTGATGTTTTGTTTATTGTTATCAGGGAACATAAGATTGAAGTTGTCAAAAGCGAGAAGTCAAAGAAGAAAAAGAAAGATAAGGCTAAGCTGTTGAAGTCTCCTGAAACAGACGTTCATATGCCTGATGAAGTAATTCAGGACAGACCTAGTGAAGATCCGAGCGAAGATGGCAAAAGAGATGAGGCACATACTCGTGAACAAGAAAAGGAAGAGTTGAATCAGGAAGGTTGCCTAGATGAAAACAGTGGGAAACCAAAGAAAAGGAAGAAGACAAGGGACAGGAAAGGGGAGTCACCTGAGAAAGGGTTAAATTCTTCAGCAGATAAAGTTGATGAAGGCAAGAATGGAAAGTCAGAACTTGCAGTTGACCATGCAGTCGAACCAGTCCTTGCTGAAAACAGTGGGAAATCAAAGAAAAAGAAGAAAGGAAAGGGTAGGGGAGGGGATACCCACGAAAGAAATGCTGACTTGTCGGAGGAAAAAATTGTCAGAGCAACAAATGCCGAAGAGCCTAATTCCGGAAGACATTGTGAGCAGGCTGATGATCATAACAACATCAATGATCTTACAGTCGGAAGAGATAATGAGTAAGGGCATTTTACTCCTCTTCGTTTTCTCTATAGAAATTAGTAAAGTTAATATTTCAGTTATCAATATTCATTTAAATATCAAATAAAAATATCAAAGAAATATCTTACTAATTGCTGCTCGTGCTTAAGTCAAAAGGTTTATCCTTGTCTATTTTGTTGTCGAATTCACAATCATTTGAATCTAATAATCTTTAATTAATGGATGCTGGCTCCAGATCCAATGCAATTAGATCATCTTAATTTCCTTCTTTGATCATTTTCACTCAATGCGAATGAGAATCAGCATCTCATTGATTCCCATTAAATAGGTAAGGAAATGCTCACATTGAATGATTCGTGGACAGTGAAATGGTTACTTCTGCTGTGGACTCTCCAAGTCTTGAAGACTCCAACAAGCTCAAACGGAAAAGGAATAGAACGAAAGAGGGAACCTCTGGGGGGGAGGAAACCAGACCACTGGAGGAATTGAGGAAAGATGGTGATGATCCTTCCAGGTCAACGCAAGCAGTGGAGCATCACGAGCCTCCTGGGGAGCTTCCCCTGGACATGTGAGAACCATCAGAGAAGCTAACCATTCTTAGTTGTGAATCCCTTTCTATTGTCATTAATTCATACGATCTCCTCATGCAGAGGTTCCAACTCCGGCGAAGAACCTGCTCCAGATGCTGACCCTGAACCCAATAAAAGGAAATCAAGGCGGAAGAAGGGATCCCACTAAATGCAGCATTTTGAAAAAGGTCAAGTGACTTCCAGCGCTCCTGCTCCCTATTTTGTTAACACCTTTGTTCGGGCCCACCTCTCTCTCTCTCTCTCTCTCTCTCTCTCTCTCTCTCTCTAGACGCAGTACTCAAATGTGTTGTCGGTGGGAGTCTTGAGGAGAGAGAAACTGAGACTTGCAGTCCGGGGAGAGATGCCACATCATTCTTTCTTATCCATTACAGGTTAAAAAAAAAAAAGGACAAATGGAACAGCTTTTTTGTATGAGATTGGGCGTTGACTTTGAGACAATTGCAGAGAGATATTAAGTAATTAGAGAACTGATCCTGGGTTGCTCTGTCTGGGTCTCCTGATTTGGCAGCAGTCCGATCTGGGTCTGGATTGGGGTGCATTTTCTGCCACAGGGATCGTCTCTAGGCTCATGTGAATTATATTTTATGAACTTGCACTATGATTACAGACAGAATTGGTCAATAAATGGAGCTCATTTCGTATTAGCCTGAACGAGGGTTGACTCTCCATCCATCCCACCTCATTCTGGTTTTTACATTTTATTTCTCATTTCCGGATATTTATATAATGCAATGTGTTTTCAAAAAACCCTAATGATGGATAATTTAAATAATATTTTGAAAGCTCTTTATAATAATAATTATTGGGTCATTAATGGTAGTGCGAGGCCTGAGACTTCAACAAGGTCAACTCTCACAGCCCACAGCTCATCTTCTCTTTGCCGTTCACTCTCTCTCTCTCTCTCTCTCTCTTCTCTGTTATAAAAGGTCCATATTATGGGAAGGCCCGGGTCAGAGAGCTCACAAAAAGCCCACCTTACTCTTGGTAAAAGAACTGAGGTCACCAAGGCAAGCCACGTACCCCACACCAGGCAGCAATCGGGAGGCGTGATCCGATAACCCGGATCCGAATCCAATTAGAGCGATCTTAATCGTACTCCTGGATGATCCGATAACTCCAAGGGGAAGAGAAGTTCTGGCCGCGTGATCGATGGACCATTGTGGGATCCAATGGACGGTCTGGATCTCACTTCGAACCCTTTTCCTGATCATTATCGGCTCCTCCGGCGATTGCTTGCCTCACTGGACGTTGCTGCCTCGCAGAGCGAAGGTGGAGGCGCATTCTGGTGCGGTGCTCTCGCTCTTGCTCGGTGGCCGCTTGAGGTTTCTCTCTATCAGTTGGTAGGGAAGGGGGGGGGGAGGATGGCGGCCTCAGCCGGTCCCGCGACGGCCTTCGGGCACCCCATATGCAGCCCCGGCCACAAGCCCTCGCTCAGGTGGAGTTTCCGATGGGTCGTCCGTTGTCTGCCGATCTTAGAAATGTCATTAAATTGGCTTTCCTTCTACCATATTTCACTACACGTGTGTGTTCGTGTGTGCTTGTGCTTATATATTTTTTAGAGTGTTCGGGTGTTAATATTTCTGTGTATGGGTATTTGCAGCTGTACGAGCAAGGTGTTTGTGGGATTGAGGCCCCAATCCGAGGGTAATTTATCCCTATTTTTTATTTATTCAAAGATAAATGCTCCATTTCGCTCCTCTTTGGCCGTTTATATACATTTTTCAAAATATTTATTTGAATTTTCTGCAGGTGTTGTTGGAGACGGGAAACCTAATCTGAATGTTGATTTCCACTGCCGAGTGCATCAAAGCGTCGCAATAAGGTATCACCTGTGAGAAGTGTGTTCGTCATTTTTTTAACGCTCATTTTTTACCTGGTCTGTATGTGTTTTCATATTATCCTTATTATAACATTTTTTCGGTATGTAAGTTATTTTTCTGAGGAAAAAAAATTATACCAAGTTCTGACTTCAATATATGCGGGTTAATTTTCCTGGCTCATGATAACGAAAATAAAAATAGAGGAAATTGGATGGAGTAAGAAGATCGATAACTAAGTAGAATGTACATCAAAACCAAGCTTCTAGGTGACTGCAGTGGAGAAAATAATTATGATGGAAATCAACTAAATGAATAAAAAGTGTGATGGATATGGATTCTGAGTATCGGTATCAACTACTAGTTGACATGCAAGCTCCACTGAGGGGAAAAAATGAACGTATTCTTGAGTTCCTGACTTAGAACGGGAAAGCATATTGTTTCTCTATGTATTCGTTATTTTTGAGGTTAGAGAAATGGTAACCTTCCAAACGCATGACAAGAGGATTAGTCATCTTATGTCATAGGATATAGAATACACTCGTAAGGTTGTTGACACATGCATCATCATTGGTGGGCACATCAGTACTGGTGATTAATATTGCTACTGTTTTTATGTCCATGACTCCGGGGACAATGGGAAAGGCATCAATTCACACTTTTTTTTTTCGGTCATGTTATCGACATTGGTGAAAAATTATGGACAATTTGAAGTGACGACCGTGAATTTCAATAGTGATAATAAATAACGATCAACCCTTTGGATTCTTTGAACATTGCTTTTCACTTATGGCAATTCTTCCTATGGTGAATGACTTCCCTACCAAGCTTTGAGGAACCTAGAAGGTGACAAAAATAAAAACCAACGAATAAAAGAGGGTGAAAATGACAACTTTAAGTACCACAAAACGAACTCTGAGCGTGGCTACCATCAAGGACCTAAAATTCAACTTCTTTTTACTTTCCTCTGTTCGACATTTACATGTACTTAGGACAGGGGAATCAGCATGTGAAAGGGACACTCAAGTATTACTGCATCCTTTGTTAGAATGTTAATTAAAGGAAGCAAACCAAAGTCAAAGTCAGTTTTTGTTCTTGAGAAGCAGACATCTAGTTCCACGAACGTTATTTTTTTATTTATTTTTTTGGTTTTGTATTAAGTTGAACAGATTGAAACAAAACCACAACAGTGGACTGTTTTGGCTTCTATCATGACAATTATGGTGAAAGGAAAACTTTTCTTTTGAATAAATAATTGTTCGACTTATGAAGAGTTCAATCATGGAGAAGATAATTGGGCCAACAAGATTAGTGACACATTGGAACAGTCGTGCTAATGGTATTGATATTGGTAGTCTCAAAACTACAAATTCCCCACCAAATGATCATCTTTCATTGAATTACTATGGAAAAAAGACTAATATCTTTCAAAATGTAGTGAGTGGCTAAAATAGAAGTCTCAATTAGAGCCTGCCTGGAGCAGACAGTATTCAGCAATGAGATTGGGATTGATTGGAATGTTTTTACGAACTATGAAGTTGGTTGTCCGGTCGGAACGAATAAGAAAAAATTTCAGTCATTATTCAGGCATACCTAGGGCATTGCAAACTCTTTTGATTCAATGTGCTAGTTATTTTTTCTCCGTCAAAGAAGTCTGCATCAATTTGGTACCCGTGCTTAGTTTTGGGTCTGACAGTTTGTTCTAAAACTGGTCCTCACTACTCTGTGCCGGATGACTTCCAGACGTATATTTTTGGCTGATTTTGTTGTTATTTTAAAATCTCATTTATGCTTTGTGTCATTTGGCTTATTTGCCAACCATTGCAGTGCAAAGGATAGTGCCCATAGAATCTTTTTTTTTTGTAGCTTCTTATCTTGTTTCACCGAGACAACTTTGTGTTTTAGGTCTTCAAATAAGAGAGCCACACGCGCACGCGTCCATATGATGCCCATTGGTACACCAAGGGTTCCATATAGGACACCGGGTGAGGGGACTTGGCAATGGGTCGATCTGTGGAATGCCCTTGTAAGGGAAAATCTCCCTCCCGCCGTCTGGTTATTTCCTCATGTTCCATGCGACAGTAATATATATACCTTGATTTGCAGTACAGGGAGCGTGTTATCTTCATTGGCCAAAATATTGATGAAGAATTTAGTAACCAAGTTCTGGCAACAATGTTGTACCTTGACAGCATTGAATCTTCAAAAAAGATATATTTGTACATCAATGGCCCTGGTGGAGATGTAAGTAATTTCAGTGTTTTTATTGACTGATCCCTTCCTACAGTACAGTTTTTTTATTTTCAGGATCATTAATAAGAAAATACTTGGCTCTTGTTGATGACGTGTACTGAGAGAATCTCCTTGTGGACGGTTTACCTTGTAGTGGATATCACCTATCCTCTCACCTATTGATACCTTCCTAAGTCTGAAATGTATTTAAACATAAATCATATATACTTAGAACAGGATCTCTACCAAAAAAAAAATCACATAGAATATGGGGCATTTCATGTACATCAGTGATTATTTAGCTGAAGAAGTTTTCTCGAAAGTTCTGTAGAACATACTCAGAACAGCATTTAAATTTGAACTTGGTTACTGTAACCACAATTTAAGTACTAAATATAACTAGCAGAACATATTTTGCTGACTAATGATGATAATGGTATCCCTTTTCCGTCAAAGTAAGAATGAGGGAGAAAACTCATCAGATGGCCTTTTGGACGCTCATATGAACTCTACTCAAAGATATAAATGAACCAGCCTTAAGCATTCATGTATTGAACCTGGAGACGATCCATTTTGTCACCTATCCATTTCCCCTACTTGTGATAATGATCACCCAGCCTTAGGTTTTGTTGGAACCAGCTTTGTTTTATAATCTAGTTAAGTAACGGTTGCTCATGAAATTATTATATCACTGGTATATATTGATAGTTGACTCATTTGTATACTTACAGCTTACTCCAAGTATGGCTATATATGACACAATGCAAAGCTTGAAAAGTCCTGTTGGTACTCAGTGCGTTGGTTATGCTTATAACTTGGCTGCATTTCTTCTCGCAGCAGGAGAGAAGGTAAATATTTATTTTATTTATTTATTTATATTCACTTGTTTCCACTTTTAGTCTCCTGTCAAACATAAGTCTGTCCTACTTTTTTTTCCTTTTTCCTATGATCTTCAAGGGTAGCCGTGTTGGCATGCCTCTCTCGAGAGTCGCTCTACAGTCTCCTGCTGGAGCTGCCCGCGGCCAGGTTTGGTCAACGCCATCTTCCAATGGTGTATCCTAGATTTTACTGCACTTCCTGTATGGTCCCAGCATTGACTTTGCTCGAGTCTCTACGTAGGCGGATGACATTCGTAATGAAGCAAATGAGCTCCTCAGGATCAGAGACTATCTGTTTACTGAATTGTCGAAGAAAACGGGCCAGCCCGTTGACAAGGTATCTGATTTATTCCTGAATTGGGTGCCGGAATCTCTCCCTCTACTTGGTCTTTTGCTTGTGGTCAACTCGTTTCTACCGAAATTTCTTATATTTTCATCTTAAATTATAACATGCACGCCAAGATTCTTGAACCTAGGAAAAAAGAGAAGATTAAGGAAAAAAAATGATGTTCTTTTGGCCTATTTGCTTCGATTATTTTTGCAGTAAAAGCATGTCGATAATAAAAATATATATATATTGGGAAATTTCTAATCAGTTCCTCAGTCATGGATGAACAGTTTGTTGGACAATTACCACAAAATATACAGACCCCAAAATCAATACTATAGAACATGCAATTATTTCTTCTTAATATTGTTCCTCGGTGGGAATCATTTTGGAAAATGTATCGTCGCCTGTAGAACATGCATTAAATCGGCAAAAATAGTCCTTTTATGCCGGATTGAGCTCATATTTATGGTTTAGCTCATCAAAACCTCTACAATAATCATTCCAATGATCTTCAAATCGGATTTGAAGAGGGATTAATGATTTTTTTGTGTATGATATCATCTTATTATGGTTGGGGTTTTCAGATCACCAAGGATCTGAGCCGGATGAAGCGATTCACTGCCCAAGAGGCCCTCGACTACGGGCTGATCGACCGCGTCCTCAGACCGGCGAGGATCAAGGCCGACGCCCCCCGCAAAGAGCAGCCGGCCGGGACTGGCCTCGGCTAGCCGCTCCGTCCCCCCACCGATCTTGACCCATCTTTTCTGTCTGATAGACCAAAAAAATCCCCTGATCTTGGCAGCTGGTTTCTTCCTCGCACTCCTACCAGCTTGCCCTCCTTAAGATGGCGGCGGGGCTCCTGGAAGGTGGGGATTGTGGAGAAACCAGTGGACATTGATGTAAGCCCCCCCCCTGTTCTTAAAAGATCGATGATCATTCTCACTAGTTTGATTCATGATCCGTTGACTTTACTGTGGCAATGTGGCATGCACCCATTTTACAGACCAACGGTTACAATCCTCATTGTCCTCACAAAAAATGAAGGTCGCAGTCAACGACGATTATGTTCCAAGGGAAAAGAAAGCACTCAGTCAACGGTAGCCTGTTTGGGTATGGAGAAACCAGTGGACTTTGCCAGTCCCCCCCCCCCCTCCCCCTGCTCTTAGAAGATCGGTGATGCGTTGACTTTACTGTAGCATTGAGGCATGCACCCATTCTACAGACCAACGGTTACAATCCTCATTGTCCTCACAAAATGAAGGTCGCAGTCAACGACGATTACATTCCAAGGGAAAGAAAGCACTCAGTCAACGATAGCCTGTTTGGGTGGAGAAAACGAGTTCGGGGGAGTTGGGCACTAAGATTCCCATCAGATGGGGGGATCGGAGTCAACAAATCAAGCTAAACGAGCTCACAAATAGATAAACCAGAGAGAATTGCTTTCTACGACGGCCTCACCTTTCGGACGAGGACATGTTCATGTCTGTGAGGGCGGCGCCACCGGGGGGCTCCGAGACAGAGTGGGGGGATGGGATCCAGCTCTCCCCCTGGAGGGCGGCGGCGGTGGCGGCGGCCTTTGCAGTGAAGACTTGCCCGGCGGCGTACGTCGTCTCCTCCACGTCTCCCCCGCCGCCGGCGGGCTGCACAGGCGGCAGGGCAGGGGAGACCTTGGCTGGCTCCACCCTGAGCTTCTTGGTCTTCTGCTCCATCTGGTAGCCCAGCGTGAAGCTGCCCACCACCACCTGTCCAAACCCAGATTGGATTATCACAAAACGGGGGATCGATCTCTCTAGAACACCAAGAAAAAATGCAATTTTCTGATGAATTATAATTTTATTTTAAAATTAATGAATCCGTGTTTTCTCTGCCATATAAAACGATGAAATCATCTGCAGGGAAAAATGAGTCCTTTGGAAGAGATGGTGGTGGGAGCTGACAAAACCTGAACGGGGCTGGCAGCCACCAGCAGACCTGCAACTCCTCCACCGACAACACGGCCATCGGGGCTTGCCAGAGAGACACTCATCCCACCAGACCGGCTCCTTGGTCCTCCGCTCTCCGTCGGCATGAATGACCCAGACAAGGAAAGCAATTCAAACCGACCCTGCCAGAAGAGAGTAACAATTTAGGTCAAAAATTGGAGGGACTGGGAAGAGCCTCACAGCGAAGGGCCAAATGTCATGAAGCAGAAGAACAAATCTAAAAATAAAAAATAAAAAACCAATATCTGCAGGTTAATCGGGTATAATGCATTCCCTGTGCAATGTTCTTACTAACTCTAGGTTATGGTCACCCACCCACACCATTATCTCTTCCCTTCTCTGCATCAAGCGATCCAACACAAAACGTAGGACTGGTAGATTTAGTAAGTTAAACTATTTTACAGGGAAAGCATTGATGCCTGATTATTCTTCCTTGATATGAACGTCAATTAATCTCCTAACTTGCTGAGACTGATGCCATACGAGGTATGGTGATTGGCAGATTACATCTCAAACCAGTCAACTCACATGTTCCTTAAGAGAACAGGAACTTACCCCATTTTCACCGTTTCAAAAAAGAGGATTATGCAAAATCTTATCAAATGGTGTTTCGTATCATGAACAGTTCATTTTGTTTCGTATTCACATACATAACGGGAGGGAAGAAATTTAGCACATAGAAAGCAAAGTGGAAAAAGAAAACTCCTCTGATAAAACTAACGAGCATCAATACGCTGTGTGTCAATTTAAAAAAATCCTTATTAAATGAGATTCGTAAAACCAACAAATGAATCTTCATGTGTTAAAATAATGGCCAGCAGCAAGTGATGAGTGGCACACGAATCAAAAACTTCCTAAGCAAATGCAATGAGATCCCTGAATCTGAGGAACAGTTCATTATTAAATAAAGAAAATAAGAAGGGAAAAGGATAAGAAAACAGAACATCATGATTGGAGGCCTCGAAAATCAAAATAATAAACTCACGTGCCTGTCACAGGAAGAACACAAGCATTCGACGTGAAGCTCAATGAAGAATATGAAGAATATGAAGAAAAACAGATTAATTGATCAAAGATATATTTACTTCACTAAAAAATGGTTATTAATAATTCAGAGCACGGCATCATTTGCAATTGATAGAATTGAGTACAGAAAAATCCGTAAAATATTGATCATACCTCGTATGTCAACGTGCCGCCAGATGAATCAGGTTGCCTCAGTGTAACATTTGAGATTATGCCATTCGCAGAGAGAATGCAGATGGCTCGAGGCCCTTGCTGAGAAAATGATATGACCTTCATTGTGACATCCTACAAAAAATCCAGATGTAAATGAGAGGATGCAGTGACTACGTAAGTGGGAAAGAATAAAAATTCAAATAGCGCACGATTCAATTTTTACTTGACAATCAACAGAATCATGGAAAAAATAATTATTACTTAACACAAAGGACCTGCTGCTATCTGATCTCTCCCGAGTCCACTTCTAACTGGAGAAAATAATCAGAGGTCCCACAAACTTGTAAATATATAACTAATATTTCAATCAGGATTCATATTTTTGTTCAGATCAGGACTCTGCTTCATCCGAGCGGTTTTACGCTATGCCTGATTACATTAAGAATACACAACTACAATGCGTATGACCTCTTCTCCAAGTTTCATTTGAGAACATCCACACTTTGATCCCGACATTTACCCAAATATTCACTCAAATCCTCATCATCCTTAGAAACCCCTCCCCCCCACTTAATCGTAAATGAGCACACCATAGCAAGACCATTTAAGCGATAAAACCCAAAAACATTGTAGAATATCCTTCAATCTGTCCTTGATGACTCAATCATAGACCCGGAGTGAAGATATCTAACCATTGATCCCCACTAGCACTCGAGTATTTAGTCGAATCCCTACGCCTACATGCATGATTCCAACTCCAGTGTATCATCATAAAAGACTCACGGGTGTTCTCAATCTCACTCTTAGGTTTCTTTGAGAAACGTCAAATAGCCATCAAAAATAGCACGTAAAACAACAATAAAATATTTCAAATTCTGTAAGGTAGACATAGGCACGGTCTGGAATCCCCCCATGGAGACGAATGTTTTCGCTTGAGATATGGGAAATTACTGATAAAAACGGGCATCAGCCTTGAATCTTGTGGAGAGGGAGCTAAGGCAGGAAGCCCAGATCTTTCTCTGAAATTGTATGCGCGTCTCTCATTCAACCAAGTCAAAGGGGCCCTTCTAACCATCCTCTCCCAAAAGGTCACATCCAATGGAAGGATTGCCTCCAACGTGTCTGCAGATGCCACCCGTTGCTAAAATCAGACACACAGTAGCCCTCCGCGCAAGAGAAGGGATACTGCACCTAAACACTACAGGAAAGTGGCATAGTGAGGGCCATCAGATGGCCTTCTGATTTGACTCCCGTTAATACTTCCATGGATTCAAAAACACACATCCTTAATGAAGTACGTTGAGGAAGAATTATCCAAATGAGAACAGGGAGAAGGATCAATGCGATAACTTGAGACATAGCAATTTTCTACGACCGGATTCTTAGATTTTCAACGTTGGTAAGACATACCTCACCGGCTGCGACAGTAATTATATGCGGCGTGAAATTAGCCCCACCAGAGTATGCAACTGATTCGCCTGGAAAGAAAACTTTGAAGGGATCAAGAAACGTACAAGTTAACTCTAAAAAGCAATTTAAAAAAAAAAACACTTCTATAATGCAACGGATTTGCTGGGTGAAGCTGCTGCGTCTATTTGTTCATTTATCCTAGGCTAAGAGTAAATGTAATCCATTTACTTCTAATGATTCGGTGATGAGGATATGAAACCCGCAAAAAATAAATAACCAGACCGAGGGTAGCGAAATAAATATAATACAGTTAGAAGGAGCGCAGACGCATGCTGACCATAATTTTATGCTATTCGTCAGGCAAGAATGAAGGAATCGAAGAGAAAAACGTGAACTGGGAACGGGAAAGAGAATGTGCCGTAGATCGTAGAATTACCGAAAGAAATCATCTCGACCCCGCGCTGATGTTGGTTTACCGAACCGCCTGGCCGCCCTCTACCCCGTTTCATCATCATCGCCGCCGCCGCCGCCACGGGAATGTCGCCGGCGGGCACCGAGGCGGAGATCGGCATGGGGCTCAGAGGCATCAACAGGGTTCCTCCCGGGCCGTACTTCCGCGGCCTCCCCCTCTTCTTCTTCAATATCGGAGTGCCCGTCGCCGCTGCCGTTCCGACGGATGTGGCAGACCCCGGCGGCGACACCACGGCAGCGGCGGCCGCCGACACGGTAGCAGGGGCGGCGCCGGCAGTCACCGCCGGCGCAACACCAGTGGCAGCAATGGCCGCGGAAGCGGTGGGAGCTGGAGCCGAGCCGGCGGCGTCAGCCAGCGCAGCGGCGGAGACAGCCGCCGTCACAGACGTCGTCACCCCGCCGCTATGACCGAGGCTCTCCGGCCTGGTCAAGACCGACGGATGAAAGCCTTCCCCGACCTCCGCAACTGCTGGAGGCGCCGCCGTCACTCCCGGACTTATACTCCCATCCCCTTCCATACATACATAAACGAGAAACAAACCGCAGTTCAGAGATCCTCAAAACCTTCGAACACCCTCCCCGCAGAGCTCAGACACTACCACGAGATCTGCTCCCTCCTCTCCACAGCACCGGATCGGACACTTCACAAACAGAAACAAGTGATTTCCGCAGCTGGAAACCCTCGCCTCAGCCTCTTCCCCCTCCTCGCCATTGCAGAACTTTCAGCACACCGTCAACCAACCAGTCGCCGGAACGAACGATCCCAGCTCCTTCCCCGCTCAGAACTGCTCTCTCTATCTCTCGCTCCCCCTCCCTCTCTCCTCTCCCTTCCTCCTGCGACGAGCTACACTCTCTCTCTCTCTCTCTCTCTCTCTCTCTCTCCCTCTCTATCTCTCTCTCGCTACCAGTCGGCGGCTGTTCCGACCGCTGCCGATTCCGTCGTCGGCGGCGGCGAGGTCTCGGCGGAGACAAAAAAGGGGGAAAGCGGACGAGAGAGGAGAAAAAAACTGAAAAGACGTAAACTATTAAAGTAGAAATATCGGCTTATTTTCTATTAAATAATAAATAAATAAATATTAAACCTGGGCAGCCGCAACAAGAAAATAGTAACGCCACACATGGGAAAAAGCATCTGCTTTTATTTTTTTTCTAATTTCCATAATTTTTAAAAGCCCGCCAACCCGAACGTTGAAGGTGCCCGCCTGCCCTCCTGTCCCGGTTTTATTTTAAAAAACCTCGCGATTTATTACCCTCCTCACTGCACTAAATAACGATAATGCCATCCCGATTCGAATTGCTGACTCGATCCCCGGGATTTAGCGCCGGTACAGTCCAAAGTCAGCGATACGGTCGCCATGACCCCAGGTCCACGTGGCGGTCGCCCTCTTCGATCGGGCCCAAGCCAGGCGGTCCCTGTCGTTTGCGCGTACGATGAGAGAGGGCACGAGCAACCCCCACCGCTTGTCGTCGCAGATCGGGCCTGGCCCGACGCAGACAGACATAAAAAGCCCGAGGCCAGCCCCAAAAAAACCAGCCCACAGCCCGAAATGTAACTTTCAAGATTACATCATGATTATTATTATTATTATTACGGTATCGTGGTTGCAATAATGACGGACTCATCAATTGGGGGATAATGGGCTTTTGAGGTAGTGGAGGCCCAAAAATAGAACTGAGAGACAGGGAGAGAGCCCAGTAGGCCTGCAGAAGACTTTATGGAGGACTGAGTGAACTCGGGCGAATCGGCGGAAGCCTCGGGCAAGGGAGAGCGGAGGACGCGGAGACGGGAGGAAGGAAGGCGACGGGGAGACGCGCCGCCGGAGGAGAGAGAGAGAGAGAGAGAGAGAGGAGAGAGAAAGGAAGTAAATGGGGAAGGTGGGTTTCAGTTTTCGCGTTACCTCGCTGGTGCGGCAAGTTTTATCGTTTCCGCCGTTCGTTTCCCGTCGTCTTCGCCTCTCCTGGCAGTTTCGCCGCTGAACTGTCTCGGGCCGGCCGCGTCCTCCATCTCCATAACGGAAAGAGGAGGAGAGAGAGAGAGGGATGGCGAGATTGATCGGTGGGGGATATTAAAAAAATAGTAATTTTGAAAGATGTTTACGCTGGTCAAACGGAGGAGGACCAGATGAGGAGGGCAGGCGGCGGCAGGCTGCAGCAAGGAGCTCTGTAGCTTGTGCTTTTCCCAGGGCTTGGAGGAGCGGGGACCACCATCCACCACTGCGATGCGACGGCGGGGTTCCCCAGGCGTTCGGTGCAACTCCAGGCGCCCTCGAAAGAAGCAGCTCCGGTCGCGCCAATCGCTTTCCCAACCTCCCGCCCCACGGGAGCAGAAGCGTACGTAAACAGCAAGAGTTTTTAGGCAAAGAAGATGAGTTTCTCTCTCTACTTTCAATATAGCACGTGGAATGTCAAGTTCCAAGGAGACGAAACCAGTGGAAGCGAGGTATGCGGCTGCCCAACCTCTACGCAGCGCCGCCATCGGTGGAGAGGGCGGATGAAAAGTGTGTATTACTAAGCAAACCTGCGTGCTGGACGAACAGTCAAGAACAGGATCTGATGAGGCCGAGGTTGTAGAGATTCCTCTTCACCAGGGACCCAATGTAGAGGAGTCCGGCGCCGCTGCCGGTCTCTTCGCCGGGATCCGGACAGTTGGAGCTTCCGTAAGCGGGGAGGCGCGTCGGAGGCTCCTTTATGACAAGTCTCCCGAGGCCGATCCTCTGTCGGACTGCCTCGATCGCCCTGGCTTCTGCTGGGTTGCCGGTGACGTCCGTGACGTAGAAGACGTTGCAGGACATGGCGCCCTTGGTCGACACCTCCGCTCCGGTGATGGAGAGACCATTCTCCCTGATCACCCGGGTGACCTCGGATAGGAGACCACGCTGCTCCACCGTGCACAGCTCCAACCTCAACCCCTAACGGAAGAAATTTTCGGGATCAGATGCAAGGACGGATCACGGCAGAAATTTGTCAGAGGCAGAAGAATTCATACTCGGTGTGATCGCCTCTCGACTCCAGACTGCAAACGTTGGATCACTCTCTGCCTACTGGTCTCCGAACTAATAGCACTCCCGTCCGCGTGCCTGATATAGAATTCCTGAGGAAGATGATCCACCCCGCCGCGAGAACAAGATATGTTAGCGAAGGACTAAAAGAACCAGTGGAGACACTTCGTGAACGTCACTAACAGTAATCTAAAAAAGAGAAAGATAGAAGGCACAACCTGATACGCTCGGTCGCCGACGGTGTCAATTGTACCGTGGAATACGACGTATTCCATGTCCGTCAGGGTGCACAAAATGTCGAACAGCAGCTTCGGGCGATCGCGGCACTGGACGTTCACGATGGAGTAACCCCGGTCGATCCAGTTCTGAACCGAAACAAGCGGCGGTGACGGTGACAACGACGATGCTGTCGCCTCCGCCGCTTGGCCGGACTCGCGATCGGCAGACATCATCTGGTGGAGCCTGTGCTCCGCGTGAGCAACTGCAAGGGAAGATACGGCAACAACCCTGGCGATGGCGGGAACGTTGTCGCCGTCCCCCCTCAGGACGTTGTGGAGACGCCTCTCAATCCGTTGGATCTTTTGGGTGTCCTCTATGATGGACCCCGAGTCCTCGTCCTTGACATGCATCAGGGAAGCGACGCGGCCGTTGTGCGTCCAAACTTTGGCGTCCACGACATTGCATTGAAGGTCGGCCAGCACGGCGAAGACCTCTGACAAAATACCCGGCCTGTCCGACCCCGTCAGCTCCAGAGCAGTCAGATGATTACTGAAGCCCTCCAACTTTCTGTTGTCGTTCCCGGCTACCAGGGACTGGAGGAAGAGAATTGAGACAATTATCCTAAGAAATAACCAGAAGGAAAAGGAGGAGAATCTAACTGCCAAGACTCATCCATAAAGAAATTGTTAGGCACCTGTTCGAGGTAAGTTCGGATGCTCTCGTCGATGAGCTTCGCACCGAACTGGTCGGTCACGTGGAAGACGTCCATGAACCAACGGCCATCGGAGGATATGTAGGCCTTCTTGATTGACAGATTCAGATCGGTGAGGGCCTGGACGGCCTCAAGGAGGACGCCGCTCTTCCTGGCGCTGTCTACCTTTATCAGCGTCGCGGAGGTGCACACGTCATTGTCGATCACAACCCTGGAAGGAACAAAGAGCAGTAAGCAACCGAGGATGGGAAAGACACCGCAGAACAGCATCCACGGTGGGACCTGCAATCCAGACGTCCAAAGGGAAGGATCCGCTCCTTCCTTCGGAGCGGCGATTGTAGGAGCGAGATTTCATGATTCCAGCGTGAGGGAGGAGAGGCGACAGACGACGGACAACTGGAGATTGGATCAAGATAGATCACCTGGGATTGTTCATCCGCGTGACGAGCTTCTCGTACTCATCCAAGCACTGCGCCCGCTCTATCTCCCCCGCCATCTTCCTCCTCACACCGCCTGCTTCTCCTCCAAACCAGCAACCAGATCCGAAGATCTCAGCAAGCCCCCCCACCGCCTCCCGCAGCCGCGGAGCCCCTCGCCGGCCGTACTGTACCCTCCCTTCTCCCCCTCCTTGCTCCGAACTTACTCCCCTTCCCTCCCTCACCTTCCCTTCCCCTTATGTACCCCCCGCCTTCATCTCTCTCTCTCTCTCTGTCTCTTCCCACGTGAGAAGGGATGGGCTATTAAATAGCGGGGAGAGGTCCGTAGTTCACAAGTTGTCGCGGATGTGGCAGGGAAGGGGGAGCTTTAATAGGCCTGCGTTTAAATGAGCCAATCCGCTGGTGAGGCTTAAATCGCCACGTGTGAAATCGGTCAGGGATCGGCCACGTCATTGCCGAATCGGCGGCCCGTCCTGTCCCGTTAGGATCCGAGTTAATGCGACCCGTAAAGTCCCACCCAGACCGTTTCCGCCGACCACCTCGTCCTCCACGACCCGTAACGGCCCGTCCCTGCCGCCAGCGCCCCACGCACCCCCCCCCCCCGGGTCTTTTCAAACAAACATTCTCTCCCCCCTTTCTCTCTCATACGTGATTAGTGAGAAACACCCGCCGTTTTTTTTTTTTCAGGGGCGGGGGGGGCTTAATGGAGATGCCGAGTTTAGAGGGGGATTTTTCTGACAAATGTCTGCGGGGGATAAATAACGAGTTTAATTAAATTATCAATCATAAGCGGGGTTCCCCCAGCGGAGGGCGCGAAGCGGCCGGCCGCGGCGGTCCGACGGCAATTAAGAAGGCGTGTCAGAAGGGGACCGGCGGTGGGCGGCGGGATTCTCCGGTGACGGATCTGACGGCCATGTGACCGGCGGTGCCGCCGCGCCGGTCAGACGCGGCTCCCTCAGCGCCGCCAGCGGAGGTGACGTGCCGCAGAGGCGCCTTGCAGCGCAGCCGTTGCGGCGGCGCCGGCTGCCTGGGGCGGCGGATCTGCGGTTACAAAGTGGCCAGAGGAGGGAATCCTCATCGGTTCCCGGGAAAGGTCCCGCAGGAGGCGACGGGACGACTGCCGGAGGTAACTGTTTCTCTTTCCGATCCCGGTGCTCAGCGAAAAATACTCGAAATGTTTGAATCAGTATAAAATTTTAGGGTATCTATATTTTTTTCAATACCCCCGACTGATTGAAAGGCCTTCCTGGAGAATAATCGATGATTTTTTGTAGTAAAGAAAATCCTCGTAAATATTTTATTTTAAATCGTCGAGGTAAAGGCACGCTCTCGAGAATCGATCGCCTTTCTACACGCATCTGTCGAAATCGTTCTGTATTTTTTTCGAAAAGTCCTCCATAATAGTTACATAGCGAAAAAAAACTTTTCATGTGTTGGTGGATCTGAAATGAAACCCGCCCCCCTTCGTTTCCTCCTCCCGTCGGGTCGGTGGGGGGGTTGTTTGTTGCAGAAGATGGCGTATGTGAGCTGGGAGGGTAGGTTGCTGGTGAGGAGAGGGCTCAACCTGACCCACAAGACCTGTGTACGGCTAAAACCAGGCTGAGCCCAAAGAAGGCTATATTGGGCCGGCTCAGGACGGCGATGACCCCATCGGCTGTCAGAGGGTTGGGCCAGCCCAACTCAGAGAGAGAGAGAGAGAGAGAGATCACACGAAGGAGATGATTCTGAGAGGGTGTTGACTTGGGGTGGAGCTCACGAGGGGAAGGTTGATTTGGAGTCAACATCCTTAAAAATATTATACCCGAAATGTGAGGGGTAATTGAATAAGAAGTGGGGCTCGATGTGAATGGAAGCATTTTTTGGTACCACGGCGAAAGAGAGAGGGAAAGAGAAGGGGGGGAGGGGGGGTCACAGGGGAGATGATTCTTAGTTGGAGTTGACTTGGGTGGACCTTTCAATGGCAAGGTTGATTCGAGAGTACAAAGGTTAGATAATTGGAGTCAACCCCTTCACACATATTTTACTTGAAGTGAGTTAAGTTTAGATACACGAATAAAAAGTCAAGGATACATCACTGTGAATGGAAGCGTTTCTTGATACCACAGAGAGGGGTGGGTCACGAGGGAGATGATTCTGAGTTGGAGTTGACTCGGGTGCACCTTACAATGGCAAGGTTGATTGGGGGAGGGGGGGGGGGGGTATAAAGGTTAGATAATTTGGAGTCAACACCTTTACAAATATTTACTCGAAAATGAGTCTCGATCAGATACTTGTTAAAAGTCAACGCCACCGATGTAAATGGAAGCATTTTTGGTGTGTGTGCGTTTGAGAGAGAGAGAGAGGGGGGGGGATAGCGTTTTGGGAAATGGAAATCATAAAAGCTAACTTCACAACACGTCCTAACTTTATGTAACAATCAATAGGAGAGAGAAATAAAAAGTCAACGGTTCCCGTCTTATGAGAAAACTGAGCAGTGAGTGCTGTGTTGAGAGTGGGATTTGAACCCACGCCCTTTCGGACCAGAACCTTAATCTGGCGCCTTAGACCAACTCGGCCATCTCAACGTTTTCGATAATGATTCAACTTTAAAATATTTGAAAGAGGGTTTACAATTGCGGGGACCGCACTTGACCTTTTCGGCCCACGAGGTAGTAGTATTGTTATTGAATGGTGGCGCCGCCGGGCATCGCGGGGGGGCCGTGCGGGGGCAGTGGACCAGAGAGATCTGGTCTTTTTTTAAGGCTCTGCGCCGCTGGCTACGGCCGGCGGGGCCACGTGAATGATGGCGACCGTTACGGGCCCCACGGCGGGAGGGCGCCGCCGCCACCGGGACCGCCCGACGGCGACGAGTCAGGCAGCCCTGGTCGCCGCGTTAACTCGCCCCCCTCCCCCCCCCCCATCCGAGTAAACGAACCCCCGTGTGGGGAAACCCCCTCCCCCCATTGATGGAGCCTGCGGCTGGGCCCGGGTCAAACTTACCGCCTGCCTGGCGCATCTTACCTTAGTCAACCACTCCTGGGCCGGTAAAAAATGGGCCCAAGTATGACTTTGACCTTATTCCCATTTACGCATCTAGAGAGAGAGAGAGAGATATTCACACGTGGCAACAACTCGGTCTGCTCCCGTCCGTTTCCGTTGGCTACCGACAGGTGCTGGGTGGTTGTCGAGAATCTAAGACGTGGCGGCATCCCCGACGTCTATCTCTCTCATTGATCCGCGCTACGCTGATGGATGCTCTCTCTCTCCCTCTACAGTCTCTCTCCGTGTGTCTGTCTCTCTCTACAGTCTATCGATCTCCAGGCAACGCCTGGGCTTGTTGGTAGCGACAGCGCGGGGTCCGATGGAGGGGCACGCACGCCTGCCTGGAGGTCCCGGGGAAGCGCCACCGCTTTCTCTGACGGCGGCCGGCGGAGAGCTCGGGTTTCCGGGGGGGCAGCGGGCCCCCCCGGCGGCGGCCAGTTTATTGCAGGGCCACCTTCCCGAGCTCGGCGATGGCCACAGCTGACCTAACTGTCGTTTCTGTAGCAGATACAGTGCACGAGGGAGAACAAGGACGGGGTAGAGAGAGGGGGTTATGTACCTCCCCCTCCGCCTCCTCCTCCACCTGGTAATTAACTCACGGTAAACTAGCAGGCATCTCTCTCTCTCTCTCTCTCTTCTGTGAATAAACAATGGAGAGTCGGTGAGTAGTAGACCCAAAGGGGGAGGGGAGGAGGGAGGAAGTGAAGCTGGAAGACTTCTGGTGGCAGTTGGTTGGGCGATGGGAGCAGGCTGAGATCCTCGGAGGGTCCTCTCCCTCTCTCTAACCTTCCGGCCGAGGAAAACCAGAAGCGGCGGTTCCCTGTCTGTATCTCTGTTTCTCTTTCTAGCTGTAATCTCAGCGTCATATTCTTCTTCTTCCCCTGGGAGGGAGGGGAAAAGATGGATCCGGTGGGCGCATCAATACAGGGAACCCACCTTCCCCCGCCCTTCCACACCAGAGAATTCCATCACCACCTCTCCCTCCACCACCACCTGCAACTCCGCCACCAGCAGCTCCAACAGCATCAGCAGCAGCCCAATTCCGACGACGATACCGGCGGTGCCGCCACCACTGGCCTCAACCGGGGCCTCAAGCGAGAACACGACGACAACCCCCTACCGGACGGCGCCACCAACAATAGCTCCACAAGCAACAACGAGAACAACAACAACAGCAACAACAATGGCGGAGGAGAGGGGTCCTCCGGCGACGGCGGCGGCGGGGGCGAATTCGCCCGCCGGACTCGGGGGCGGCCGGCCGGATCGAAGAACAAGCCGAAGCCGCCGATCATCATCACCCGCGACAGCCCCAACGCGCTGCGCACCCACCTGATGGAGATCGCCAGCGGGTGCGACGTCGGCGAGACCGTCGCCGCCTTCGCCCGCCGCCGACAGCGCGGGGTCTGCGTGCTCAGCGGCAGCGGCACGGTGACCAACGTCACCCTTCGGCAGCCCGCCTCCCCGGGGGCCGTCGTGAAGCTCCACGGCAGCTTCGAGATCCTCTCCTTGTCGGGCTCCTTCCTGCCGCCGCCGGCGCCGCTCGACGCCACCGGCTTCGCCGTCTACCTCTCCGGCGGGCAGGGGCAGGTCATCGGCGGCAGCGTGGTGGGAGCGCTGATTTCCTCCGGTCCGGTGGTGCTCCTGGCGGCGTCGTTCGGCACTGCGGCGTACGAGAGGCTCCCCCTCGACGACGGCGACGAGCCCCTCGTGGGGCCGCTGGAATCGCCGGCCGGGCTAGTGGCGCCGCCGCTTCCGCCTCCGCCGCTGTCGCAGCACCAGCAGCAGCTCTCTCCCGACGTGAACACGATGCTGTTCCAGAGCCTCCCGCCGAACCTTCTCAGCCGCGTCCAGGTTCCACCCGAGGTCTACCCCTGGGCCTCCGGCGGCGCCGCCAGGCCGTCCTACTGAAGAAATCCTTCTCAGGGGAGTCTCCCTCTCTCCCTCCCCCCCCCCTCCTCTCTCTCTCTAGCGTCCCGTTGACTTTGCTTGCTCCGACCAACCCCTTTCTTCCATGTCCATTTACTGCAATTTCTCCGCATCTGGGCTGAAGAAGCTGCGCGGCTTTACCTCTGCGGAGAACGGGGAGCGAGGTGGTGACCAGAGGAGGAGGAGGATAAGGGGGAAGAAGGCGAGATACAGCTTCTCCTTCTTCTTCATCTTCATCTTCTGCTTCTGCTTCTTCTTCTGCGGTGTGGCGGAAGGAACAGGGAAGAAGATGGGAGATGAAAGAAGGTCGCGCTGCTGCGTCGTCTTCTTCCGCTTCTCCTCCTCCTTCCTCGTCGTCCTCCTCCTCGAAACCTCACCTCTTGGGAGTGAGGGAGGGATATCATGTCGATTTTCTTCCATTTGATCTCAGACATCATTGTGCATCTCTGCAAAGTTCTCCTCTTTCAGCTGCACCATGCCATCCGTATGCATCCATCTCCCCCTCGCCTAGAGAGAGAGAGAGAGAGAGAGAGAGAGGGTACAGCCGGAGACTCTCCTGGATCACCATCGCTGGTTCCTTCCCTCTTTGCTAAGATGGGAAGCACAAGATAAAGCGCAGAGCTTGGCCAGGTGAAGCATGGCATCAAAGGAAAGGGGGGGAAAAGGAAAAAAAGGGTAAAAAATGAGAGCATTCACCCGTCATTCAAGCAGTTTGGTGGATCAAAAAACCCACAAAAACCCACATTTTTAATCAAATTAATGAAAAGAAGAAGAAGTAGAATTCACCAGGTAAATACGGTTTCATGCGAGTTGAAGCGGGTCTCGATCGGATGTGCGCATGAAACTGTGTTCTTCCTCGTTCCAAATCAGAGATTAGAACCAGATTTTCATGCTTTAATCGGCCGCTGTAAGAACCAAGAACAGCTTTCGAATCGGAGATTTCATCCAGATTTCATGCATCATCTGGGAAGATCTCCCCAAATCAGATCCAAATACATCGGGGGGGCTTCGATCAGATGGGGATATTGGATCGAATCAGATCGAGAAAGAGGGTCCGCTGAAAACCAGATTTCATAGATCCCGCCAGAAACTTTTATTTCTCGGAAATAAAATAAAATTATAGCTCCAAAATCTGAAAAGCCACCTGTTTCTTTGATGGGGAATCAGATTTCGAAGGACCCATCTGTTTTTTTCTTGAGAAAATCGCAGATGGTGTCATCGTCGATAGAAGAAGATGCTTTAATGGGGGATGATGATCATGGCGGGGGAGTACCTCCGGAAGGGGATTCCGATGATGGTCATCAAGCTGTTCTTGGAGAGGCCCAGCTGAAGCTCTCCCTCGGCCTGGACGAGACGGCGGCGGAGCTTCTCAGGTCTCCCGGTCGACGGGCATCGCCGCCGTGCCGCCGCCTCACTGGACTGAACCTCCGCCATTTCCTCGAGCTTCTTCCGTCGTAATTGCTGCTTCCACCGGGAACCGAGCTCATTCACCGGGAACGGCAGTAACGGAGACGTCCCCGGCGACGGCGGATTCTCCGCCGGCGAGGACGAGGTCAGTGCAACTAAGGCCAGTGGTTTGTCAGACTTTGCGAAGCACAGTGGCTTCGCTTCAACTTTACTTTTCGGGCCGGCCCCGGGCCCTCAATTCAGTTCCAGCCTCCGGGCTTTACTCTATTAACAATTTGCTTTACTAACAATCCGAGCTCGGAAAAATCGGGGTTACTAACTTGGCTCATTTATATGATTTCCAGAAAATTGCTTAGATAACGGCCCGGCCCGTTTTTGCCGAGTCTGGGCCAAAAGGGGTTGACTTTTAAAATATTAATAAAGTCACTAAGAATGGGAGATTAAATTAGTTCTCCAATTGAAGTCATCGTGCATCCTCTAAACTGGGGTAAATATAAAAAATATAATTTATATCATGCGTTGAGTTTCCCCAAAAAGTCAACCCAACTATTTTTCCCACAATACTTTATTTTTAATAATACAATAATCATTTTGGGTAATAACCAAACGATAATCTTAATTTTTAAAAAAATACTGTGAATCTGAAATTTCAGCTTTTTAGAAAAACACAACTAAAAGCCATGTTATTTTTATTTATTTTTCAAATATCTTTTTATGGCAAGGGTTTATATGCATAATGATAATAAAAATTATGCATTGACTAAGCTTATAGTTACCCTTATTACGATGAGGAGTCATCAAAACCTTGATGGCCCTTTTGAGAGACTTTGTGAGCTCCACAACATTTTCTAAATTTTGGATGAAAAGTTAAAAGCTTTAAAATATATACCACGTCATATGCCTCTTTTATAATCTAAAAAGCTCAATAAGTTGTTAAAATTAATTATTATTTTAAGACGATTTAAGAAATGACTAATTCTCATTTTTTTAGTATCTATAAATTTAATTTGCTGACATTTTCGAATTTTATTTATAACAATTTATGCCTAATGTTAGCATTAGTTAGTTCTAACTTTGGACTCGTTTGATCATTAACTTGTGGGTATAATGATTGGCCCTATGGTTTTTGTTGATGCCTCGATAGTTGACATTTTGTGTCAGTGTCAACACCGAGTTCAGGGGTCAACGCCAAAGTTCTGGTTCAATTTTTATCGTATAAAATGAATTAATTTCATCATATTTTGTCTTTTATCTTTCGAGGATATACTTTTCCCTTCTTTAAATGCTTTGACCATTTTTGTGTAAAAAAGGCTTCATTTCTTTTCCTAAATCTGAAGCAAAAAAAAAAAATCCAATTAGTTTAAACCTCTTTTTAATTTTTATTATCATCAAATTTAACCTAAAAGGTTGAAGAAATTCTCAACAGTTGACTACTGAGAGTAAATATAAGGCGGGTGATGGGCATCTTGGTAATAGTCTAGTGAACCAATCTCTCCCTCTCTCTCTCTCTCTCTCTCTCTTCATACACTTACTAAAAAGTCATTAGCAGGGCCTTTTGGCCCTGCTCCTAAAAGCTAGTCTTTCTCTGTCTGTCTGTCTGTCTGTCTCGCTAGAGAGAGATTAAATATCTGTATATGTTCGGTGCGCACAAGGCACTGGGCTTTTTTTTTGTTTGTTGACTTTACTATGTGTAAAACACAAGTTTCTATGTCCCGTTGCTCTCTATGTCAGAGTGAATACGAAAGGATTGGACTTTTTCGCCATAACACTCATTTTCCATACTTGTCTATTGCTCAAGTCCCCTCTCTCTCTCTCTCTCTCTCTCTTAGGGGCTGTCACCGGTTTGCCTCACATGTATATACATACATATACATATAGAGAGAGAGAGAGAGAGAGAGAGAGAGATTGGAGGCGGCATTCAGGGCCTGCTCTAACAAGAAGCGTGGAGCATGAAGCACAGAAGCCCCTTCCCCGAAGCTCATCTGACCGTTCTACAGACTTTCTCGACCCAATTAATCGGAATAAACTGTGGGTCCAATCACAGGGCTTTGACCAGAACGGGGATATGAATTCATGTTTTCTGGGTGGTTCATCTGCGCAACTCCTCACCGTTGACCGTCCAAAGGAGCACTTCGTGAACATGGGCACCACGTGATGAGGCGGCTAAGATCCCTCCGAGCTTCGGTGAGACGATCGGTAAATGCGATATGCAGCAATGCACATGGTGAAGTTGCCGATGACCGTCAAAGCTGCCTGCAGGGCCACCAGAATCTACAGAAAACACCAGCTGGGATTACACCGCATGAGCCCCAAGCCGAATATAACCACTCCCCCCCAAGAATGGCCTAATGGATAAGATGCCGTTCAGATTTTTAAGCATCATACTGTTAGAGAGAGAGAAGAGAGAGAGAGAGTTCTCTCTTCTTTGAAAACAGAGAAGGGGGGAATGGCACAATTTGGCAAATCCCTCTCCCTCCTTCGGAAGATTTGTAAGCATGCTAATGTTAGAGAGAGAGAGAGAGGGTTTCCTTTTCTTTGAAAACAGAGAAGGGGGGAATGGCACAATTTGCCAAATCCCTCTATCTTCCCTGGAAGATTTGAAAGCATGCTAATATTAGAGAGAGAGAGAGAGAGAGAGAGAGAGAGAGAGAGAGAGAGAGAGAGAGAGAGAGAGAGAGAGAGAGAGAGAGAGAGAGAGAGAGAGAGAGAGAGTTCTCTCTTCTTTGAAAACAGAGAAGGGGGGGCATGGGACCATTCGGCAAATCCCTGGTCTAATGTGAACCGAAAATTCTGAAGAGACTTTGGAAGGAATTCATTGATTACTCTAAATAGTTTAGAAAAAAAAATGTCCATCTCGCTTTCAGCTTTTGTCCAAGAAAAGCTGATTTTCTCTCTCCCCCAGAAGAAGCCCCAGATCTTCAACAGCGCAAGATGAGAACTTTACCCCCACACAGTTTGGCCGGTGAGTGGGTGGACCACTCATCAAGCAAAAAACTATGATAACTAGGAAAATATTCAATTTCAGATGAGATGCAGAAAAAAAAAAAGAGAAGAGAAGGTATTAGTGACCTCGAGAGACTCTGAATTATAGAAGAAATGCCAAGTGCACGCACAGAGAGCACCACCCAATAGAGGTACCTACACGAATGGATTAAGAAGGGTCAAATAAAGAACAGAGTACTCTGCTTTCTAGTAAATATCGTGGGGATCAGAAATATTATGGGGTTCTAGAGTCAACTTTTTCTCTTTTTCTCCTGCATCAAATAACTGCAGATATCACATCAATGATGAATGGAAAACTGATAAAGTTTTCCTAAACTCACGGACACAGGGTCTCTCATGAAAAATAGCTCTCTCTCTCTCTCTCTCTGTCTCTGTCTCTGTGTCGCCTGTTCTTTGTGTTCTATGCTGATGGGCTTCTATTCCTCTCAGGCTCTCTCTCTCTAGAATCAGAAGGGCCTTGCTCAAACTTAGGGAGAGAGAGAGACATAGAAGCCCATCAGCAGAGAACACGAAGAACAGGCGAGAGAGAGAGGAGGGAGAGAGAGAGAGAGAGAGAGAGAGAGAGAACTTTACCCAACTTTTCTTTTCTTCACTCAGAAAGCTAGGCGAACACTGGAAGGCAGATAGCATCCATCTATGACGACTGATTTTTGCCCCGACAGATAATTTGATCATATTCCATAAAATGTTTCCGAAAATGACAGCAGCTAGTGATATTCTGCTCCAGAAAAAACTTGCATCCACCAGTCCAGAATCGGAATCAACCAGAAATATCTTTATTTCCGGTCACCAGTTCCTCAAACATAGCTATTTTCTCTGGCCTAAATCCATCACAATGCCAAGGCCCAAGAGAGCTGTTCATGAGACATAGACACAAATGCACCATAAAATAGGGGAAATTACGACGAAAAATCAAGCTAGATGCCTTAATCTGACATCTCGAGCGTCTCCTCAAGAAATCTCCGCCCATGCATCATGAGATTATGGAACAAATTATTCTTCTAAGCTCTGTAAGACCAAGATGCTCATTTCTCAAGTCCAGACGAAAGCAAGTTATCAGCATATGGGATATTTAAGGAAAGGGAAATCAGAGGAAGATCGAGAGGCCTACCATTCCCCATGAGAGACCCTTCCAGGACTCATACCCGGGCTTATCTCCGTACTCCCAGACCAAGACCATGGCCGTCACCCTTCAGATGCAGGCAATGGATCGTTTCAGAAGATGATGGGGGTGGGGTGATGAGGTGGAAGAGTTGGGCAAATACCATTCGACGACGCTGGACACGTGAACTGCCCACGTCGGCAAGGAAAGGGCGTTTTCAGGCTCTTGCAGGGAGAGGAAATCCGCCGCCACTGCCGCCGGCGGCAACACGCAGGCGGAGGCGGCCACCGCGAGAGCGAGGCCAGCGCCGCCCAGAATGGCCGCCGAAGGGGAAAGATTCACCAAGGAGGGAGAAGGAGCTTGGGACTTGGTGGCGGCGGGAAGAAAAGGGCAGGCCTTTCGGCAGGTGGGACTCGTCCTCACCGCCGCTGTTGCCATGCCCGGAGATGGGTGGAAGTGGAAGCAAAGGGCGAAGGGTGGATGGACTCTTGAGTTTCAGCTTCGGCTATGGCGCCACGTCACCCACAAGCCGTCCGATCTTCCTCACAGATCAGTGGGGGATACTGAGCTCTTATTGGACCGCGTCATCGAGGTCCAGCCACGCCACCCGCTGTGTTCTCACCCGTTTTGTATATGATTTGAGGCTTTTTTTAGTTCAACCCTTGCAAAGTTTTTAAATCATTAAAGGTTCCTGTACCCTTTTATATGAAGAAAACGACCAAATTACCCCTCCGATTAAATCTTTTGTATACTGAATCAGGGGATTCGAAGAGAAAAATATTATTCCACAAAGGTGGGCTATTTTGGGTAAAAAAAAGAGGGCAATTCCATATGATTTCACAGCATAATAACTATATATGGCAAAATAAATGCACATCTCCTAAACGGTAAGAATGCATACCGTTTTTCATCATGTATCCTTCTTCGACCACATCATGACCAGAGAGAATCCCATCAACGACATCAATACAACCTTCAATAAACCACAGAGTTAAATAGGTTTAGATGGATATTCTGGGTTGACATATTCACATATATATATTAATAATTAAAAAGGCAAAGTCATCATTCCCATCATACTTCTTAATCTTATGATTATTTACTCACCTGATTGATGTCCTGGAGGTATACCCAGGATGCCCAGCAACTGTAATGCTTCTGGATGATTTTTTTTCTAACAATACCGATGTCTATTTCTGGCATTTCATTGACTGAACCCCCCAAACAGTAAACGTCACAGAAATGTCAGAGAAGTTGACTTACAGAAATGGCCGGAGGGACACCCACGAGAGGATCTGGGAAGAATCTGTTTGCCAGTGCAAGTGCTAGAAGGCTGCTTTGCATCCCTGGAAATAGCCATAAGATATCATCTGCATCTGATGCTAAAAGAGGAAAGTTCCAATAAGTCGGGGAAGATAAAAAAGGACCTGTTTCAAAAGAGATTGTCCTCTGCAGAGCCTTCATGTCAGGTGCTTTGCGGAATACTATGCCGGGAAGAAGATAGCCAGCAACGAATGACGATGCATGAAATCCAAGAATGAGTGTCAAGATGGTCATCCCAAAGGGCGACACAATGGACGCAACATTTATCGCCAATGGTGAACCAACACAAAGAGCGGTCACAATCACAGACAGAGGCGGCAAAAATGGCTGGATGGCAGCACATATCCGGGGAAGAAACCTGGGATAGTGAAGCAAAGGAAAAGGTTGATGAGCGTGGAGTATCTACAGAGCATGTTGATATCCGCTGATACTATTGAATAATTCGAAGTGCTGAAATTTCTAACTCAAAAAGCAATGGATCGCGAGACCAATTTATATTGCAGGATTTTACTTCTCACAATCAGTGCCATATTATTCTAATGAGCATCCTCACATGCAGGTCAATTCATTTGGGTTTTACTTCTCACAATCAATGCCAGATTATTCTAATAAACAACCTCACGTGCAGGTCAATGGAGAGTGTCTATGTGTATGTGTATGTGATAAGGCTGTCCATATAACCACAAGATTCAGTGATTTTATCTGATTTTTCCAATGTGGTACTCTTTAAAATAGTTATTTCCTAAAAAACAGTTATTTCAAGGAATATTACCTCTGGAGCTTTTGACTTATAAAATAAAAGAAAGAATGTCATCCCTGATGTGGGAAAAGGTACTAACCTGTTCAAGAACAGCCCAAGAGCAATTGGTACAACAACTATCTGCGTGATACTTAACATCATACCTCTCACGTCAACTGGTAGCTTCTTCCCAATAAGTAGAAATGATAAGGCTGGTGTAACAAAGACAGCTGTGGCAGTTGACAGTGATGTCATAACAATGCTTAGAGGGGCCATTGATGGGTCTGTCAGAAAAGTGGCGTAGTTTGAGAGTTGAGCCCCACTGACACATGACACTAGCATGATCCCAGCACCTGATTGAAAGAGTTTCCAACACAAGGATAAGGATCCCATTTTTACTTGAAGAAAATTGATGCACTATTTGTCCTCTTACCTATGGACGTGGGAAGTCTGAAAACCGTAACTGATAAGATACCAAAAAGATACCCAAAGAAAGGCTTGACGATGAACTGCCCAATGTATCCAGTGATAATAGCTCTTGGTCTGCCAATTGCTTCCAGAAAATCCTTTGCACTCGAATTAACTCCAACAGCGAACATCAGAAATCCCAATGCTGGAGCATAATACCTGAAACAGTTTTTTTCAGTTGTATCATTGGTTGAGATTAACATGACTTTTTTTTTTTCAACATTTGGAGTTTTTATTCCAAAAAAAAATTCATTTGGAGTTTTTATTTCAACAATGGCATTAAAATATGATATGCAGACTAATGTCAATAAAAAAAACTTCAACAGTACATGCTGTTACTAAAATCCATACATTCAGCTAGCATTTATACCATTTTAAATATTTTGTAGTTAGCGCATTGAGACACAAATCACATTGGCGAAAAAATGTAGTTGGGATATAAAATTTTCCTTTGGGGAACCACCTCCAAGTTTGACCAGATTGTCAGGGTCAGTGACCGCAGCAACATGTAAATGTGGTTCCTGGTACGACTGGGAGGAGTGTTCTTTTTAGTATGATCAAACACCATTTCACAGCTGGATAACCTGGGTAATCTTACTCAAAGCTACTTCATCCCATTCATATGTTAAACAACTTTGGCGCACTCTTTCCAGAAAAGAGATGCATTATTCTAGAATGCTCTCACCATCTAATTGTCAATCGTGCATCCACCTCCTCAAAGTTAGAAATGGAGTAGAAAGAGAGGATAAGCCCAAGGGACAGGAAACATTATACAAAGGAGAAAACCAAACCAAATCCATATCTGGAGACACGCACATCTTCAGTGTCATAAGTAAGAAGACAATTTACGATACATAAACACTAACTTTGAGTGGGGATAAAAAATCAACAAATATAATTCAGTTTTAACACCATACTCATCAAATAATATTTCTAAGAGACGAATCAGCATAAAATATGTACATATGGATGATTCGGTAACATGGTTACATAACGAATCAACAGAAAGTGACAATCGAAAGAATAATAACAATAAAAACGATAGTTACAAGCAAGAATACAATAGCATTCAGCATAGCATCAGAGCAATAGGCTTTCCCTGACCTGGTTGTGAACCACGTAAATGAAGGAGGATAAGCGAGGGCCAACACCGTGCTACCTAATACTATGTGTGGAATAAAAGAGTTGGCTCCCTTAAGGATCCTTAAAACATCCAGTCCGTTTTGCCTGCCCTCCTATGAGAGTAAAAACAATAAGCGAAATCAATTTACTATCAAGAATAATCAAGAACCACATCCTTACTCTACCAAGCCGAATCAACAGAGAGTTGAATATATCAAGAAGGACAGCCTGCACAGAAAATAACTTTATTTTTTTTCATATTTAAGCAAAGAGTGAGGTCACCGCATATGTTTCTGGCATAAGAAATCTCCAGGGATGTTATGAGGGATTCCAGGCCTTTTAAGTCATATTCTGCTTAATAGTAATTAATGTCAGCTTACCAGATATTAGTAAATACTTTAATAACCGTTCTTTCCCTTTTAAACATAGTTTGTTTCAGAAAATATGTCATAATTTATGAAAACATATTAATGCAAAATCACGAATGGAACATATTATATTTGTGTTAATTAGATAAAGCATACGTAATTGGCTTACTCTCCATTAGCTCCTTTTCTACTCAGTCATAGTTGTAAATACCAAGTGGTATTTTACTGAATATATGTCTATGATAAGGCTATTTACGAAAATAAGCATAAATATACAAAAAAATCATAGTTACAATCACATCGAATATATTTAATATAATATAGTTGTCGTTATGATTGAACAATTTTAATCACAAACCATTTTCAGTAGAAAAGAACCATGTCAATCAAAATCATGAAATAGCTAGTAAATTTCCATGATTAACCGATAAAAAATGCCTATCTCATTCTTCAAAACGTCACAATAAAAATCTAACCTAAAATCAATACCTATGGAGCAACAGAAAATGATAGTAGAAGAGAATAAAGACGAGGGAAAGACCTGGACTTTGTCGGAACCATCTCCCTCTGCCTTGTTAGGCTCAGGAAACTCCTGTGCAGTCGATAAAAGGCACCTCCCCCTCACGACCTTCCTGCTTTCCACTGCCCCTTGGATGCGCAACAGTGAAAAATTGCCGTCAACCAGCAGAAAACGGGAACTAGATGGAAAGCTGAGGAACAAGTCAACGTCGACCAGGAGGATCAGGAATCACGCACAAGAGCAACGAGAAGAGAGAGAATACGCAGGCGATCTAGGCGCGACCGAAACTGACGGGGAATGGGAGCACCGAGCACAGAGGAAGCTCAAAGACGGTGACGACCGGCTCGAGACGCCGGATGTGATCCGAGAGGATGGGGAGCTCCGCCGGGGGAATCCATCGGACGGAGGAAACGAGGTCCCTTGCGGCCGCAGCAGAGAAGCTCCCGCCATTGACTCCATTGAAGTGTAGCAACCTCTACTGAGCCCTCCAGTTCCCTGAAAACGAGTCGTCGTAGACTTTGGCGTTCCCGAGGCGCTGCCACGCGCCGCCAATGATCGAAGCCCCTCCTTTCCTGGCACGGCCCGATATTGATCTGTGAACTGTTGTCGTCATAGATCCGTGGTTAGGCCAATCATCATGTGCCACGCGTCTCCTCCTCCGGCCTCCTTTTCTTCTTCTTCTGCTTCTTCTTCTTCGTGCCAATTTCCTCTCCGAGCATCTGTTCAGATTTCTGGTGCAACAACCGAGGAGATATAGAGAAGAAATCCTTTTAATAAAGGTAATCCGCTCATTTCCGATCCCTGCTGTAGACTTACAAAATTATAGCGAGAGAGAGAGAGAGAGAGAGAGAGAGAGAGAGAGAGAGAGAGAGAGAGAGAGAGAGAGAGAGAGTCTTCCCCTCCAATTTATCCCACCGAATCTTGAATCATCACAAGATCGCCACTTCCAATTGATCCCCCACTGTCATCTTCATCTCCTCCGCTATCGCCGCCTTCCTCTGTTTCAGCATCCGACATGGACTCCCCCTTGCCGCCGCCGCTGGCGGAGAACTGTTCATGTAATCCGGCGACGCTCGGAATCGGAAATGTAGCGTTGTTCTGGCTCGCGTCGAAGCTGCCGAGCACCGAAGCGGCGGCGGCGGCGGCGGCGGCGCAACCACGGCCACCGCCGCCGCCGCCGCTGGGGGGGGAGTCGTTCTCGCCGTGAACAGACGGGGCCGTGCTGTTGGCCCAGCTGCCGAGTCCTTCAGAGGCCAAGAGATCAGCCGTCCTCATCGGCAGCTGGGAGCAGCTGCCACCGCCGGCGTCGTCCTCGAGCTGCATCGTCTCCCCCACCACGTCGCCACCCTCGCCGTGAGCCTCAGCTTGCCCAGGGCTCTCCGTCTCTGGAACATGCTCCATATCTTGAGTGCAGTCCTCGTCACCGCCGCGGCTGTCCGCCGCCGGGGAGTTCCTCCGGGGAGTTCCCTGAAGGGCGGTTTCGCACGCCAGAGCGCCGTCACAGTCGTCGTCGTCATCCTCCAGAGCCCTCTGCATGGCCTTGAGCTGCTCTTGCTGCTTGGTGAACAGAGCAGAGATCTCCTCGGTGGTGGAGTAAAATGCGCGCAGCTGGGTCTCCCTGCGCACCAAAGCCCCGCCTGTTTAGCCAGTTCTCTGCGTCTGATCGATGCAATCCCCTGAGAATCCTTGGAGCTCACCTGAGGATCAGCCTCTCCCTGGCCCCCTGGAATCTCTGTTTCTCAGTGGAAAGCTCCCGAATGACGGCGGCGATTTCGAGCTCAAGAGCAGAAACCTTCGCCCACGCCTCCTCCCGGGCGACCTGCTAAAGAAATGCATATCAGAATCAATATCCTGGGCTCAAAGCAGGTTAAATCGGATTTATTAGGATCGAGTGGCCTACAATCTAAGCAGCTTTTACAGTAGCTGCTAAAGAAATGCATATCAGGGTGAGGATGCCCAAGAACAATCTAAGGGGAATACATAGATTGAAACTTTTACAGTAGCTGAAAGTTAAAATTTTACCTCTCAACGGCAAGAAGAAACGTCCCATGAAGAGCCCACATCAATGAAAAAGCGGCTTGTAATCAAACGAAAGGATATTATTATTTTTATTATTATTATCATTACCATAGAAGCCTGGTTCCCCAATGATTAATGTGCCACCAAAAGGAGATAAGGCTTCAAGAGACTTCCTACATTTTTCTGCCCAGGTGGCCTATCGAGACAAGCTGATAAAGGTAGAAGGATTAGATGGGGAAGAATCACTGAAACCCCACCATCACAGTCCACAGTTCAAGCTCTTGTCTATGCAAGAGTCTAGTTGGTGACAGTGGTTCAATAAGCTCATGTTATTCCCATCATATATATCTAAAAATTTGGAGGACGTTTGTCTCAATTTACAAACATTTAACACCGCAACGCTTTGTCTGTGGCGTATATTCCTACCATTTAAACTAATGTGGGCTTTATTTCATTCATGATTAGTTGATTTTTATGGTAAGATTTATGATAGATATGGTTAAATGAGATGACGTGCATAAGAAGCCGAATACATGAAGAAAAGCCCTATGGTCGCTCATGGATGTGCCAATATCATGGATCGATAGTTTGATTACAGATTTTCATCAGAAAGACACTCTATTGAATGCTGAATCAGAAAATATATTGCGTCATTGATATTCTCCGTATAGAATGATTTTTACAAGAATTTTCAACTGATAAAATTAAACTTAGTTCGATCAGAAGGACTAACACGCCTCGAAGCATAAACGCTTTAGATCCAGGTAAAACAGAAACATTTTTCTACCTTTTCACTTTCAAGCTCCCCCTTCAGTCTTCTTACCTCCAATTCCAAGGTTTCAGATCTCTGTATGAACAAAGAGAAAAGAAAAAAATCAAAATGAGGTTAACTCAAACATAAGAGCAAACGGAAAAACACATTTCAGATGTTTTTCTGGGAGTCAATCATATGCTAATCAGTGGGGCATACTTTTCTGTGGCTTTCACGCAGTGTTTGCTCCTCTTGGAGCAGGGCTTCCAACTGCCTAGCCTTCTTCTCAGATGTTACAAGGTTATCCCGTGTCTCTTCCTGATCCACAGAAAACAGAACGAGGAATCAATAAATAAGATATGCCAGTTCAGAGATGTAGTTAAAGCTGCCCTCTTCTAAGGAAGTCGCAAAAATGTTACCAGTTTGGATCGCAAGGTTTCAACAAGGAATCGACTTTCTTTCTCAAAATCCTGTGCAATACACAATAGTTACTCGCGGGGAACTTTTTTTTTTGAATTTATTATAAAATTTATGCGAAAGCATGTACACTTCCTTAACCTGGAGCTTAACAATAAATTCCTGCTGCTCCCTGTGCTGCTGTAAATATACATCAGTTTGTCGTTTAATTTCCTCTTGAGCTTCCAACTGAACCCTCTGCAATGCGGATTTTAGATCTGCCGCAGCCTTTTCTCTTTCTGCCCTTCTCTGATTTCTTTCTTCATCTAACTGGGCCTCACGCTCTAATATAGTTCCCTTATGACTGAAGGGGAAAAAGTTTTTTTTTACCATCAGAGGCCATTGAAAAAATAATTTAAGAAAACAGATGTTGGAACAAAAAGAGGCTCTCAGGCAGAAAATGTGTTGAACATTCTTTTTTTCTGATGATTGACAGCCACCCTCCATGTCACACCCTTACCTCTTTATTATGTCATCAGCCTCAGCACAAGATTGCACGGATGCAGCGAGCCTTTCATTTAGATCCTTTAAGGATTGTTGATGTTCAGCTGAAATTGTATTAACATCATCGAGTTCCTTTTGCTTGACCCCCAGCATCTGCCGCAACTCATTAATTTGATCGAGGTATGAATTTGAGAGAGATTCTCTGAGCTCTTTTATTTCCTACGAAAAATGTTATTCAGGTATGTCAAAATCTGTCTCACCAGATAGGTTATGATTAATGATAATGCATTGCCAGGTTCAGTAGGTGCACTGAACACATGATCAACAGGAAAAAAGCGTGAAAACATTGCCTTTTTCAATCCATAAAGCCAGTGGTACTATCCACTTTCAAAAAATGAAAGTAAAGACCGGTCGTTGCTTCGGAAAAATATGTGATTCATAAGAAAATCATGATGATAATGAAATAAAATTTTAGAGAGAGAGAGAGAGAGAGAATCGAAATAGCTTCTCACATGTTCAAATGACGAAAAATCATGGAGCACATTTACTTAACAGGGTCATTTTAATCTTTCCAACATGCAATGTCTTTCTTCTTTTCTTAAAATAAAGCTCAGAAGAATCCTCTGTACAATGATCAATAAATATCTTGTCCTACGTGTAACTCTGGAAAATGCATGTAATAGTAATTACTCTCTTGGTTAAAATAGTTCAGAACCATACGCAGCCCTAAACTAGAAAAGGATTTCGTCTGTTTTTTTGCGTCTGAATGCCTAGTCAAATCATTAGAACACTTGTCAGGATCTAGAGAATAACAAAAATTCAATTTCGTTTTCTTTATGGAATGAGAGAAATGTACAATCAATCTTGGATTATATTTCAAGCCTCAGCTAAAAACAAGCAATCTCAAGCCAAAACGAACGGAGAACAGAAATAGCTTCTGTCCCATTCACTAATTGAATCATGTTGTCTACTCAGATGTTCTATTTTCCTCTCAAACTGCCAAGTAAATAATCCTGAAAATAAATTATGTAAACAAATAACTGAGCATGGTATCCAAAAAGATGGCCCAGAACATGTAAATTCTCCTAGATATGCATATGACAGTTTCTTACACCGGTCAGTTGCGAGAGTCACAAAGCCAAGAAAAATGTAGGATAACACAACATATTGCGGCGGTTCAAAAATACAGACACAATACAGGTGATTAAAAGAGAAAGGAAATCAACAGGCGCTGAGTGAGACTCTAGACATTGCATCTGGTCATACATGTTCGTCTGCTACAATACAAGATAGTTAGAAACAAAACTTCCCAAAAGGTAGCAGGACAATACAGAAGAGCATACGTTTTCGTGATGACTGATGGAGGTCCGGGCTTCAGCATGCATATTCTCTATGGTGAGAACATGAGATTCCAGTTGTTTTCTTAGGGCCTGTGTCCATGACAAATATCCACGATGTAGATAGACATAACACCCATAAATGTCTCATAACACCTCTTATGATAACTTCCAGTTTCAAATAAATTTGCAGACAATACCGTATTGGACCGCTGCAGACTGCGGACATCATCAAGCGAAATGGGACCCTCAGGTGCCCCAATGCCAATACCTTTCACCCTCTTGCCTTCAGGAGTAAATTGCATTTCTAACAAAAAAATTATCACATAAGCATCATGATATGCCGAACTTTGAGGAAGTATTCCCAACATTAAAGTTAGTGAAGGAAAAGCCAATTTAGGTGAAGCTCTTTTAGTCGATTCTTTGAATTATACCTCGAACAAAGCAATAAATGGAGAGTACAGCCACCACAGAAGAACTGCGTTCTTTTAAAAAATACACGGTCCAGCTACCAACAAACAAGTAGAGAAGTTCCAAATGCGATAGGCCTACTCGTCATAGTACAAGTAATCAAACAACAAAAACTGATGTGGAAGATCCTTTGAGATATGGATTTTACTAAAAATTCATGAACAAAAGTAATTGAGGATAAAAAGATACGAATACAAATGATGTTGACCAAAGATGTTACCTGTTTTCCTTTTCACAACTGCTCCATTTGAAAAAAGGGAGTAAGATACTTCTCGAAACACAAAGGCAAAAGCTTTCTCTGTAAAAAAGAAGAAGAAAATAATTCAGAGTAAAAATAAACTTGTGTCACATTCAGGCAGATATTATGAAGAATATGAAAAAAAATTGCAATCATGATGGCAAAAAGGAAACAAAAACTATCACCAGCCACGTTACCAAGTTATCCCCAATGTCTAGAAGCAATTCTTTGAATTTCGATTCCACTATTTGTTTACAGTGTTACAAGACCATTGACATTTTCTATACTTATTTTATTTCGCAAGGGCTTTTGTCATACTTTTGTCAGGTTCGAAGCTAAGTCGCCATAAATACTACAGCCATTTTCGCTCCCAAACTAAAATTTGAAATGATAATAATTTATATAAAAAGCTTGAAAATATAACTCCGAAGAGGCATTTAAAATTATATTTATTTTGAAATGCAGCAGCTTCGTTGTGTTAATTACCCCAGGGCCTAGAAGCAGTTCCCTGAGGATTGCTTTTCTGATTATTGACCCACAATGCTGCATAACTGTTGGCATTTCCTCCATTTTCCTATAAACCCTGCCGTCCCCTTTTTGACAGTTGCAAGTAAACAAGTTCACAAAAAGTTAGTGATGAAATAGAGGAGAAGCATAGCGTGTAAAGCAGAGATAAAAATAAAAGATGAAACCGAAGGCAGAGTTATAGAAATGGATACACAATCCCTAGGAAATTCAGAGCAACATTTTTCTGGGCGGACTTTGGTGGACAATGTAGCACATTTGTTCTCTGCATGCGCCATAACGACTAAACGTTCTAGGAAACTATTTAACAACTTCAGACAAAATACAAACATTTTTTACCCTCGTGAGGGGGACCCAGAAAAGATATAATATCGCCATGTTGAAGTCTAACTTCCGGAGATGATTTCCTAAGCTTGCTCCAGTTCAGAAATGTTCCATTGGTGCTGCAGAGGCGACAACAAAACAGAAAAGAAAAAGGTAGCCTGAGTTCTACATTGAATTGAATTGGGCAAAGAGACTCAAAAAACCTCATTCCATGCCGCACCTTGTATCTTTCAAGAAAGCTGGAACAGGAGAGTCGACCACCTCGTCTTCGTTAACTGTCACGTTTCCTCTAAAAATTCTGCAATGGCTTCCGCTAATGGCGATATCACTTATACGGAAACTGTGATCGTCCACTAGTCTACCGATGCAATGCTGGTCCCCAGTGAGTATAATGTTCATTCCCTGATCCAATGAGAATACTCTCCTTTGTCACGTTAAATGGATAAGCGCACAAATTGAAAAATAAAAAGTAACCAAGCCAGTCATAGTTCTAGTAATTAAGTTAATACATTCTACCGACCACATATCTTGCTGCATTTAGTTCCTCCAGATTAACTGAGAGTGCACTATTTTTTTCCTCTACAATAATAATGTAGAAACATTCCATCTGATATCCCTCAGGCCCACTCCCACAGTGACCATATTTCGTTGAGAGATCCCAAGTCATGCACGGAGTACGGCGCAGAATCTCTGACGCCACAACGGAGGAGGAGACATAACCGGTAGGGTTCCACTGACGCGCACCTGGGGTCGCTGCCGCGCATTCTTGGAGATGGCTGTGAGGACAGCCCACACACCGGGGTCGGAGTTCTGCAGCGGGTGATCCGCGTACTTCCGGGCGACGGCCTTGATCTCCTCGCTACTGTGGCAATCCAGCAGCGCAGCGCTGGATGGAGTCGTCGGCGGCCTCTCCTCCACCTTCGCGGGCTCCTCCGGTGGATCCGCAGCCATGGCCCCACCCGAGAGATCGAAGTATAATGGAGAAGAAGAAGAAGAAGAAGAAGACGTGGGAGAGACAGGGACACGGCTCCTCCTCCCTCAGCCGCTCTTCCCGCCGGGTGGCCACCTTCGATCAGAGCTCATCATTCGAAACTTATATTTCTGAATAATTATTTGTAAATAGTTATTCACATTCAAAAATTACTATATTAATATATAGATTTACTTAATTACTTATATTAATACACGCGTTCCAAAATTATTAGATATTTTCTATATTATATAATATTTAAGCATTATTATATAATAGAGATTTTTTTTTTTTGCTTATTCATATTACTAGCCGAACCGGACAAGGGTCAGCCGGGCGGTTAACCTCACCGCCCTCGACATCAGAGCCGAATCGCCCACCGGCTCGGTCCGGGTCATGTTTCCGACGGCAAAAGGTTCGGCAGGTCGGTCTCGTTCATATCGGGTCCAAAATCCGTACCCGACAAGTTCCCGGCCAGGTAGCAGGGCGAAAGTGTGCGTGGACTCGAAAAGCGTCGAAGCACCGCTACAAGTCTGTTAACGATGAATGGTCCCTTTGACATTTGTTGATCTTTTTCCGTCATCGCCGCCGCCTAAATCCGTCCCCCGGCGCTCCTCCTTGATTACTCAAAGCTCTCTGGGGAACGTGATCGGAGATGGTCTAGAGAAGTAATCTTCCTGTCCCCGGATTGTGCCCCCTTCTCTCCAGGAAATCCGGCTTTAGGATTATCGGAACCGGCGTGCAGAAGCTAGGGGGCGGCGCTGGGTGAGCTTGAAGCCTCCGCATATTTGGAAGTGGATTAGTCTCGAGATGTATGTGATCTAGGGTTTTTGTTGTTCTGGTTCATCCGACGGACCACCCTCACCCCGGAGAAGCGGGGAATCCGCATTGTCATGCGGTTTTCTGCTTTGGTGAGGGTTTTCCGGTTGAACTATTGATTTGGGTGGAGATTTGGGGATTTCCTCGTTATTGCCCGTGTTTCCACGATGACATACGAGGAGCAGCTGCCTGATGAAATTGCATCTCCGGAGGTGAAGCTGAGGATCGGAGACGGGAACGGCGATTATGTCTGGTTGGGGGAGGAGTACCCGGAATCGGGTGTTATCGAGGGTTTTCAGGGCCGGGGCCCAAAGAGGTGTTGGGCTTCATTCTGGTGGTGGGTTAAGGTGGTCTTCTCCTGCGTCAGCTTGTTGGTTGTAGGTGCCGTATTAGCTTTCTGGGGCGGCCCTCTTTTAATTCACAAGGTAATTCTGTACTCTTTGCAAAAATCTATTTGTCAATTCGTGATTCTATTTTCAATATCTAAGTATCTACTTAAATATTTACCTAGAAGATTGAAACGAGCATCATTCTTGATTGCTATAATCTGAACTAATGTGTGAATTTGTATTCCTGGTTTTATCCAATGAAGCTTTTGTCAGGCATCCATTACACCCAACAAATAATCCAGCTAAAAGGAGAAATTTGTGAGAATTTTTCATTATTGGTGACTTGTCAGAAAGTTTCATGAGTCGATCTATATCTAGGACTTTATATGAAGATGATTGCGGATCCAATGGTTTGGCGTTGGGCGGGTATAAGGTGTAAAAAAAGTTGTATTGAAGTTTTGAAGCATCAGTACTCGACTTGATGATAATATCTCCACATTCCTTGTAAAAAAAATGTATATGTTGTAATAATTAGGATTTTGGATTTAATGGGATGAAAGAGATCTGCTCATAAGATGCGTTACACCTTCCCAACATCCAGCAGATCAATGGAATTTAGGATACTCTTTATCGAAATTCATGGGGAATACACATTGTGAACTTTTCTGTCAATGTAACAGTCCACGTATTTACCTGTCACGAGGTCAGGGTCGAGTGGTACGCTTTGAAGCTGCAGTAGAAATCAAGAGGTTAATGAATCGTTTGTTGATTTGCATTATCTTCGGTGCAGAACGCTCACTATGGAGATTTATTTCTAAAATTTCTTTAGGACCTTGAAGCGTTTTCTTTGTACGAAAGCCTGATGTTGTCATTTTTGGCTGCCTGTCTGATTATATACATGATAAATAGATTTCTTTTTCTAGAGTCCCTTGCCTGGCCAAATATTCTACCATATGCATAATGCACAATGCTCGATGGTGCGGTAGTCTCTGACATCATCCAATTGGATTATCAAATGATAGTTTAAACTGATTTAACGCTACTTGTTTCATGCATGTGGATGTCTGCAATGTCATTTTACTCTTTCTTTCTTTCTTCTTAAAGCTTAAATAGTTGTGCCTTTGGAACCTCCTGCTTGCATTCCGGTGTTATTATTTGAAGTCATTTTATGATGGCATCATGATTTGTACATCTGCGTATGTCAGTAGATAAATAGTGATAGTGTGGATTTCGTTGTAATTTCTCACTGGGAAGATTATTCTTCCTCTAGAAATTATAACATTATAGTGATTCAGAAAGTCGGTATCTAATCAATGTTTGGAATATGGGAATATTGCCTTTGTTATTTCTATTTCATATCCAATTATTTTCAGTCACAAAAAATGGGTGGGTGGATATCCACCTGTTTGCCTCATGCATGGGATCCGTGGAGACTCATTCAAATCCTTTTCAATTGAGAAAGTACGTCTGCATGTAAACTATTTACACGTTGCTCATTCTTTCTCATACTTCGTATCAGGAAATGAGTGGGATTTCATTTGCTGTTGTGAGATGGCATCACCTTGTCGCTTCTTCCTCGTGGTCTAAGTTACGTTTGAGCTCACATGTTATCCTTTCTTGGCTCTCGCAGTTGGTGGTTCCTATTCTGGACTGGGAGAGGACGACGTTTAGGAAACCAATTCTTGCATTGTTACTCTTTGCTTCTATCGCAATATTTCCTATTTTTTTGCTGCCAACCTCACCATGCATGTGGGTCGCCGGGATGACCTTTGGTTATGGCTATGGCTTCCTTCTCATCATGGCCGCTGCAAGCTTGGGCATGTCACTGCCATTCTTCATCGGCTCCCTCTGTCGCCATAGAATACATGTATGCCCCCCCATGGTCTCTTGCTCTCTCTCTCCCCAATCTCTCTGTTAGATAGATTCTCACGGGAGATCTTCTGCTGCCCCTGTGAACAGCGCTGGCTTGAGAAATGGCCCAAGAAGGCGGCTATCATAAGGCTAGCTGGTGAAGGAAACTGGTTCCATCAATTTCGAGCCGTCACTTTGCTCCGCATCTCTCCTTTCCCATACTTAATCTTCAACTATGCTGCGGTCGCAACAAACGTGAAGTACTGCCCGTACATCTTCGGGTCGCTGGCAGGAACCATCCCGGAGACCTTCGTCACAATATACAGGTCAGAACTCTCTTCTCCTCCAATGGCCGGCGCTCAGAATCCCACCGAGCTAAATTTGCTTCTGCAGCGGGATTCTGCTTCGGAATGTGGCCGACGCCTCTCACGGGAAGGGGTTCCTCTCGGTCGAGCAGATCATATGGGACGTACTGGGCTTCTGCGCCGCGGTCGCCGCCACCATCGCCATCACCGTCTACGCCAAGAAGACCCTCCAGCGACTCCAGGCCGAGGAAGAGCTCCTGTAGGACGGCATCGGCGGCGGCCATGGCTTCTGTACATATATTGCCCGGAGTGTGGCCGGCGGCCCTTTGAGGGGGATTCAAGGCGAGCGTATATACATATATATATACAGCATTTGCGATTTTGTTTTCTAATGATCGAAATCGGGGAGGCAGACGGAAGGAAGGCTTGGATCACGGGGGCGGCGACTTCCAGGCCAGGTGATTCTCCGTCCACCTCCTCCGTTCTCTTCCAGATTTTATCTAGTTGTCTCTTCTGAGACTCTCTTCGGCAGAGAGGCCAAGGGAATGACACGCCCGCCCCCCGTGGGTCGCGGAGGAAGACGAAGGTGGGGCGGCGGCGGTGGGCCTCACGTGCCAGCGAAAAAAAAAATGGAGGCGACGGCGGTACCTTAACGTGACCGCGGACCGTTGACCTCACGTGGCGGGCACCGCGGGTGGTCCGCCCCGCGGTACTCTCCCGCCAGGCTGTCTCGGGGGGGAGGGGCGTTGTCATTTGAAATTAAATAGGGATAAAAAATAAAAGTGAAGGCATTTCGAGGACTTTTATTAAAGGTTTTCACGTCTTACTGAAGGGAAGTTTCTGGAAGTGAGTAGCTGGAGCATTAAACCGCGGCGTGAAGCCACTTCATTAGTGCCCTGACCGTACGGTCGGGCCCACTGGCGGCCTCCCAGAGAGCGACACGTGTGGAGAGTCGTGGGGGGGACCACGAATATCTACAATGCGCTTACCCACTACTACAGCGTACGTTGACGAGAGGCTGGCTCCCTCAACCAGCTGATGCTCGCCGGAGAGTCCTGCAGGAGGATGAGCTGATGACGAGAAGCGGCCGGGGACGTCTCCCCCGGCGATCTGTCCTCTTCCTGTGCTTCGTGACGCTGTTTGTCGAGCGCGGATCTCGGCCTTCGGCGGCGGCGGCGGGGGGAGAGAAGGAGATCCTGCTGCAGTTCAAGGCTTCCGTGAGCGAGGACCCCGGGGGAAGCCTCCAGTCATGGGCGGCGGCGCCCGGGGCTGATCCCTGCCGTGACTTCGCCGGAGTGACATGCAGCGCCGCCGGTGAGGTGGAGAAGATCCACCTCCACGGCACGGACCTCGCCGGTGGTCTCTCCCCGGCCCTCGCCGGGCTCCGAAATCTGCAGATCATTTCCCTCTTTGGGAACCGATTCTCCGGCGGGATTCCGCGGGAGTACGGCGGGATCCTCACTCTCCGGAAGCTTAATCTCAGCCGAAATGCTCTGTCCGGGGACATTCCTGGATTCCTCGGGGACATACCGTCCCTCAGGCTGCTGGATCTCTCGCGCAACTCCTTCTCCGGCGAGATCCCCGCGTCGCTGTTCAAGAGCTGCTTGCGGACGCGGTTCGTCTCCTTGTCCCGGAACAACCTCTCAGGTCCCGTCCCGGTCTCCATCGGCAACTGCGCGAAACTCGCCGGCATCGACTTCTCGTTCAATGGCCTCTCTGGAGACTTTCCTGAGAAGATCTGCCAGCCACCGGAGATGGCCTTCGTCTCCCTGAGGAGTAATTCCTTGTCAGGGGATTTCCCCTACAAGGCCTCTTCGTGCCGTAGCTTGGAGTTCTTGGACCTCGGGAGTAACTCGTTTAAAGGACCGCTCCCGTTCGAACTCCTCGAACTGAGAAATCTGAGCTACCTCAATGCCTCATTCAACCATTTCGAGGGCGATTTTCCCGAAATAGAGGTTTGTGGGGAGAACCTGGCTTTCCTTGACCTCTCCGGCAATGATGTACGTGGGGCGATCGACCCAGGGATAGCCAACTGCCGGGGGCTTAGGTTCCTGAACTTGGAGTCGAACAGGCTGGGCGGGAGCATTCCGTCAGAGTTGGGGGATGTGAAGCCTCTCTCCGTCCTCAGGTTGGGAAACAATGAAATCAGCGGGACGATCCCGGAGTCTCTCGGGAGGATGGAGCTTCTCATTTTCCTGGACCTCCACGGCCTACAACTCTCCGGCGAGATCCCCTCTTCCATTACCAGCTGTAGATTCCTCCTCCATCTGTGAGTCTCGTACAAATCAGTGAGGTTTTCCCGCGGTGGGGGGCAATGTGACGGGGACTGACTACTTTTCGAACACTCCTTGCAGGGATGTCTCAGGGAACGGGCTACAGGGGGAGATACCTCAGAATCTTTTCAACATGACCTACCTTCAGTTCCTCGACCTACATCGGAATCAGCTCAGCGGGAATATTCCGGCGAGCCTAGGCAACCTCACCAGGCTTGAGTATCTCGACCTGTCGGAGAATTCGCTGGCCGGGCTCATCCCAGAATCCCTCGGTAACTTGACCCAACTCACCCATTTCAATCTCTCCTTCAATGCCCTTTCCGGCGCCATTCCTTCCAATCAGGCCATCCAGCAGTTTGGCCCCCTGGCCTTCTCCAACAATCCCGGCCTCTGCGGTCCCCCTCTGGACACATCCTGCTCGAAGAGCACTGCAACCGTGTCTCGAAGGACCAAGCGGCTAACTATTTCCGCCATTATATCCATCATCGCCGCCGCTATAATTTTTGTCGGCGTCTGCGCAATCACATTTGTCAACATCCGGACTCGGAGGAGGAAAGTGTCGAGGCCGGAGGAGGTACTGGTTTCTGAGAGCACGGCACCCCCTTCTTCGGGTACCAATGTCATCATCGGGAAGCTAGTTCTGTTCAGCAAGAGCCTGCCGTCAAAGTACGAGGACTGGGAAGCAGGCACCAAGGCCTTGCTCGATAAGGGCTGTCTGATTGGAGGAGGGACGATCGGGACTGTCTTCAAGGCGACTTTTGAAGGGGGCGTCACCATCGCCGTGAAGAAGCTCGAAACACTGGGGAGGATCAGGAACCAGGAGGAGTTCGAACAGGAGGTCGGCCGACTTGGTAGCCTTCGTCATCCCAATCTCGTGGCGTTCCAGGGTTACTACTGGTCGCCGACAATGCAACTGATTCTCTCCGAGTTCGTCCCCAATGACAACCTCCATCAGCACCTCCACTCTTCTGGATACTCCAGCAGCAGCAGCAACGGTGGAAGAAGAGGCGACCTGTCCTGGCCGAGGAGGTACAGGATCGCCCTCGGGACAGCGAGGGCTCTTGTCTACCTTCACCATGACTGTAAACCCCAGGTACTGCATCTCAATGTCAAATCCACGAACATATTGCTAGACGAGAACTACGAGGCCAAGCTGTCCGACTACGGCCTGGGGAAGCTTTTCCCCATGCTTGGCAGCAGTGGCACGACGAAGTTCCACAGGGCGGTGGGGTATGTGGCTCCTGAGTTGGCCTCACAAAGCTTCAGATTCAGCGATAAGTGCGACGTCTACAGCTTCGGGGTGGTCTGCTTGGAGATTGCGACGGGGAGGCGGCCAGTGGACAGGTCGGAGGAATCAGAGGTGACCGTGCTGTGCGACTACGTGAGGGCTATGTTGGAGAAGGGCAGAGCCTCGGAGTGCTTCGACAGAACTCTCGATGGCTTCGCGGAGAATGAACTGACACAGGTCCTCAAGCTAGGCTTGATCTGCACTTCGGAAAACCCATCGAGGAGACCGAACATGGCGGAGGTGGTCCAGTTTTTGGAATCGATTAAACCCACCTCGTCAGAAGGATAGCGGAAGAAGACTTGGGACTGTTGGAAGGGACGAGTAAATTAGATACTTTCCCCATTCTTTATCGATTCTTTTCAATGTGACCATTCCAATTTGTCTCTGTTTTAATAAATTCGCATTAATCCACTGTCGATCTCTGGCATTACTCTATTGGGTTTGACAGTCCGAGAGGTCTTAAACCCCTTGTTCGCTAGCATGATTCTGCCCCCAGAGGGATGGGAAAGTCGGAGTGGCCGGCTAGACCATATTGATTCAGTCAGATGGTCCTCGGTCCGCCCGTTCGGTATGTGAACTTCTCACCTTTTAGTATCACCTGCATCTGAAATCTCTGTCATGCTAATGATTCCGTTGTTCCGTCTCGCTGATCCAGAAAAAGTTTCACCAGAAATCATGGAGATGGTTTTATCCTCGATGTCTTGAGAAAATTACTGACTTGAGAATTGAGAATTCATGGTGGGTATGGGGCATGTTGCAGGAGAAATTCCAGAGTTTTTTCAAAAAATAAATCCAATCAAGGATCGGAAAGTGTTGGGATAGAATTTAAATACTCCAAGAGAGGATCCTCTTTTCTTTCTTCATTTTCGGAAAGTTTTTTTATTAATCTCCGAAGCCGAATTCAAGTGCATCATCATTTTATCTTATAAACCCCAGATAATTGATAGTTTCTTCTCCAAATGCGTACAGCATGAACATGAGCTAAACTATTTAAATTGTGATGAAAGTTTTCATTTCTACACAGATCTTGCTGTTCAGCGCGGGTGGCAGCATCCGAGATAATATCTAATTGATTGTATAGATAATTAATTGAGCAAAAAAATATGTGGTTGAAATTGTTTGATGAAATGATTTTATTCAAAATAGAACTTAATACATGCTTAATGACACTCCTAACGATTTAGATTAGTCTGATGATTCTGCATAGAGGAGTTTCAATGGTCTGCGTAATGATCCAGTGTGAGGGAATTAAATTCATTTTGAGTAGTCTATGAATACATTGGATGAACATCTCCTTCCTCTTTTTTTCTTTCTTTTTTTGATAGGAAAATTTTCAACTCATCCCTCTCAATCCTTCCCCATAGAGCTGCTGCGCTTGTTCACGGAGGGAATCAGAGGGACGGGCGACGGCGGCTCCTGCTGCTGCTGCGTCCACCTCTTGACGCCGCCGTCGTTCTGTTTCCCGCCGCCGCCGCCGCCGCCGCTCTTCTTCTCCCTGGCCTTCTGCGAGTTCCCGCTGACCTTGTTCTTTGTGATGGCGATGGCGAGGTCGTTGGGGAAGAGGGTGCGCCAGACGAAGGCGTGCAGAAGTGTGGAGACGAAGAGGATGAACACCATGGCGGAGGACACGATGGAGAGGGCCAGCGCCATGCCCTTGGTTATGATGCTGGGCACCGCCTCGGCGTACTTGATGGTGGCCAGCGACGCCGTCGTCATCGGGAAGGTGTACGACCACCACGCCACCGAGAACCTGCACCCGGCGTGAAAGTAAGTGTGAAACATGACCCAATAACATCAGATTGTTGGAGAATCTTCTTATATTTTCATCAGGAATGAAATGGGTTTTCACCTGAAGCCGCGGAAGAAGTTGATGCGGACGACGAGGGAGATGTAGAGGAAGAGGGCGATGAAGAAGCAGGTGCGGGAGACCTCGTCGAACTGGCCGTAGATGTTCCCCCAGGCGATGCTGGCGGCGGAGGGGGCGGCGATGAACATGGAGTACACCGGGTGGAGCTCCTTGGGGAGGGCCTCGCTGGTGGGCAGCCGCTGGTACAGCGTGACGAAAACGACGAGATAGTGGGCGAAACCCACCGCCCACAGGAACTTGGCCGGCTCCCACCACCCCACCCGCCCGGCGAGGATGGCTCCCACGAAGTTCCCCACCACTGACAGGTGCGACGACGGATTGGCTACCTTGCAGAGCCGCCGCTTCCCCCCGGAGAGCCACTGCCCGTAGATCTTCAGCTCCAGGAACAGCACCGGCGCCATGAACGCGCACCAGAGCGAGGGGTGCAGCAGCTGCTGTCGGTGGACCAGCGACGGCGGTGCGCTGATGGCTAGGAACATGCAGACGATCCAGGGGGCAAAGAAGAAGTTGACCCGCACGGGGTGGAAGTACTCCCTTCGGACGGCCTCGAAGTAGAAGGCGCACTTGAGGGCGTAGACGGCGGAGATGGCGAGCAGCACGGCCAGGGCCAGCAGCCACAGCACGAGGTTCACCAAGGGGCTCACCTCCAGGAAGGCCATGGCGGGGCTGGTGGAGAGGGACCCCCACAGGATCGCCTGGCTCCCCAGCCCCAGGCAGATACCGAAGCTGTTCACTGGGAACCGCAGCAGGAACGGCCACTTCTCGTCCTTGGGCAGCAGTATGTCCTCGTAGTCCTGCGCAGCCCACCATCAGAAGTCAGCAGAAGGTGGGCAGCGCCGCCGGTGTAGCTGAAGCTTACAGGTTTGTTACTTACTTACCCGGACTTGGTCGAGCTCAGGGCCGCGCAGGGCGGCGAAGTACCTCCCCGCCGGCACGATCTGCTCCATGGAGGAGTCGTCGCTGCTGGTGGCGCCGTTGGACGCGGTGGGGTGGTGTGAGCCGTCGGTGCGAAGGGGGAGCATGGAGTTCTGCTTGTTGAGGGTGGACTTGGTGCGGAACATGCTAAAGTCCCCCTTCCGGCTGGCGGCGCCCCGCCCGCTGGCCGCCGGGGGTGGCCGTGGGGGGTGCTCCTCCTCACCGCCGGCGCCGGCGGCGAGCATGGCGACCCCGGACTCGAGGGAGACCTGCCGGGTGAAGATCTTCTCCGGCGGTGGCCGCCTCTCGCTCCGCCCTGCGCCTGTGCCGCGGAACTTGACAGGGCCATGGGAGCGCTGCTTGCGGAGCTCCTCGCGGCCGACGGGGTGGATGTCTACGTAGCGCTGCCTGTCGGGGGAGGCTTCTCGCGAGGAGGTCATCATGCTACGCCGCCATGCGGCGGTGCTACCTTCTGTTATAAGGAGGCGGAGGAGGGAGATGGCGGTCAGCTTCAGGGTCGTCACGGGACGAGGCCCCGCGGGGGCCGCTGCTGGGGAAAGAGGAGGCGGCCGCGGCCGCGGCTCACGGGCGGAGGGGGAGGTCACGGGGGAGGAGACGGTGGAAGAAAAGGAAGGTCATGGTGGAGGGGAGGACGAGGAAGAGGAGCGGTGAAGGCGACGGACGAGGAGGGGGCGTAGTGGTGGTCGAGGAGGACGGGACAGAGATGGGTGGATGGTTGACGGCGGCCGCACAGAGAGAGAGAGAGAGAGGGAAGGGCCTCCGGTCAACGCCCTCTAGAATGGGAGGGCCTCAGCGGCTGAAACATCTTCCGCCCCGTTGTAAGCGGACGTACCAGACTCATCCTCTGACCCTCTCTCTCTCGTTCTCCCTCTGCATGGAGGACGAGGATGGGTCGTTGACTTGGGAGTCGAAGTCCTAGGGACATATCAGGTGAAGATCAGCGCCTCAGGTATCAACGCCGGTGCCCGCAATCAAGATCGGTGAAGAGGAGTACCTGTTTAATATCGTAACGCTCGAACATTCGAAGATATAAAGTCGTTCCGTCACAATCTATGAACGAGGACTTGAAGGGAGATGAGCCGTTGACTGTGAGCATGGAACTGAAGTTAGCAGATAATTATTTATTATGATAATAATATTAGATTAGACTATACCTTAAAGGTAATTACTAGTTAATATCATGAGCTGGGGGCCGCGTATGCTCAGACTAACTGGGGGGAAGAAATGAAAGGCAGAACCTCAGTTTTATGCCCGGATGGGCATCTCGTCCCATGGTGGGTTGGACGGACGACTACAACTGCTACTCACTTTACATCCCGGAAAAAGGAGCCCTTCAAGCGAGCATGGCCGCAAAAAAGAAAAAGAAAAAATGGACTACATTTCTCTCCCTTCTTCCCCTCAAACAGGCTTCTCAAATTCGCGGCATGTTGATTGATGCGTCCGCTCACACGGATGGTGCTCAATCTGCAAGTTGACCAAGGGAACACTTGGATTAGAAAGTCATAGGCATAGATAAATCTATATATCTATCTATATATGTCCTGTGTGACCATGGGTTTTCCTCGTATTCATTCACCAGGCAGGAAAGACCTTTTATCTGGGGGTTGACCAAAATGTGCTAGGTCAGAGAGAGTGAAAGAGGAGAGAAAGACATAGGCGTACATAAATCTGTCTATCTATATATATATGTACTGTGTGACCAGGGGCTTTCCTCGTATTCACACCAGGCATTTGAGTGGAAAGACCCTTTATCCGAGGGTTGACCCAAATGTGCTAGGTCAGAGAGAGAGAGAGAGTAGACATACATTCCGAAATCGCCGGACGCTATGAGGCAAGGGGGCGTGTCATAGGACCCTCAGTTGAGAAAGGAAGGCAGCACAGAGGTCGAGGAAGAGATGCTGCGGGCCCTGCACTCTCTGCAGGTCAAGGAGATATTTTTCCTCTCGAGTCTTGTAGAGCTGCAAACAGATGGATGTTCATCAGCAATGACCGAAACATAACGGAGAAAAAAATGGCGGCTTCTAACGTTCAGCAATATGATGCAAGCGGTTGACTTTGCCACATCTTTGAAGAACCAACGACTATCTTTCATCTCAGGTGGGATGCCACTATCATTGTATGATAGAGGAAGAATGATGTTGGTCAAACAATTCAGAAAAAAATCAATGTCAATTCTGTTTGAATTCAGACCTCATTGGATCGTTTTCTGTGGTTGCCATCTGATGAAGAGGACTGAGAGTGGAGGATCAAAAAAGGATCTATCTATCAATTCTGATCCTACTTGGTCTGAGAAGATCCCAACTCATCTGAAGACGTTAAGAAACAGAGAGATCCAGTCCTCACATCCGAGGATGGAAGTTATGGAGCCGTATCCCAAAAAATTGAGAAGGAAGCCCAACAATTTGATGGATTCCAGCTTATGCTCACAAAAAAAAGCACAATTAGAAACTTTTCAGCTGTTTGAATCACTCCAAGATAGTTAGGGATACAGAAACAAGGAAAGCTCTTTAAACCCACTTGGTTAAACCCATCAAAGGTGAATCCCTCCAAGATATTTAATGGATTCCAGTTTTGCTCTAAAAAAGCACAATTAGAAACTTTTCAGCTGTTTGAATCCCTCCAAGATAGTTGGTGATACAGAAACAAAATAAGCTCTTTAAAACCCATCAAAGGTGAATCCCTCCAAGATATTTAATGGATTCCAGTTTTGCTCCAAAAAAAAGCACAATTAGAAGCTTTTCAGCTATTTGAATCCCTCCAAGATAGTGAGTGATACAGAAACAAGGGAAGCTCTTTAAACCCACTTGGGTAAACCCATCAAAGGTGCAGCTTGAAAGTCATTATCGCTTAGGGTTCAGTGAGTGAAGGAATGTTGTTCCATTCCAGCTATTCGGGTTTGTGTTAGGAGGGGTTTTCATGCTCGTCAGATAAATTTAATCATTCGTGGGAGGAGGAAGCTAAACAAGGGCGTGAATTATTGGAATTTATCTTTCCTCAGTTCTAGGATTGGAGCAGTTTTCTTCCTCAATAAAGAGGTTAATAGTAAAATAAATACATAAAATAAAAATGCAAGCTAAATTAACCAAAACAAAACGATAACGTCCTAATACAAGCACACTAAATGATTTTTCATAGGTTTATCTACAGGCACTTTCGCACATCATCCATGTTACTCCCGTGAAAAGGTAGAAAGATGGGACTAAAATAATGTGATCAGGAAAGCAAAATATTACTTTCTTCCCCGAAGAAAGTACAGAGAAGGCACGAGTAAAATATGCTGCACCGAAAATTAATAATTTTTTGTACTAACTTACCATGAAACTTTATCACAGAGCTTTCGTCTTAAATCTCAAGTAAACAATCTATTCATGCAACAGAAAACAATCCTAATTCCAATTGTTTTTGCAATTGCTTATGTCGTAATCGGAGGCAGACAAGACATGCGTACCTGAACCTCGAACTTTACGGTGTTTGGTGGCATCATAGCAGCATCATCTTTAACGATAGTAGATTCATCTCCAAAGCTACGATCAGCATGGGAGTGAGCATTCTCTATGATTTCGGAATTATTCAGGCCACCAGGAAACCATCTGCACTTCCAACTATAATGTCCAATCTTTTTCCAGCAGACATTCAATTCTTGCAGAGCTTTAAGAACCTCCGTTATTATCTCGCGTGGATGAGCCTGAGACTTTCATCCACAAATGAAGGCCACATCAGTGGCCAAAAAGGGTTACCCCAATCAGTAAAATGAATGTAGAGCACATTTAAGGGGAAAAAAAAAAAGAAGCGCACCAAATCAACCTGAAGTCCAAGAGCCCACTTCCTTTCCAAAGGAAAATGCGATTGTAGCCCCATCCCTTGGTGATGACCAATTGATGTAGCCGAAGGTGAAACCATTCCAGCAGGACCACACTCCTGTTGTAAGATATCCATGCAAACACTATGAATTTACCCATTTAGAATTTATGCAGAAGTGCAAAAATTCCACAGCTCAACTTGCTCGGGGTTAGTAGTGGGAGTGTTTTCCCTGAGATGTTATACAAACCATAGCTTCTTGGAAATCATCTCCAAGGTAACCACTGAAAGCATCAAAACGGTTGTCCAGTAGCAAGTAGTATGCAACAGTTGCCTATGACATGAAGTAAGAGCAAATGCGTTAGTATAAAGAAACAAACATTCTAGAGAGAAACACAACTTTTAAGGAGATACATCATCTTGCAGTCTTTTGTGAAGAGCCTCAACGAGCTGGTTCCTGTCAAACCCCATTGCAACTACATCTTGGAGGATTTCCTCATCAAACTGGACAAAAAAGAACAATAACAATTATATTTGATGCAAGTAAAAAAACATTAAACAAAGAGAAAGCCTGATTTCACATTTATGGGTCTCATAAAAAATCACCATATGCCTTCAGTTTAGAGTGAATTGTACCACATATTCAGAAACACTGAAATATACTAGTCCAAGGCCAGAGAACTTTTTGACAAAACGGCATCCCCAGTGCAGATTTCCATGGTATATACATACCCACACGGTACATATGGGCATTGAATGCTTTAAACAGGTACACATTTCCAAGCTGGGCACACAGTCAGAAAGACAAGTTGACCAACTATGAGGGCATATGATGACAAGCAAAAACGGAACGATAGTATAAACTTTTTCTTTGGAGCAGGGGGGGAGGTAGACAGTAGAGGAAGAGCAGGAAAAATATCAAGTGAGATGAATTCGGTGAGCCGGAATTAGATGGGAAAGGATTGTTACAAGTGCTGTCTATCATCTTGATAAGGCTCCACGCACATATGCTAGAAGGAAGAAGGCCCAAAGCCCAATAAATCAATAATGGTTAGCATGATTGAGGGAAGGCACAGTTATGGCAAAGAGCGGTTGTAGTAAGAGCAATTATGGCAGGAGACTAACTGCCTAAATAAGAGAGGGAAAGGAGAGGATATAAGGAGGGGCGGATCAGGAAGGAGAGAGGAGGAAAAATCGGTGTTAGTATCTCATGGATCGACGAGAAGGTTTGGAGGGTTGTATGTGACGCTCCCATCTGTTCTGGGTTCTTCTACTGTTCTTTATCTTTGTTTATTTCTGTTCTACTGACTGTTTTTCATCTAATACGAATTATTCGTAGTTCTTTGATCTGGGATCTTATCACATCTTCTCCCTTATCATATGGCATCAGTGGTTCTGCTTAAGAATCAACTAATCTTCATGCAATATCGTCACATGCCATTAGGAGGTACTCCCTATGTAAGCTAGCATGAGACTGGGATTTCCCAGAAAAGGAGCTGGTAACTAGTCAAAACACCTGACATCTTCAGACATTTTATATCTCAAATCATAATCAGTCACCCCCAACTGACAAAACAGGAAAAGGTAGATGATAACGATATGAAGTCCAGTAACAAACAAAGAGAATTTCAGTTATGTTGGAAAGACAGACGATGCATCTCACGCCAACCTTAGTGAGACCAAGGAGATACTATCGTCTGTGAATCTTTCACGTCCATGCAAAAGGTACATTTCAGAGATAAAAAGTCATGCCGGGAAAAAAAACTATGTCTAGACAAAAAAAATGCATTAAAAAGTTACAACTCGGACTGTGCTAATCTTTGCTAAGAGACATCGGAGACTTGCATAAAATCTACTCCACTGTACATAAATCAGGAGATATTGCAGCTCCTTGAAGCAATAATTCTATCTCGACCGCGTTCGGAAGATCTGTCTTAAAATGCTTGACGCGCTCCTCATTGCAGTTCAAGATGTAGTAGTACACTGGTACTTATAATAAAAAAGTTATAAACCACAAGTTCACGACAGATTGTCTGATTCTGCATTAGAGTAAAAGAAAAAACACCTTCTTGGCTTGTTGTATTGAATCTGGGGGAGGCACTGCAAGATAACGAGGAAGATGAGCTTGAAACCATGGGTGCTGACGGATATCGGATATAGTCATTCGTTTCATTGGTTCAACAACAAGCATTCTGGGGATCAAATCTCTGGCTCCAGCCGACAGGTGACTTGGTAGAGTATATATCCCACCCTACAGAGTAAGCATTTTAAAACTAGAGTGGCTCTTTTGTACGTTTGAAAAAGATCAAAGAATGAAAAAACAGGCGTGTAGAGGGAAATATTATCTGAACCTTAATCTTCTTAAACAAATTGGGAATATTCTCGTCATCAAAGGGAAGAGTACCACAAAGCAGGGCATACAATATTACACCACAACTCCATACATCAACTTCAGGCCCAGCATATAATTTTCCGGAGATCACCTAAAAATTTGATTAGGGATAATCATTCGAGTATTAGAATTACAATTTTCAGTCGTAATTAACAATCCAGAAGCATTATATGAATTATGTACCTCAGGGGCGGCATAATTTGGGCTCCCACAACTTGTCTTTAGAAAATGACCATCCCTCATTATGTTACTCAATCCAAAATCAGCAATTTTGACATTATTTTTTGAATCCAGTAGTAAATTCTCAGGCTTCAGATCTCGGTGGACCACCATATTTCTGTGGCAGTACTCCACTCCAGATATTATCTGCCAAAGAACAGAAGATACTCTGCTAAATGGAGCAAAACGCATTTGAAATGTTCGATTCATAACTGAAGAACTTAAAAAGTGTTCTCCAATCATTACTAATGGATGAGCAGTTCATTAAATCACTGGTTTCTCTCTGATTTGGGATTATTTACCTGCTGGAAAAAACAGCGAGCCTCATGTTCTTGTAGTCTACCCTTCTCTACTATGAAATCAAAAAGCTCCCCATTCGCCACATACTCCATCACAACATAGATATCGGTGTGTGTCTCAATTACCTCATAAAGGCGTATGATATGAGGGTGCATGAATAATTTCAATATCTTCATTTCACGTCTCACTGTAATATGACGAGAACGATCAAAATAGTTTAAAAAATTCTGAAGAAAATTAATTATCATACTATCATTTTTAAGATTTTAACAAAAACAAGATAGTGATTGTTAAAGAAAGGAGTGCCCAACAGTAAAATATGGGGCAAGAGACCTCAGACTGCAAATGAAACATGGCAAGCATCAATCATTATGGCCCATTTAAAAAAATCACTGATAACTAACAGACCTGAAGACACTAAATGAAAACGAGTTATTTAATAGAGCGTTTTGCATTCCAGATAAAGAATGCTTGCTATAGAGAAATAACTGTTTTCTTAGACAACCAATTACTGAAAAAATTTCTTTCCCGAAAACCTCTTCTGATATTTCACATGGTAAAGAACCATGTATACAAACAGAAACATTCACCGGGTGAAACTTCTCTCATTAGTTTGCTTAGAAAAATCTAATAGTCCAAAATATCCTATCAGGGAGGGAATTACCAATCTTCAAAATGTTAGTAATACCTTTCAGCTGGGGGTGCAGAGGAAATACAAATTGAGGATCTTGTTGAAGTATCAAAGCACTGAACGGCTACTGTTATATCTCCCAGAGATGTATTCTCTACAACGCTATTCTCTCGGTTATTTTTCATCATTGCCAAAACCACAGAAACCATTGAGAGAAACTTGAGACCCAGTACATTTTCTACCATTTTCAATAAGAGAAAAGGTAAACAGAAAAAAAAGGATGCAATCATAAATACATTACTCGAAAAGTTTGCCAAATATTTGGTGATTTCAGTTAATGAATGATTCGAAAAGAGAATCCAGAAATACATCATATAGATGACTAAAAGGTATAATGTGATACATATTTCAGCTTTAACATCAAAAAATGTTCGGTAAATTTCACATTCATGTAGAACAGAGTAAAATTTTTCTTGTTCAACAGCAAAAAAATACCTTTTTCTTCCATATCCATGCTCTTAATCTTACGACGATTCAAGATTTTGATAGCAACTTTATGTCCAGTCAATATGTGTTGTGCAATTTTCACTTTCCCAAATGAACCAATACCGAGAGTTTTTCCGAGTCTATAATTTGATAAAATCATGTCCGCACCAGGACCTCCTCTTCCTGTTGGCCTCTCCATCTGCCCTGCACAAAATAGGACGGGCACAGAGATAACATCATAAGAATCATTCAGCAAAAGGATCTCCACTTCAAGTTTGATATGAATGCATTTGAATCCTCGAAGAGCTAAGAGCTGCAAACTCGCAATGAATGGCCATAAACTTTGAGATCTGCAGAATTAGTTTCGTGAGAGGTTGTGCACATGAAAATTTCGGAACTTTCCAAAATTTTCTCAGCAACAGAACCATCCGAGAAGTAATGCACATAGATTTTTAAAGTTCCTCTTAAGCTGTACCAAACAAGACCGACCGACTATCACCAAGTAGATGCTCTAGATTCTTAGTTTTTCAATTCATGAAGCCAAGAAAAGAGTGAAGTTAATGAATAGAAAAAGAAACAAAACTATCCACCACTTAGGCAGCAAGTCAAGGCATCGTGTAGTGGCATTACATCTGAGCCAGGCATTACCCCGCATTCTATAATAATTTACGTAAGCGTGTGATATTTCTTTTTGCAGCATGTCGTGTTAATTCTCGGGCTGGTGTGGGTCAAAAGTTGGTAGATTGCCAGTCGACAGGAAACTTTCAACCAGTCAGACTCACTAAGGATATTGTAGGCAGAAATTCTGCTCCAATGGATTCTACTGCGGGAGCTTCGACAAAGAGGAAGCACCACCTGGGTGCCCCATGCAGAGAGACAGAGGACGGGAAATAATAAAGAAAAACAAGGAGTGAAAAGCACGCGGCGACTAGCTTGGCTCCCTCGGCAGCTCTAAGTGAAATGCCCTGATAGAAGAGAGTCAAAGATAGTTAAGGATAGGGGATCACCCCACCACGGCAAAGGTTCAGACGAGACGTGCTTCCCGGAGTATGGAAATAAATACATGTTGTAGGAGGATTTCTTGCCGGTGCAGCAAAATAGGAACCACGAGCTAAGCAGGAAAAAGTCAGGATGATTTTCGATGATATCTAAAAAAATTAATTCTGGAGAATTTCCATATGGGAGAAAGCCACGGTCCAGTAATCACTTATGAACATGAATTCAGAGAAAGTCCCTCTTCCAAGGCAAGCTAACTCCTCAATCGACAGCAAGGACATCGGACCAAATAGAAGCCGCGACGATTCGGTCATCCATCAGTGACGGACGCAAACTGCGCATCGTTTGCGAATCCAATTCAATCACGAAGCAGCTCGTTAATTCAGGCAGGATAATTGTCGCCGAACCATCCCAAAAAACGAGAGAAAAACCCCAGATTTGAAAAAAAATGAAAACCCCAGCTAAAGTGGTCGTCGTCCCCCGGAATTCAACCCTAGAAACAGTAGATCGCGTTACGCGAAGCCAGAAGAAAACAGGCAGTGGAAATGCGAGGCACCTCTTCGAGCCAAAATCCGCCAGTAGGCTCCTTCCTTGAGTTCGATCTTCTCCTCGTCCACCCTTCACCACCGCGGCAGCAGCTGCGGCCACAGCCACAGAGACTAGAGAGAGAGAGAGAGAGAGCAGCGGCAGCAGGAGAAGCAGCCGCCACGGCGCACGCCCGCAGTGTAGAGAGAATCTTTCGGCGTGGTGGGGACGCCGTTACCGTCAACTTGCGCCTCCACCCAATCAAATCGTTCGCTCCCAATCGGATCCCAACACAGCTTGATCCGAATCCAACATCGAGCGATAATTAATCCCGACTTTAAAATCTCATAAAAATAGTATTTATTTCATAAAAACTGTCTGCATCGACGATTTGGGCCCGGCCCTCTCATTTTCGCGTAGACCCTTCAACTTTTCAAAGTTTACATAAATTCCCAAAAAGTGCGAGAGAGAGACAGAGAAGTGGATAATAGTCCTCTTCCATATTTTTAGAACTTACTTTTACAAAAATATATATTCCTGATTATTTGGTGGTGTATACTTTTCTTAGCGAGAGTGAGCTAGTGAGTGAGTGAGAGCGAGAGAGAGAGAGGGGGAGAGGGGAGGAGCATAATCTTAATTTTCTTTTCTCGGGGTTTTTGAGTTACAAGGCAGAAAAAGCCCGGACCGGTCCAAAACTCAGGGGCAATCTGTGTGCCCATCGAAGAACCCAGAGAAGGATACTAATCGGCGACTTCACCGAGGTTCGCTCTCGGTTAACTCGGGTGAGATATTCCACGCGTGCTCTCTCTAATCGGCGTATCCTCCTCACATCTGACCCGATATCTTTCGGAAATCACTTTAAATAAATAAATAAATATATATATACATACATATTTTAAAACTAATAAAGCTAGCCTGCAGTAGTAGTGGGCCAGCTGGGCCAAGCTAGACGTGGACGTGTGTCCCTCTCGGGCCCATAATTTTTGGGCCAAACGTGACGTTGTCTCTCATAAAAAAGAGCCCATAATCAGCCGTTATGACCGTGATGGGTCGGTTATGGGTCCGAGCAGCAACGGACCACACCTCTCTCTCTCTCCGTCTCCATCACACCCAGTCCCTCGCGCGGGGGCCAAGGGATGGGAGTGACGTGGCACTACAGGATAGGCCCAGGCCCATAAGGCAGGTAGGTAGTATGGAAACATCGGGGTATGTCGGCGCGAACGAAGTCCGACGAGGACGACGTCATACCCTCCCATGTTCGAAGCCATTGTGGGCATTTCTCCGAACACCTTCACGGCAACTAGCTCCTTCCCATCTCGAAGACGACTAGTTGCAGAACTCTCAGAACACCAAGAACTTCAACGAGAGAGAGAGAGAGAGAGAGCTGCACAAGAACTTACACAAAGAGTGAGGAAGAATCTGAGAAATTGAGATCGAAGAGAGAAGCAGAGGCTGTGTTCCGGGAGATTTGAAATATTTATATATATAATTCAACGAGGTAGTTGATGAGAAATTCTGGAGTGAAGAACTCCGACGAGGATGACAGAGCCAGACAGTATGTTTCGCGATCACCCCCCTCCCCCCCCCTGTTCTTCTTCTTCAGAGGAAGGTTGCGGGGGAGGGCGCGCAAAAGAAGAAACAATTGGTGGGCACGACGGCTTAACTAATGTGTGTTGGAGAAATACATAGGGAAAATAAGTAGAGCAAATTGGGATCCGGGGGCGGGCTGCCGGCGCCGCCAGAGGATGGGAAGTGGGGAGGAGGAGAGCTCAGGACTTGGACCTCTTCCTTGCCTCGCTGTAGAGCACGACGCCCATGACTGTAATGCCGAAGCCCGCCATGCCCATGACGGTGACTGGGTTCCGGAAAATGAGCACCGACACGACGGCGGCGACGGCGGCCTTGGCGTTGCCGAGCACTTGCAGGGTGAGGGCACTGGTGTGCTTGGTGACGAGGAAGTTGGTGAGGTTGACCAGGTAGGCGACGGTGGCATTCCCCAGGAGGAGCAGGAGGATGTTGGGGTCGGACCTCGCCTTCTCCAGAGTGATGGCGCCCACGTTGCCCTCGACGTAGAGCGAGATTGGGAGCAGGATGGCGGCGGCGATGGGGGCCATGTACAGGAGGAGGTTCATGGAATTGAGGCGCTCCGCCTCGGAGGTGAGGATGATGCCCTGGACAACGGACTTGAGAGCCCGGCCGGCGGTGGAGCCGATGCAGACGAGGAAGCCGAAGAGGTGGAAAAGGGGCTCGCTGTTGCTGGCGACGACGATGCCAAGGACGACGGGGAGGAGAGCGAGGTAGACGAGGGGGTGCTCGCGGCGGCAGGTGAGGAGGAAGGCGAAGATGGCGGTGAAGAATGGGGTGGTAGCGCCGACGGCCTGGTTAAAGGAGACGGGAATGTAGCGGAGGGAGGTGTTGCCGCAGACGACGGAGAAGCAGAAGATGGAGGAGAGGGCGGCGATCTTGAGGAACTGCCGCTGAGAGGAGATCTGCTGCAGGGGGACGAGGCCGAGCCAGTTCACAGCGGCGAGGCTGTACAGGGAGCAGGACACCATGTGGATGGTGGTGAGGAAGATGGGGTATCTGTACCCGTAGACGCTGAGCAGGTACTTGTTCAGCAGCAGCACGCCGATGTTCGACAGGTACCACGACGCGATGATCAGCGCCGTCGTCACGCTCGGGGAGATCGCCGCCGACGTGGGGCAGAAGAGGGAGAGGAACGAGGGCGGGGGCGTCGCCGCCTTCCCCCCTCCGCCGCCACCGCCGCCACCGCCGCCGCCACCACCGCCTACTCCAGGCGTTGTTCCTGGGATGTCGATCACCGGATCTGGCTCAAACCTCGGATTGCTCCCCCGCCGCGTCGTCCACGTCTGCCCGTGCGCCGCCTCCACCATCCCTGCCCCCTCACTCGCTCCCCTCCCTTCTTCCCCTTCCGCGCAGAAGAAGATCTCAAATCCGATGCAGATTCCAGGAGAGAGAGAGAGGGAGGGAGAGAGAGAGAGATAGAGAGAGAGGGAGTAAAGGGGGAGACTAGTCCCCCGAGACAGATCCGATCGGGCGGCCGAGATAAGGATGTGGTGCGGGAGGAGGTAAATACCCCGCCCCCCCACGCGATGAACTAATCCAGCCCGCTGACTGGTCCGATCTTAGAGGGTGGGGCCCGATTGGATGTTCCGCCGGTGCACCCTACCGCGGCGGCCGAGCTAGCCACGGAGCTGCCGCCTGTGGAATCCGCCGGAATCGTCGCCGCCGACAGCTCATCTCGCGGTGCAGGGATCTATCGCTCACGTGATCAGCTTCCAGAGAGAGAGAGAGAGAGAGAGAGGCACCGACAGGATCAGAAGGACAGGAGGGGGCCCTCGCGTGACTTTCCTTCCCGCCGGCAACCGACGGCGGCGAGGAAAGTTGGGTGATTAGCTTTCATGCGGTAAAAAAGCATAAATGGTGAGCAGATGGCATAAATGGCGGCGCCGCCAGGCGCCGGCGAGTGGTGTCAGCCGCTCTCCAGTACCTCCCTGTGCACGTGCATGCACGAGGAGCTGCAGTACGAGTAGTGATACCGATGGAATGGGACAAGCCCCGCAAGAGACGTCCCGCAGAACGAGCACAGGCCGGCGGCGCCACCGTCTCCCTCGCCGCCGCCGGCCGACTTCATGGCGGCGATCCGCCGCTCCGCGGCGGCTGCCCTCTTCTCCCTCTCCCTCTGAAGCTCGTCCTGTTCGAAGCAATCAGAATTCAGCGACCAGAAATAAGTACCATGCGGGGATCAATCGCCGCGGAAGACCACCGACCTCCTTGGAAACCGGCTTTTCGCTTCTCGGAGGAGCAGCTCTAGCCGGCGGCGTTTCCTCTTTGCTCCCCCCTGCCGCGGCGGCGCTCTGCTGCGGCGGCGGCGGCGGCGGCGGCGGCGGCGGCGCCTGAGCCTGCATTTGCGCACGTGCCCACATCATGCCATGAATGGGTACGTACGGACAGGAGGACAAACAACAAGACAAGAGAGCTCCAGACAGTCTCCGGATCCATCAACTCACAAACCTACCCAGAGTTCATAGAGAAATGATGGAAAACAGGGATCTTTTGTGAGGAAAATTCGGGCATGTTTCATGTTCATGTTGCTCTTGCGAGATTTACAGAGAGATTTTGAGTGAGAGAGAGAGAGAGAGAGAGAGAGAGAGAGAGAGAGAGAGAGAGAGAGAGAGAGAGATAACTGGTAAAAAGTTTGGGCATTTATGCGTATTAATGAGAAGAAGTCCCCTGGTCCAGAACAAAACGGCGATTTGACGGCGTACCTTTGCCCTTTCCTTTGCTTTCCGCAGCTTCTTCAACTCTTTTGCTTTCGCCTTTCTCTTTGCATCCTTCTCTGCCTGAAGATCCAAATGGGTAAACATAGACTAATTAATTAATTAATTAAAAATTAAACAGGTGTTGAGATGAATGTCTAAAGTGCACCCTTTAAAAATTAACCAAAAAAATACTTTAAAGGAGCATAGATTTTCAAGTAAATATCTGGCAAAATCTCATATATGAGTATTAATCTAAAATACATCTGAACGATTAGCTTTTCTGAGAGGGGTTTTGGAAGCAGTAAACAAATATTTCATATCATCTATAACCACTTGAAATCACAGTAAAGAAATATATTAAATCAGAATTAATGAATGAAACAGCAAGTCAAACCACTATTATATCTGGGTTGATCTCACATCCCCATGCACTGAAAAGGAACAGATAAGAGGGCGTAGCACCTGCTTTGCTGCCTGAGATTCCTCCATTTCTTTGGTGAGCGGACTAGGAACATTGGCGGCATGCCAATCCCACTTATCGAGGTTCAGCGCCATGAAACGCCTGAAAGTGTTCCTAACTTCCTTCTCTGATGCTACCATGTAAGGAGTTCGTCCCCGTGAATCTCTCACGCATGGATCCAGGCCCTGCTCAAGAAGCTCCAGCGTCCGCTGTTCATCGCCTGATCTTGCAGCCTCGTGTAAAGGTGTTCCTCCGTCAGGAATCGATTTGTCAGATTCTTTGTATGCGGCCGGGGATTCAGAACCAGAGCTCTCTGGACGCTGATTGGCTTCGGAGATAGTGTCTTTGCTCTCTGGGTTCATGGTGGAGCTTTCTTCCCCGGCTTCTTGTCTGGTCTTTTCCACTTCTAGAATGGGAGAGTGTTTTTCCTCGTTGCCTTCGTTGGCTATGTGGGTCAACATGCTATAGATTCGTTTAGCTTCCTTAAAAGTGGGCCTGCGGACTGTGATAGGGATATGGCGAACTGCAGAGTCCAGGTGGGCAGATGGTAGTTTTTCTCCCTCGAAAAGCAACTGATGATTCTTTGAAGGAGCATAAATAAAAATGGATGATGATGCATCAAAATAAGGCTTCCAAGTCGCAAGTAATTCATGAATTTCCTGAAAATAGGAAGAACTTAAAGAAATAAGAATCGAGTATTTGATTGCCATAAACTCAAGAACAGGATACGGCAAAGAGGACTTGATGATTGTAACGCTATAGGAAGTCAATGGCAACCAGATAATGCGTGTCGAACCCTTGAATTTAATGGTGAAAAAAGAAATTTGGTTGATCAAAAGTATAGTTGGATTAGCATCTAGAGCCATATACATCATTATGTATGATAAAAGCTTAATATTATTTTGATGTGCAGAGAAATTAACCGGTGACAAACAGATTCCAGTTTCCTGATCTTCTGATGAGCCTGAGATTTATAAATATTGATTTTAGATTCAATATGGCGAAAGAATTGTGCCAAACAATGTCCTATACGATTTTTTATGATTTTAAGAAGTAGTTTCTGGAGCTTAAACACGATTAAAGCTACAATTTAACACTCTTTTAATAATATAGAACCTAGCTGTCACATGTATAATGAAAACTAGTCAAGGTTTCTTTGTCCAACAGTCTTCTTTGTCACCCTGCTAATTTTAGTATTGACTCCCTAACATTCTCAAGAACTATTGGACCATTTAAATAGAACATGACAAAAGAGGAAGGACCTGAAATTGTACGGAGCAAGTGTCAAACCTTCTTCGTATTAAAATAGGCAACTCCAGAAAATCCACAGCAAGGGAAACTGGAAACTAGATTAAACAATTGAACAACTCGATGACAGCTAAGTTTATTTAATAAACTTCTTTGTTCTGTCCAGTGCCGAAGAGCCTAGGTGTCTAGGTTTATGTGAGTTATGGTCACTTGGGTATCAGTTGTATAATGAAAACAAGAAGGTTGGCTTTACAGAGTCATGAAACAATGATGGGTGGCTGGAGCCATGCAATGGGGAGTAATATTTTCATAAATGAGTGGAGCCAAAGGGCAAGAGTTAATGTCGGCGGTAGGCCAAACAATGAGAAGAATGTGTGTTGTGTGCTACTTTGCTCTGTTCTTAGACTATTTAAAAGGTCAATCCAAACCCCCAGCACACTTGGGATGGTTATGCTTCCATGGGACCAGCACCATCCAGTCACATTGTTTAGATACAGATAGTGAGAAGTTCAGAAAATTCTGCAATGAAAATAATTAAAATCCAATTGATTAATTTGATATCTCACATAAATGTGCCAAGGGGTGGATTAACCAATAAAATCTTCTGTACCCATTGGTCATTGAACATACTACAAAGCCGATTCGCACAATATATAGCATACATACAAAACATTAGCTAATCGAAAAACCTTCTTAAGTGCAACTTCATTGTATCGCCGGAGAGAAGATCCTGCAGAACTTGCAGCCTTTCCAGTGGCATCTTTAGCAGACTGTTTCTTCCCAGCCTTTGCCCGAACAACATATCTGTAAAACCATAGTAAAAGCAAATTTCCTTGTAGATCTACAAAACTTAGGGGTGTGAATACACGGCAGAGCTACTCTACAGTATAAATAAGAAACGTAGTAATCGGTGTGCGCATAAAGTACATCACAAACAGAGTTAACAATAAACAAACCTTTTATCTTGCTACTAGAGAAATAACAGTTACAGAACTTCGAGTTTCGAGAGCCTGTTTCTCTCACACAGTTGGCCAGGGGGAATTGTGGGATGTGAGGTAATTTTCTTGGAGAGTTCATTGAGGTGTGATGGTGTCAGAACCTCTACTAAATATAGAGAATGCAGAGAACTGAAACAACCCGCTTTAAATATGGCCATCCTCGATCCACGAGGAAAAGAGTTCCAACAAAGAGAAACATTTGGACAAGAAGCATTTCCAATCAACAGACAAGAAAATATAATGGATGGAATATTCAATGTCGGAAAATGCACCAACTACAGTCCACAGAAGGTTTCACGAGAAAAGGCAAGGTTTGACACGATGAGAAAGTCACGTAACAAACAAATTCTGTTCTGCCGCCTGAAAATACGAAAAAAAGAAGAAAACTTTTGGCTTACTCCTGTGCAAAGAGGACCGATGGGAGCACATGTCAAGAGATATGATCATCATGTTTGTGGGAGTTTCTAAGAAGAGGAGGAGATCAAAAACCATTGGACCGTGGGAAAGAAGAAAAACATGAAATTAGTCAAAGCGAGTATAAATATACTCGACCATGGGATGGCCGAATGGGGTTTGTCACAGACACTCTGCGGATTTGCCAGATGGTGGCAAAGGCAAACAGTACTAGATTTATTTTACTGTAAGGTATTTTTAAGGAGGCAAATTGTTTTAGAAAAGATGAACCAACTAAAGGTTATTTTCCCACTAAGAAGAGTGAAGTAATAACAAACACAGAAAATGCTTTTAAATACACGTGAAAGAAGTGTTTGCAATGACTCGTTCTGATGTTATTGAGATAGACAATCTACTTGATTTCACTGCCTGATATCTTCCTGTACTATGAATGACATGTAAATATCAGACTGTACCTTTTCCAATGAATGTCATTCCTAAGATCATAAGTCCTATTTGGTTTCTCGTGATGCAGTTTTTTATCTGGTTGCTATCTGAATATAGCATGCTTCTATAGATACTTTTGGCACGCATGAACTTGACAAGAGATCACATTAATTTACAAATGAGCCTACTTCAAAAATCATGTTGTTTGTCGATTATAACTAATTGCATGCTGATACTCAGCAAAAGAGAAGAAAAATCTCATTGAAGGCAATAATAGATGATAATGGCTCTGAGCTTTTTTTTAAAAGGAGATGAAAAACAAAACATACATTAAAAGGCACGATTTTTTCCAGCAACTTATCTAAATGCTAATTCAACTATTTACCTGTGGAACGTTTTGTGAGCTATGACAGAGTTGCCGTCAAAGATACAGCCAGCAAAATGCCCACCGCATGCGAGCAACACTGTTCTCAATTGAGTTTTATCTCGAGGTTCTTGAGTTAAGCGGTTCAATCTCCTGATTAGCTCATTTTCAGTAACCGTGCATTTGACAGTTTCCTTAGAGTCTGATTGGAGATTTCCATATGAAATATCCTCGGAATCATCCAAAAGCAAGCATTTCCAAAGGGAAATTATGCCACCAGACTGGAGACGGATATATAATTTTTGCTTGACAACTCTTTCTTGTCCACGAGTGCTGATTTTTGAGACTGGTACATCATCCAATTCCTCTTCTGAACCCGATATGCTAGATACATCAAAATCATTGGACAAAGACGCACAACCGAGCTCATCAAAGTCCTCTTCATTGATGACATTCCTCCCGGAAATTTGGAGCTTGACCTAAGCACAAACGTAAATAAGTTGGAGAATATAATAGGCCATGTGTGGTGCTGAAAACCAGAAGTGAAAGAAATAAGAAGCGAAAAGAATACAATCAGCTGAAAGCAAACATTTGGCAAAATAATATTGATAGGATACAAAATGACATCTTGATAAGAAGCACCCTGGAAGAGCGACGGAGATAATTCATACCTTAAAACCATTCGATCATGAAAAGAAGAAAACTAAACAAGAAGGAACTCTGTCGAAATGAGCCCGAGTAAAGTTCCAGCTAACGTAGCATCTCTAAGATGAATATTTTGATGTCAGTGCTGTATACATGAAGCCCGGTATAAATTCTCACAACGGATTACCTGAGTAGGTCCATTCTGTCCGCCTCAAATCGTAAGAAGAATACAGAATACAAAAATTCCACAAAATTTGAAAGACAAAATGAACAAGAAATGGGCATCTCCATCCTATCGAATTTTCAATCTCAGAGCGCAAGGAGTTTAAGACTTATACGTTGAAATAAAAATAGCAGAAGCACAACAGGGACCTTACGTTGAGTCGGTGAAGGTCAGACTTGAAGTGTAACCGCTGGTCCTGGAGCGACTCGAACTCCATTTTGCATGTATGGCAAGTCCAAGCCAACGCGAGCCTACCGACGCTCGCCGGCCCCGCCGTTTTGAGCTCGCCGTTCCCCTCCTCCGCGGTCGTTTCCGAGGGAAGAATATGCGTCTCGGGCTGCGCGGCAGGGATTTCGCGAGGGTCGGAGAGCAGGCGGCACGATTCGAAGAAATCCGGCGGCAGATCGAAGAGCGAACGGGAATCAAAGACCGACGGTGCCGCCGCTTCCCGGGCCGCCATCGCCGGCGTCAACTCTCCTCTCTCACGAACGTTGAACGCACCCCAAGCAACTGATAAACACGCCGCCAGAGGGTTCGGGCATCTAATGGGCCAGCAAGTTAAGCCCCGGTCTGGCCCGATTTTTCCGGTTTGGGTTTCGAACACGGGCCAGATTCTTACTAAAAGCCCAAGCCCGGGCCCAAAATAAAATGCCAGTACAGTTTATTATTATTTTTATTCTCCTGCATTTATTTTCGTCCTAAATTCAGTATTTTTCAGCCTAGAGGGCACCAATGTCTCATGCCATGCCCAAATGATGATGTCCTAGAAGGGTGCTCGTAGATCCCCTCAAGTGAAAGGTGTGAACATACAATCATGTATAATAGTGTACCCATGCATGGCACATGCATGGCACATGCAAGAGTCACTTGGGCATGGTGAATAGATGAGCCACTCACATTGATCAATGTAATGCAATCCGCTTAAGCTTCTCTCATGACTGGATATATTCCAAGCATGGAGGCCTGCAGACAAGAGCCATGATGTGGCATGAGGCAACATGCATGTTGGGGTGCACATCTTAGTGCTATGTCCATCCTGTTGAAGGACAGATGATGCACATGCAATGGCACATGGCAAATACCGCAAACTTATAAATCATGGAGTTGCCATAGAGTGTCCTAGGGGAGGTCGACAGTGGCAAGGGGTCAAATCACTAGAAAAATCTTGATATCCTCAAGATTATGATTTAGGATATTTTTTTAAAAAATAATATTATAATAAGTTGAAATTAGGAGGAAATCAATTTTGACCCCCACTTTTTAATCTAAGTGCAGCCTTGAAATCAAACATCTTACACTCAATAAGAAAATATACTATGAAAGCATTGTATAATAGTTTTGACCATCAAAGTAAGTCAACTAGTCCAGAAAGAAAAAAAATTAAAGTCCAAAAATTGTATTTAATAGTTGAACAATAAATTTATAAATATCCAAATATTAATATCCAAAAATTGTACTCAATAGTTAGAAGTATTCAAACATCTTAGTGACCCTTGAAAATATTTGATTATATTTTAAGTGCTCTAACATAATTTCGAAAATTTAATTTCACTTTTTAAAGATTATTTTCTTATAGGAATCTATACTTTCTTCAAAAGAGTTAGCGAGAAAGAAGGTAATTAAGAGGTGCATCACTAGAAAAAAAAACAAGAAAAACTTGAAAGCTACTACACCCCCTTAAATGTTATAACATGTGCCCTCGTAGGTGGGTGACGTTTTTATGATTAACAACATAAAAAAAGTAATAACATCCCTATGCAAAAATAAAAAATTATGTCCACAAATCTATATCAATCACTTAAGTGCATCCACATCTCAAGATGCTTGTGTCTCTAAGCCAAATAATTACCACCATCTAAAGTTATATACCAAATCTGTAACATCATCAAATTATTGTATAATAATTTAAGTACTCATTCTAAATTAGAAACATTACTTTAAAAAAGATTTGAACTCTAATTTTTTTGGACTCTTAGAGTTATGAATTAAGAAGTGATTAGGTCAACACTCATTTGATTGTGTTCCTTGAGTTGTGAATATGGAAGAAATTTATTGAATGCTAAAGTTAAATTTGTTGAAACATTGAATATAAAATAATTATGTTTATGATGTATTTGAGTTGGCTTAATTTGTGAAATCTAGTGAAGGCTAGTTGAGACATTTATATTCAATGATTTTATCTTTTAATTTATAAGAACCTAAGTATGAGGTTCTTAAAGACTAAAGTAGGCTAGGTGTGCTGGACTATTATAAATTGAGGTGCTATAATTTAGATATTAATTATAAAATGTAATAGAAATTTTAAAAATATATTTTTACTTCTCTTGTTTCATCTTGCAGCCTCCTTAAAACTAACAGCTGGAAATATACCTAGAATTTTAGAGTAATATTGACAACTATCAAAGTTATTGAAGGTAATAAACATTTTGCCCCCTCTAAAACTCCCTTCAATACTCTCATGTTCTTTTTTTTTTAAAACTATCTATTACAATACATAAATTATAAGAAGTTGAGCAAAATGACCATAAAGAATAAGTGTCTAGTGTCCAAAGTGTAAGAGTTGTTCAACCATTTGATGGGGTCATAATAATCTTAATAGAGTATAACTTTAAATTGTTACAAGCTAGGGTGTGCCAATAAGGGTAGTAGTCGAGACATCGCTAGCAGTGAATGTCACAATTTTTGAGGAGAGGTGCTGTGATCTCACATATATGTAGGATGCATCAATGTCCCATTGAGCGAAGTGCATGGCATTAGAGACCATAATGGCACTACTCTTTACAAGGTTTTATTGGCTTGGTATGGACCAATATGTGAAAGATTATGTATAACTTGGCTAGTGTGCCAGCAAGATAAGATGGAATATGCTAAGATGACATGTACTTTGGAGTTTTTGCTGATTCCCAATCAATAATGCAAGAAAATTCTGACGTAATTTCATCATTGGGCTGGCAAATATTAGAGGACATGACCCAATTTTTGTCATCATCAAATATTTTTCTAAGTATGTTGTCATCATTGAGCCACATGATAAGGTATTGGGGCTTACCACTAGTCATGAGATTAACTCATGGGGTTTAGGTAATTTTTTGAGTAGATGGTCAACTAACTGAAATTCTAGACAGACTTCCACTCCTAATTAGACTGGCTAATAGAGTCAATCTTCATCATGTTGGAGTACCTATCACATGATATGACCGCCAACCAAGACTACTTCATCAAGCTTCTAGATGTCACTTACTTTCACTATAACCACCACTAAAGCTCATTAATAGGGTAATGCCATTCAAATTTATGATGAAACAATAGATACTAACGCCATTAGAGATTGCAAAATAGTCTATGGATGTGCATTATCAAACAATGCATAAGTTTTCATGTGCACACTAGGAACCGTATTGAAGAAATGTGAGGTGTTGGCATGTGTAACACACTAGATGAAGAAAAGTATAGATCGACATCATCATGTGATGTAATTCCATGTTGGCAACTGTGTGATAGTTTGAATGAACCATGGGTATCTACAAGGTCATGAAACATAGTTGATGGCATTTTGAGTGACTATTGTGTTTTAACTAGTAATTTGAGGTTGTGATATAAAAATATACTCTCCTACACCATTAATATATCTAGGAGACGGCTCATCAACTATAGTCTTATACATCTCACAACTCAAGCAATACATGACTGATCAAGAAAACATAATATATGCATGTCTAAGTGGTTGAAAGAATTGACACCATCTTGGATATATGAGAATTCAATAGAAGTCAGTGATGTAGAACTAATTATTACATCCACTTATTTCTCAAGTGAATAAAAGTACATACTAAAGACATTTTGTGCTACTTCTAAGAACTGATCCACTTGCACCTTAACAAACACCCTCATACAGGGACGTTGAATTTACTACATGGGAGACAGTGTATGCATGCCACCCAACCTATGCAAGAGGCATGCATTCACCAGGTGGCACATGTGAGCATGTCAACATACGTGTGGGGAGCTCATGCACAAAAGACACATTCAACACATTGTCATTATGACCATAGATTATATTTCAAAGGAAAAAACATGTGGTACCGTGCAAGTAAATTACCAACTTCCATCCTGGATATAATTAAGAAGTTTGAGGTTTGTCGCTTTCACAAATCGAGATACCATTTCTGGCTGACTACAATCCACATAAAATATGAGTCCATTAATAGTTTATTGAAGCTGGTCCCCACCCTCCCTCTCTCTCTCTCTCTCTCTCTCTCTCTCTCTCTCTCTCTCTCTCTCTCTCTCTCTCTCTCTCCCCCTCTCTCTGTAACTCAGTCTCCCACAAATAGCCATTTTGGAGAGCGTCCCCCGTTCTCGGCCGGAAGTATTCCCTCAATATTTTGATCCAACTTGGGACGGTTTAAACCCAAAAAGCGATATTTTTTAAACATTTTAGTCACCGATTCTCATGTTGGTCATATGAAACAGTATTTTAATATTAGACTCCAGCGGGGGTGGCCGTCCGCGTTTCAAAACCGAGCCTAAACCAGTGTGGGCCTATCGTTGACCTGGTCGCTGGGGCCCACCTGCTACTCCCACGGAGTCTCTTCCTCAGAGTTGGCTTTTCTAGTCCCAAAGTGCGCCCTCTGTCGGCGCCGGCAAAGCGCCACCGTCGGTGACCCGGGAACGACTGTCCCTATCGACGCCATTACCATCGCCCCCGTCTTGCTCCTTTCATGAGCACCTGCATCTATTCACATCGTCGTCGCCATGGCAAGAGAATAGAGAAAAAAAATTGAGCAACGGGGCCTAAAGCGAGAGAGAGAGAGAGAACGAGGAGAGAGAAAATGTGGGCCGGCCGGCGACCTAGCCGCCGGCTGCAGGCCAGAATTTCCTGTGATCCTTGAACCGGCGGAGCAGGCCGTTCAGGGCGACGTCGAAGGCGTCGTCCACGCCGGGGCCCAGACCGCCGCCGGGCTGAGCGTAGACCAGCCGAGGGAGCAGCTCCACCACACGCTGCCTCATCTTCCTCACCCTCTCCTCGCCCAGCCCCGCCAGGGCGCTGCCAATGTCCACGCTCCCGTTCCGCACCGCCGCGGGGTCGATAAAGACGGAGTACTCGTCGCCGTCGGGGGGTAGGAACCACTCGTATTGCATGTAGGCGCTCCGTCGCCAGAAGAAGACGGGGATCGCCCCGGCCACCATGCAGTCAAAGGTGGAGCGGCGGGTGAAGCTGTCCCCCCGGGGTTGCAGGCAGAAGACCGAGCCAAGGAACAGGTTCAGCGTCTCCGCTGTGCGGTTGGAGCATCGCCACCCCGAGCAGTCCACCGACCGGCACATCCCCGCCGGTGCTCTCGCGCAGTGCTCCAGGAGGACCCCCCGGAAGTCTCCCTTGATGCGGGAACGGTTGCCGCCGGCGAAGCTGAACAGCGTCTCCCGCCGGCGGCTCAGCACGAAGGCCTGCCACGCCGTGACGTCCGCCGGCGTCATGGGGTGGAAGCCCGTGGGATACGGCACGCCGACGTCGAAGTAGTCCCAGGGATTGCGCTCGATCAGCAGCCGGGTGACGTTCTCCATCTCTGGCATGTAGAGGAAGCTGCCGCCCCAGCCGTCCTCCCCCGACCGCCGGAAGTCCCAGCTGATCCGCCCGAGCACGATGAAGTGGTCCCATCCGCGGGATCTCCTCCACGGCGCCTGGCCCCTGATCCAGCGGAGCATCATCTGCGAGTGGCGGTCCCTGTCGGCAGCGGTGTAGTTGTTCTCAACGGACCAGAGGTATTTCCCCAGGGCCAGGCCGCCGTAGAAGGGGATGTAAAAGGCGGAGGCGGCCGAGGGGTCGTCCGTGCTGCAGCGGTTGCTCACCAGGCGGCGGTGGTAGATGATCTCGGCGGCGAACTGGTCGGTCGCGTACCACGAGCGGAGCAGCGCGTCGGGGACAAACCCCGCGAGATCGATGGACGGCTGGCCAAATCCCCCGTTGGAGAGGGCGTCGCAGCGTGATCCCAAGGGGCTGAGCTCGCCGCAGTTGTCGAGCAGACCCTTGTTGAAGACAGGCGGGAGGTCGTAGACGTATACCCGCCCATACTCGCACGTCGCCGCGATCTCCAAGGGGATCCCGTCGGCAGCGACGGAAGAGGAAAGCGGGGCGAAGTCCGAAGCGGAGAAGTTCAACGGAGCTCCGTCGGCGCCGATGCGCCCGCTTCTGAGAGGCGGCACCAGCGACGAGACGGAGATGGAGCGGGCGAAGAGAATGAGGAGCAGCTGGAGGGAGAGGATGACAAAGACAAGCAATATGCGCGGCCGCCCGGAGACGCAGGCGTGGATGCCGTGGAAGGCGGCGGAAGGGCCACCGCCGCCGCCGCCGCCGCCGCGTTGGTAGAGCTGCTGAAGGAATTCGGGGTGGTTATCCTTGGCCGGAGAGAAGAGGCTGGGCTTCTTGACGGGATCCGGCGGTGGGGAGTCCGACCACGGTAGCATCAGAGGGAAATGAGGCGGATTATGCTGTCGATTCTTGATAGTAGAGAGAGAAAGCTGCCGGCGAGTTGCGGAGATTGACAGGAAAGGGAGCCGAGGAGGCATAAAAGACTCCCCCTCCCCCCAGCCACGTGCCCACGCTTGGGACACCGCAGAAAATCAGATTAAAGAAACTGTCCATGTGTCCGCTTGGTGGCGGTTGTCCACCTCAAGGAGAGAGAGAGAGAGAGAGAGGAAACCTTACTAGGTGTTCGTTATAATGCCTCAATACACCGTCTGCTCCACTTTTGCGGATCCAAGTGCACCACGGCCAGCCTGTCGCGGCCCACCATTTAAGGCTCCGCCAGAAGAGTAACCCTTCGCTAAATCATCCCCCTTTTGACCGTGCTGTAATTATAAGTTCGAGTGGGGATGACAAGGTCGGTGATGGACGCCAAGGTCGGCACTGACGAGGGGCCCCACGCGGCGCATCCGCCGATGGGCCTCACATGGCCGACGCCATCCTTGTCCTCGGTGTGCGAAAGCGCCCGATACGGGCCGTCTTCTTTGCGCGTGCCGACCTCTCGGCGTCTTCCGCTCGCTCCCGTGCGCGGCGCCAGGTGCCGCGCGCTGGCGCTGCAGTGGGAATCGTACTTCCCTGGCGCAGCCCTCCGCGCCGGGATCGGTGTAGAAAACCGACGTTCGGAGTCTCTAAAGAAGTCCTCTCGCTACATCTCCTCTTCTCATAATCTCAGCATGGATCGTTGCCGCCTTGTGTAGCATTAACTGGCAGTATGGCTTTCAGTGTTCCGACCCCTACACAGGGCTCTAGCCTGTAGAAAATATTTTACTCTACTCGTACATGCAATTCTTTGATTTGGGTCGCAGGGGACAGCCCTTTATTTCCAAGGGTTTCGTGTTAACCTGAACCCAGATATTTGGGGTCCATGAATGCCAACCCGTTTGAGAAGTGGGTTGGTTTAGCTCGTCACCAATAAGCATCTAAACTTGGGGCAAAAATAGTCAGTTTGTACTGTTAAATTTGGGATTCTTTTAAAGATTCAACACCTATTATGACGTCCACTTTGGGAGCGTCATATATAAATTAATGTAATGTTATTTTCTAAAATTTTCAGAGTTCACAAGGATGATTTATTAGTTTTTTTAATAATTTCATTAAATAAGACTATTGAAGAAGATGCATGCATATGTGAGTTCCTAGTGGGTAGACCTGCTTGAGAACCAATGGGAATATTGACATTATTCTTTCAAGGTGACTTGAAGAAATAGTAATGAATCCATCGATTTGTAAAATCTTTGTGTACAAGAAAAGAGGATAGTGATGTTATAGACTCCTTGTAAAAGAAGACCTGTGTGCTATGACTCCTCTTTTATTTGGTGTGCCATGTTGGAGTGTAAGGTAGCACAAGTAGATTTACTCTCATATCATTACCTTCTTCTATGATGATTGTATTTTCTTTGAGGTGGTTAAAATAATATTTAATTACTAAATTACTATCTTATCTAAATATATTTTGTTGATCCTATTTTAATAATATTAGATAATTATTGATCTTGATTGACTGATATGATTTGAATATATACATTGTAGTTTAGTAAATCATGTATTGATTTCTTATGAAGATATCTAAACCCTTAAAGGGTATATCATATTCATTTTCCAGCCATTTTAATTTCTAATAATTTATGGAAATATAACTATTGTGAGATGATGACAAAAAGAGACAATTTTGAATCTAACTTCTTTATAAATACATCACATTTAGTGAATAATTGCAACATCCTTAACCTCTCCACAACCTTAGGATTCATATTGAGTTTTTCTATATAAAAATCAGATAAAAATCATGAGGTATTTACTAGCTTGCCAAATTATATGAAAACATTGAATTGATGATCATTATTCAAACATTTAGTAACTATTGACAAGATCAAAGGGACAACATCTTCTGCATTCAACTAATATCCTTACATGAAGAGGATAAATGAAATCAAGCATAAAGTTTCATCCTCTTTATTGAATTCTAGACACTTTCCAAGTTAACATCATCTTTTAGAAAATAACCCCTGACAATTCCTTTTATATTCTTTATAACATAAGCTTGATATTGGATACTTATTTAATCAGTCATGGGCGCTGTCCCATTAAAATAATAATTATTCTTATTAATTCGTGAATTTACAAGAGAATTTTGGGGTAAAATTTTAGTGGAGTTGAATTTTGATAATCATCATTTGTGATTGTGACATTTGATTAAAGAAAAACCTAAGAACGTTGATTATTTTTGGAAGGTAGGAAGCTGAACAACTATAAAAATCATAGAATGCTCTAATTTTATAACATATAAGATTATGACATTAAGATATGAGAAAGTAGTTAAAGAGAGTGGGAAGAAGTTAACCTAAGTCAGATATTAGACTAGATCAATTTAACTTCTCCTTGATCCACCTGCAACCTAAAACCTAATATATCTTTTCATTTCTATTTCTCTATGCATATCTAGTAAGGATATTTTTCTCAACATAAGAATTGACACATAAATGACTAACAATAGTCTTTGATTTAAAACATCATAGATAACCATGAGTTGTGCTATAGAGAATACAAATTTTTTATCACACCACAAATTTCATTGAAACATACAACTATTGTGTTACAAGAAACATAAATTTGTTATCACACCATGATAAGTCTTTATTATCATGAGTTAATAATTATTAAATAATATAATTTTAGTCTTAACTCATGACAAATAGACTTATATTTGTGTTAAAATATGAAAAGTGGTTTTTAATTGATTAACGTGAAATTTTGGGTAACTATGTGATTTTATACGATTTTTACAGTCTTACTTTTGAGATAAACGAAGAACAAGAAATACAAATAAAAATATTGTAAAATAGAGGGACCCGCCGGCCAGTTGGGCCCGTAAGCAGGTCAAAAGCATAGTCGGGGAGTAGTCGTGAGCAAGGGCTCGAGCGACTTGGCTTTGACTGATAGGGACATGTGTGCGCCACTCCCCTTCCACGTCACTAGTGACCAGCCGACTGTGGGGCAAGGAGTGGTCGTACACGTGAGAGAAGGAACTTTACTTAAAAATGTAACATTACTATATATTTGCTCGAAAAATTGGCGCACAACTGATGTGGGACTAAATGCGTGTCATACCTTCCTTAGAAGAGGCGGGCAACTAGCACGAGTTTGAATCCTCCTAGAGTCAAAATTCATATATTTTTATCTGATTATTGTGACTTTCCTGCAAATCGCCGGTGAAGGATTAAGCAACGAGAATCGCTAGATCATCGGCGAAAATCTCGTCAACACGATTCGCAGAGCATTGCTACTAAAATTGCTGAACGATTCACGATAAAAGGATTGCAAATCCATCGAGTAAATCATCTCTGATTGATCGACGAACAAGCCGTCGTCAAGAAGAGGATGATCCACCAGGAGACGAGTTGCCACCTCCTGAGAGTGTACCAGATGCGATGAAGAGCCTTCTCTTGCTACACAGACCTGAGGATGAAGCTCCCTGACATGCGCCCCACCTCCATCCAACTCCTCTTTGTCAGGTGACAACTGTTAGAGAGCTGCAAAGTCGCCGTTTTTCCACTCTACTAGGTGACAACTGTCGGAGATGACTCGATGACCAATTTCATTAATCTCTAGACTTCGCGAGAAGATCTAGAGATTGCCCACGTCGTCTTTGTCCAAAGAGAGCCTTCGAGGCCATGAACACTACACGACAATCCTCCCGAACTCTTAAGATTCCAGTGCATCGCCGACGCATTGTTGTCGCGACGTCGGAACTCTGTTTTCTTACTTTCAACTTACTTTATGCTTCATTTAGTGATAGTTTTTGTGATTTTAATTTACCAAAATATACTTTATTCTATTACGATTCTTTCGGCTTTTACATATCTTAATTTGATCAATTAAATCATTTATAATCACTTACGTAAGAATTGTCGGGCAGAACTCTGTTTTTGCCCAATTCACATTCGCCGGGCGCTAACGTCATCTCAATGTCTGCACCCTTATTTTCCTTTTTCGTAAATTTTAAATATTTTTTTTTTCATTTCTTAGTATAAAATTTATAAAAAATCGTATTCATTGAGAAACATTCTGAATAATTACCAGATATTATATTACATCCTTGTGATCGACCTAGAAAATCACTGCTATTTTTGAAAGTTTTATTGAATTATAATTGATATATTTATTTAGAAATACTTCTAAATATCTAAAAATTTGTATTTTTGAGTTTTATAAATTTTAGATTTTCATGATTTACTATACAATGACTGAGTCATGTCACACCACAAAGTTTATAGAAAGATAGAACTGTGAGACATTGTTTAAAAAAAAGAGAACAACAACTCTCGTGAAGAAACAACACCACACATATTTATGAGAACACCTCTTGTGAAGAAGCAAAATCACCAAACATAATTATTGTCCTCGTCAATCTATGGACAACACAGGTCAATAAGAATTGTCACGTTGCATAGCTTGAGTAGGAAAAAAAGATCACTAGGGACACGAATTTTGATTCCAAAGAGGTTTGCTTTAATTCCTAGGCAAAGGCATGATGTAAGGTTGCTACTTGGAATTGATTTGATGACCTTGCAACTAGGCTCAATTGGCATGAACAGAAATGTGACTACTAAAGTACACACAGCTAGTGATAAAACATTAATAATGCATTCAGTGACAGTATTTGGAGAAGGTGCTGGCACAAGACTCCATGTGGGTTGAGGAGAAACCATTGTGGAGAAGAGCAAATAAATGAGGAGGACACAAGTAGCTTGAAGTTTTGAAGCCATAGTAAGCTAGACGCCAAAGCACCAAGAAGGGTAGGAACTAGGGGCTGAAGATGAAATGAAACTACGGAGTTTATGTGCCAAGTATGTTGCAGTTCAAAGACTTTATATAGTACTATGCAAGGCAAGAGGCCCCTATCAACAGTAGCTATCATGGTGGTGCTGTGAATTGAAGAGACAATTGGCTGTTATAACTTAAAAAAATGAGTCTCTTGCCCATAAGTTATTCATCTGCACCTTTCAATTTCATATTTATGTCAATCACTATATGTCAAATCATTACATTATTCATCACTTAACATAAATGTGAAGCTTAATCTCTACCATTAATCAAATTTAATTGTTCAATCTTGCACCCCTATTGTTGGTAATAGTTAACCATCGCAAAATTGTGATTGTCAATCGATGACTACTCTTTAAACAAGTAGGTCATATTAAGATGAAACACCAAATAAGAGGGACTTGTTTCCCTTCCAAATAAAATGGTCAACATGGTTTCAATTAAACATGAAATATGTCAATTTGGAATAGCATGTTCTCCAAATGGTGGGAAAATATTTTATTTAGCATTCTCTCAAATTTTTCATGAAGAAAATTATCTAGTTAGAAATACTTTTCCATGGGCTACTTTGGGTGCAATTTTATAGGTTATAAATAATTAAAAATTCACTTGATTTTCAAATTGTGCACATATCTCTTATATTATCTAAGTAGACATGACTTAACAAATGGATAAAGTTACAACCTAGTATAAGGAGCAAGGGATCACATAGCTGCACAAGATTGTTGGGTTTGATTCAATGATTGGATTTTGTATTCCATCTCAAAACTAGTCTATGATGATGTGTTGTCTATTGTAGAAGGTATGCATCCACTAACGTTTTGGATTTCATGCTATCCATTATGTTGACTCAATCACATGATGTCAAAAAACTATAAATCTAAATCAAAGATTCTATGGGATCATGAATTATTTGATTACCCAATGCCTTCTATGGCATTGTGATCTTAAATAGCAATTGGTTAGTTGATATGAATGCCATTGTGCTGGGCTCCAAAAGTTTATGTCCAATAATGGTGGTATTCTTGTGCTCTTAATATCACTTGATACATTGTCTTTCTTGAAATCTTCCTCATAAATGAATCTTTAGTACAATGACTTGAAACACATGGTATCTACCACTAATATGAAGAAAGTGAAAGTTTTCTTCTGATATTATTTTTTGTCATTAAATTAAAAATAATGTAACTAAAATTAACCTAAATGGAAAAGGAAGTTGCATATTAGGTCGGAACCTATCATTCGTATACCTGAAGATGGTGATTTTCTATCAAGGCAGTGATCAATAGAGTTAGTTCGCACATTATTATGTGCAGTGGATTTATTTAGTGTGGATTCAAGATCTTGTAGACTTATTATTATGTGCTCACATTATTATGTGCAGTGGATTTATTTATTGTGGATTCAAGATCTTGTAGACTTATTATTATGTGCTCACATTATTATGTTGCTAGATCTAAGACTCACTATTACATAGATGTCACAAACAGATGGTAAGCCCAAATATGGTTATGAGACTAATGATGTAGAGGTAAAGATGGTTATTTGAGATCCATCTTTCTTCATATACAACACTAAATTAGAATATTTTAGATAAGAATCATATTAGTCAACATATAATATTGAGGAAAATAATACTTAGAGGAAAGGTGAATTTCAGAACTATAGAATTATTATTTTTTATTAAATGAAAAATGGATAAGAAGGCTAGATGATGGCAATAAAAGAATTATAATTGGGTAAAATATAAGTACACTTGATGATAAGGATAATTTTTTTTTGTAAGTAGGTTGATTATAGTAATACTACTAGTTCTAAGTGAAGCAAGTTTTCGCTGTCACCAATTGCTTTCTTAAGAATGGAGACAGTTTAAAAATTCTTATTTCAAGTCGATAGG